TGCTGGCCACGTTCCATACTCTTCTTGGTTTTCTGAAGGCACTCCATAAAGAAAGCTTGTTGGTCGTCGTGGCGCTTACGCTCTCGAAGCTTCCAGGGGTTGATCGGCTCGGGCACCCAGTCCCAGAGAGGAGTCAAGACGTTTGTGATTGGCCCGGCAGGTGACATTTGAGTAAGCAGACCCCATGCGCTGGGGGTAAGAGGGACACTGAGCGAAGGATCGTCCCATGTCAATTGGCACATGACTTTAGAGCACATGTCCTCGAGGGAAAAGCTGAAATCATCGGGGTTCTCCAAGAGCCTGGCCATCCATCGCTTGGCTTCAAATTCCATAATTCCGTTGTAGCGGACATTGGTGGCTCCAGTGAGGTAAGAATGGGTGAACTTTCGCTGACGAGCCCAGTATTCTATTCTGGTTAGCAGAAATCTCCCACACTAATCGCTGATAGACTCACGATTCTTTCCCATGAGAGGCAGGTACTCCATTGAGCCGTATGTGCTCTTCGCATCGAACAGCGACTTGATCTCGGGGCGATCGGAATAGAGCTTCGCCTTCTTTACAAGCATGTCCTCGGCAATCTTCTCATCGGTGATGATGATAAAGTTCGCGCCCAACATCTTGGTGCGGTATATGGGACCGTAGATGTCGGCCCATTCCTTGAACTTCAGCCACATGAACTCAATGGGCAGGTCATGGATGCGTCCAACCCACGGCACCTGCCAGGGACCAGGCATGTTCTGGACATTGTATCGCTTGTCGTATTTGGCGACGGCGTCGACGACTGCGTATACAACAAGGCCAACGACTGCGACGCCTAGGGCGTAGGCTGTGAAGGGATGCATTTCGAACACGCAAGAGACGGGCGAAGGCGTCTGTAAGAAAGTCGGGACCGGAGAAGGTGAGTGTCGTCTGACTTGCCAAGAGCCTTGACGAGGATGTGGTCGGAAAGAACGGTAACAATCACAAGACCACAGCGTGGGAAGCCTGGTAAATATCACACCACAGGTTTGCGTTGCACTACCACTTGTCCGGCTCCCCAGGGCTTTACTTATGTACAACCATAGAGGGCCCACTGACGAGAGGGCACCGTTTAGGGCGCCAGATTCATCGGCGTCAAGGTGAGCATAGCCGACATGGAACTAAACATCGCTTGGGTGACAGACGGCAGATTCATCCAATGGCCAAGGTTGGAAACTACCGATTTCCTTAGTGTGCCAGGATGTCGATCTCACTAGCATCCTTGTTGATCTCAGTATCTGTATCCGCCACGGCGGAAGAACAGAAGTCGGTGCTAGCAGGCGCCGACTTACGACATGTCGAAGAGCTTGGGGCTGGACTAACATGTATCGGTGCGCCGGGAGAGCACGGAGATCGACATGGACCAAGTTTACTTGCATGAACTCGGGCGTATTGAAACATTTACTCCCTGGTCTTGAGAACTGGACACAGCTGAAGGAGCAACTCTCTCGTGGCGGTATCCCCATCCGCCGCTTTATCTAGGTAAGCAGTTGTTATTTCCACATTATCAGACCAAACATCACCTACATATAACAAGATCCAAGTCGGCAGCCGACACATGACCGGGCCGTAGGACCCCTCTACTAATCAACTTGTGCTGCATAGCTCGCAGCATGGGTATGCATCACTGGCAGTATGGGTGTCACAATTACTCCTCATCCATACTGGACGTCACTGGCCGAACGCCTCGGTGATGGGACACAGGCGCCACACTGCATTTCTGAAACCGAGTACCCTCAGCTGTCATTGCACGGAAAGCGTTCCTTTGGTGGGCGGCCAAGTGCCCTAAAGGAAGATGTCAAACACAGCCAGTCTAGAGGCGACCGTCTTCGCTACCTCAGAGCAAAGAAGTCTAAGCGTCATTAGAAGTGCTGAAATATATTTAGCGACGTTACACATCAATCGAATCTCAACGGCTGCGGTCATCATGTGCCCACTTGGAGCAGCAAGATACAGCCGTGACCGAGCTGATAGGCTAGGAGCGCCGCGGACCTGGCATCAGCGTGTATGTCCAGCATAGACGTTGAACACGATCGTATACAAAGATGACTTAGGATGCTGCTGACGGTGCTTGGCCTCCGGAGTTTGTGGGGAACCATAGCGCGAGTGCACGGATGCACGCCAGTCGGGAGATTGGGCTAGCGCGGGGGCTTGCCCATCGTCATCGAGATCGGTCCAAGACCAAAGGAGCCGTGTTCCTGACAATCTGCCGCCAAGTGCAATGGTCATTGCATTGTCCAATACCCGCATGCCATAGTCTGAGCGCGAAAGTACAACAGCGAGACAGGCCGGTCAGTCGGACGTCCGAGGGTCTTCGGCAAGCCTCACTGGTACCCCAACGGGGAATGCAGGTGGAGGCAACCTTCAGCATGTATGAAAGGCAGGCACGGCTTGTATGAAGGTCGGTTTCGACGATACACCCAACTCTACACGATTATACACACTAAATCGCAGTCATGCCTCACGCTCTTACTTCTCGCGACTCCACGATGGAGTCGAAGCCAATAGGGTCATACCCTAACACTGGCATCGATGTCCTCATCGTTGGTACTGGTCTAGCTGGTCTGGTCGCTGCTCTCGAATGCACACGCAAGGGACACAACGTTCGCGTGCTTGAGAGGAATGCAGACATTAACACAGCTGGTGAGCAGCATCCTCAAATCATGGTGTTGACGCGGCTCACAACGTGTTCTAGGTGACATGTACTTCATGGGCCTCAGCGCAACCCGCTTCTTGAAGCACTGGCCTGAATTGCTCAAGGAGTACAAGAAGATTTCGCTCCACAATGCCTGGATTGAGACCTTCAAACACTCGGGCGAAGTTGTCATTGGACCTAAGAAGGTCGCAGATCGTCTTCGTGCGCAAGGGTTGGACCCTGATACCCCTCCTGGCGAGTTCCAGATGCGCCCGCTTGTGTACAAAATGTTCGTCAGCGCCGTAGAAAACCTCGGTGTTTCCGTCGAGTTCAACCGCAGGGTTGTGGACTACTTTGAGGATGAGCAGACTGGCAAAGGTGGCTGCACCACCGACGACGGCAAGCGCTACGAGGCGGATGTAGTGATTGCAGCAGACGGTGTTGGATCAAAGAGTCAGAAGCTGGTTGGTGGACAAGTGCGCGCGAGGCCCTCTGGAAGGGCCATGTGGCGTGCTGCTTTCCCCAGAGAAGCTCTTGACAAAGATCCGGAGGTGAAGGAATTCTTCAAGATGATGCCAGGCAATGAGCCAATCGTGAGGACATGGCTGGGGTAAGTCCTTGCAACCGGATGATCACACTTCTGCTAACCCTCATAGTCCATCCACTTACGCGCTCACCTTGTCTCGCGAGGATGTCATGGTCTGGATCATGAACCACGACGTCACCGGTACTGAGAAAGAGTCGTGGAACAACACAATCGAGAAGGAAGAAGTTCTAGACGGCATGGACACTATGCCTGGTATGGAGACGGTCAAGTGGGCCCCGATCTTCAAGCAACTTGTCGAGACAACCCCACCCAAAACCATCGTCAACTTCGAGCTCCTCTGGCGCAACCCTCAGCCAAGCTGGACCTCTCCCGGCGCCCGCGTGATTCAGATCGGTGATGCGGCACACTCCTACCTACCAGCTTCCGGCAACGGCGCGACCCAGGCCATTGAGGACGCCATATCGATAGCGTCCTGCCTGCAGGTTGGCGGCAAGGAGAACATTCCTCAGTCAGTTCGCGTACACATCCGCTTCCGGTGAGTTGTTACCCTTCAATCAATCTCTCTATACGCATATGCTAACGCAACCCGATAGCTTCATCCGCAACTCCTGCGCTCAGAAGCTCGGCTTCTCGAACGCCGAACTTCTTCAAGACACCGACTGGGACAAGGTCAAGCTTGATCCCCGCCGCGCTGCTCCCAAGCTACCCAAGTGGGTTTGGTCTCACGACCCCGAGGCTTACGTATATGAGAACTACGAGAAAAGTGCGCAGTCGCTGAAGCAGGGCATTGACATGAAGGATGAAGACAAGTTTGAGCCCAACTATCCCAAGGGCTACAAGTACGAGCCATGGAGCATTGAGAAGATCATGGATGACATGAGGGCTGGCGTGCCGATTGATCTTGGAGCTGGTGACTGGGAATAAGCATGGGCATGAAAAGGCATAGCCGCGGACTGTATTGCGTGCACGGCGTTTCGGAAATGTGTTATGAACACTGAACGATGAATGAAATACAATCTTATCAACCATAGCATGACATTTTCTTAGCCAAATGCTTGAAGGTTGATACGCATGGCAGCCGTCTGTCTCTCCAGGGCTAACGCTGAGCACGTTAACACGCTTTGCCTCTTGGGTACAAGCGTCCTTCCGGCGGGAGCGCCCGCCGCTCTTCAGTTTTCAGCCATCAATGACAGCGGCCGCTTCTCTGATACTGTCCGCTGTCTGACTGACATCTTCGCTTCTCCTCTTTTCCAAACCGCTAACACAGTGTTCGAGCGTTGAAAGAACATCTGCGCAAGCGACGTTGCACGAAGCATGTGCAGGTCACAGCACAAGCGAGGGTTTCGCAGACGAGATGCGCCGATAAAGGAATTGGGTACTTTCCGTTCCTGCCTCAAACTAGCGATTCGGGTCCGGGACGTGTACCCATGAACCAAGGATTTCTTCTCGTACCACACTGAGCTCGCTGGATACGCCCGCTCGCCGCCCGTCGTCCCGCAGACTGCAGGTGCAAACGATGAATATTGATGATCAAGCAGAGGCAGGGTAAGAACAAAACATTACCCCTTCACACATCCACAGATCGTCCCGCTAAATCGCATTTCCTACACCCCGATACTCCGATATACTTTGCCCTGGATAACTTCTCTGCCACATATACTAGGTTCCATTCATCAAAACTACTTAGCCGCAAATCGACATTGCGGACTGCAAATGCATTATCTCAGGCCCACCACACGCCCCCGAATACTGTCTAATTCCTTCTTCCTGTAATCATCATCACGGCTCTCCACCGGAATTTCGAGCGGTGTTGCGATCCGCAGATGGTATTTCGTTATTCGGTCTAAAGTGTGCAGGGAAGTCTATGACGCTGCCTAGACGCGCTAGTGCATGTTGCGGAGGCTGTTGAGCGTCGCTGTTGCACCGCGGACGGAACTGGGAGATGAGAGGGGTAGAGGTGGCTTATCGAGGGATCTTGATGGATGTGTTTGATAGGGGAGCTCGGTGACTTAGTGAGGGGTTCGTGTCGGGGTGGGAGGTTCGGACATGAGATGCGACAGGACGCGGTCGAGTTGCAAAGCCCAGAACTTAGCAGAAGGATGGGATGTATTTTTGCGATCCCGAATCGCGCCATCTCGGGTTTGATTCAATTTTAGACCATCATTGGGTTGGTGTCCAGGTGTACGGGCGTTGATAATATCGACAGGTTATAGACGCGCGAGCACGTGACATGGGTGCGCTCAGTGATCGTTGGTATACGCATCTAATGAACATCTGAAATCGCTCGCTATGTATACGTGTACAGCTCATATATAGAAACGAGAGCTTGTATCTCCGAGAGCTTGGTGAAAGTTGTCTTACAGTCGAGGAACCCAGCGGTATCACTCGCTCAAGATCCCATCCAAACGAATCTGCAACTCCTCCGCCTTTTTGCTGTGCATAAACTCCCTCACGCTCTCAACCCGTTTGCCATCTTTGCTCAGCTTCACGAACAAGACTCCCTCAGTCCACCACTCTGTGATCCCACTTTCCAACAATTGCGTCCCTAATCCACCGTCACCGTTTACCTTGCCTCCCATCTTGCAGTGCGCGACTACCGTATTTGTATCTTTTGAAAAGTGCACCGCTCTGCCTCCCTGACCATCATCTTCAGGAACTACCTGAAAGTCGCTAAAGATCTCGAAAACCGTTTCGGCATGTTCACGGAACGGCTGAATCGAGCGAGTGGGTAGGTGCAGGTCTGCAGGAAGGGAGGTATGGCTAAAGTCTCGGGTGGCGTACGTTGTCAGGGCTTGAGGGCGAAGGGTCGAGTAGCTCTCTATGAACTTGTTGAACGTCTGGATGTGTGCGCTTGATTCTTGTGACTGCGATGAATAGAGAAGGTATGCGATGGGCGCAAGAGCAGCGATTGCTGCGAGAGTTGCGGTGGCAAAGCGTATCTCCGCGGGTGTGAAGCCTAGGTCTGACATTTTGTGTTGATACCAGGATGAATGTTTAATGCTTGTTGCATATGCGTGTCGAAGGTATCTGCAGTTGCTGAGTTTCCGAATTGTCGTTCGCCGGTGCTGTTGGTATGCCGTTTCCTGCTAGATTCTGGTAGCGAGTAAGATCGATCTGACGCGCACTACAGCATCTACCCGGTCGATCTTCCAGGCCGTAAAAGATCCGACTATGATCTACGGACCCGTCTATTATTGCAGATTCCAGTCACAGCCCTGGTGATCAAACTTCGAGCCCTTCATGGCTTGCACTCAGTTGTGTTGAACGCCATCTCTGTGATGCTCCTGCATAATCACCGCAATGTCGGTGTGGTACTTCACCGACCCGTAGCGTTGTGGAACATCGTGACGAGCCAGCCATTCGCTGTACGGTCCACAATCTCCGCTACCCTTCTCTGAGATCAGCGTAGAAGAGTGGAACTGCATTCTGAAAAGAAGCAACGGTGGGTCTGGGATGCTTGCGGGGCCGGCGGTGCCAGTCTTTGGGCGACGCGTCGACGTGAATGCATATCATCGGTGCTTCCTCTGCTCTTGTGTAGTTATTGTTCTCTCTGCTTATTCCCAAAACTGAGGCTGAAAATAAGCTCGACCTGCTGCGGCAACACACGTCTTTACGAAGCCAAGCAATCTCTCGACCCTTACAAGCAACCCCGCCATGGCCGCCACAAAAGCCATTCTTGTCACCGGCGCTACTGGCAAACAAGGTGGTGCTGTACTCGAGCAACTCGCATCACATCCATCTCACGCTGAGTTTACGCTCTTGGCCGTCACCCGTGACGCAAACTCTGGCTCTGCAAAGAAGATTGTTGAGCGTCATCCAGACGTGAAGTTGGTGCAAGGCAATCTGGACGACCCCTCGGCGCTCTTTGCATCAGCCAAGGCAACACTCAAAGAGGCTGGCAAAGAGGAGAAGATCTGGGGTGTCTATTCTGTTCAAGTCTCTCTAGGCAAGAATGTCACCCACGAGAGCGAGGTCATACAGGGTAACGCCCTAATCGATGAGTCGGTCAAGCAAGGCGTTACACACTTTGTGTATTCCAGCGTTGACCGCGGAGGCAACCAGCGCAGTTTTGAGAACAAGACGCCCATCCCGCATTTCCAGAGCAAGTACGAGATCGAGCAGCACCTTCTTGAGAAGGCTGGCAAGAGTGGTGAAAACATGGGCTGGACCATTCTCCGACCGGTTGCCTTCATGGACAACCTCGCACCGGGCTTCCCGACCAAGGTATTCCTCGCAGCTCTTCGCGATACACTGCAGGGCAAGTCCATTCAGTGGGTGTCTGTCGAAGACATTGGCCTATTCGGCGCACGAGCATTCGTCAACAATGAAGAATGGAATGGACGCGCCGAGGGTCTCGCCGGCAGTGAGCTCACCATGGACGAGATGAGTGGATGCTTTGAGCGTGTCATCGGTAGTGCGGTGCCGGCAACCTACGGCATGTTTGGCTCCGCGCTTATGTGGGCGGTGACGGAAGTGAACGTCATGATCAGTTGGTTCGCAGCTGAGGGCTATGGCGCTGATATCAGCAAGTTGAAGAAGGAGGAGCCTAAGCTGTGCGATTTCGAGACTTGGCTGGCGGAGAGGAGTGGGTGGAAGGGACAAGCCATCAAGCGATAGATGATGCTTTCATCTGCTTGCGGGGTTAAGCATCTAGCGTCGGACTTTTGGACTTTTCGGGACTTTGACCCTTGTAAGGGATCTCAGGGAGTTTTCCACGAATACATGATTATCCACCCAACTGTTGTCTTGATACATGTGCTTGTAGGAGCAACTGGGTTATTCCCGACCTTGCTAAATCTCCCGACAGTGGATTAAGCACCAGCTGCTTTCCGTCCGACACTTACAGCGCACTTACTATGGGCTATAGTTGTTGATTTGTATCTCAGCACCGCCTGAACTATGTTGGTTGTGTAGGTAACGGATATCTTCAGATCGAACAACATCATGAATCACGAGGTACAAAGAACTTGGAGATTCCAATAAGTTGTACGCTTCATTGCTAAAATGCTAAACTTCAGAAGCCTCCAAAGAGCAAAGCCAACATGATAAGGTGTGCAGTACCCAGTCTACTACGGTCACAGAAAACAAGAGCTACCCAATTGCTCTACAACGAGACCAAGTTCCAAAGCGCCAATCCACCAGCAATGACAGGTGTAACCAACCTCAGCCTGTTCCAGCTCGCCCACTTCATAGCAATGTTCTCCGCCTCGCCCAACTCCTTCTCGTTGCTCCTCTCCGCCAACGCCTCGAGCTTGTCGTTCAGCGGCTGCATGTTGAGAGCCGAGTGCAGGATAGTCGTCAGGTGCATGACGGCTGCGACACCAAACAGCTTCCAGTCGCTGCGAGCGAGCATGCCCTCACGGTAGACGGAGTAGCCGGCGTAGGCATAACCCAGGAAGCCAAGGGTTGAGATAGGGCGGAAGAATTGGTTGCCGACTGTCCAGCACAGAGGCCACTGGCGGCCTAGAAGTTGCGCGCGCTCTTTGTGGTCGGGGCTGCCTGGGCGAGGGAAGTTGACGAGGAGGGCGGGGACGGTCATGTACGACTGTGTGATGGCATTTCCTGGGATCGTCAGAAGTGGAATTGCAAACTACGGGAACTTGGTCTTACCGGCAAGAATGAAGGAGAATGTGATGCAGGTTCCTGCAACGCCCTTTACAATGGTGTTATCCGACATATTGAGAGTGTTTTTTTGGTATAGGTGTGGAATTGGGGCTCAATGGCTTTGGGTATGAAGGAAGAGAGGAATGAAAAAAAAGCGTCCACATCAGCGACGACCACCTGCAATAAACATTTTCCATCAACAAACACCAAGACGTATTTCGTAAGCTAGCAACCATGCATTCCCGTTCCGAGACCCCAAAATCCCGTGTTGGGTCACTCCGCCCTGCATTGTGGTGGGATAGCGGTGTTCCTGGCAGCCGTAGTTCGGTTCCCCACGGCAGTCGCGTCCCTCCAGGCACGCCCCCGGTTTGGCGATCCCGATTACACCACGACAGGGCCTCCACTCAGGCTAACATTGTATGAAGCTTCTTTGTCGGTGTGCTTTGGGTATTTTCTGCATTTGCGACCATCAAGTCGGTGAGTCCTCTAGTAATGCGCTATTGGGGGTTTTGCCTTTGTGAGCTGTCCGCCACGGGTTGCTGTTGCTATGATGGAAGATCGCTCTTACCACTTTGGACAAGATCGGGAATTGAATTCATGGATGCATCGCATGCGGTAGGCATCAAAGACAGTTTTGAGATAGGAATGGTGGGTGATCGCAGTGAGGAAGCTGTCGGGTCATAGGGCACACGCTCGTCATGAGACTCTTTTCCTGGATTGAAAGAACAGCACCACGGTATGGACGTTTCTGTCTGATGAAAGGCCTGATAGTTCGTGGTCTAATCAGACGCTGCGTCTAATCCGCTCTTTGTATGCCATCCGCCCAGCTCGGTTCAATGCCGCTACAGACATCTACATAGGCATCCCACCTCCTCAAATCCTTCTCCTTCTTTGTCCCACCCCGCTCCTCAGTACTCCATCTTTTCTCGACACCCTGCGTAGTCCAAAACATGGTCCATTGATCACCAGGCAAGTTCCACATGCCCTTGCTCCTCTCTTGGTACCATTTATTGACGGGGTTGCTTGTCCGACTCCTCCATACTACGCCATCAGGGAAGCATGTTCGAGTCAAAGCAGCCCAGACAATGTCGGATACGCCACCAGAACCTTGCGACGACGTGAGGACGGCGAACTTGTCGAGATAAGGAACGTAGTATGGCGAGTCTGGAGAAGGTATGCTAGGAGGACTGAGCCCATGGAGGGATGCGGGCGTTTCCCATGTGCAGATGGCGCCACCTTCGTAATCACCCGCTATAATTATGCCGGCCACACGGCCACGAATACGGTCGAGGTAGTTCTGAGGATGCAGTTTACGTCGGAAAGAGTCATCGATGAGATCGACGAGTTTTGGGAAGTTGATGCGCGGGTCGTCTGCTAGCTCTATGCTCGGGTTCGTCGCAGAGGGTGGCTGCCAAGGCCCGTGGATCCGCGGATCCGGAATCATGGTGAGCGGTATGCCCTTCTTAAAGAAGGTGGCAGGGTTGGGTGCGGTGGAGCCAAGGAAACGGGAAGTCGGAGTTGTCGGCAGCGACGACGATGTCATCGGTTTGTCTGTTAACACGTTATGCAGTAGAGGATTCTTCGCAGGCGAAGTCCGCGCATCGTCAGGTATAGCCTTCCTTGCTGCTTCCAAGGGTGTCAGGACGAGGCCAGACGACGATGGGGGTAACAGCTTCAAGCCGCGCTCGACCACTTCGAGGTTCTTCAGATGGCGTATCGGAGCTGAGTTGCCGATCTGTTGTGCCGGTGCACCTGGTAACGGTGCCATTTCTTCCTCGACGAATTCTGAGAACGGATTGCTAGAACTTGACGAAGTTGGGCGTTGAGTCTTATCATCCGGAGTAGCTGAAGATAGCTGCTGCAGCTCTTTCTTGATGTCACGGTACTCGGCTTCTAAATTGACGAAAACATGAGCGCCGTCTGCTCGCTTCTCGGATGGTATGCCACCGAGAGGATCAAGTATAATGATGCGGTCGAGAATGGGTCTTTCGACGACATCCTTTGTCTTGTACAATGCGCCACCAACTGAGCCATTGCTGCCTGTCTGGCCAGCGAGACCGGCAAACTCGCGAACAAGCGCGAGAAGCACGTCGTCTGCTTGGACCCTGACCTTCTTCAGATTTGTGTCGTAGGCGAAGGGTGTTATGACTGGAATAACGCCGTCATCGATGGGCGGAAGTAACAGGTAATTGTGCTGTACCTCTACACCTCCCCGCACCTGTACGGTACTAGGCATGTCGTTGGCCAGTGGGGAGTAGCCCAAAGCATCTTCGACCAATAGAGCCCCTGGCTCGTTGTAGTCTTCCAACGCTGCGACCAAGCGCAATGCCTGCTCCCTAACCATGTTCCCATATTCCAACGTTAATTCCGTGGTGTGCGCATCGGCATCGTGATCGCAGTCGAGCACTACAGCAGTACTAAGCCCCAGCTGCGCCATCTGACTCAGAGTCAATGCGATGTCGCCCAAGGTGCGGTCGTCGAGGGTCTGAGGCTGCCGAAGCTTGACAAGCGCCATGTGCACCGGCTCATCCTTCTCTTCAGCCTGGTACTTCTCTTCCGGAAGCGGTTCGCGCGTGAAGACAGTGGGCTTGTAGAGGTCGCCGAGATTCACACCGGTTCGCAGCGAACCCGAGTCATTGTGTATATCCTCGCTAACCATCTCCCTGGCTTTGGCTGCGATAGCCGCCTTGCCCTTCTTGGGCGCATCGAACTGCTTCAGGAAGTTGCGCGCGTCGCGTTTACCAGGCGATTCCTTCAGTAGACGCGTCAACTGCTGACGTTCGGCGCGCTGGCGCTCTTTCGCTGAGCTCGACGATTTTCGGACGTAGGTGGTGGACGTGGAGAGAGGCGCGCATCGAATCTTGGTGAAGATGTTACCGCTGTCATCGCGCTTGGGAAGCTGTCAATGGTCAATATTGCTACGATTACGCCTGAGGACGTCGCGCTCACCTTCTTCGTAGCCTTCCCCAAGCCCCTCGCGGGGGCTTTGCTCCAGATGAACATGCTTCATGCTACCGCTCAGCCACCGAACATGCGAAAGGTCAAAATTGTGTGACTAGAGCTCGGAGCAGAGGTATGACTCTGCGAAGGTGTGGGGAAACGTGCCCGCATCCGCATTTTCGAGAACTCAACATCGATAACGACGTGCGAACGTCATTTGCTGGTAACCGACATCGGCCCGGTGTGGCCTTATCCCCGGGCTACTGGCGGATGACGATGATGAACACCATGACGAAGCGCTGACAAACGATGCGCAAGGTACAAGCATAGATTTGTATAAGTTGTCGCACTTGGCACTGCCTCTTCGTTGAGAGAGAGAACGGATACAGTCAGATCCCAGAAGAAATCATGGCGCCACAACTCGCTTGGATTGGCCTCGGCAACATGGGCAGGGTCAGTGAGGAAGGTCATCAGCTCGACCAAGTCACTAACTATCACAGGGCATGTGCAAAGTATGGAGCATCTGAAACTCTTACTTGATTCTCGTACTGACTCCACAGAACTTGGTGGAAAAAGGTAACCTCGATAAGCCCCTAATCCTGTTCAACCGCACCACATCCCGCTCCGAAGACCTCGCATCCAGACTCGGCAGCTCCAAGACCAAGGTTGTCAATACCATCAACGATGCTGTCAAATCTTCCGACATTGTCTTCATGTGCTTGGGCGACGATGCAGCTGTGAACGCTGCTGTCGACAAGATGCTCGAAGAAGATGTCAAGGGCAAACTTATTGTAGATTGCTCCACGGTACACCCAGAAACGACGAATGCTTTGGAGAAGAAGATAAACGAGAAGGGGGGTGAGTTCGTGGGCATGCCAGGTAAGTTGCGCATGTGAAGATGGAAATGCTCCCTCAGGACGGGCCTAACGACATCTCAGTATTCGGCGCCCCGGCCATGGCAGACAACGGCCAGCTTGTTTGTGTGACAGCAGGCTCAAAAGCGGCCTGCGATAAGGTAGTTCCGTATACGACAGGCGTGATGGGCCGCACGAACATCGATTACTCAGGGCAGCCAGCAGGAAACGCCACCCTCATGAAAGTCATCGGCAACACCTTCATTTTGAACATGGTCTCACAGCTGTCTGAAGGCCACGTCCTTGCCGAAAAGTCTGGTCTAGGGGTAAACAACCTCCACACATTCATCTCTACAATGTTTCCCGGTCCCTACACCGCGTACTCGCAGCGCATGCTAGCCGGCGACTACTATCAGCGCGAGGAACCTCTCTTCCATATTGACTTGGCACGAAAGGATGCAAGGCATGCCATGTCGTTAGCGGAGAGTAGTGGCGCGAAGGAAAGTATGAAGATGCTAGGCTTAGCACAAGGTAGATTGGATAGTGTGAAGAGTGAAATCGGGGACAGAGGAGATATTCCGAGTGTTTACGGAGTGGTGAGGAAGGAGAGCGGCTTGGGTTTCAAGAACAAGGATTAGATGGGTAGATCTTCTATTGCAGTTCTGGAATACATGTGTAGTTTTCACCCTGTCAGGGTGCTCCTAGTCGCCGTGTATGATAATATTCGCCCGAGCGGTACTTAATACGCTAATTGCGACTGCCGTTGATACAAGCATGGCTATCGCAACTTCTGCTCGACTTACTTTCCATAGAAATCCCGATGCACACGAAATGTACCGCGGCTCTTCAACGCGGTTCAGACATGACGCGACATGTGCTGATCATTACCTGATGTAACGATTATCGATGCAGACATTCGGTCTAACTCCGCCGAGGATGCATCATCTGTCAGAACATCCTCCCCAACGTCACATCACGCTAGACTCCTCAGCGTTAAAATCCCCAGGTTTTACCCCAGCTTCTCCCCTCCCCACTGCTTGATGAGGTCAAGCCTCACCTTGGCTGCAACGGCGGGTTCGTAGAATCACCCTCTGCGATCGAGTCTGTTCTTGCGAAACCTGGTTGCCGTGCACATGGCCTGACAATCTTGCCGCCATCTCACGTGGGTGACAGCAGGTACTTGAGGGCCTGAAGACCCTGCGGATTTTCCTCGTCGTGACTGCCTGCTGTTGACTCCACTCAACTCACGCTTAATGCTCGAATCTTTCGTTCAGTCCACGACCTGATCGGCATTACCAACTTACCAATCGCTAATCAGCATCTCTATCGTATCACAAAGCGAACATGGGGTTCCTCAAGAGACCCACACTGCGCAGTCGCGATGACCAGAGGACGCGCGCTGCTGAACTCACCTTGCGCGAGTCCATCTACCCGCTCTGCCTCGTTACCATTCTATTCTTTCTCTGGGTGAGCCACGACAATGCCTTCCACCCAGTGTAATTGACTGATGAACATGTAGGGATTCTCGTACGGCCTCATCGATACCCTCAACAAGCATTTCCAAGATGTCCTTGGCATAACGCGCGCTCGCTCGTCAGGCTTACAGGCAGCATACTTCGGCGCGTACCCACTCGCTTCCCTCGGTCATGCCAATTGGCTTCTGCGCCACTGGGGCTACAAAGCAACCTTCATCTGGGGTCTGACTCTATACGGCGTCGGCTCTCTTCTTGCCTGGCCCTGTCTTGTATACCGTTCGTTCGGGGGCTTTTGTGTAGCCATCTTCGTCATCGGTAATGGACTCGGCTCGCTAGAGACAGCAGCTAACCCTTACCTGGCTGGTATGTATGATCCGATGCGGTTATCGATGCGGTACTAACGAAAGTAGTTTGTGGACCACCAAAGTATTCGGAGATCAGGATCAACATCGCTCAGGCTTTCAATGGCATTGGAACTGTGGTAGCGCCAGTTCTAGGGTCATATGTCTTCTTCAACAACGTTGGCACCGATCAAGCATCCCTTGAGAACGTCCAATGGACTTACCTTGGCATTGCATGCTTCGTCTTTCTCCTTGCGATTGTATATTACTTCACGGAGATACCCGAAATCACTGGTAAGCTTGCTCTTGAATGAGAAATGACCAGCTGCTAACAGCCACCAGATGCCGATATGGCTTTCCAGGCTGAAAGTACTCACGCTGGTACCGACGTAAAGCCTTTCCGCAAACAATACCGCCTCTTCCATGCGACATTCGCTCAGTTCTGCTACACTGGCGCCCAGGTGGCGATAGCTGGAGCATTCATCAACTACGTCGTCGAGACACGGGTCATAAATGGCCGCGAGACAGACAACTCGACAGCAGCTCGGTTCCTTGCTGGTGCGCAGGGCTGTTTCACCATGGGTCGCTTCATTGGCAGTGCCTTCATGAAGTTCGTTAAGCCACGATGGGTGTTTCTCGTGTTCATGACGTTATGTATCGTCTTCATCATCCCGTCCATTACCGAGCGAGGCAATACCGGCATGAGCATGCTTTACATTGTGCTCTTCTTTGAGAGTATTATATTCCCAACGATTGTTGCGCTCGGCATGCGCGGACTGGGCAAGTACTCAAAAAGAGGCTCGGGCTTCATCGTAGCCGGTGTATCTGGTGGTGCTGTTGTCCCTCCATTACTGTTCGGAGCGAGCGATACGCTAGGGAAGGCTAGGCCTCTGGAGGGATATGCGCCCACCGCCGTCGCCATGACAGTTCCGATGGCATTCTTTATTGCGGCGTGGAGTTACGCTTTCTGCGTCAACTTTGTGCCAGCCTACCGTAATGTTGCCGACAAATTTTCAACTGCTGAGATTGGCATCAACAATGCGCATGCGAACGATCCGGAGCGCCAGATGGAGAGCACGGATGGTGGTGTACTTGCTAAGGAGGAGTCGCCAACTCATACGGAGGCGGTCGATATCGACAGAAAGACATAGGATGATTCTCTTATCGAAGTGGAAGATGATGAGGAAGCGAAAGTGGCTGCAAATGGAACTGAGGACGATGGAGTAGAAGTTATAGCTGCCGAGAATGCTTAAGTAGATCATGGGTCTTGAATTCATCACGATTTAACTTCCAAAGGGAAGAGAAGAGATTTACTTAGTATCATTTCAAATTGTGAAGGCACGGTGAACACCCAATATCCTACACTCGAAATCCCGTCCCTCACCGTGCACCATCTTCATTGCGATTCTGTCAGGCGCAATACCAGCCATCAGAGAATACGAAATACCGTAAGTGCCCTGTACGCACTGACATAACATTTCACCTTTGTCTCATTCTCCTTCCCTCATTTCTTGATCCTCGTCTTCACGTGACCTGTTCTCATCTGAGTCATCAACTAAGATAGAATCCTCCGTCGTTTGCCCTTTGATCACCATTTCCAAATCCCACTTCTGTTTACCACGATACTTCCTCAACAGAGCTGTTGTCAAGTCCTTCAAGAAATCCGCGGGATACTCGTCTGTTTCATCGTTCTCAAGCCAGGCAGCGTCCGCTGTGTCCGCCCATAGTTGTACCAAGACTTGCCTCAACAGTGATCCTTTCGGTGTTTCGTTGTAAGCGAGGCTGATGCTTGCTGGGCCAGGATATTCACCCATGTCTTTACTTAGCTCGACCAATCCCTGTATAACGTCACGACAGAACTTCCTGCTCTTTAATTTGAGTCCCAACACGTATGCCTCAATAAGTTTGTCTGTGTCAGGGGCGAATTTGCCATTGTCGTCCTCCCGGTCTTCGACCGCGATGTGATCATAGTAAAGCCACTTAAGAAAGATTGCGAAGGCATCAGCATCGATACTGGCAAACCTGTGTACTACGATGACGTCGATGTCATTCGGCCAGCTTTGACGGCAGAAGGGACAGTTGACTGGTTGATGAGTCCTCTGCTTCTCTACCTTCCACTTCTCGATGCATCTGTGATGGAAGTTGTTACCACAATGCGTAGCGCAGTAAGTGAGCTCCTGTATATCGTGCTCGAGCGTTTCCGTACAGATCGCGCATTCACTGTCTTTCTTGAGAGTCTTTCGCTTCGGCTGTAGCTGTTTCGTGAAGAATGAGGATCTGCTGCATACGAGGTCTTCGGGGACAGTGAACTCCTCGCCGCCTGCAACTTTGACGCGGATGATTTGGCGGCCGAACCTAAGAGCGTGTTAGCGGTTGGTGTTATGATCGTTACAGAAGACGTACCGGATAGCTCGCTTTTTCCTAACGCTGATGCGCTTCTCCTGCTTGGGCATCTTTCCTGGTCTTGGTATCTCCCGCTACTTGAGTGGCGCAGTAGCTTGATAAGATCGTTCTTGAGCGGTTCTCTGGTCGAGTGATGAGCATTGGATGACAAGCCGATTCGGCTAGTACCTACGGGTGAGTGGTATTCTATCGTTCCGTCGCGCTATGTTGCTTCGGTAGATGCAGATCCGTGCGCAACGCGCAACGCGTAGGAGTGCCTCGAGCCCTTAAAACTGGATGAGTTGAGGCGCAGAGCGTTCTCAAAGTGGATACTGTTGTGATTCACGTGAGTAGAGGTCAAGATAAGGGACGATACCGAATAACGGGTCGGGGTAAAGATAAGATGTACACAGTCGTTCAGTTGTCGTCGTTTCGAGCTAATCTAGTCCGATTGGGTGTAAACAAGCAAAAAGGATTGCATACCGTGTTTGGGTAATGTAAGGCCTGAATATCAGGTGCAAGACGTTAAAATGAAAGACAAGAAGACAGGAAACTCTTAGTGCCGTCACGAACGCTCATCCTTTTGACCTGTATACAATCAGTCCGCCGTCGTCTGAGTCATCGGAAAAAGACATGAAGCGGACATCTTGCTTCAGCCGACGCTTCGCACTGTATGTATGCTTCTTCACTTCCACCTTTTGACCTGGACGATTCCGGGTTGCTGCTACTTCCGTAGCTCCAGCTTTAGGACTATTCAGACCAGCAGCTGGTTAATTATTTTGCAGAGTGCTAGATGCTGCTGACGCCAAACTCGTGCTGCCGCCTACAGACGCAGTATCTACGTCACCGCTCATCTGATCCACTTCTAAGCTTAGCTTCTCCATCCACATCTTCCTCGTCGCTCTGCCATCTTTCCTGTCTCCCCACCGAACCATGGCTGTATCTGCTAGCTCACTCACAAAGGCCTCCGGCCAGTTCTTGCCCTCGCTCCTGAACCAACCGGGCTGGATATAGGCGAGCGATATATCGATGATGAAAGCTCGAATTTCGTCATCGCACTTGTGCTCCACGAAAGCCCACTTCACACTCTCTTTCCAGAAGCGTGCGCGAGCTTCTGCGAAGTAAGTGGCGATGACTTGCGACTTGAACACTGGATCTTCGACGGCGTTGGCAACAGTCCAGAGTTTGAGGATGACTAGATTGAAGGCATCGGTAATGCGGGAGACCTTTACGGATATGTGTAAAGTGGAGGTATATAGCCAGTCCAGGTAGATTTGCGTAGCCTCGGCGTCTAGCTCGGACTCTATGTCTAGCTGATTGAGCAGTGACTTGTTCTTCCAGCTAGCACGACACATGGGGCAGGTCAGGATCAACTCCTTCTTGGAACTAGTAGTAGATGAGCGCTTCCAGGCTTCGATACAGACTTCATGGACATTTTGCCCGCACTTGGCGCAGAAGGAGATGTCTCCTATCATGGCGTTGAGAGCCTCGGCGCAAACACAACATTCATCAATGCTGAAGATTGGCTTTCGATTTCTCTGGAGGCGGTCTTTGAAGAATCGAGAGGTCTTGCAAACGAGGTCTATGATGAACGTATGCTGTTAGTATGTCGAACTCTTGAAATGGTTGTATGTGTTGTTACCTTCATGTACAGTGAAACGGCGATCAAGATTGGGGGCCTTGAAGCTTATGATTCTGTTGCCCACACTGCGCCATATCAGCAAGTTACATGTGGTAATATGAGAGACGGAGTGACGTACATAATTGGCTCCAACTTCTTGGTCGCTCTTCGAGATTGAGTAATGGTCATCTGCACAAATGGTGATCTTGTAGAATAAGAATCTTGTAAGCTGAAGGGCACGGAAGACACGATCCGGGTAGAAGTACTGCAAACAGGAGAGGGTGAGAGTCGGACTGTGCGCACCTCGCCGTGGAGCGGTGATGGTACTTCAAGGTGAGAGAACCGCCAAGAAAACATTCCAGTATCCGAGCAAGGCGAGTACAACAGTCGTCTTGAAGGTAGTCAAAAAATTCTCCAAATGAAGCGAACGTTAAGTTATACCCGGAAAGAACTGTACATCTCTTGTGTGTGAATGGATCAGCTGAGGTCGTCGAGAGAGCCCAGCCGGATGATAAAACCATCAATTGCTGTGTGAGACACGATACTCTATGGCGCCGACCGAGAGAGGATGAAAAGCGTCAAACAAACTCTTCAAACGGGTATTTTGCTTACCACCGTCCCCTTATGGCGACTCCAGACACAGTATACAACCTGAGCTATGTAGCTTTGTCAGGGCCAAATTCCGCGCTGTCTTCCGACGTCTTCGATATGCCGCCAGTACCGAAGATCACAAGTTTTCTGCTCAGTGAAAGTCTCTGGATGATCTACTCCTACACGCCAATGTACCACAGCTCAACACCCATGACCTCGAATTTCTTGCCATCATCACTCAGGGGCTCGTTGCCAAACGTCGGGCACGTATCGGAGACGCCCTTTTCGAGGTTGTCGTCTAGCCATAGGCCATAGTGACCGTCACTGCGACACCGTCAGTCTACTGAGTCCTTGATGATTACACGACGCCGCTACTTACCCGCCTCCAACACTTAGGTAGCTATGCTCGCAAAAGATCATGTAGTCATTCACTCCGCTGTAGGGAAATGCCTTGAATCTTATCCGTTCTGGCGTGCTCGCACCACTCTTACTGGCCCGACCGTTCTGCGGTGGTGCTAACGAATGGCCCTTGCTCTTCGGTGAGGATACAGTTGTCATTCGCACAGCGTCCGTCGTATCTTCGGATGGGGGTGGTGGGAGGTTCATCTGCAGGTCTGAGAAACCTGAGAGAATGTGCGCGCGCCAGAGGAAGCATTCACCGTTGCCGTAGAATGATGTGGAGGGCCGCGGTGCGTCGGAGAGATATGCGCCGAAGATCTATAGTGAGACGTAAGCATTCGTCCTGTGGGTGTCTTAATATTCGCGAACTTACACCTCCACTGCCGTCTTTGACCACCAGCACAAAGCCGCCTCTCTTGCCCAGATAGTCTTCAGATTGCTTATATAGTGTGCCTAAACTAACACCGTTCTGCTCCAGACTATACGCCAGACTCCATTCATCCACTAGTTGTAACCTTGGCGGGAGCAGGAGCCGGATCTCTTCAGCAAGCGCCGTGCTTAGCAGCTTGCCCTTTTCTCGCATGTTGCCTCCCCATCCTCTCAGACTTAGCGGTGTCAAGGGAGGCGGTTGAAAAGGGCTCGCTATCCGATGTGGCGGCTGGTAGACCGAGTTCATATCTGAGGTGGTAGAGGAGACGAGATTCGCAAATGTGTGGGAAAGGGAAGATGCGGTGGACTGCAACTGCGCTTGTATGTTGCCTGCGCTGTTACGGTTGCTGTGGTTCTCCGATCTCGATTGCGCGTCTGATGTGGGAATGGTCTCTGTGTTCAACCGTCGCAGGATGCCCGAGACTGCATAAGAGACCGGATAGGTGAAATACGAGGACGAGCGGTTGGGTGTAGAGCGCTGCGATGACGGTGAGGTTTGCGACGAGGGCGAGCGGAACGGGGAAGAGGACTGGGTATCTGGTGGGTACGACATGAGCGGCAACTAATTGCGATGGTAGCGATGTTCCTGAATTAATGTGGGTCGCGTGTTGGAGGTGGTGTGCTGGGGTTGTCGCAGGTCAGAGTAGCTGTGACGTTGCGCAAAATTAGTGGGCTGACAGCTGCTTGGAGCCTCACAACACCACCAGGATGGGACGTGGCTGTTACATAAGCAGGCTTGCGACTGAGGTGAATGCATGTCCAAAGGCTTTGATGGCCAAATACTAATACAGGACATGTCGGCGATGTATGCTCTGTGATTGCTTCACCCTCTGGCACCGCGACGTGTAGCTTGCGGAGCCCTGACCGCTTTAGCTTGCTAGCGTGTCGCGCGAAAGCTTGATCTCCGCTACCCGGTAGGGCTGACCTCGCGTATTCGTCGTGCATTCAAGCCAGGATCCCCATTGTCAGTCGAGAACTCGAGGATGACTGTAGTTGAGATAGAAATGTTCGATGCTGGTATCTCTGCGCTATGATAGTCAACATCAGTCATCCCCGCGACCCACAGTCGCATTTCTCGTAGCATGCATCGACTCGAGAAGGCACCGAGAGTTCCATTCTTGATCGAATGCTACTAGTGTCGACATCTCTACACTCTCAAGATGACGCCTCAGATGGTCTATGTAGTCTCAGCGTCTGCCTCCTTTGTCGCGTCTGCAAGGTCTCGATCCAAATTCTCATCTCCCGCAGCATCTGCGTCTTCTTCCCCGTCGTCTCCGTCACTCTTAAGCTTAGCACCCTTTCTTTCGGGCATAACCGCCATGAACGCCTTACCCCAATCCCCAAACTCCATCCACTTGAGCATAATCTCCAGCACATGGTTCGTGACCAAGACTTGCCGACTTTTCATCTCGAGATATTCGCCAATAGGTAGCTTTGCAGTTTTGATCCCACGGTTCACAGCGCGCTTGTGACATATGCCTTTGTGCCGGTTCTTGTCAACCAAACCACCGATGATGTATGTACTGTTGGGCTTCAAGTGAGTAAGAACGTTGTCGGACTCAGATGAAAGATAGACGACTTCGCCTTCCTCTGCTGGAGCATCGGTTTGTTCTTGATCGCCTGATCCAGTGGCTTCTGCTGACGCCCTCAAGGCACCGAGAACTTCTCCTCCGTTTGGCCCTGACATCCACGCCTTCGCTTTCTCAGAAACCTCAACGAAATCTTCTTCGAAGAACTGGAACCCTTTCCAACTCGTGTACTGCTTTGCTAGAATGCCATCGAAACGCTCTTTCATCTTTCCACCGAAGCTGCTCAAAGCTAGGTGGGTTCTGAAGTTCGCTTTTCGATTGTCGCTATAACACCTCGTGATCTGAAGTCCCAAGCTCTTGAGCTCGTTGTCAAACATCAGCTCTTCGAAATCGCAATCGAAGATGACTGTGATTGGTACTTGCTTTCCAGTTGCCTGCCGAGGGGGTCGTGAAGCTGGCGGTCTTGGTCTCTTGCCATTCTCGTCGGTAGGCATCTGCGCCCACTCTTCTCGCCTTCGCTCTTTCTTCTCTTTGACTTTCTCTTTTCGCTTGAGTTTGCGATCTTCGCGACCGGCTTCCCAGCGTTCGAGCCGCCTTTGCTTTTTGAGCTGGTTTTTGGATAATTTTGGCTCCGCATTCTCACTCCCAGCCGGAGTTCCGACAGATTCTACGGCGTCGGCTTGAATGCTGTTTTCTGCTGCGACAGGTAATTGTTCGTTTGGTGTCGGAATCGTAGGTGTTTCTGCCACGTCCTCAACGCTATCCGCATGCTCTAGCTTGCGCAACTTCGCAGGACGCTCTTCGGAATCCATCTTCGACTAAAAGTTCGCAGGTTTGTGAAAATCAAGAGTGATGCCTTCCACCCACTCAGCGTCGACAAAATTATGCTCACTCACTTGCTAGCGCGCCAAGCCAGATCCCTGTCATCGCGGCTTCCCGAGCTCGAACCTCACTTCACGTCTCCGCATTGACGACACCTTCGAATACCCATTGAGCCACGAATAATCGCCCAACATGCCGCAGGATATGCCGCCAACGGGCGGCTACAGCCCCGTACAATACAAGCGCAACTTGCCCGTGCGAGGCTTCCGCCCTGCCGCATACCTTTTCGGGACTGCGGCACTCATGACCTACGGATTCTGGAGGGTTGGACAGGGTATCAGAGAGCACAAGTACGCGCCTACCGTCGAAGAGGAGACTCCAGGGTTTTGAGATATATTCGCGAAGGTGCTGACAAGTCGCAGCGAACTCGCGCGCGAGAAGATGTGGGCGCGGATACACCTTATCCCCGCGCTGCAAGCCGAAGAAGACCGCGATCAAGTACGAAGGCACCTCGCAGATAAGGCGAGAGAAAAGGAATTGCTTGGGACAGAGACCAGGGTCTACAACAGTGACAGGTATGGTTTGATCACTTGGCTTTATAGACAACTTTGGCTAATTACACGACGGCAGATTTGTTCGCCCTACCTTCGCAATCACGCCCGAACACGAGACGAAATAGAGTTGCATACCGCGTTGGACTTGTACATATGAATCTACAAATCGTTGGCAGGCTAAGGAAACGCTGTCTTCAAATGATACCTTTCGCTGTGTTTGAAACCGTGCCGCGGTGCAGATTCCCAGGCTTCAAACGGCGAGATACCTTTCTGAGAGGACCGTGGCGCGCACACATACCCAACTAGGGTGTTTCTAAAAGTTTTGAAGAGGGGACACCCTGTTATAGGCTTCCAAAAGCGTGGTTCACATACGTTGTGATTTCTTGGGTTCCATCGGACCCGTAAAAGTGACACCTCGCCCATTGTGTCGTGCACTCTCCCGCACGTCGAAACGCGCCACCTGGACCAGGCAGTGCGCCTTGTCGTCAACTGCGCCCAGCTCCTACAGCCCTTCCATATTTCAACTCTACTAACCCTCCCAACCGTTCGCTGTATCTGTCCATAACTGACTCTCTCCAGCCGGCGCAAGCTTTGGCGGCGTCGTAGCGCAATCATGTCTTTCATCACCAACTTATTCGGCAGCCTGAAGAGTACGACGCCTATCGATACAGGCACCTTGCCACGCGTAGATGGCGATGGCACGCCCGATGGAGCCGACGAAGACTGGGCTTTTGTAACAGCGCACGAAGCCGGAGTCGTCTACCACGACCGTGTCACGATCCTACTTGGCCCCCATCGAGAGACTCGCCACTACATCTTCATCGCCGACATGCCCAGGTTTTCTAAACTTCTGAATCATGTCTGCACTCTCGAACCAGCACAACGACACCTGCATCTCTCTTTCCCCGATCTCTCCATGATGAAGTCATATCTCAAAGCCCAGTCCACGTCCGTTGACTTGCTGGCCATCGAACAGTCTTGGTCAGACATCATTAAGCTAGCCATCACTGCCGATATCTTCCAAGACCCCTACATGGGGGACAGGGCCCTCGCAGCGCTCAAAAAGAAGGGCATATTCGCCTTCGCGCCCGGCAATGCGGTGTTGCTGTTCAAAGAAGACGACTTTTCATTGGCCCAGGAGTATCAAGACAAGACGGGGAGCGGGAAGAAGCTGATAGAGACACTTTACAGGGTCGCAGAGATGGATGCAGAGAAGCCTAAATTGCCCAAATCGGAGCTGCCCAAGCCTCAAGACATGAACTCCAAGCCCGATATCTACAAGAGGAAGAGCGAGGGCACAAGGCTTGGTAAAAGTGTACTAAGAGGGTTGGGACAAGGCACGGCAAAGAAGGGATGTTATGTGGATGACAAAGTGCATCCTACACGGCAGCCCAGCGTTCCACCAGGTGTGGAAGCGTTGAAGCGTGATAACGCGAGTAACTTCATGTAGTCTAACAAGGATATGAAGAAGTAATCTCGGAAGCCTTCGGGGGTATGGTGGTCGAATAAAGCTTTAGGCGAACGTCGCGCGTACGGAATACGGGTTCAAGATTCGGCAATGGGAGACTAAAGCTGTCTGTCTGGGAGACATCATTCGAAGAATTGAATTAGTCGCCCGTCTTACAACCATCGATATGCGCTGCCTACCTACATCTGTGCGTGACGTAGTAGACATCTAGAAACATACCTAGGCCATCTCCTCCGTGCATCTGGAACACAAACACGGCCCTTCAAACCATGGCGACAGCAAGTCCTGCCTCTGCTCCACCAATATACCATCAACGTTCACATAGCTGCAGAATAATTCCTTTCCCATCGTCACTGGCTTGATCGCGAAAAAGCGCACAGTCGTACTTCCAGTTTCTCTTCTCCACTCCACGTTCGGCGCGCAGCTGTGATTGAACAACGGCAAATGAGGTGTGATTTCATCAACGAAGCCAAGCCGGGGATCCGGAGATCCAGCTTTGTTGTTTGCCAGGCGCGTCCAGATGGAATGAAGAACCTCAGTATCGAAGTTGCGGTTTGCGAAGACATCCACACCGAGTTGCTGTAAGATCTTGATTGGGATGATGATGGATTCATTGAGGGTGAAGACATCAAGATGATTTTTGTTCGCGAGAGGCTTGAGACGTGCAATCAGCGGGTGATCCAACGGTGACTTGACACCCGCTTGAACGCATGTTGCCAGCAATCGTAACATGAGAAGAGGTCGGAGAGGTGAGGCGTTGTGCGTCAAGCCTCTAGCAGGTGCCTGGAGCCATTCAAAGTCTTTGCCGCATAAAACTCCATGGTAGGTGTTCATCGCGAGGCGGAGACATTGGTCGGAGCAGTAACTCTCTGAACAGCACGTGGCTCCTTTGGGAGCATTCGATAAACGCGCATAGCAGTTGGAACAGGAGTTTGGTGATGGGGTACTGCGTACGCCGGTTGCGGTTCGATCTGTAAGTATACATTCGCCAGCCCTTATATCGCGAGCCGCAAACATGCCCAGCATATCTTCGCCTGGATCTTTCGTCAAGGTACTTTTACCAAGAAAACATGGTGCGTCGTTGTCAGCCTCGCCGAGCTCTTCGTTCACCAACTCAATGAGCTTTGATGAACGCGTCAGATGGCGCTCAATGGTCCACGGATACTCTACTGTAAGCACTCCGCCATCTCTCACTCTATCTTGCAACTCATGAGGTGTGCCGCCAAAAGTCCTTGCAGCCTCCTCTTTTCGGTTCAAAAGCTCGCGAAGTGCTTCAGCTCTCTCTGTAGCCTTCTCACGCCACAATGGCCGAGAATGTATTATTGACTCTTCCAGTATCTCGGCTGCGTCCCATTGACAATGACAAGCTTGTAGAGCAATTGCGAGCAGCTCATACACCGATTCTTTTAAATCTTCATGAGCATCCGGGTTGCCTGCTTGCAGTAGTTTGGCTTTGTAAATGTCGCCGACTGCGAGCTCAGGGAAGTTGAGCATCCACATGCGACGGCCACGCTCGAACCAGGCTTGAGGATCATATGGGTGATGTTGAATACGCTGATTGTAGGTATCGAGAGATTCCAGGATCTCTGTCACTTGACTAGGATGTATTCGACCAGTTGGCTGAACAATTCCGGAGCGGTAGATGGAAGGCACGTAACGCTGCGGCAATGCGGCATTCGTTATGTCTGGATATGTTGCACTCTCTGGCGCTACAGGCCGCGTGTATGTGTCCATGATAGTATCAAGAGCGCTGGCATCAGTCTGGAATGAAGGTGTTGACTTTGCATTGCAATCGAGATGGGCCGCCCATCTATCGCCAGCTTCCTAGGGGACGTGCACACAAGTAGATGCTGTGATGATGTTTGACGTCATCGTGGAGATGTGACGGCTCACGTCGGCATGAATTATATGTCGTCAAAATTAACCCTAAAAGATCTAACGCGATGTAAAAACGACAGAGCTTGTCTGAAGATTGAGGATAGTCAAGACGTTTCATGCGTGTCCGTTAAGGCTGGAGCTTGACTTTCTAGAAATGTACCAGCATTCAGACACATTATGGAGGTACTTGACATGGTTCGTATTGAGATACCTACAAAACATGGGATTCTGGAATACAATCCGTACGTCAGTGCAACTTAGAAAGCCGTGGAACGAGTTTCTCTGCACATGGTATTGTGTCGCCTACCCTAGCACCCTGAAACCTAGGTAGGAAAGAGCTCCCTGGTTGTACGCGCTGGACCCTGAAATCCTATCGATAAGAGTCCAGCGACCTCCCTCACTTCCTGCGTTGTAGCACAACGCATGTCTCTATCGAAACGTAAACATACAAGATCAAAACGCCAAGCAGACCCATAAGCCTTTCTTCACTCTATAAGGGATTTGTTTGCTCGCAGCTGACGCATCTTCTGGCGCATTTCGTACCGCAATCGATCACGTACTGTTAGCTCAGACCCCGACAGCCACCTGTGGTACGTATCTCGACAATGCCAAGCCGGAGATTCATTCGAATACTGGGCCACAAAGTTTCCTTAAAAAGCATTAATCTACTCTACACCTAAACCATTGTATGCGCAATTGTGGGGTGGTCCTGCAAGTGACTGAATTCATTAGTAAGTGATGGTCTATCACACGAGAAGAGAAGTTCAACTTACTAATGATGTATCGCTCAAAGACAATGTTACTGACGAGTTGATGCGTTTTTCGAACCTCGGAAGCGGGCCTACTCGAGATGATGTGCGCAAGACCTATCTTCGGGATCTTTGTCTCACCTTTAGCGTCCTCCGCCCACAGATGGAGATACTGTCAGACGTACCATTCCTCCTGAAAGAGAATGACCACATGACGAGATCGCGATACCCGGTTCTACCGGGCCCCAGTAGACCAAACAATGTGGCTATCATGTTAGGGCTGGAGCATTAGCCAGCGTCGATAACCCTCACAGATCTTTTGACCTCGGCCGCGGCTGTGGGAAAGTTCGAAGCTCTCCATCATTTCATAGCGCAAGGGGCAGACCCTCTAGGGTACACTGCCGGCATAATCACTACTCCGATCAAGGCAGCTGCAGTGTGCGGCCACACCCCGATGGTTTGCAAGCTTGTAGAGATTGCCCGGCTGGATTTCCATACCCTAGAAGAGAGGGAACGTGACTGGATTCTCTTCACGTTCGAGACGGCTCAGTGTCATGCTATCAAAGCTGGAGATGCAGAATCTCTACGACTGTTACTAGAGTTTTTTGTCGCCCACCGTAATACGAGCATTCCGAAGATGTGGCCAAAGATGATTTCTGAAGCCGCAAAGAACGGCAAAACCGAGACTCTCGTAACCCTGTTGAAAGACATTATACCAAAAAGCACTGAACGGGGCCACCAGAGCGATTTACAGGAAACATGGAAAGAATCTTGCAAGGCTGGGCATGCCGAGCTGGTACGCCGACTACTTGGTGACGAATTTGCGCTTGTCAAGCGGGATCCGATAATCCAAAAGGTTTCGCTGGAAGCAGCTCGTTTTGGACATGGAGGCTTAGTCGAACTTCTCAAAGGTTACGGCGCACACATCGAATCACAACATCTCGTCCAAGCAATAACAGCCTTCCCGGATTGATCCAGGACCCACTTCCTTATAACGCGGCACGTGCTTGATGCGGAGGTTCCCATCAGCGCGCAAGTTTTGAAGCAATGTGAAAGTCAGCCATCGTTTACGCTACGGGCAAGACAAGATGGAGGAAACCCATTTCTGTCTTACTGATGGCATTATGATATGCATTCTGATCGCGAGCAAAGCAAAGCAACAGGGCTTACGAGCGGAGCTGAATTCGTGCGGCAGCATCACGCTGCTGCACCGGCTAGTGCTTAACGAGAAGGTCAGAGTTCCCTCTGAGCCTTTATTGTTTCTGGGATTGGCGAAAGAGGTAGTTGAATGGTTAGCTGATGAAAACCGGTCAGTGGCGCCCTAAATCTGGAGGATTGGTTCAGTCGAGTGGTAGTTGACCGCACATTCGTATCGTAGGCTGAAGCTAGGATGAAGAATGTCAACGATATGAATCGGGTGTCTCAAGACGTTTATTTTTCATAGCCGCTCCAGCACCACTTGTCCACCCATGGGTTGAGTGATACATTTGATAAAGACTATGCATATACATACAATTCCATGCCCACACTTCTTGTCTGGCTACCGCTTGGTGATCGTCTTCTGCTCATTTGCATCATCCCTCATCTCCTGCTTGATCTTGCTAATTGTGCCTGCACCGCCATAGATCATAGCAGTGTATACCTGTGCCACACTCGCTCCTGCCTCGAGTATCTCTCTCGCTTGCCGACCATTTGTGATGCCGCCCGTTGCGAATATGACCTTGCGTGGTGCGTTTGGCGCTGGTGCAGTCCTGGGTGTAGAGTGAAGGGTCACTGTAGGTGCTGATTCGGAAAGATCGTCGATGTTGGAAGAGAGTTGTGTTGGAGACGGTTGGTCGAGATCGAGCGTTGGCTTGATTTTCGAAGACCCGGTAGAGGATGATGTAGGGTCGAGCTTTCCTAGAATGCTAGAGGGCTTGTCGTCTGTGCTCTGGCCAGCGGTTGGCTCATCGGTGCGTGCTTCTGACGGTGGTGCAATGTGCTTCGGGCCTTCGTCGAGCGCTTTCCTGTACCTGCTGACGAGCGAAAGTGTGCGCTCGAAAGTTTGGGGACCTGAGTAGCCTCCTTGTTCGAGTAGCAACTTTGCTTCTGATTGGGGAAGTAGGTAGCCCTTCGGCAATGGGTCTGGTCGCTTCTTCGTGGTGTTGCCAACGATGACACCATCTACACCAGAGTCCCAGACTGCCTCACAGATGCCTGATACCTGCTCTTCCGAGTCCTCATCGGGGCTGACTTTAACCATGACAACAGGCTTTGTCTTGCGGTCGATCTTCTTGACTGCCCCTACTACTCCGGAGAGTAATCGTGTCAAGGGCTCGACGTTTTGTAGCGTGCGAAGGCCAGGTGTGTTGGGTGAGGAGACGTTGACTACCAGAATGTCGGCGTACTTTCCGACATGACCCACGGCGGTGGCATAGTCGCGCACTACTGCATCGATGTCGTTCTCGGAGGTCGTCTTGTTCTTCGCAACCTGCACAGCCATTAGACGTCCCTTGAGCAGCGAGCCCGGGGGAACACCAGCTTCACCATCGAGGACCTGGCGTTCGGCATCTTCACCTAGTCCAAGCCCGGCGTGATAAGCAAACTCCCTGACGCGTTGTCGTAATCGTGAGGCGACGAGCTCGGCGCCTTCCGAGTTGAACCCGTAGCGGTTGATGAGAGCGTTCTGGCTGGGTATCCTGAAGACACGGGGCTTGGGGTTGCCTTCTTGTGGCAGTAGCGTGACAGCTCCCACCTCGACCACTCCTGCTCCGAGCTCGAACAATGGTGTCGGTATTTCGGCGCCCTTGTCAATGCCAGCAGATGTTCCAATCGGATTGTTCAATGTGTGTCCAAAGACTTCGACAGCCAGATCGCCCTGGGAATCAGCCACGCCGCGTTCCCTAGGGTTCAAGCCAAAGCTATGTAGCACCTTGAGCATATGTGTTCCAGCATGATGCGCCTCTTCGCCATCTGGGTATATCTGTCGTAGCGCCGGCACAACAAGCCATTCGTGAATGCTCGCGCGCGTGTCGGTGACGTAGAGGTAACCAAAGGTACCGCCGAGCGTCAGGAGGGTGCCATATACGAGGTTCTTGGTGCGGGTACCAGCCGATCGAACGTTGGTCGCGGTTTCCGTGGCCGTCGTGGCTTGTCTTCTGGGGTGCTGGAACGGGCGATGCGAGGGGCGGCAGCGTGGTACCGATGGCCGTACGCGTAGAGCACGCATATTCGCGGCAGGCTTCATCATCATGGACGTGACAGGCAGCCCATGCGACACTCAATGGCTGCACAATTGCCTGGTCGAGATGGAGATGCCGACTTTGAGCCGTGAGGAAGCTCGGAATCAGCCAATGACGTGGGCTTGGCACAAGGTACCGATGTCGCGTTCCCTACACCCTCTGCTTCTCAACACAACCTGACCTCGTGGCCGTACACGACACAGCTGTAAGACTCTGCCAGCCGTTCTCGGCATTTGATCTCGCAAGGGCTTCTGATATCCTAGTCTTCATCATTGGCCTGACACCAAATCTCGTTGGAATGCTCAGTCATGCGCCATCGACAAGTCTATCCCCATCTTCATCTACTCTTAGTATAGAGCTCTCTGATGCACACCCTCCTTCCCCACAAGGTTGTTCTGGCCTCTTCATCTATTAGATTACCCACAGCTCAAGAGCCGAACAACAACCGATAATACGGGCACACCCACGGAGAAACTACCATCTCAGAAAATACTTGCACCAATGGTATCAGCCATACTCGATGTCAAGATTGTTCAGATTACTCCATGCGTATAGTCTGTAAGATGACACCTGCTCGCGGGGGCACAACGGTCCCACCGTACAAGCTTTCATAAAGCTTAAGTATCTTAGCTTTTCTCCACCGTTTCTTACTCTACAGGACTCTGTTCGATGTTGACAGAATGATTCATCTCACTTTACTTCATCTGTGGGCTCTGCTCGTACCAGCGCTTGCTGGTATGACCAAGACCGGTACTCTCTGCACCGTTACTCCATCCGGCACCAAGGATGACAGCCCGTCCATCATGGACGCCTTCAAGCAGTGTGGCCAGAACGGTCAGATCGAGATTACGAAAGGTGACTACAACATCGCCAAAGTCATGGACGTCCTGGACCTCAACAACTGTGACATCTCCATCCGCGGCAAACTAACTTGGAGCGACGATATCCAGTACTGGGTACGCAACAGCGTTAGTGTGACATATTCTCAACGAAGTACAGCATTCCGTCTTGGTGGTGAGAACTTCACTGTGCAAGGCCATGGTGAAGCACTCTTCTTTGGCAATGGGCAGAAGTGGTACGACGTGAACCGTGATGGGAGCAACATGGCCGGTAGACCCATTAGTCTGACTCTCTGGCATGCGAAGAACGCATGGATTGATGGAATTACTTGGAGGCAGTCGCAGTTCTGGTGTGTCTCTCCAACGACATGAGGAACCATACTTACACGCTCAAGAGCTCATTGCTAACCGTACAACAGGCATACATTCGTCGCCTACTCGCAGAACATTACGATGACAAACCTTGACATGAACGCCACCTCATCTTCCCAATGGGGTACCGTCAATACTGATGGCTTCGATAGCTGGAACTCCCAAGATATTGTGCTAAAAAATTGGGTGGTGACATGCGGCGATGTAAGTCCTCACCAATCTCGCGTCTGTGCTGTATCTAACTTGTTCGAAGGACTGCATATCGGTTAAAGGCAACAGTAAAAACATCTATGTTAAGAACGCCACCTGTTACGAGTCTGGCGCCATGGTGGTGAGTTGTTGGCTGTACGAAACGCAAGTGAGACAAACACTGACATTGTACGTCTACCTTTGCAGGTTGGTTCAATGGGCAATCCCACAAACGTTCCCGAGACGGTAGACAACGTACTCTTCGAAGACATCACTGCCATTCACAGTTCCAACGCGGCCTGGATCAAAACATACCCTGGCCAAGGCCATGTGAAGAACGTCACCTTCCGAAACATCAAGTTTCAGGACGTCAACCAGCCTATATACGTCTCCCCGTGTATTTACAGCTACCAGAACTGCGATTCGAGCCGCTTAACGATCAGCGACATTACTTGGGAAAACGTTACGGGCACCTCGAGATACAACGTCGCCGCGGCTATCTACTGCAGTCGCGGTGCACCTTGCACGGGTTTGAAGTTCAAGAACATCGACATCAAACCCAAGAATGGTGGTATGGGGAAGATTTTATGCTCGAACATGAACAGCGACAGTGGGTTGGCATGTACCGGCACCTGCCCAGCAGGATGGAAGCAGCAGTTGAGCGGCAATGCTTGAACTTGAGTGCTGTCGTTATTCTTGATAGGGAACAACCGCCTAGCCACTACTTCCTCCATACAGAGTGTCCAGCTCCTTCTCATACAAATTCAACAAGGCCTTCTTCTGCACTGTTCCCTTGGCCGTCTTTGGAAACGGCTCTTTTACAGTCAATATCATATCTTTTCCCACCCGCGCATAGACCGGCGAGCTTTTGTTCACTTCCTCCACCGTATCCCAGATCTCATGCACACCCTTTCCATCTTCCAGCCTAACAATGAACGAGGCCCTAGGCCTTCCCGTTCCTATCATTGCCACCTCCGCAACACAAGCATGACTGGCTATCCTCTGTTCAGCCGCCGTAGGGAAGAACTTCTCGTTCGTCAGAAACACAAGAAGATCATCTGCACGGCCGTAGTGTTTCCATCGCTCTGAATCTTCAGGATGCTTCGTAAACAAATCGCCAAGTCGCCTTTCTTTTGCGTCTGGGAAGATCGAGAAGATGGGTTGTACATAGCCGCCGTGCTCCTTCCCGTCGTTGCGGTGCATGACAGCTTCATACAGAGTGACGCCGTCCGTGGAAGTTGAAACAGGGTCGAAGTGGATGTTGAGAGCAGGGTGAAGTGTGGTATACTCCCAGTACGCAGATTGCAATGAATTTGCATCGTTGCGACGGATACTGGGCCAGATGCCGAGTTCGGTTGATGCCATGACATTCAACACGGGCACCTGCGCTGCGACAAACTCACTTGCATGATTACTTACGCTGCCGCCGCCCCAGCCGACTTGTTGCGTTCTTTGGCTGAGTCTCTGTAGGACTTCTGGGCTCTTGCTTAGATACTCGACACAGGGTGGCACGATTGTCACGCAATCGACACCAACACCTCCATCTCTCGTGGCGACGACATCTAAAGCGGCTAGTGCGCTTTCCACACCCGAAGCTGGTGTCACCCATGTTGGTGGGTAGATCGGTGTTACACCTAGCTGCAGTGGAAAGAGGATCATACCGATCATGCCGCTGGCGTGGAAAGGTGGGAAGAGAAACATTGCTCGCATGCCTCGCCCGTTCGCTGATCCGTAGAGAAGCTCCTGATCTAGTTCGTAGCCTAGTGGTGCGGTGAGATACATGGTTTGGGCTACACTGTTCGTCCACTCGTGTGTCCACAGGATGGGTTTGGGAAAGCCCGTTGTGCCGGATGTATCTGGGTTTGGTTAGGGTAGTAGGGACAGAAGAGAGCGATAGTACGTACGGAGACAAACGAAAGGTTCTCTGGAATTTCGTTGATAGGTCTTATCGTACGGATATGACTCTGATTTCGAGGTGAGCAGTTGTTCTACACTCGGTATCTGGAGTGTCTTCATATTCTTCATTGACAGAACATCTTTGACAACTGGTATCGGAATCTCAGGCTTTAGCATGGTCTTTGCGTCTACGCTCTCAATCAATTTGACCAGTGCTTCAACTCCGTATCTTGGCGATGGAAAGAGCATCTATTCTCGTCGTCAGCCAATTCATTCACCATCAAGACGCTCATGTCGGAAGACGGCTGACCTTGTATCCCGCAATCACACTTCCCAGACATAACACGGCATAGCGTATGTCGTTCGGTCCCATGTACACCAAAGTTCTTGTTCCATCTTTCTCCTCTTCTTGCAGCTTCCCGATGTTCTCTTCTACCCACCACGCGAAAGCCGAGACCGCATTTGCTACTTCAGCAAACGTGATCTTGCGATATCCGTCCTCGATCTTGTGTGGGTTGACCGGAAACTCGGCGTACGTCGCGGAAGGATATTGAGCTGCGAGCTTGAACAGCGTATGTGGAAGAAGTTCGTTAGTGGCCTGTGGCCAGGGAAAGGGGCGTGTTGTATCCATTTCCCGTCGTTGGAGGTTCATGTGAGGCGTAAGAAGAGAAGTTTGTGATCGATCTATGCAGCTTGTTAGACAAAAGGCTGTAGAGTATCCCGACTCTCCACCTTAGCCCATCTTTTATCTTACCCCATCATCGTGCGCCCGAAACTAGTCGAAATACGAGACCCTGACCGCGTAGCCACATGTACTCTATACCCCATTGAAGCTTTCCTAGCGTGTGTGATGCAACTACGGCTTTACAGTTTAGGTTAGGAGTCAAATTAGCGTAGTCAAGGCAGCCAGGGATCACAGGCTGCAAGCTGCCGAGGTTGCTTCAAAGTGGAGCTTAGCAGGCCAATGTTGGGCCCACGTAAGCGAGGCCCGTCTTTGATGGAACCTGTGATGAATAGATTGATCCATCTCATGTGGGACGGAACACTGCCTATATGAGGCTGTGTGTTTGCTACAAACAAAGAACAAGCTTGAGACAGCTTGATTGTACATGAGATGGAAGCTGGTGGAAACCAACAGTCTTCGAGATCAACCATCCGAGCTGGACGCTTGAGGGCTGAAAGTCCAAACTGAACATCAGCGCTAAAAACAAAAAGGAGCGCCCTGGAATTCTACATGTCAGCGCTTTCGCGGAACTGGCACGCCGAGGGTCTTTGTAAGTAGAAAGCGCACCATTCCTTTCCCATAGGAAGTGTGCCATCATGAATGTGGTGTCAGGAGTGTAGTTTCAAGAACGTGGTTTCAAGAACGTGGTTTCAAGAATGTGGTCTCAAGAATATAGTCTCAAGAATGTGGTCTTAAGAATGTGTTTTGAAGAAAGTGGTGTCTGGAATGTGTCGTCAAGATGTCAGAAGAGAACAGGGAGGGATACATGTAGCTGTGGGTATCGAACTACGACCGCTTGAACAACGCTCAATACTCGCTGATGAGTGTGCAGGCACAAAAGACGGGATTTCCAACAAACGCCAGCCGATGCAAATATGATACTCTTCCACGCACTTTGATTGAGGGGTAGACCTTAAGCTGAAGATAAGTGCGCCCAGCGCGCATCCGAATCTACCTCACCGTCCTCACTACAATACTGTCAGCGCACATGCTCCACGCTCCTCGACTCTCGTTATTCCTCCCCTCCACGTACCTGCCATCATACAAAGCGGACCAATGAAGTCTCGCAAACCTACCAATCATAAACCCACCCAGAATTTGCAGTCATGAACTCTTCACATGCCTCTTTGAGTGCAATGTTTGGTCTCAGCTCGTTGATGGTAAGCGTTTCTCTCGTCAGCGGGTCTGTTGGACTGCGTTTGAGATGCTCAATCAGCGTAGCGCGCTCATACGATCTTCCATTCTTGGTTACCACGGGATCGTGCATGATCTCAAACGTTATGCCATCGACGAGGTAATCCGGGACCTCGCGTTTTTGCTGATGCTCCGGGTCAGAAATCGCGAATGCGGTTCTGAGGTCGTCGCGCTTCTTCTCAAACTCCATCTTCCGTTCTGCTTTCTCTTCCTGTCCGTCTGAGCGACTAGTTTCCCCGGTCTCCATACGTGCTTCTATCTCATCCATGTCCTTCTTGAACTGTGTTTCCAGCATCATTTCAAGGTCGGAGAGCAGATCGCCACGCCGCCGTATTCTTTCCCGTTCGCGGATGTCCCACTTGGCTTTCTTGCATTTCAAAACGAGAGCGGAAATTGTGGCTGCGTTGGAGGTTTGTTGCGCCGAGGTGGTGCACAGCTCGTAGGCCATGAGGGCTGAAGATAGGGCTTCGTTGGGGTGATTGATCGCGAGTTGGGCTTGCGCTATACTTTCATCAGCCTGGGTCTGCGCATACAGAGCTCGCGCAATGTTGGTAAGGCGACTGTCACGTTTGACGCCCCTCTGCAGGGAATGAGAGCATACCCAAGTAAAAGAATGCCTTCATATTGTCCTTCAAGAGCTCGATACTCCGTATACAATCATCTATGACTCCTTCCCATTTCTCCAACTTTAGCCTCGCATTTGCGCGGTTCGTGAATAACAGAGGGTTGGCGGAGTTCTTCTGAATCGCCTGCGAGTACAGCCCCTCGGCTCCTTCGTAGTCGCCATTCTTGAAGCACTTGTTGCCCGAGTTCTTCAGCTGCTCGGCGGCATATTCGTTGCCTGGCGGAGGCATAACGGAGTAAGTGAGCGAGCGACGGAGGGGGTAGGGCTGAAGGTTAATCGACGGGAGTGAGGGCGGACTTAAGCTTCAATGATTGGTAGGGCCGCGGGGGTGGGGCGCTTTTTGTTGCGCTTCGCTATGGAAGCTTCGAGACGACGGATACGATGCTGAGGTGAGCCGTCCGGAGTCTTCGGATGCGATCTATACTGTACCTGCAGACAAGATCTCGGTAGTCATCGTAGGGGCAACGAGCACCGAGCACAGTAGCATGATGCAGGCGCGTTGTAGGCCACGTTGAGTCGCATGCATAGCCACGCTATGATCATGCAAGCGAGACCCTGGAACATATGTCGCGTGCTGTGGTCAGTAATAAGACAGCCGGAGCCAGGCAAACGCAACCACAGAATTGTAATGCTATTCGTACATAATCAACATGCATCAGAGTATCATAGTGAACCTATTCGGTAAAACCATGTCCTGAGCACACAGGCCAGAACGTATCAGAGTCGCTAGTCGACCAAGTGGGGCACCGCTTCGGTTTCTGCGCTCGAGTTCACGAAACCCACTCCATGCGTCTTTCCCTCACCCTCACCCTTGGAATCTCTCCTGTCCTCTTTGTATAGATTGGGGTAGCTTCTCTGCCGCCGAACCTCACCCCCCTCGTCCGAGTCGTCGATCCTGTGCCGACTGGGCGGCGCACTTCTCTTCCTGAATCTCTTTACATCGTCATCGCTCTCGACACATGCATCGTCGGCTTCCAAGATGGGACTTCTAGTCCTTCCCCTGCTGCCACTCCTGTTGCGTGCTCGTCCCCTGAATGTATGGTCAGGCTCGGCATCACTGCGCCGTCTGGTCTTCTTCTGGTCGGATGTGGGCGGAGAGACGGAAGACGTCGGAGACGAGGGGCGGTGATGTTTGCGGTGATGCTCTCGATATCGGGAACCGCTGTTGCGATCGTGGCCGCGAGATGGTGAGGATGCACGGCGTGGAGAATGCTGTGACGACTGCCTACGTCGCTTGAGCCGGCCACGCTCTTCTGCGTCTGCTTCTGGTTCGATGATGGTCGGAATTTCTGTCGCGGCTGTCTGTACGGATGCCGAAGTAGCCGGTGGGTCCGTCATTGTGTTTGCAGACATTGATGATGTTGCCTGGGTGAGGTTTGGCCAAGTTCAGCTCAGCTGTAAAGTGTGAAAGAAACGCCAGATGCTAGCAGATCTAGGCATATCAGACCCGCAAAGTAAGAGGGGTGCATTAGTTCTCGCCTGACGCAGACGGGCCGTTTGAGTGAATGATGGCCTGGGCCTGCATGTGAGCAGTCGTCCTAAGCGTCAGATGTGAAGCGTAGGGTAAGTGCGACGTCATACGCCCAAGCGCCATCACGCGCTAGCCGAGGGGTGGAACGATGCTTTGTGAGTTCCATCGTCGTCGCTTATGCGACCAACACCACAAGAATCACACATAGGTTGCAGCCGCATACTCATCTGATACCAACTGCATGATGTGTTTGTTGCAGCCATCTCAAATGTCCACATCGGCGGAGAAATGATCTCTCAGGCACCTTGCAATAGTCTATCAGTCTGTTTGCACTCAACGGCGCTCATTGGACACCATATCTGGATTGTCGATAGCTAACCAACCGAGGTTATCTGACGACGATGATATCAGATATCAAATTCAGAGCAATGAAAACGCACGGATTCATGGCTCGGTGGTCCAAACCATAGAAGCAAAGATCACTATGCAGAGAGGCACTCGACTTGAGAAAACAGGAACACAGTGTAATAAAGGCTAGTATTGCCACTTATAAAACCCTCGCTATGCGGGGCAAGAAACCCTTTTTGTAAATTCGAAAGCACAACCAGGGTGGAAGATAAAAGAACACACCCATAAACACCTGACCAGCGCCCAACGCTTCTAAAATGCGAATGCACATCCCCACTTCTTTTCCTACTACGCATCATGCTGCTGCTGCAACCCATGATGTTCCTTCTCCTCGCTCTCACTCTCCCTCGCGACAGCAAAGCTCTTGCGGACCGCCATATCCGCCTTTGTCTTTGTCATCAGCGCATCGCGGATATCCTGCTTGCTCCTTCCAGCCCATGACTCGAAGTTCTTCTGGCTGAGCGGCCAGATGGGCATGTTGCCTGGGCGGCGCATGAATTCGGCGGCGACGGGAGGTGGTTGCGCGGTGATGGTGTCAATGTCCATTTCGAGTTCTTCGCAGTAGGCTTCCAGGGGAAGATCGTTAACGTCGTGACCAAAGGGGTTTTCGATTTCGCGACCGATGGCTGAGAGACCGATGCTAGAGGTTGTTAGCGTTGATCAAGGGGGGGTAGGTTGGCTGAAACTTACATGATGTAGGCGGCGAAGATGCAACCGGGGATGGTGATCCAGCGGAGGTCATCCCATAGTTGGAAAGGCAACATCATAACGTAGACCCAGGTAATTTGCGAGATGGCGATGGAGTAGGCAATGGGCAGAGGAGTTTGAAGAACACGGTCCATGCCGGTGAGGGCCTCGTTGAGCTGAACAACACCGGTAATGGCTTGGTTCTGGTAGAGACCAACCTTGAGCGTTTCGTTGTCGATGATGCTGTGGACGTAGCAAGAGAGATGGTTCAGGATCTCGAGAGACAGGTTACCGAGAGGCTTCTTGGAGCGCTTGATCCTCTTGCGGGGGTTCGACTCGGCGAATGTGACGCCGAGGTATTCACCGACAGCCTTGATCTTCTTCTTGTCTCCTGGCTTGGGGATATCAAGCTCAGCAGCGCGGGCGAAAGTGTCCAGGTACTCAATGCGGTCGCGGAGATCGGGGTAGTCGATGCCAGGTTCAAAGCGGAGCCTGTGTTTAACGGAGCAGGCAAAGGCGTTGAGAAGGTTGAGTGCAGAGAGCTTGTTGAGAAGATCTTCCTTTCCGAGTTCGCCTTCGCGCTCGGAAGTGTGGTACCAGATTGTCCTTGCCAAGTTTTGGCTAACAAAGATCAACTGACTCCAGTACTTACGGCCCTCGGTGTAACGCTCGTATGCGGTGCTTGTTCGGAAAGAAATAGCAAGACCAACAACGAAACCAAGAACAGTCAAAAGAAGAGTGCTGACTTTGAGTTCAAAGATGAATTCAGAGACGCATGTGATGAGGGTCGACCAGAGAGTTACTACTGTGAGAGGTAATATCATCTTGGGAAAGACGGAGCCGTGCATTCGCATGAAGTATGGCCATTTGCTGTGCTTGGACATGTCACGAGGACCGATCTGTTGCTTGTTAGTAAGATGTAAGGTCGTCATGTTTGAGAGAAACCTACAAAGTAGTCCTCAGCATCTAAGCTGCCGTTGGTTACCCTTCTCGAGGGAACCTGGTAGGTAACAGTACGGTGTCGCCATGACCGTGGTGATATTGGTCCTTCGAATTCCTCTGCTGGCTTGTTCGTACCACTCGAAGAAGGTGGTGGTATCTCAATATTATCTGGACGAAGCGTCTTCGTAGTCGAAGCATTAGACGCCGCCATCTTGTCCGCAAGTATCGGATTCAGTGTAGCAACCGTCCAGCAGTTGAAGTGGTGTTAAGCAGTAATGCTATTCAAAGGATAGGATATGGTTAATGCGAGTGAGCGAGTGATGTAGATGGAAAGCTGGTGTAGCTTTTGTAAAGACTGGAAGCAAGGAATGCTAAAGAAGATGGTGAAAGAGTGTGACAAAAGCAAGAGGTAGGTGAGGTAATGTGAGTAATGAAGGCAAGCGAAGACAAACCACTCCCGTCAGGAGTAAAGATCTCCCACCCAATGTTTAAATATAAAACACGCGTATCTGCACCTTCGCACAAAAAAAATCCTCGCAAACCCATGGCGCCCACGGGGATTCGCTCCCGCACCTTTGGCAGCGCCATCATGGTCTAACATGCGATCCGCGACACACGTTGGCATGCAGGGGCCGTCTGGCACATTGTGCCCCTGAGCCAGATGGACGACGGTCTGGCCAATCCGAGTGTGGGGTGCAGTGGAGTCTCTTCGTAAAGTTGAGAATGGCGACGAATGAAGGCAGGGGCGCTGCTTGATGCAGCAAGGGGCGACACGCGGAGCCCTGTTTCACGAAACGTGTCTCGCCGTGCCAAGCACGCCACTGGACGTGTCGAATGTGGTGTAGTCAGCGATGGTATGCCTTACTTGGATACCTATCGTCCGACTGTAGTCGCGCGTGTGCGGGGCGCTATCGATAGCGATCTCCATAGGCTATTGCTGGCGTAAAGGTACTCGCATAAAGAGAGCATGCTGGTGCGGGCTCTTCGTGTTCGATCGACAAGACCTTTGTGTCAGGAAATGTTCACGTCGAAGCCCGGCTTGCAGGTCTAGACTAGGGCGTGCCGAACCGAGGCTAAGATTACCCCTGACAGCATCGCACCAATGGGCGTGCTCGCGAACGATTCAACGTGAAAAAGCCTCGTCAGCAATTTCTAGAGCATCGGGAACACTGCTCGGGCGTGCAATTTGGCACATTGGCATGCGACGACGCCGTGGCAAGCTAGCTATTACGCCGCACCCGTAGCGACGCGGAACCGCGAGGATAGCTTGCTTTTTGCCTCTTAGAGACCCATGCGCTGATGAACCCGCCAAAAGCATGTGTCAGGTATGTCAGGTACGATGTAGGTGCATTTACACAAATCCACAGAACGGGTTTTGCTTCATGGGTTGTACTTCTAGACACATCGAAAGCGCACAGAGCCGTCGTCCAGTCGCTTCATCTCCGCGCGCTCGTTCCCACCGCTACTAGGCACTTCAATCAGGAAAGGAAGGAAAGTCCTTGACTATTTCGATGGCTGCCTACCTCCGCGCAATCCGCCTCATTTCCGCTCTCCCTCTCTCCAACTCGATGGCCAACTCTCTTGTCTTGAATGTCTTTCCATCAACGCAGATGCGCACTTTGTTGATCTTCTCTAGCAGCATGCGATAGTATCGTGCCTGGTAATCCACCGTATTGAAGTCATTTGCAGCCCAGAGTTTGGCCCAGATATTGACCAGCTGATCACGTATTACATCTGTCCAATTCTTGGAGAATTCGTGTATCAACGTCGTCGACAGTGATCTTGATCTGTACTTGAGAGGGGTACCATGTGGAGTCCCTTGAGGTAGCACGTTGAGGACGACCTCGTCAATAGAGGCGATTTTCCGACTCTTAATGATGGGGTCCGGACCGTGCTCAAATATGTGCCTGAGCGCTGCACACACTTCCCAAGCTGTCCGGTTGTAAGGAGCAAGCTCAGCTGTTACATTCGGCTCCAGGATTCTGATGTCCATCCACAGCCGCTCGATAGTCGTCGCGTATGCCTTGGATACGGGTACTCTGCTAGTCAGACCTGTAAGGTGACTTGTGATGGGAGCAAGAAAGAATGATGCCCAGCTCGATAAGATGTTACTAAGTGACGCATTTCCGTCCTCTTGCTCCTTCCGAAAATCGTTCCTTTTTGTTGTAACGAGCGGCGCAGAAAGCCACGTAAAATGGTATGTGCCGGAAACTTCAAAACAATCCATGTGTGCAGCGAGCTGCCCTTTCCGCTTCGTTCTCCGGATGATTTGCATCATTTCCTCATTCACTTGGCGGTTGCATGCCAGGAAGCTAGCACATGTAGGCGGTCTCCTCTGTGATGCAATTAGACAGCCAAGTGAGAAAGGCGATTCAGGCTCCTGTATGCGGCACCATCCGGTGTCTGATCTGGTGTCCTCTAGCAGTGGACGCGGTCGGCATGACAGAAGCAGTTCTGTGTATATAGCATCGCGCAATTCGCGGGGTAAGTCCAGGAGCTGTACCATCATGAATCAAAGCTTGCCGTTACTACCACAGTGTCTCAAAGATTATGAAGCTGCTGGAGATGTAGAGAAGGTGATGCGACATTATCTCCAATGACATGAAGCCTCGCCTGTCACCCCAAGCCAAAATGTGAACCGAATCCGAAGTCTGGGGTAATACCAGGGTCGGGTAATCGTTTCCTTTCTTCTGGGATGGCGAGTCTGATGGCGAGTCTGATGGCGTGCCTGAGGCTTGTTTCAGGAGTGCAGGTACACCTTGCGATAGCAGGAGAGACTATGTCTGAGGCGCGTTTAGGATGAACGCAAGGAAGTCGTGGGATCAGCGGCTGTAATGCAAAAAGTCGAAGGTACTCGGATGATTAGATAGACTAAGGAATTCGATGCTCAAGTATCAAATGATAGGATGGCTGGTGTGCGCTGAGCTATAAAGGCACGGGGTTCCGGATCTTCTGTAGGTACGTGGCGTCATGCTTGGCGCAAATCGTCGGACTACCGTCGGACCGTAGATTTCGATGTCAGCAACATGCCGATACATCGACTTGAGTCAGTAGAGTAAGCACACGCCGGGTTAATTCGGAACCGTACCAAGTCACACAGATCACGGGCGCACTGGTTGATGTATATGTTCATTGAACGACAAAGAGATCTTTTTATTCCGCAAGAACTCCCGCTAGCAACACATGTGCTATGCTGATCTAATGTAATTGGACGAATATCACGTTAACATTGCCTTGTACCGTAAGGCAATGACAGAGGTGACTCAGAGAAAGTTGTGAAGTAAAATCGACATGTGTCTTTCAACATGCGGATCAAAGGTATCACGTTAACCTGCTATGGCATGCAAGACAGCGGTGACTAAAAGAGACGGGTACCTACGACTCTGCTGGAGCTGGGACAGAGTCTGTAGGCTGGGTCGTGGCAGGAGCCTCTGTCGCCAGAGCACGGAAGCCATCGGTTGTGATGTTTACAGCACCAGCTTGTACGAGCTGTACAAATGTTAGCAACCAAACGGAAGCGTTTCCTAGAGGGACAGGGCTTACAGCGCGGCTCAAATCGTCCAGAAGATCCTCAGGATCCTCAATGCCGACGCACAATCGGATGATGTCTTCAGGCATGTTCCTTTCCTTTCTGGTCTTTTCGTCAATGCTGGCGTGACTCATACGGCAAGGCATGCTGATGAGGGAGTTGACGCAGCCGAAGCTGACACTGATGCCCCAGAGCCTTGCGCTCTCTACAATGCGCTCACTAATGTTGACATCACCAGTCTCGAAGGACAGCACAGCGCCAGCGCCGCGGGCCATGCTCCAGTGCAAATCGTACTGTGGGTGCGACTTGAGACCAGGGTAGCGGACCTTGAAGCCGTGAGACTCAAGGAATGTGGCAACACGCATGGCATTTGCTTGTTGCTTCTCCATGCGGACACCCAGGGTCTTGATACCGCGTAGTAGCAGCCAGGAATCGAAAGGCGAGAGACCACATCCTGAGGCATTGATGGTGAAAAAGAGGCGATCTCCAAGCGCGGAGTCGTTGATGGCGATGACACCTGCCATGAGATCGTGGTGACCGGACAGGTACTTTGTGCCAGACTCGTAGACGATGTCGGAGCCGAGATCGAGCGGGTTGAGCAACATGGGCGACATCATGGTGTTGTCGACAGCGACCACGGCGGTAGGATTCGCGGCGTGAGCGATGCTAGCAATGGCGGGGATGTCGCAAATCTTGATCAAAGGGTTCGTGGGTGTCTCGAGGAGAACCATGGCCGTCTTGTTGCTCACCACCTCGCGTACTTTCTCTGGGTTTGTGGTGTCCACGTGGTGTACGATGATGCCGCCGTGGGTTGAGAGGTACTTGAGCAGTCTGTTTGTTCCGCCGTACAGGTCGTCACCGGTCACCACCTCGTCGCCCGGTCGTAGCAGGCGGGTGATGACGTCGAGAGCGCCCATGCCAGACGAGACGACGAGCGCGCGGTTGGCGTTCATGATCTTGGCAAGGTGTCGCTCGAGATGTGTTCGCGTAGGGTTGCCGGATCGTGTGTAGTCGTACTCGCCGCCACCTCCGGTCGCGGACTCCTGCTTGAACGTCGCAGACTGCGCATGTTAGCCTTTGACCACCACCCGCAGACTCGGCGAGAGTCGAGTGTTGCATACCTGGTAGATGGGCACCGAGCTGGCATTGTACTGGTCGCTGCTCTCTGTGTACACCAGCTCCGTCATAAGGGCATACTTGCGGCCATTACGGGGTGAGCTGGGCGCGGGCGATGGCGGGAGGTTGTGGCCGTCGAGGTCGAGCGGAATGGCCGCCTTGCCAGCGGCATTGGTCTTCTTGGAGCTCTCTCCAGCCATTGCGGTTGTTATGCGTCCGCGTTACCGGCTTGATTGAAGCCGAGTGGCGGGGCTGCACGAGTTCCGAGCGTCGCGTTGAGGCGATGACGAAACCGTTCGATGTAGGGCAAAGCAAGACCGAAAGCGAAGCGGTCGAAATATCAAATTGCTTCAGGTTACGGGTGTACGAGTGCAGAGGTCAAGAGTGTCACAACAAGGCATCAAAGACATGTGCACGGCTGCGTTAGCTCGTCGTGTGGGGAGTCACCGCTGGAATTGCGCCATCGACGACAAATCGGCAGATTTCCCTCGCTCCGAACATCGCCCGCACTATCTCGCCTCCGAACTACGGGCGTCGTGGGCCTTTACCCCGGATTCAGACAAAGAATCCACAACAATACGCCTGTCGAAATTACCTGGATGCTTTTGACTATCTGATTATACGGGTATACTTAATGCGACAAAGCTGGCCTTACAACACAATTACCATTCCCATCAAGCACGCTGTGCGCCAAAACCTGTTCGCCGGACCAAATGCCGGACCGTCTCATAAGAGCTCAAAAACTGCGGGAGCGTTGAATACAACGATAGTAAGGAATCCAGTTTGAAACCTCCGCAAGTGCGAATAATAATCCATCATCGGGGAGTAATTGCAGGGAACGCCTTCCTCACGTGAAGGTTCATCTTGAACTCGAAGATGCCTAATTCTGTGCCACAATACAGAGTCCGTCCATCCTGGCTCATGGCCAGTCCCGCCGTCCGTACGCCTAGTCTCGCATCGTGCGTCGTTCGGCTTGAGCCTCGGAGACCTAGGCTGAACTCGTAGGATTCAAGGATAGGCTGGCCAGCACGGGTGATGCGAAGACGTTCACGCGCCTGCGTCAGTTGACGGATTCGACGAAGCTCACTGCGAAGTTCAGGCGCAGTAGCATGGCTGTCGGCTCCAGGCGCATGTGCATTAGTAGCGCGGGTTGTAGCGCGGTCCTGCTCAGCAGCCAGTGCATCTTGAACGGTGCGCCACGCTTCATCTGTCGAGGCAACTATCTCGTTGGTCACGCGACGCGCATGTGCCGGTACCGCGTTTGGCGAGCGGGTAAGGACAGAGTCAGTGATATTGGTGAGGGCAGCTGGTGCATTGACCGTGCCTTCGTTTATGGAGACGATGACGGAAGCCCGTCGGAGCGGTGTTGTGCGCTCTTGAAGCCAGTTACGTGAGTGAGTTTGCCCAGTCCTCTCTGCCATGAAGCGAGCCATCGCGTCAGCTACCTCTCGAGCTGTAGGCTCCCTGTATCTTGTCAGTCCCAACGTTGCCGCAGCAGTTTATGGGTTACATACGGTACGGTGTTGAGTCGCTCAGAAGTTGTATAGTTGATACTTCGGGGCGTTACTTCTTGCTCATCCCGAGTCTCTTCAGGCTGCCTTTGCCTTGTGCGGAGAGCACTGAGTACTTGCCTTTCACGCACAGTTAAGCCAAGTGGATCGTTGTCCGACTCTACTACACCCAGTCGTCGATGTAGCCTCTGTCGCTCAGTGTCCGTTTCAAGGTATTCGTTCGCGACATTGGCGGTCGTCGTATTGCTTTCTCCATCTAACGCGCGTCGATATCTCCTGATCAGATCGGCTTCTCTGCGGGGCTCATGCATTTCAGGACTGAGGTTGAGGTCAAAATCAGCTATCTCGACAGTCTCGAGGCCTTCCTCTTTTGGATCCAATACGAGGGTTTGCTTAAGCTTGAGGCCAGCTCGCAGGTCGGCAATGCACACCCTACCTTGGTCTTCGCTCCAGATGAGGAAGTCCCACGGTGCTGGCGAAAAATGCATCGTCCGCACCGCGCCGGGCCCAGTTCGGCTGTCCGGTCTAGTAGAACTTATCAACTGTAGGATCGCGTCTTCACCAAATTCGACGAGTTTTAACAATTCGATATCAAAAACTGTGATGTAGCCGCATTCTGATCCCACTGCGCAGAGACGTCCAGAGGGTGACCAAGCTGTAGTAAAGTAGCCATCTGCATGGGAATGAGCGGGCCGGTAGAGGTCTACTCTGTGTAGTTCCGTCCATACCGGAGGCGTCGACTGCATCTGCCCCTCGCGTATCTTATTGCTAGGCTTCTGAGAATCTGTACGTTCAAAGAAGAAGCCAATGGGGGCGTCACCGACAGCCACGAGCATTTGGCCATCGGGAGAAATGGAAGCATGGTTCATTGCAAAGTCCAAGTCAAGCACTGCCAGCTCCAGATTCTGGACCAGAGAGTATATGCGCACCGTCTTGTCGTTGTTGGTGAGGACTGCGACGACATCATCCTGACCGTTGCCTTCAGCTGGCAGCTTGTGTATGGATATGGAGTTGACGATATCGGTTCCAATCTTCTCGAGGCGCACGCGCGAAGCTGCACCTAGTATGGGCGGTCGAGGCAGGCGGTGCGGGAAGTCCAAGGGCAACGAGGCGTCGACGTCGGAGGGATCCGTTGGGGGGAAGCCGGCCACCTTGATGGCGGCGAAGTTGCCATGTTCTTCTCCCCCAACGCAGACGTAGCCGTAGCCTGAAGCCGTGCAGCGCGCTTCCCAAGGTAGTGTGGTAACGTGGGCCTGTGTTCGTGTAGCCGCATTGAGGCAGTAGACGGCGGCGCCGCTTGCATAGTAGACGAGGTCTGGTTCAGGACACGAGATGAAGTGGCGCAGTTGATAGTGTCTGCACCCGTCAGCGTCGACCCATGTTTCCAGTGACTGGCTGGCGCTCACGCGATAGGGATCTTGGTCGGATAGTACGCCTTCTGAGCCAAGACAAAGGTCTCGGTATCTCTGCTCAGGAAGTCATCGACGGCCATAGTTTGCGGTCAGGCAGGAGAAGGCCGCATGTCTCTGCGATGCTAGGTGGAGCCGGTGAGGCTCAGCGGTAGCAGCAGGCACTCTACGTCACAAGTTGGCTAGGCGCAGAAGGCTAGAGGTTCTGACAGGAAGGGGCTGCAGACAGGTTCGAGGGCGAGATGCAGCGGGTGCCAGGTTCTATGTTGGCGTGCGTGGGATGTGTCGTAGGGCGGGTTGGTAGAGTCGCCGTGTCTCGCAGTGCTCCAGGCGTCACCATGATCAAGCATCTTCCCCACACGCGAGCGAGATGCGCCAAGCCTTGAGCACCGCGACGCACGGCGAGGGCCATGACACAGAATCCAGAGGCCGTCATCGCGTCATGCACCACCGTCGCTCACTGGCAGAAAGTGCATTTCGCCTCGTCTTCCGGAGTTAAGTCGCATGGGCAATTGTTCGTAGCAACTCGGAAGCACAGACATTTACAGCGGAACCTCGGGCGGCGATTTTACACCAAAACGAGCTAGAATCTTCTCCGAGAATTTTGTCCATCGTCAAAGCTTCCATCACTACATCATATATACCATCCACCTCCCAACATCCATCTCTACACCCAATCTTCTGTCGCTTGCATCCCCTCCCGCAGCGTCTCTCACATCCACAATGTTGTCCTCAAGATTATCACGGACTGTAAGCCATTGCATGCATCTAAACGTACCCAACATTCTCTGACCTCATCATAGTTTTTGCCGCGTGCGGCCTCGGCGGCGCGACGCACACCCGCCTTCAGGGCCCCCGCCATGTTCACTCGCGGGTACGCTGAGGGCGGCGAGGAGAAGGTCAAGGGCTCAGTCATTGGTATTGACTTGGGTACCACCAACTCCGCCGTCGCTGTCATGGAGGGCAAGGTCCCTCGCATCATTGAGAACTCCGAGGGTATGTTCATCGAGATTTTCAGCCACATTGGCCATCCCGCTGACTCAATTCACAGGTGGCCGTACAACACCATCCGTTGTCGGTTTCACAAAGGAGGGCGAGCGTCTCGTCGGTATCGCCGCCAAGCGCCAGGCTGTCGTCAACCCCGAGAATACACTTTTCGCTACCAAGCGTCTCATCGGCCGAAAGTTCACCGATGCTGAGGTCCAGCGCGATATCCAGCAGGTCCCATACAAGATTGTCCAGCATACCAACGGTGATGCCTGGCTCGAGGCCCAAGGACAGAAGTACTCGCCTTCCCAGGTCGGAGGTTTCGTCCTTGGAAAGATGAAGGAGACCGCCGAGTCCTATATGGGCAAGAACGTCAAGAACGCCGTCGTCACCGTCCCCGCCTACTTCAACGACTCCCAGCGTCAAGCCACCAAGGACGCTGGTCAAATTGCTGGTCTCAACGTCCTCCGTGTCGTCAACGAACCCACCGCTGCCGCTCTCGCTTACGGCCTCGACAAGGCCACCGACAACGTTGTAGCCGTCTACGATTTGGGTGGTGGTACATTCGATATCTCCATTCTTGAGATCCAGGCTGGTGTCTTCGAGGTCAAGTCTACCAACGGTGACACTCACCTTGGAGGTGAAGACTTCGACATCACTCTCGTCCGCCACCTTGTCGACCAGTTCAAGAGGGAGCAGGGTATCGATCTGAACAGCGACCGCATGGCCATCCAGCGTATCCGTGAGGCCGCCGAGAAGGCCAAGATCGAGCTGTCTTCCTCCTCGCAGACCGACATCAACCTGCCCTTCATCACTGCCGACGCTTCCGGTCCCAAGCACATCAACACCAAGCTCACCCGCTCTCAGCTTGAGAAGATGATGGACCCTCTCATCAGCCGCACCGTCGACCCCGTCCGTAAGGCTCTCAAGGATGCCAACCTGAAGGCTACCGACATCTCCGAGGTCATCCTCGTTGGTGGTATGACCCGCATGCCCAAGGTTACCGAGTCTGTCAAGAGCATCTTCGGCCGTGACCCCGCCAAGTCTGTCAACCCCGACGAGGCTGTTGCCATCGGTGCTGCTATTCAGGGTGCTGTTCTTGCTGGTGAGGTCACTGACCTTCTCCTGCTCGATGTTACTCCCCTCTCTCTCGGTATTGAGACTCTTGGTGGTGTCTTCACCCGTCTGATCAACCGTAACACCACTATCCCCACCAAGAAGTCCCAGGTCTTCTCTACCGCTGCTGACTTCCAGAGCGCTGTCGAGATCAAGGTTTACCAGGGTGAGCGTGAGCTCGTCCGCGACAACAAGCTCCTCGGTAACTTCCAGCTCGTTGGCATCCCCCCAGCCCACCGTGGTGTACCCCAAATTGAGGTCACCTTCGATATCGACGCTGACTCCATTGTCCACGTTCACGCCAAGGACAAGTCTACCAACAAGGACCAGTCTATTACCATCGCTTCCGGATCTGGTCTCTCAGATGCTGAGATCGAGAACATGGTCAAGGACTCTGAGCAGTACGCTGAGCAAGACAAGGAGCGCAAGAACTCCATCGAGGCTGCCAACCGCGCCGACAGTGTTGTAAACGACACTGAGAAGGCTCTCAAGGAGTTTGAGGACCGCCTCGACAAGGCTGAGGCCGAGAAGATCAAGGAGAAGATCGCTTCCATGCGCGAGTTCATCTCCCAGAGCCAGTCTGGCGAGGGCTCTGCCACCGCCGCTGAGATCAAGGAGAAGACCGACGAGCTCCAGAACGCCTCCCTGAGCCTGTTCGACCAGATGCACAAGGCCCGCTCCGAGAGCCAAAACCAGAGCGAGCAGCCGCAGCAGCCTGAGGGTGAGGGCGAGAAGAAGCAGTAAATGCTTTGATCGTTCAGCACTGGTTTTTGTCTTCTTTGTTGATCGCTTCGTTACGTCCAAAAGTAGGCGTCTTGCATCCTGTCATGATTGGTCTGGTTTAGGTCACGTCTAGACGTGTACATGTCCCTACACATGTTTGAGCATCTCTGTATCATACTTTCCGACGGTTTCTCTTCTCACATTAGCGTTTGTTTTATTACTCTTACGGATCCTTGGTACACGTCGGAATTAACGAAACAGTGATATCCTCTGGTGGTCAGGACACGATGTGGAAGGGACGATATAATGGTGGAGTCATGAATGTACCATAGTCTAGAGACGCGAGATGGTAGCACTCCGCTTACTTCTCCGCTCTACAATCTACGATTTGAAATGTTCATGCTACTGTCCTTTCATGTGCGCCAATATTATGATCGAGTATATACATAGCAAAATTGTACACGCGACAAATCTTGACCCTAATTCGTAGGGAAGTCTACCAAAGTCGGTTTACTTTTCGATGATAGTTACACTACCGGTTTACATGATCTCCTCCGTGCCCCGCTATCTGAACCTCGGGATAACCTCATAATGTCGACCCGCTAAAGCCTTACGTCATAGCCGACCTTGCAACCGTTGGCTTCCGGCCTTCGACTAAACGCAAAGTCAACCTCAAATTGAACAGCCTCTTCTTATGACTCCATCTCACATTGCAGTCAAACAAGGTTTCCTCATCGCACGTGGGACCAACATCAGTAGATCAATCATCATTAAGTCCATACACTCACTGAAGTACCCATCGCCTTGTACATCCACCAAGATCGACACATTTGCTTCTCAATACCGACACCCCTTGAGTATTCGACTCAGCTCTGCCAAGACCAAGCCCAAGATGACAGATGCCACGAACCACCCCCTCTCCGGTCTCTGGCAACCGACACAACTCCAAAAACTGCATTACGGCGCCGACTCAGTCAAACAGCATCTCCTCTCGTGTCTCCCAAAAGAGTCAAGCAAAGCCTTCATCATCACTGGAAACTCACTTGCTAGCAAAACGCCCTTGGTAAAGCAGGTCGAAGAGCTATTGGGAAACAAGCACGCAGGCACCTTCTCCAAGATAGGCGAACACGCACCTGTCGCCCAACTCGATGAAGCTACCGACCTAGTCAAGAAAGACGAAAGCATCGATACCGTCATCTCCATTGGCGGTGGAAGCCCAATCGACAGCTCTAAAGCCATCAGCTACCGCCTAAACGAAAAGACGGGAAAGTATCTATATCATATCGCGATCCCTACCACGCTCAGCGCAAGTGAATGCACCCTTATGGCCGGTTACACGCAATCTGACGGTATCAAGACCGGTGTCCGGGCCAAAGAACTCGTTCCGCATGTCGTTATTTACGATGCAAAGTTCGCACTGTACACCCCGGAGCGCCTGTGGATGTCAACAGGTCTCCGTGCCATGGATCATGCCATCGAGCTGTTATACCATCCCACCGCCACCGAGATGCCTGCCAGATGGTTAACGCTACAGTCCGCGGCTACCCTCTTCGAAGCCCTGCCAAAGTACAAGCAAAACCCCAAAGACGAAGATGTCATCACAAAGCTCCAACTCGCTGCTTTCGCTTCCCTGGGTTTCTTGGGCTACAACATCAAGGGCGGTCTCGGTCTCTCTCACGCTCTGGGTTACGCACTGGGTTCTCCCTACAGCATCCCGCACGGCATTACGTCTTGTCTCACCCTTGGACATGTTGTCAGACTGAAGGCTCAAGATCCTGCTGCAGCAGAGCAAGTTGCTCGCTTGCTTCCTTTGATCGGCGAAGCGGCGTCTGGAGATGCCAAGGCTGATGCTGAGAAGGTTGGCGATAGGGTGCTGGAACTGGTCAAGGAGTTGGGATTGGATGGCGATTTGAGAAGTTATGAGGTGGGTAAGGATCAGATTCCGGTGATCACTGAGAGAGCGACTGGTGGGCAGAAGGAGGGTAAGGTTTATGAAGCGGTGGAGGGGTTGGTCAAGGGTTTGTTTGTTTGAGTCGTTTGGAGGAGGGATGTCATGAAAGGATGCCATTGATGTTTGTAACAGTGCAACACCTAAACCGGCCCATTGCTCCCCTCATCCTGAACATCCTGCTTCTTATTGAGGTTCTCATCACCTGTTGTTTGATTCACCAAATAGACCATGCTGATCATTTGATATAATAGCCATCTATCAAGTATACTAGATTGACTACTATTTTACTTTTTCTCGCTTCTTCTCTTCTCTTTACCTCCCTATCCCTTGCGTCAACATCTTCTTCTTCTTCTTCATCTTCTCTTCTATTTCACCCCCTATGCCTTAAGCGTCCTTCTGGAATTTAAAAGCATTAGGATAGCCTTTGATATCCACACAAAGTAACCTAAGCCTTAGCGCGACGAACCGCATTGATCTTTCCGATCAAAAACTCGCCAGCCTCCTCCGCGTCATCGCCATAGCTGAGATGAGGAAGCAGGACAGCCGCTGCGAGGTTACCGTCACAAACTGTGTCGCGAACGAGCCCACCGCAAAATATCCGGAGCTTGTCACGGGGGAAGTTGGGGATTTGCTGGTTGTCACGACGGTTCTGGGTATCGCCAAAGGTAACGACACCAGCGATCTGATTCTTGACACTGGTGGAAAGATCCTCGATAGCACGGTGGTTGACTGCTGCACCTTGGCTGTGGTCATGATTAGTCTCTGAATGAGTTGGAGAAAGGGTGGAACATACGAGTAGCCACCGCAGACGATGATAGCGGAAGGGCATTGACGGTTGATGTCTTCAAGAATGCCGCGCATCTCGCGTTCAGAGACGAGATCGGTGCCACCGGGCAAATAGTTGGTGGAAAGCAGCGCTGCATAGTCGACTCCCTCAATAGCCAGGTCGTCGCCGTATTCGCGGCGCAGCTCATCGCCAAGTGGCTGACCGATGATAGAGCCCTATTCTCTCAAGTCAAATCAAAATACAACTATCCAACCCTCGGATAACTTACCATGTTGCCCGCTTCGGTGGATCCTCGAGCCCAAACAAAGATGACATCCCTACATCCACCACCGAGCCGGCTGGAAAACTCATTCTCAGTCAAGTCGGTGCGGTCAAAGAAGATTTGACGTGTCGCAACCACAGCAGACCCCGAGTTGGGGAGCGCTATAGGCGTGGCAGAAGAGGCAATGGCCAAAGCCAGAACGGAGATGACGGTTTTCATCATGGTGAAAGTAAGAGCGAAAGATGTGTTTGGTAGAGAGACTACGGGGTTGAAAAGCGATGGCGAAGGCGAAGAGAGAGAGAGAGTGAGTGAGTGAGTGAGTGTGAGTGTGAGTGTGAGTGTGTGTGTGTGAAAGGCAGAAGGAGCTCGCTGTTGAAGCTTGCCGGATGTTTGTGAGGTGAAGATGCCTCATACTTATACACACGATCTGCTCAACCCTCCTTCTCATCACACGACCTCCTCTCTACGCGGACAACCTCGTCTCACCCTCAGTATCTTGGTGTATGCCATGCCACGAGCCGAGGCAGCTCTTACTCCTCTCCACCACCCAATTACCTAGGTAGCTACAACCTGAGGGGAGCCTCCCCAAGTGGCCAAGACCATGGTATTATACCAAGACACAGGGAGGAAAAGTAAAACCTAAGATTCGAGCTTGGTGTGAGATGGCAGATCGAGATACAGGGCCCATCCTAAACGCCACTCCTGATAGTTTCTGGACTAACATTGGAAGAGTTTGGAAACACCAATAGCTGCTCGTAGAGCAATCGACGCACCTCGGCAACTTATTGTGTACGATCGCGTGACTCCAAGGTCGTCTGGGGTGCATTAGCAATTCGACGCGAACGAGATCCTTGAATTCGTCGAGTTGTGTCGTTGTTGTAACGACATACTACCTGTACATTCAAGATTGGTGTAGACCCTTGAGCCTGCTCGCGCTTGGCTTTCCGTGATGGAAAGCTAGGTTGGAATTGTTGTCGTTTGCACCAGTCCATGCAGGAATACGTGGGGCCACGGGATTAGGCGTCCCCCCACCGCGATGAACCGTTGCTTACTGTAGTCTTCGCGGTTGCAAGCCACAGCCATATCGATTCCTCAGGCATGCACCAACCTCAGAATGACGGTTATTACTTTCGACCTAGACAAAAGACGACTGTATTTAAGAATGATGATTTGTAGCAGTGACCAACTCAAAAGAACGAATGGGTATAGCGTGTATGTTATTACCATACATTACTGTCAAACGTATACAATTCCCCATGGATGATACACCATTCCCGGTCTCCAACTGGCTACAGTCATGCCTCGGTACAAAAATCGAATATATTAAAGGTTCACAAAGCCAAGGAGATGTTTTGTGCAGATGATCGCAACACCATCGACACCCTTGTCAAACATGTCACAGTTGCCGAGGTCCCATTTCAGCCACCACAGTCATCCAATCTTTCAACGACACAATGCCACCCAACCTCGTCGTATCTTCCTGTGACGTTTGGTAGGGATGATAATTGCGTTCGAGATGGGTGAACTTATAAGGCACTGTTGTCTCCTCCCAAGATGCGTATAACAGCAATTTCTACACGAGCAGATCAAGTTCACTGCCCACGAAGATGCGCTACACTTCTATTGCTCCTCTTTTGGTTTTTGCATTCTTTGCCACCTCTTCTGCGCAAGAGGAATGTCCTGAGTTGCCTGATAGCGGTGTGGAGATCGGGGAGCCGGTTCCAATTGTTCCTGGCGATGTCCCCAGAGGATGTTCCGACTACGAGATTCTCGTTGGTAAGCTACAGTTGAATAACCGCGAGTGTCTCCTGCAACATTGACCCCTTATTGTTAGCTCGCGGAACCAGCGAGCCTAGCTTTCCAACCTACGGCATCATCGTTGGTGACCCGGTTGTGAGCAACGTTTCAGCGGAACTGTCTGGAGTACAGGGATATCCGGTCCAGGTACGATATCCAAATAGTGCTTCGAACATGGCATCACCAACTGAATTTCTCTCAGTACCCAGCCAGCTCGCAAATCATTTCTGGTGGGAGGCAAGGCGTCGATGACATTGTTCAGCGCTTGACGTCGCGGTCTTCCGCCTGTCCCAATCAGACCTTTTCTCTGGTTGGCTACTCGCAAGGTGCAAGCATCATGCACCGAGCTGCAGACAGACTGCCCACTTCTCTATTCCCCAAGATCAAGTCGGTTGTCATGTTTGGAGACCCAAATTTGAGGCTGGGCGTAATTGGTGACAAGTTCCCCAATGGTCTGAAGGCAAAGGTGCTGCAGATCTGTGCAAAGGGCGATCCTGTAAGTCTATCAATCGTACTATTCAAGGGTGGGAAAGAGACCAAGCTGACCATGGAATGTAGGTCTGTGACTCTGGGTCTTGTCAGTTTTATCACTTGACCTACATCCGTCCCGAATACATTGAAGGCGCTGTGACGTTTATCGTGAGGGCTTTCAAGGGTATGACCCTCTAGAGCGGTACTGGTGGTTTACTGGTCTGTGGACGGTTGCTCTGATAAATCGAGGCAACATCCGAGGTTGTTGGATGACTCAAATGCAGTTAAACTGCGCAATATATGCAGCGGCCGCGACGATTACAAGCTTCAGTGAAGAGCTTGAAGGATAATACTAAAGGATTGGTGATATACAAACGTACATAATCTGAGCCGGAGTGGTGACCTGTCAACGCCAATGCCAACGCCATCCCAACGCTGAATCGGAAAGTGGCGATAGTAACCCAGAACAAACGCCGTTTAAGAAGAGCGACTCGTGATATGAATGCCATGCCCCGAAAAGCGTCTTAGCTAGCAAGTTCCCCAATCACACCAGCCACGTAGCACAGTGCCGAGGCCCAGATCGCTGTTTTGACTATACCAGCTGCTTTCCTACCCTTCTTCTTTTCTTTGATCTTTCGTTCGCTCTGATCTTGTTCTATGTTACTCTCTTGATTACTGACTGCTCGCTCGGCAGCCTGCCTGCGCTCAGTAAAATCTTTCTCAAGTTGCTCTTCGCTCTCTTCTGGCCCAACGTAGCCGGTAGGCGAAAGGCGTGCCGTTCCATCTATCGGATTAATGTAAGTTCTTTCTCCTGTGAGGCCAGCGTCCTTTTTGTGCTCCGTTGCGATTGATAAATCGGCCGTTTGGAAGGGTTTGGTAGGCGCTGTGGAATTGAGACCGCCGCGCAAGACGAGCAAATACTTGTTCGCTTTGACGATCCCAGGGCCGTTCTCAATGTACGGAATGAACTTCGCAGGCTCTTCAAGGGTTGATAACGCTTCGTGTAGTGGTATCAGAGTAGGGGCCTTGTGGGGTTCCGTTGTTGTAGAGGTGGTCAGCGAGAGCTTGCCGGTATGCGGATCGTGTAAAAGAATTGTGTAGATCGTTGGTGAGCCCGTTTCGGTCAAGCATGATGAGGCGCCTGACTGGGCTATCTCACCAACAGTGTCGTCAGTGCTCGGTTTCGGGTCTGAAGTGGCATGTTCGGTAGATGAAGTAGTGTGAACAGCCGCAATGGTATCCTGTGTAGTTTCTGGTGCAGCATCGATTGCTGTGACTTCTTCTCCGCACACGATGTCTGCGGCAGTTGAGCCACTGGCTTGATACGAGGTGTCGCCCAACGTAGGATCATCCTTCAACATGTCAAGCTTCTTCACATCATGATCTTCAGTCAGTTTGCTTTTCCCAACCGGACTGGCCTGCTGCTCGTGATCAAAGGCGACAGGACCAGACGTATCTTCATTTGTCATTTGCATGTTATCAGCCAGTTGGTCGTCGTCACGTTCGTGGGTCACCTTCACGTCGGCTTCTGTTGTGCCTATCTTAGATGGCGTCTCACTCTCTAAGCTCTCCAGAACGGGTCCGAACGGTCTAAACAGGCTGTGTGCAAGAGGCCCTCGCTCTTCAAACGGCCTGTTCGGTGTTGCCTTCGGCACACGCGCGTATCCATCATCTGAGAGCCCACGCATAGCGGATTTCTGTGCGTCGACCTCATGGGCGAGACGTTCTTCAGCAGCTACCTTGGAACGGAGCTGGGCTTTGTCGGCATCACTCATAGCGGAAGACATATTGGTACGCGATGACTGCTCATGGTCCTGCGGGAGTTCCAGAGTTGGAGAGTCTGTGAAGATCTTGATATCCTCCCAGAGGTGCGGTGCCACGCTATAAACGAGCATGGCACGCTCCAGCAATCGAGCTAGAGCCATCTGTGTGTCTCTAAGAGTTAGCAAACTGTTCGCAACAGCTTTGTAGTTTGCAAGCATGCTTTGATCGATTTCCGGGTCCTCAAGGCGAGCCTGTAGACTCCAGATGAGATAACGTGTAAGGTGAGCGTTTTTCTGGGTGATCTTCGAAGCGACGCTCAGTCGCCTTTTGAATGCTGGTGAGACGTTCTTTGCTGCGTCCGAGTCGCCGAGGTCTTGGAGCAAGGCGTATGCCTTACTAAGGTCGTTGTCTGTGCTCTGGTACCGGAGACGCAGTTCCTGGATTGCTCTTACTTTCTTCGGTGTCAATGAACGAAGCTTTCCAGTTCCTGAGCGTTGTCGGAGAGTGTTGATAGCAGAGTCCAGGAGGTCCTCATCCGCTTTCATACGTCTCAAGAGAGGTTTAGATGCTGGAATATCAGCCTCCAGGTCTTCGATCACTTGCTTCATCGTCATGCGACCCTTGCGAATACGTGCCAGGATTTTGTCGAAGAACAGGCGGGTTTTCTTCGCATCCGCTTCTTCGGTCGGGTCTTGCCAGAAGAGACTAGAAAACCTAGCACCACTTTCTTCGAGCCAGGACTTCATCCGCTCGACGCTCGACTCCAACTGGCTTTCATCTGCTTTGTATGGGGGTTCGTCTGTGTTTTTAGTCGTCTTGGGCTCGCTGGGTTCTTGCGAATCTAGTGAACTCTCTGGCCGCTGCATTTGCCGTTCGATTCGACGGACGTATTGGTCATTGATTATCTTGGACTCAAGCATCGGATCAATACCGGTGTTGGCCTTGAGGGTACTCTCAAAAGTGCTCTCCAACCTAGCCCGTTCAGCTTTTCTACGTTCTTCATTCAGGACCTTACTTCTTTTTGCGGCCATGTTCGCACGGATATCGTCTGCACTCAAGAAGTCTAAGTCGTCTTTGGGCAGCTGGCTCAAGATTTCCGACGTAGACCTCGCAGATGTGGCGCTGCCTTGTAGGGTAGGTGTCTCTTGCGGTGGGAGGTGTTCCTGCGTCGAAGATTGATTTGTGGGTAGCAGTCCCGAGCTAGGAGGAAGAGACGGAAGGGTTTCTTGCAGATGTGTTGCTGAAGAGAGCTTGTGAGTTGCCTCAGTCGAGGACGCCGACGCAGGAGATTCGTCGTCTGCCTTTGTCATGGGCACAGGGTCAATATCAGGCTTTGCTATGACCTCCTTTGGTGTCCTCCTTTGCAGCGTAGTTTCTCTCCAACTGCCTGCCTCTGTCGTGCTCTTGGTTTGCGCATCCTTGTGTTCAGGCTTCTCTGTTAGGAAGCGATCCATGAAGGAAGTCTCTGTACTGGGTGCAGCCATGCTGGATTGTTCGATCTTCTTAGCCGCATCTGTTCGCGTTTTCGCAATGTATTCTCCAAACGACTCAGTGCTCTTCGGTCGCGTCGGCTGCTCGTGTTCGTATTTCCGCGGAACGCTTACAGAAGCTGTGGAACTGGGTGCGCTTGGTGCAGGTTCGGTCAACACTTCTGAATGGCGGCCAACAACCTTGACATGAGATTGCTCTCGCGGTCTCCTCGGATCAGAGGGTGATTCAATGCCAGTCGGGTCATCAGGGAGCAGTCTTGCCCGGAATGACGGTTGTGGAAAGTGTGGTTCTCTTTCCCTACGTGTATCGCGCTCTTCACTATCAATGTTGACCCGTCGTGGGTAGTTCGGGTCGCTACTGCCACTCTTGTCTTGCTTCGACGGCGACGCGTCACCGTCATGGCTCTCCATCTCTCTCAGCATCCACTTGGGAACGCTATTAGCAAGCCATTCCCAGTCCCTCTGGCCCTTGCCGCTCAACCTATCGTTGCTAGCCCCGAAGATGGCTTCGTATGGGTCATTCATGAGTTTCTTTCGCCACTGCTGGTATTGCTCTAGCTGCAACCATTCCAAGTTGGACATGCTGGATGGACGTTTGTTGCCATTGTTGTCCTCGTGCTGTGCTGATTTGGAGGGCGTGCGGGAGAAGCATCGTGTGCGCAGGGCAGCGTCGTCGGAGCGGAGGATTCGTTGCGCATAGCGTTGGAAAGGAACGAGTGTCGGATCCCGGCGCCACCAAGTCATGTTTGAAGTCGTCGGTGGGATCGAAGGGAGACGAAATACAGTAAGCAGGCTGAGAACCCTAGCTCTGGATCTTGTCAGTAACAAGGGATTGCATGATTCCAAGCAAAACATACCAAGATATCTATCACAGGTCTGCTGTCCAAGGCACCGAGAGCTCCTCGGAGCTAGCCTAGGTGAACAATAGTGGTTACATCAATAGCCGGACAAATGAGGTTGGGGGTGGTGGCGCACTCAAGAGACGAGAGCAATTCTGTCAAGAGCGTGTGAAGAAAAGATATAGAACACGCAAAGGGAGATGGAAGGCGGCCAGGCAGCCTTCAGGGAGTGATGGCGTCGCCATATCCCCGCGTAAGCTCCGTGCCGCTTATCATGTTTCGCGGGGTATGATCCCGCGTGACCGCTTGTTCGCGTCACCATTTCACTGGTCCCGATCGTCCAGAACTGCTTGCGCCACATGAAACGCTTTTCCTTTTTGCTGCAGATGGTATTGCTGATGGAGTCGTTGTGCATCGCCTTTGGTTGATGGATATCAGTGAGGCTTGACGCGTACCAAGTCGCGTCTCTCATGCGACGCCGATAAGGCGATAAGGCAACAACGCTACGCCCCATCGATTTCGATCTCTGAGGAGCCTCTCATTCTCAGTACCGAATGCGCGATGGGAACTTTCATCTACTTCTCATGATATTCAATTGCAATATTCACCACATCTTGATCATCGATAGCATCGCTCCAATCAAGATATCTACAGATCTGAAGATTGGCGCGCATTCATCATCCCCGTCTCGGCATGGCACCCAATGTACTCGAAGAGTTGCTGGTCTGGCTCCAGCACGTAAACCTCATGGAACAAACGGAGAGATAACACATTGTTCAGCTTTTTCGCATACATCAGGAAGCCTCCGAAGATGTCGATATGTGTCTGGTGGCTTTTACTCCAGTACTCGAGCGACGACAGGTCATCGAAACAGCCAAAGCCGAACGTTCTTTCACGGTTCGCCTCGAACGACCTTGAATCCACAACGTCCCACAAATTCATCGCATAACACCCAACCTCGCGCCCTTCATCACGTAGAAACCTCATGCCCTCGACAAGCACCGGATGCATTGTATCGAGGTAGAGTTTGCGCTCTTCGGGTAGTGTGTCGGACCAATCCTGACCCGATCGAATCACGCACAGATTGGGCTTGCCAGATATACGGACACGTTTTGAGGCATGTCTGTCATCACTCGAGCCATTTGCGCGGCCATCCTTAGAGCCCCATCTGTTGCCTTCGAGTTTGTTGTCTTGAGCAGCCGCCAAGCGATCCCGCATGCTACCCCAATACGCGTGTTGTTCCAACTCGCCCGAAATCCTCTCTTGCATGTTGGCCGCTCCTTCTGGATTCTCAGGGTTTGAAAAAACCGTTTCAAAACGATCCATCGTTGGACGCAGAATCTCCTGGAACCAGCCATGCCCATCTCTTTCCCTGTCTGAACTCTGCCACCATGCATCGAACCCAGATTCCTGTTGCCAGCTTCTGTGCAAGTCTGCGCTGCGCCAATATGCGATTACAGCGATGCTATAGGCTCCTCTTTTGTCGATTACGGAGGTTGTTTCCCAGAACGACGGGCGCTTCGACTTTGGCCCTCTACTTACGAACTCCTGAAGTTTGGTAATGGCTATGCCGTCGTTCCCGGTAACAGAGGTATACTGCGCTCCCATCATGGCCATGACGAGATCGTTCATTTTAGCCTGGAATCTGGAGCAATATGCAGGGAAGGGCGGAATGTAGTTGGGCGGCGTGCTGACCGGGCATGCTCTCTCCCTGCGGAGGTGCTCTGGAATAGACTGCTCTAGCATCTTCAAACTTCTTCAATCTTATATCAGATCGCGGGGAATGTTGCCGTCGCGCTCCTCGTTCTTGGTCGCTGTGCGCAGAAGAGGTGTCACAGGACACCGTCTACTGAGTTCCATCTAAGCGCAGATCATGCTACCCGCTTCTCGCAGTCCCTTGAGACGGCACGGGACGCTGTGCAGCAAGGGCCTAGGTTCACAAGTGTCTAGGTGGAGCACTGAAGAAGGGCCGGACCTCGCGCTAGGCCTGTCACCTTTCCGTTCGTAGACGCTTTAGGACTGAAGTCCGGGTGTGCCCCCAGCATTATCGTTCTTTTTTTCTGTGCCTAGAGAAGCCACTATACTGACAGTGACGTAGTATTTGCGCATATACGCTTCTGCAGCGTTGTCGTTTGTGAATCTGCCTAGCTAGGTACAAGTCCAAGATCCCATTTGACACAACCCTATCTGCGTGTGCCGCGCGCCGCTAAGGCATGAACCGCCAGGTACGGCTAAAGACTGTTTGTCAGCCAGACGCCTTTCCAGTTTCGTGTCTAGCTATATCTCATTACCTTCGGACAAGATCGTAAAACATCAAAAAGCAAATCCGCAACCAATCGCGCGACGCTGTGATAGGAATCGGGCCGTTAGATCTTCACAGCGATCTTGGTAGCCAGCACCGTGAGATCACCAAACTACCACAAAGATGATCATTCGAGGAACTGCGGCAACTTATTGCGCCCGGTGGATTTCTCATCCAAAAGGACACCCACACCAATCGCTTTGCACCGTCATGGATCACCTGCGCCCGATTGGAAGCCTTGACTGTCGTCGTTTATCGTATAGCTTTCGTTTTTCGGGCATTCCTTTTTGCGTTGATACTCAATGTCAAGCGTATTGCTGCTGGACGTGCCCTAATCTTGCGCAAGAGGACCCTCACCCGTCGATGCTTACCCTGCCAGCATGTATAACCCTTTCACGACTGAAGCATGGACCGAATACGCAATTGGTATTGTCGTTATAATACTTCGAATTACAGCGCGTTGTTGGCAGGTTCGACTACGCTGGGATGGAGATGATTACTTCGCCGTACTCTGCGCCTTCTTCTTTACCGCTGAACTTGTCATGCTGGAGCTCATCGGCCAGAATGGATCTATCACTGGAATGAACAATGAGCTCGCGTTGCAACTTACACCTGAGCAAAGCCAACGTATCACTGTGGGTAGTAAATACCTTCTCGCAGGGTGGATACTATATACGACCCTGATATGGTGCTGTACGTACTGCCATGCGCAATACCTTGATAATGAGCACTCAAGGCCATGCGGCCATACTAACAGGCTGGAACCGCAGTGAAAGCTTGTATGCTGTTCTTTTACAGGAGACTCACGTACGCATACTTTACTGTATTCGATAGATCTCCGCTGATAGCAACAGGCTCAATCTCCAGCAACACAATCTCGTCAAGACCACTGGGGTAGTCTGCATTTTGGCATACATCGCTACCATCATCGTGTTTCTCACACACTGTCACCCGATCTATCGATTATGGCAAATATATCCATATCCAGGTGATGACTGCGCGCTCAACATATCCAAGTACCTGGCTTTGGTCGTCACAAATATAACGTAGGTAGCCTTGAAAATGAGCCTGTCCACTTCTGCACCATACTCATAATCATCCAGCACCGATCTCATGATTCTGTATATCCCGCTGCCTCTACTCTGGAACGTCCGGCTACCTTTAAGAAGTAAGCTTATGTACGGAATTTGGCTATGCACCGGCGTTTTCATGATGACAGCAACACTGCTCCGCTGCATCCTGTGTCTTCAAGACGTTTCCCAGATCAACGTTGGTACCATCTGGTCAATCCGCGAAACAGTATGCTTCCTACATCCTGATACCCTTATGGCCTTACTAATGTTTGCCATAGTTTGTCGGGATCTTAGCTGTCAACGCACCCATCCTCAAGCCCTTTCTGAGTAAAGCCAGGAAGGCTATGTCATCGATCAAGCCATCGAATGAGAATTCTGGCCAAAATCTGCCGGACAGCCTTCGTTTATCGCATGTTGAGAGAAAAGGAAAAAGGAGGACTGTACATGAGATCGATAACATAGACATGAGCATGAATGGAAGCGAAGAGCACATCGTGAGACAAGGAATAGATGAAGGAAGAGCGAGCAGTGATATCAGTTCGAGGGATGAGGGTGATGCAGTTTAGACTCGGCATTACGTAGAAAGCACGATTAATTGCTACGAGTCATGAGCCTGTCAGGAGAAGCTGACGCATGGCATAGGTGTAGCGGCGACGCTGATCAGACTGCTGCAAGTTTGCCTCTCTCCTTCCACCAATGCTTCCTATAGAGTGCTCTGTCATTAGATTGTATCTACCGTGACATAATGTACCATACGAGTGGTTTTGCCCAAATCCTTATCACCCGTGCCTGAACAGGCGTCGCATTAGCCGCAAGAATGTTTTCCAGCGTTAGTCGGTCATGAAGCCGAATGTAGCCGCATGAAGGATAGCTAGCAACAGGAAAATGTTCAGTGTTATAACGTGTAGCTGTAGAATATATTTGCTGGCATACAAATGCATGAACATGATAGCAATACACTCTCGCATGTCCAGTCTGCTCTGGCTCAGTTCTCATCTTCCAGTAACCTCCTCTCTTCGTCAACAACTTCAGCTTTCTTATCATTTTTCCCACTCGACCTCTGCAGACTGACCGCAATCGCCGCTCCGATTATAAGCACGGCTCCCACCAAGCTCTCAGCAGGCGGGGTAGTTCCCCAGATTACCTTCTCGACAATAAGCGCGAAAACAAGTTGTAGATAGGTCAAGTTTGTTGCTCTTCCTCCCTTTTCCCTCTGCAGGCCTTCCGTCAAGAGAAACTGCAACAGAAACCCAAAGAGCCCAATTATGGCGATCAATCCCCACTGGCCAAGCGTCTTGGGCATGACAAAATGCAACGAAGGGTGGCCCAAGATGAGCACGAACGATGCGATCGTTGCAATGAGAGAAAAGTAATTCACCGAGATGAGCGAGTGGGCACGCTTGCCGATCACTCGGATAGTTGCGTAGGATGTCGAAGCGCCAAGCGTGCCTAGAATTGCGATGAGGATTGCCAGAGCGCGTTGTTCGGCAGTAGTTGATGGTAATGGTGCATGCCCGTCCGAGTCATCGGCTATTGGCCTTAAGTGAGAAGCGGGAAAGAGCCATGGTGGTCTCGCGACGAAGAGAACGCCGCAGAATGCGACGAAGCTGCAAAGCGCTTCTTTCCAGGTGAATGGCTCGTGTAACCAGATGAAGCATACAATGGCTGTCATAGTTGGGATTAGGAAAGTTATTACTGTAGCGTCTGAGAATTCAAGCCAAGATAGAGAGTCTAAGTGGTATTGTTAGCTGTATTCCTGTTCGGTTTCATGACCCCACCCATGCAGGTCACAATCTTATATGGAGTTGACTGGGAGGAATTGCAGAGGGAGTTGAACTTACAATACAGTCCAAATAGACCGACAAACCCTGCAGTACCTCTCAGGATAAGCAGTCCCTTGATGCCTTTCTGACCAAAAGGAAAGTCAGGCACCGCGTGGTACCAAGAGTAAATCGAGCAGATGATCGTCGTGCATAACATGCGAATGAAGATGATTTGCAAAGCGTGGAACTCGATCGATGGGTCATTCGCGAGCAGTTTGGCCGCTGTGTTCATCTAGTACTCATCAGTAAGTGGCATGGTCTGCGGCATGCAGTCATTGCACACAAGGAATGAAGCTTACGACAGATCCGCATGTCTGCGCCAAGAAAACTAAGAATAACCCGAAATTCCGACTGTAGAATGACTTCAAGCTCTGCGATATTTTGCTCCATAACCCTGGCTGATTGGCTTCCTCGTCCGTATCTTGCGCAGAGCCTGAAGCTGCAGATGGTAGGCGTGGTAGGAAGTTTACTCTTGAGCGTCCTGGGGACGACGGTGGGGTGGCTATGGTGCCATACGACATCTCGGACCTTTTGTCGAAATACTTCAGATTGCAAAGTTGAAATGGAAGGGCAGATGCCGCTACAATGCGGAGCAAAAACCTATTGTCCGGTGACCCACTAGTGGGTCCCTCATTAGTGGCCGACCGGCTGTAGCCCGTGTCTAGCCTTGCTTACTTCAGCTAGAATCTTCTCAAGCATGCCACAAGATTGCGAGTGCAACATCAAGCTCAATATTACCGACAAGTTTTGAGATTTTTGGGAAGCAAGTGTAGTTGCAAGTAAACATGTGAATAAAAACGAAGATACTTGGGGTTTGCAAAATATGTATAAGAAAACAAAGTCTCACGTACTACCCCACCCAGCCAGCACCTTTTTACCGGACGTTGACCTAGGAAAGGTACGCTGCATCAACCCAGCTCTTGTAGTCGCTGCCCAGAACAGTGGTAGGGCTAACGGCGGCCGAAAGCTTCTTTGAGAAGGACGCCCTGGTACCCTTGGATCCATCGCCAGTGTTTGCGTACTCGTTGTATGTGACCTTGTCAGTCCTGGGGTCATCGGCGCTCCAAACTTTCCATCCCGCGGCATTGATGACACTAGTCATGCTGGTCTTCTGGAACACAACACGAGAGAAGTTTCTCCAAGGACGGCCGAGGTAGTAAGCACCCGCGCTCACCGTGTTACCAGGAGCAGCAGCGATCTTCGAGTTGTTGATAACATAATATGAGGGATTGGAATCCGAATCACGACCGTTGGCAGTAATGTAACCCAGCGACGCTGTGAGGACGCCGAGAGAGCAACCATCAAACCATGCTGTGGCCTTTTGGCCGAAGATGAAGTCAGTCGCTCCCTCGATGTAGGATTTGGCGTAGACCTGGCTACCCTGCTGGGCGAGGATGGTGTCTTGGTAACCCTTGAACTGGCATCCGTAGTAGCCTTGCTTATCGGCATAAGCACTAAGGGCGAGAGCTTGCGAGCCCTGTCCGCGTGTGTTGACCAGGTTTATGTTGTAGACCTTCAGGTTTGGCGTCCAGGCGCGGAGTGTAGCAGTTTCGTCGTTGTTGGGAGCATTATCTTGACTTTTGCCCTGGGTGATGGTCACGGTGTTGCCGGTATAGCTGCTGGTATCTGTCGTTTCGCCGTACACGGTCAGGGCCGACTTGAGCGGCTTGATGTAGACTTGCTCCTTGTAAGTACCTGCAGAAATTGGCGGCACAAAGTCAGTACGTGTCTCACATGGAATGCGTGAAGCCAGAACTAACCCTTCGCGATGAAGATGCATTGCGCAGCTGTGCTGGAAGCGCTCAGAGCATCAACGGCGGATTGAACAGTTTTATATTTCCCGCTACCGCCGACAGCCAGACACCCCGCCGGAGGACTTGTACGTCCAGCCCGTGGCGCCAGCGTCGTTGGCGCTGCGAGAGCGGATGCCGCGAGCGTGAGAACGAAAGCGATTGATGGGAGCATTGTGGAGGAAGTAGAACAGAGCCAGAAATGAAAGTTTAAGAGCGAGTGAATGTAGAAATCAGCCTGAAGACGCGCAGTATACATATATATGCAGTGCCTTCAGCATTCCGGCTAAGCAAACTATATTGGGGGACTCACTGGGTCTGACCTAGACCTCCGAGCAGCCGCCTAGCGAGCTAAGGTGTCGTTTCCCCGCTATGAAAGCTGTCGAAACGGGCAAAGCAAGCCATCGGAAAATTGATGTCTGCACCCCAGACGGTGAATCTCTCATCGCGAAACGACTGCGCATGTGAATTGCGCCGGTTGGTGGGAATCTTGTTGCCGTCCGTGCATTGATTTGGGTTAATTATAGCGTGTTACAGAGGGCTGACGGAGGCAGTTTTGAGTACCGAAGTTACGCCGCGTGCGCATCGCATTACTGAAGTTGTTGTAGCTGACGCGTTGTTGGGCACGGCGGACGCGCCTCCTCCTTGCGGGTTGAGGTTTGTGGGGAAGGATCCTGCGCAGGGCCGTGCACTGATCACGTGAGCTGGTGTCGCGCTAAGATCCACACGTTCCAAGCCCAGCAATTCATTCATTGTGCGACGCTGAGACCAATCTTCCGCAGACAGCGCTTTGACATCAGTTTTTCACTTTGGGTGCTCTTGGTTATCGGTATCTGGTCATTCTTTCCCTCGGAATGGCTCCATCACACACAACTGGCAATAGCTGCCAAACAATCGACCTCACAGGCTCCTCTCCAGAGCCGGAACAAAAACCCCAGCAACGATCACAACAGCGGCCACAGCCAAGGCCGCCCCAAAAACTAGTTCAAATGTACCTCAAGCCCGAGCCACGCCCATACGGTATGGCAAACGTCGGGATGGAAGCTAGGCATCCGATGACTTCCGCGCGAAACCCTGTAGGGGCACAGCAGGCGCGCCCTATCCACCCCGAGCATATCAAACAGATTATCGAGACAGCCGACCCGCGTGCTGTGCAGAGGGTGCTGCTCGAGCTTTGCCAAATGTCACCGGCCTTTTCCGGCGCCCTCGTCCGTGGACTTGCGTCTCATTCGGCATCCGCCCAGGGCCTGATCAGCCAACAACGGATGCAGTTGCATCAGCCCAAGGTCAAGATTCCAGATGAGGATGATAGCGACGAACTCTATGAGGCGACGAAGAGGAAGCTCGCGAAGTCTATAGTTCCAACCCCAAATCACAACAGCTTGCCTGCACAATCTCGCGAGATCAGCGGAAGTCGAGCTACATCACGGCCTCATGGTTCTGAGTTTGAATCACGAGTGAAGCGTGAGCCACGTGAGCGCTCAGAGTCGAGTTCGGATGGCGATATGCACCTTCCTGGAGCCTATCCACGCTCAACCACATTACGCACGCCAGTCCGGAAGCCCTCAGGCCAATCATCCTCTGTCAATCAAACACCAAGGCTGTTGACCAGAGACACGCCACGGTCAGCGAGTATCAACAAACGGCCTGCGCCTTTGACAAAGACCTGCACAGTGTGTCACGAACAGATAGTGGACGTGAATGCGCCCTGCGTTACTCATTCTGGGCAGAGGTACAGGCCAAAAGACGGGTTAATAAAATGGGACTGCTGTCACGAAGACATTGATCATCCCGGTTGCGAGTTCTACGGACAACATACGACTGGAGAAGAGCTCGAAGAAGATGCGTTGGTTCAAAGGAAACGACCAAGTGCGTCTCCGGGTCCAAGTCGTGCCACACAAAAGAGACCCAGAGCATTCTAACGAAAATGCCAGGAGTTTGCCAGGTAGCTGGTCACTCTTTACTTACAGCGGGACGCGATAGCTCCACGCATTGGGTACTCTTTTGCGATTGTGCTTTTTGTTCTTCAGTTCCAGGCGCCTTCGGAAGACACTTGGCATATCATTAGTTCATAGGTAGAGGCATAGCGCAGGCGTTTCGTGTACTAGGCAGCATTGATATGGCTGCGGAGATCTCAGGCAGCCGCATTACAAAGTCTTGTGTTCGTCCTTGAAGAACATATACATTGCTAAGCCTGCGTTACCCTTCCTGATTTACGACTTTGGTCTCGAGAACTTCACCATCGTCTCCAGGGCCCAAAACTGTTCATTTTCCCATCAGGAACAGCGATTACTCCCTTCGCTTCTCGTATCCTGGTGCAGGTCCCCCCCAGGAGACTGCGCCTCACCGTTATGCTGAAACCTATGCACACCTCTTCCACTCCTTGATTTGATGCTAATGACGCGACGGCCATTATTTTTGTTGAGTCATCTCATACAAGAAGAAAACTCAACAGGTCTGCAGACTACATTAAGATAAAAACATGCAAAGTGGGTAACCTAACTGCCAATCGTTCAACCATGGACACGTCTCCAACAGTCTTCATTCTCAACTCGCTGCGAGCTAGACAACGACCTGTAGTATTCTGCGAGTGTTATCATTTCAAGTAGGCAATTTGTCAATGGGTTAGCGGATATTACTCATGACCCTGAACGTTATCTCTGAGATGTCAAAATCTGAATCGTTCCTCACCCGTGATGTCATGCCAAGTCTCTTGCCTGCATTATCATCGACGCGCTAACCTCCGTCTCTCCCACTTGTGCATACGCCGTCAGGACGCGATAGAGATGTAACGGACATACGCACTCTGCGTTCCAGGGAACAGAATCCCGAGCCGAAGATGCATTGGTATAAAGCTGGCAAGTTGCCTTATGAGCGTTGCCCCACGAAGCTTGCGCGTTGCACATCATGAGGGCCGCGCCGTTCCTATCGCTTGCAGCTCTTGTCAGAGCGAGTACTGTTTTTCACCTCAACTCTACGTCGTATTATTCCCCAGATCTTACCGCAGCGACGCTTAGCTTTGGCGACCAGCCATGGGCCAATGGTGAACCTTTACCAATCACTTATCTTACTTTTACCGACCCGATTGTCACCGCGGAGCTACTGGAGTTCACGATATCCTCGTTTCTATCACACGACGATGTATATTCGGAATCCTTCCTCCACACACTAGTGCTTGGCGGCTCAAGCACTCTTTCAGACAATGCACATGCATATCTTGGCTCAATCGGGTGCAGCATGATCTATACTGCATTGGACGCTGACGTAGCATCCGGCCCATATCTACTTCACCCATCAAAGGCTATGACCAGAGTCTACCGATTGTATTGGGATCACAACTTCGCTTTCGTGGAGTCGGTCACTGAAGGTCAGAATGGGACTTTCCTTCCTGTCACAGGTTTGGCTTTGGCAGATGCCTACGGAGCTCTTAGTATCGCAGTGCCGTCACGGTTATACTATCCAGCACCCACAGAAGATAAACCGTTATCGGGCAAACGCCTGGGTGTGAAGGATATCTACGACCTGAAGGGTATCCGTACGAGTGGTGGGAACAGAGGCTACCACGACCTTGTGGATCCTGCTCCAGAGAGCGCGGTAGCGTTACAAAAGCTTATCGACATGGGTGCGGTGGTGATTGGAAAGACAAAGACTACCCAGTTTGCGCTTGGGGAACGACCAACAGCCGACTATGTGGATCAGCTAGCACCCTTCAACCCTAGGGGAGACGGTTACCAGCATCCCCAGGGTTCATCAGCCGGTTCTGGAGCTGGACTTGCATCGTATGACTGGATGGATATCGCAACTGCCTCCGATACTGGGGGCTCTGTTCGCTTACCGGCAATGGCGAATGGCCTGTTCGGTATGCGTATCACCAACGCCTCACTGCCACTCAAAGGAATCTTGCCGATCTCAGCAATCTTTGATACGCCGGGCGTATTGGCTAGGTCGGCAAAGCTCCTCCAAGCAGTGCATAGGGTATGGTACCCAGCTAAGGCATACACATCCTATCCTAAGCGAATTATCTTGCCTGATCTGTTTTGGCCCACAGTCAACAGCACGAGTATGCCTATATTTAATTCGTTCATCTCACAGCTAGCTACTTTTCTTGACGCCAATTTGACAACGTTCAACGCCAACGCCAGTTTCAATGCATACGCGAACATCTCTGAAGGCATAGCATCCTATCTCGGCTCTACATATTCCAACATCACCAACGTGGATCAGTACCGCAACCTTGGTCTACCTTTTAGAGAGCAGTATATTGCCAAGTTTGGCAAAGCCCCCTACTGGAATCCGCAAACACGAGCGCGATGGAATCGGGCCGCCACTTTGCCAACCTCTAGCTATACCACTGCTATGGAGCGCACGCACACCTTCCAGACATGGTTTCGAGACACGCTGACGCCATCATGTGAGTCAACGTTGGTGCTGTACCCTATGGGTGCCGGTACAGAAGACTACCGCGACATCTACACAGCCGCTCCAGGTGGTATATTTGCTGCTGGACTACCCGGCAACCAGATGTCAGTTCTGGCTGCGCTACCCGACTACACGGTGCCAATTGGCGAACGGGCATTTCTCAGCAGGGTTACTGAGCGAAACGAAACGCTCCCCGTTACCATTGGCATGGTAGCTGCGGCAGGTTGCGACCACATGCTCATGAATCTGGTTGCTGAACTTGCTGACGTTGGGATCATTGCGGAAAGTGTCAAAACCGGGTCTGAGATATACTAGGGAAGGCAGGAGTATACCCATGGGGCTTAATACACCGAGAACCCGAAGTACGTGCCTGTGCGACCTGCGCATTCAACAATTCCACATCACAAGACCTGCACCGCTTGGCTTTGATGCGTGTCATGTTTTCCTACCTTCCGAACATATCCTTGCTGTGATTGGCGGACTAAACTTCTAGATTTCCTGTCGATCACCAAAGTAATCTAAGGTGTCATCCACCAGCAGCGCACTACGAACTCGCTAGCTGATCTTGCTGCTTTGGCGCATACCGCGCGGAGCTTTCATATGACATCTCTTTGCCTCAGTCTCTGACATTCTTCTACTCCGTGTTTTCTTCGCCTCGAAAATGATTCTTTGTACTGTTCTGCCCCTGCTAATATCCTCCGTTGCCGCTCTCGCTTTTCCGGGCGCAGAAGGCTTTGGGCGAAACGCTGTCGGCGGTCGTGGTGGCACCGTCTATGTTGTGACAAATCTCAATGATAGCGGTGAAGGGTCTCTCCGCGAGGGAGTTTCTCAGAGCGACCGCATAGTCGTGTTCTCGATAGGTGGTTTGATTAAGATTAAAGAGCGTATGGTCGTATCCAAACGTGTGTCTATCCTTGGGCAGACAGCACCAGGCGATGGTATCACAGTATACGGGAATGGGTGGAGTTTCAGCAACGCCGACGATGCGGTCGTCCGGTACCTGCGCATCAGAATGGGAAAGGGAGGAGACAGCGGAAAAGACGGTATAACTATCGCAGAGGGTAAGTCCTGGCTGTACGAAGTGCATGTGAGACATGTACTGACTTCGTACTTCTACATCTGCAGGAAGCAACATGATTTTCGATCATGTCTCAGTCTCCTGGGGTCGCGATGAGACCTTTTCGATCTCTGGCAATGACGTCGGTGGTAATATCACCATCCAGAACAGTATCATTGGACAAGGCCTGCAGACACATTCGTGTGGCGGGCTGATGCAAACAAATCTCGGAAATGGTATCAGTCTCTTTCGCAACTTGTACATTGACAACAAGACGAGAAATCCGAAGGTCAAGGGTACCAATGATTTCACCAATAACGTGGTTTACAACTGGGGGGGAGGTGGAGGATACATCGCTGGAGATTCGAGTGCAGCAAGCGAGGCGAATATCGTGGGGAATTACTTCATCAGCGGTCCCAGTACCAGCGTCACGGCCTTTACCCGCGGGAACGATAACTTCAAGGGCTATGTTGTGGGCAACTTCTACGACTCAAATCGCGATGGCACGTTAGATGGAACGGAGCTGAGCGTGTCGTCCAGCAATTACGGCGGCATGAACATCCAAACAACCAAATTTCCCTTTCCAGCGCCCGAGAAGACTCTACCGGCTGAAGATGCGCTGAAGCTTGCTGAGAATTCTGTCGGTGCGAGTAAAGTGCGCGATGTGGTTGACAAGCGACTCATTGAGGAATTGAGGAGCTATGGGAAGACGGGTGAGCTGATCAGTGACGAGAATGCCAGTCCCATGGCTGGGCCGGGAACAATTAACGGTGGAGAGCAATGGGCTGACGCGAATGGGAATGGCATTCCTGATGACGTTGAGGATCAATTCGCAGATGTGGAAGAATGGGCTAACAGTTTGGTACCAAGTGTTTACTAGACAGCAGATCGCATTTGGTAGCACGTATCGCAAAGGCTGATTAGGTTTTTTTTTTGGAATGGTCTGGGTCGTGAATCATTTAATTACTGTAAAGAATGTGTACGTGAAATGAAGTGAAGAAGGACTAAGCACATGCCAATACCGAAAACGCAGCCTGGCTGATAAGAAACAAAGTTTCATCTTTGCATCAAAGACTCTCTCGTAGCCACCTATGCGGAAGCAATTTGAGCCCTCAAGAAGATGGGTGCCTGTACAGCAGCTTCATCCGAGTATAGAAGATGCGCAGGTGTAATGATAAGTGTTCCAGTGCAGACCAAGTCGCCAGTCTCGCAGTAGATCCTAGTCTTACTGGTAGGGAAGCCGGGGATTCTTCCGAGATCTAAAACCTTGTTAGGGACTCTTATATAGTGTGTTGAGAGAAGGAAAGAACTTACTTTGTAGGTTCTTGGTGTAGCCAAACAGCACTACGCCCTTGATCTGGTTCTGCACAGCAGAACTCAGACCAGTAATAGCGTTGGACATGACTGCAGCGCCTTGAGAATATCCACCTGCAGTGATGGGCGTGTTGGGGCACTTGCTCGCAGCAAGGTTGAAGAGACGCTGGGCTTCACGGATGGCGGCTTGAGAAGTACCGGCTGGGAGCGTGTTTTCTGCAATGCCAGCAGTGTATGGGCCGCCTACACCCTGTATCCATGTAGTAGACGCTCCGTATGCGCTTTCGAGAGCACTGGCTGTAAAAGGCCCAACCAAGGCGCCCATGTTGCCAGCTTCAGTACTGCCTCTTGCGAAGATGAAGATGGTCCTTGGGCATGCAGAGCTGCTGCCATCCTCCAGCTCATTGCGAGTGGCACTTGACTGACGGGCCTCGAGTGTAATGGGCTGAGGTGCATCAGCAGCGATGGGTGCAGCCACAGGTGTGGGTGCGGCAAAAACGAGGGAAACCAAAAGAGAAAGAATGGCGATAGACTTCATGTTGACAACTATAGTAGCGATAGGTAATGCCAGATGGCTCTGAGAAGTGAAGTGGTAAAAGAAGGCTGGAAGCTGGCTGTTTGGCTGTGCTGTGTTCCTCCCTGAAGAGGTCTCCTTCCCTTTATGTTCATTCTAGCATATACAAGATACTGGTTCCAAATCCACATCCTTCGCGCCTACCTCGGTATCTAGACTGCCTGGAATCTTGGAGTGCATCCCGAATAGTGGTTGACGGACATGAAGTCCCCAAAAGAGCGCTGTTGCCGTCCTACCAGCTGTCACAACAATTCGTGACATCCTTGGCATTCTTGCTCTTACCTCCATAGGCAAGACCTTGACTTGAAGAGATCTAGTGAGTAGATGCAGAGTCTTTGAGATGACAGAGCAAGAACGGCAGCAGTGGTCCGAAGTATTGTGACACCTGGTAGTCCTTTGTTTCCGAGATCGAGATCTGGTATTGATGTTGACCGTCGAGGATCTGACCAGTAGGCATCATGTTTGAATTTGAGCTTCCTCGGCCCAGGAGATTGCGCCTGGGGTCTCTTCCTGGGCATGCATGTCCGGGAGACATGGATGGAGCTGATGGTGGGATGAACTGGTCGCGTGGTAGTCGGACAAAGATTTGCTGCTAGGTTCATGGGACACTATTGAGCTTTCAGGTCAAGCTCGCAAATCGAAGCCGAGGCACGGTTGAATCTACATGGATGCGATGAAGTCCTACCCTGAGTTGGATGATATCGTGATGTGGGGTGCATACCCCGCACATCCACCATGAGAGCGCGCTAAGGCCCCCAGATAGTGTGTAGCGGGGAAGATACCCGATTCTGACGTTTACCGTCTTTACAGGCGTCGGAAGGTTTGGTGTTGTTTACCTCGCTCCTGTAGGCTAGGGGAAGAACGGCATGGAGGATTGGTACCTTCCACATATAGAGACCGTGCATCCAACGCATACAAACAATACTCTGGTTATCTCTAGGTTGAAGGATCTAGTTCAGGCAGTTCTTCCAAAGAGAATGGGAGGTTAGCGGATTACGGCTAAAATTCCATGGCCTGCGTGGGATATCGCGCGTTTATCCACAAGCTAATGTTGCAGCAAAGCAACTGCCGTATGTACCTTGTTAGGCGTTCTGGTTCGTCGCTTCGGAGGACTCAGTGGTACGTAAGACAGAACCCTGGCGCTGGCGCATCCAAGGATGAAGACGAACGCATAGAACGCCAGTAGATTCTGAAATACGGCCAATGTTATCACGCCATAGATCAATGTACACAACGGCCAGAAGAATTCCGATACGTATGTCCACACGTAGACGGCGGAGTGACAAAGACTCTTCAAAGACATTTGAATGTGTGCTCGATAGGCGTGGAGGTACTCGGTTGTTGTTGGAGGCGCAAGTATTTTCTCCCAGTGTTCTTGTCGCGCTTCGTGTGTCAATGTACGCACGCCAAGAGGCCCGAGCGACCTCCTAGTCTCAAGAAGATGCCTCCATATAATCTTCAGCTGCCTATCCCAGCTATAAGGCTTTTCTTGTTGCATAAATCTCTCCCATTTCTTTACGGTATTGACTGCCATCTCTTCGGTGACCTGAAACCATTCCTTGTGTGCTTTGGTCTCCTTGGTCCCATCGATGCTACCGTGATTTTCGCAATGAAATGGTGCACAGTAGTTCTCCAGATCGATATGCACAAGCTTTTCTAGGCGACCACAATGGTCAATCTCGTGATCTGACACGTGAATCACACTGGGCAGGAAGCTACAGGCTCTTTCGTGCTCAACGATGCGGTCTCTATAGGCTCGTTTCGTCTTTCCGATCTTGTAACCTCTGGATTTGTTGTTTGGGTCACATAGAACATAGATGACCCCTTTCCGGTCGCTAGGAGTCAGCTTCTTGAGTAGCTCTCCATACAAGCTGTCGTGGGTAGATCTGGCAGTCTTCGGGGTCAGGACTTGCGAGAAGCCATCATGCTCTTGATGAGGTTGCTGAGTCGCTTCGGCGTGAGAGGGTGATGGGGAATACCGCACTTCCGACGTTGATAGCCCATCCACTTCAGGACCTTCACTACCATCAAGCCGTGCACGTTTACGTGGGATGCAGTCCTGAGGGATTCGTGCGGCGTCATTGATGATTTGTTTTGGGCGTCCGATGGAGTCAGAGACTATTCGGGACGGCTGGCTGGAACATTTGTCGCGAGTACTTGACGCAGCCAGGCGTTGCGATTGGGGGATGGCTTTGCGAATTGGTGAACCAGGAGAGGTCAGGGTGGGGTCGCTTTGGGTATCCATGAAGCGCGGTCTGGGTAGGGGAGGTTGAATTGACTTGACTTTTGAATTGGTAGGTACTTGTCTTGTTTCCAACTGCGAGTCTTTCCTGAGCCCACTTAGCTTGGAACCCAAAGATTTGTCAAAAGAGGTATCGAGAACCATGTCTGTAAGCAGGATTGACAGATGAAAGACGAAGCAAATGATTGATGTGCACGGAGGGAGGAACTTGGGCTGGATGCCATTTAAACCTATGCGCTGAATCTATCAACGCGTTGCAGAATTACTTCCCCCGCAACTGCAGAGTTCGCATGAACATACGTGTGGCGGTGCTGAATGTCACTGCTGTGCCGCATGCCTGGATCGTTTCGTAGGCTTCATAGCAGCCTCGCATCGGCGGCTGAGCAGAACAACACGGTGAGCACTCTTAGCTCCTAGCACTATCTCAGTCTTTTTGTTAGCATCAACAACAAGAATCGCGAAGAATCACCGTGTGCAGCAGACCAGCGATAGACGCGTTGGTACGGCCCCAAGCAGACTCGTTACCCACGCGCTGCATTACACGTGCATATGCGGCGGCTGTGCCCGTCCCACAACTACTACGAACAGTTAGTGCGGCTGCCTGCGGTATCAGAATCGCTCCTGCTGTACACAAAGCTGCATGTGTCGGAAGCTCGCAGCCTTGCTGCGAACGGAGCCATGTTTCCGCGAGGCAACGGTCGACGGTCATGATTCGCTGTTTTTCGAGGCTAGATGCGCCCGAGACGTTTACGGTGTTGTGGCTGTGGCGGTGGTTCCTATGAAGAAGCAATTTGTTGTTGGGGCGACAGGAGGCAGCGACGTTTCGCGCGTCATCACGCGCTCCTTGGCGACGAATCACAAAGACGAGCCGGGCACAGTAAACGCGAGGTAACAGCACCAAGGTCGTTGGGAACAAGTCGCGCCGCATGCCGCATCTGTCTCTGGGTACTTCCGAAATTTGTACCTTTTCGTGGCATCTTAGCGCAGACGCGTCGGGTACGGGCAAGCAGCGCGATGTCATCGAGTTGTACATCCACTATAGTTTGACCGGTGACGATATCCGCGTTCTCAACTGTTTTCTGGCGCGATGACGCGTTGATACTCTTCGTGTGGCTGCCAACGGCGCAATGCTTTGATCGGCATGCATCTGTCGGTTGGTCAACTACATATGAGGTGTAGCTTTGGTCTCACTGACCGGAGAAAGAGGTCGTGCTGCGATGCCTGGGAACAAGACGTGTGGGGCGCGCTAGTATTCCCGGCGCCTTCGAACATGTTCACCGACACTCGCATGCTGGCCTTTTCCTTTCACTGATGCCTAGCAAAGTTGCGTAGGACCTTGTCTACATGCTACCCTCTGCTCACCCAAGTTTACATCAGCTGGGGCTAAAGTGGAAGGAAGTATTGTCCAAGTAGGTGCTGACGGGCATCCGAAAACGGTACATGTCATGGCATCCTTCCAGATTCCACTATCATCGGCTCCAGCATTTTCTGACATACCACCAATATCGCACTGCCATCGCATTTGGGTCCGTACGGTCTCATACGACCCTTCTGGATATTGCTGACCCCACCAGAATACGGAAGCAGCCCGGTTCACGCCATGTGCTCTGCCATTCGTAGCAACAATCCCAGCCATACTGGCAGCATTGGTACTGCTGAAATACTCGCTGCGGATTGCAGACGGCTACTGGCCGGGATGGACAAAGCCCTTCGTACGCGAGGAAAAGGACAAGTCGAATGAGTTGGAGACAGGCTCTACACCGCAGCCTTTGACCAGCACATTTGGCCTCCTAGTCCTGGCTACGGTTGGACTTACATTCCAGATTCTGAGCGCTTTCTTTCCCGTACGACAATCGACGGCATTTTACCCGGCTATCGCATGGGTACGTACAGTGTGGTGAACTTGGAATCATCGGTTAACAGTTATTGCAGGCCATCGTAGCAGCAATTGTTATCGTGGAGCGTCCAAGAAGAGCTTCGTTATCGTTGTTGCTTCTTTTCACGAGTCTCCTACTCGAACAGCTGGTCACACTAATCCATAAGGAGAGCCCACTCCTAGCTAAAGATGTTCCTTGGATCGTCGCACCCGTGGCCGCTGCACTAGGCATCGTTCTGATTCTCAACATGCCTCTCCGGGACCCTGCACTACCAAGAAAAGATATCAGCCCAGCTTTTGCCACTCCCACTGTGCAACTTAGGACTCCCGAGGATAATTTGACTCCTTGGCAGTACATGACAGTGTCATGGATGGAACCACTGATCAAAAAAGGCGTGACACGGCAGATGGAAGACGAGGATATATGGGATCTGGGCTGGGAATTCAAGCACGCGCGGCTTCACGAGGCATTTCGAAAACTACAGGGTTCGGTTACAAAACGAGTCTTTGTTGCAAACGGCATGGACTTGATTTTCACAACTGTCCTCAACGTTGTTCGGATGTGCGCAAGTAAGTGGTATTCCCCATATTGCTTGAGACGAATTTAACATAAGCAGCTCTACTCACACCTGTGCTTTTGCAGCGGGTCCTCGCATCCATGGAAGATAAGAACAGCAGTGCTACAATCGCCTACGCCTGTATCATTCTCGTCTTAAGATTAACATCTGCCCAGCTTAACATCTTCAATCTGTGGTATCAGAGGCGGTCATACGAGAGATGCAGAGGCGAGCTCATTACCATGCTTTACGAGAAGACTCTGCATCGTAAAATTTTGGGTGCGAGACAAAACGTCAAAGAAGATCAAACGAACGGTCGCAGTAGCCCCGAAGTAGACGAGGTGGGCAACGAGAGCGGTAGCAGTCTTGACAGCACGAGCAAGACAGCAACTAAAAGTTGGCTACAGCGTGTGGCCACTTCTGTCCGATCCATGTTCTCAAAGAACATCAAGACACAGGTCAAAGATAACAACCAGGCTGCATCCATGGGCAAGATCCTTAACTTGATGCGAAACGACGCTTATGAGGTAGCACAGCGCTTCTGGGAGTTCTCTGATATCGTCACTAAGCCTGCAGGTGCCATATTTGCGACCATACTAATATGGCGGATGTTAGGTTGGGCGTGCCTACTTGGTGTTTTGGCACTGGGTGCTTCACAGCTCGTCAACATCGTGATCGCTCGCTTTCAGGTCTATTTCGAGAAGAAGCGCAGAGTTGCAACCGACGAGAAACTGCAACGTACAAGCCAGTTCATTGAGTCCATCCGCCATCTGCGCTGGTACGGCTGGCAAGGCGCATGGCTGGAGGGAATCCTTGAGTCTCGTCAAAAGGAGCTGCATCTTCGTGTGGTCAACATCATCTTCTCGACATCGCTCTCCTTCATCCTCCGCTTCGGATCCGGATTGTTCCCTGCGGTTGCCTTCTACGCTTTTACTAAAATAGCCGGCCAGCAGTTGCGCGTTGATCTGATCTTCCCTGCATTCGATCTATTCAATCTATTAGAGTCGTACCTGAGGGCGCTTCCGCAACTCGTCACTACCGTGCTCAATGCATACGTTGCAATGGGTCGTATTGAAGAGTTCATGGCCGAGCCAGACAAAGAAGAGACGGATGTAGTACCAGAAGGGTCTGCTGACCTCGGCCTTCACAATGCATCTTTCGCGTGGCCTGGAGTTGACCACGATGTCCTCCAGGATATCACGTTATCTTTCCCCCCCGGACTGACCGTAATATACGGAGAGGTTGCTGCCGGTAAAACGGCGTTGCTACAAGCCTTACTTGGCGAGCTTGACATCACAGCTGGTGAGCTGGTGCGGCCCGATCAGGTAGTAGCATATTGCGCGCAGACGCCATGGCTCCAAAGCATGAGTATTCGTGACAATATACTTTTCTCCTACCCTTACGAAGAGGGTCGCTACAAGCAGACTCTGGAAGCTTGTGCCTTGTTACCTGATATGGCAGAGCTCAAGCACGGAGATTTGTCGAACATTGGCGAAAACGGTATTGGCTTGTCCGGGGGTCAGAAGGCTCGTGTAGCATTGGCGCGAGCTGTATACAGTCGCGCAAAGATACTTCTTCTTGACGATCCGCTATCCGCCCTTGACCACCAGACGGCCGAGTTCATCGTTGGCAAACTACTAGCTGGGCCATTGCTCGATGGCAGAACGACTATTCTTGTCACACATCGAACAGAACTTTGCCACGGTATCGCGAAGCAATGGGTCCATCTAGAACAGGGTAGAGCGACCCTCCACGAGCCAAGCCAAATTGAAGACGCGAATGCACTAAAGCGCACCCAGACCAATGATACTGAATCAGAGGAAGACGCCAAGAAGCGAGAAGAAGAGCAAGCAGCGGCTGTACCCGACAAGTTTATCGAAGATGAACATCGTGCGAAAGGTGGCGTCAAGTGGAGTGTATACTGGCGCTACATCAGAGCAGGCACGCTACGATGGTGGTCTATTGCCATTATCGTCATGGCCCTCTTTCGTGTGCTGGATGTCGCGCAGACGTGGTTCATCAAGTCGTGGGCAGAGAGTTACAACGAGGAGCAGCACAAAGGTATCTTCGACTTCCTGCCACCGGCTGCAGATGACGTTGTGCCTTGGCTTTGGACTTTCTTCGGGTTCGTCTCCGCAACTGCCATACTTTTCTGGTTCACAAACCTCATCATGTTCGGCGTAGGCTACCATGCCGCCAAGGCCATCTTCAAAGAGACCATCGAACGCGTTGCACATGCGACATTCCGATTTTACGACGTAACGCCAGTGGGACGACTGATGAATCGATTAACAAGTGATATGAACACCATCGATGGCGATCTGAGCACTGCCTTCATCATCTTCGCATGGCAGATCATAGGCTGGACGAGTGCTGTCATTATCATCTTGTCTTCGACCCCAGCTTTCTTAGCTTTCGGTTTAGTGCTTAGCTGCGGATTTGTCTACTACTTCTTCCGTTTCCTACCAACGTCGCAAAGCCTGAGACGGCTTGAAGTAAGTCACTCGGCCTCAATCAACGTCTCCCCTACTAACTAAAAACAGATGGTATCACTTTCGCCACTCATGAGCAATTTTGGCGCACTTTTAGAAGGCCTCACGACTGTACGAGCTTTCAGCGCGCAACAACGATTCCAGACCCGTGTCATCGAGGTGGTCGACAACTTTCAGAAGAATGATCACTTCTACTGGTCACTTCAAGCATGGCTTGCGCTTCGCTTCAGCGTCATGTCGGCTAGCGCTACACTCGTTATGACACTCATCGCTGTTTACACACACATCAGTCCTGGTCTCACCGCATTCGTGTTGATTACCGCTGGCAAATTTGTCGTACATACAGAGTATATGTGCAGGATCTATGGAACGCTGGAGATGGACTTTACCAGCGTCGAGCGTGTGGTCGAGCTCCTTGATATCGAGACGGAAGCACCAGGTGTTGTTCAGCCACCCGCACACTGGCCTACCTATAGTGGCGACATTGAGTTCGATGATGTGACCATCCGATACGCAGAGAACCTCGAGCCTGCGTTGCAGAATATCACTCTAAAGATCCCAGCGGGATCCAACACCGCGGTAATTGGGCGAACCGGGTCTGGTAAGTCTACACTGGCTCTCTCCCTCCTCGCCACTATTGCTGCGGAAAACGGCAAGATCTTGATTGATGGAATCGATATTTCCACTGTGGATAAACAAGCGCTTCGCAGTCGCATCACTTTCCTCGCGCAAGAACCAGTTCTCTTCCCCGGAACCATGCGCAAGAACCTGGACCCGTTATCTGTCTATTCCGATGCGTCTTGTCTCTCTGTACTGCAGAAGATTGGCGGTGACCAATACGATTGGACGCTTACCACCTCGATCGAAGGCGGAGGCAAGGGTCTCTCACAGGGCCAACGGCAGCTTGTCGGTCTGGCTAGAGCCATGTTGAGGAGAAGTCCAGTACTGATCATGGACGAGGCGACGGCCAGTATCGATTTTGAAACTGCGCAGAGAATACAAAGCGTCCTAAGGGAGGAGATGAAGAGCAGTACGGTAGTCACGATCGCGCATCGACTGGAAGCAGTCAAGGAGGCGGACTATTGTATTGTGCTTGGAAAGGGCAAGTTGGTTAAGGCTGGCAAAGCCGAGGACATGCTTAGGGAGGGCGGCGAGTTCCAGGGTATGCTGGCGTAGAGGTGTAGGGGAAGATGTCTCCTGTTTGCAGAGATTGTTACAAATAGGTTCGGTTTATGGTTGGAGTTCTGGTTTTGGCTCGAGGAAAAGTTATTGGCATAGACTACTTGTATAGTATAGCTGTTTATCAACGACTTTCTTGTCGTTCCATCTTCTTTACGACGTTACTACGTTAGGCAGTTGTCATCACATACCGTCGATGACAGCAGGTCCAGGCCGAGGTCTTCCGCTGTTTAAGGTTAGCGCGATCACTATTGCCGGTATGGAGGTGAAGGTGAACATGCGACCGTTTGCGAATCTGGCTGTCCAAGTGCGGTCGTTCCCAAATGGAAGACATCCAGATAAAGCGTGGATTGCGGTAATTTGACTGTCCTTAACGGTGCCTGACGGTCTTCAACGCTGCTTTGTGCTGCTTACTGATGCAATGTCGCAATGAGATTTTCTCGTGTAAATCACGACCCGTCTGAAGCAACTCGAGTGTATAACATGAGCCAAGCGTTATACTCTTCTCTGTCACGGTACCCTTTCATGCAAGCTTCCACGAATTGCGGACGTTCAAAAGATGAATGTGGCTGCTGAAGCCGGATTCCGGTCCAGGCATGAGGCTTGCGTGGCACCGCCACGATTTGCGTTAGTCGGCAGGGATGTGGGATGAGCGCATTGGTCGCATTTGGGAAATCGCAGACGCCGCATGTTCCGCGCCTGCAAAGCCTCGCAAACCTCAGTTGGCTCTCATACTCGGCATTATTCAGCATGCGGTGACACCCGAAGAACCTCTCCTAGACTTCCGAACCATCTTGAATCACTCCTGCGCCTCTGAAGCCGCTCTGCCACGATCCGGAGGTGTCGTAAGCTCCGCAACCATACAGCATCACGCGGACCCCCGAGAGATGGCTGCCAACACGCAGTCGGACAGCAATGCAGCCTCTCCAGGCGACCACGAACTTGAGGTCATGGCGGACAGTAAACCCAGCCTCCCGGTGGAGGATGATATCATGCAGCTGGCGCGACTGGGTGAGATTGGAGCTATACAGAAACTCTTCGACAGCGGCAAGTTCGATGCGACATACAAGGACGAGCAGGGCATAACGCCGCTACATGTGGGTACCAAAGAGCGTTGGAGCATGTTCCAGGGCTGACTATGAGTAGTGGGCGGCTATCAACAATCACCACGCTCTCTGCCACTTCCTCATCCAAGCCGGCGCGCCCATCAACGCAAAGGGCGGCGATGCTGTCGCGACACCCGTGCTCTGGGCTGCAAAGCGTTGCAACTACTACATCGTCAATCTCCTCCTCGACCACGGCGCCGATCCTCTCCTCACCGACGACCAAGGCTTCAATCTCCTGCACAGCGCGACACTCGATGGCAACGTGTACCAGATTGTCCTGCTACTACACCAAGACATACCCGTGGATATCGCAGATCCGCAGAGTCACACCCCGCTCATGTGGGCGGCATACAAGGGCTATCCGTCTTGCGTGGATCTGTTTCTCCGGTGGGGTGCCAACGTATATGCGACGGACGACCAGGGCTTCACTGCATTGCATTGGGCGCTCGTAAAGGGCAGCCAGGGATCAATACAGAAGCTGCTCGAGTACGGAGCGGACCGATTCGCCAAGAACAATGATGGCAAGACACCAGAGGTCACGGCACAGGAGATGAATACCACCCGGCAATGGCGTCGCGCTCTAATGGAAGCTGGCTTTGACAAAAATGGAAACGCGCGGCAATTCCCCATCCCGGGTGTCAAAGACACGAGGTGGTTCCTAAGCCGGTTCATTTTCTTCTGGCCATTTGCCATTCTGTTCGTTGCGCTTTCCCTTGTTAGCCATCTGCCAGCGTTTCTCGGCATACCATTGGCCGTGATTGTTGCGTATGTTATGCAATGGGCAGCGCAAAGGTTGTTGCGCTGGGGCCCCTCGAACATGCGAAGCATACATCATACTGTGAGTCGAATGCTCAAACACTCCGGCCTATTCGCTGACGAGCTTCCAGCCTTTCCTAGCCGGTATTTTCGCTGGCACACTTTTCTGGGTCGGTGCACGTTGGGCAACGACTGTATTACCATGTAAGCCACTTTGTCTTACACATAGCCATCTTGCTAACATACCAAGGGACGATACGAACGAGCTTTCTTCTTAACTTCCTATTCGCGGCGTTTTACGCATCCACGGCCTATTTTTACTTCTTCACCATGACCACTGATCCCGGCTTCGTACCTAAGTCGGCGAGCAGAAGTGCGTCCAAGGCGGTTATTGATGAGCTCATGGAGCTACGACAATTTGATGAACACCATTTCTGTGTGAATTGCATGGTGCGGAAACCCTTGCGCAGTAAGCATTGCAAGCGCTGCGAGCGCTGCGTCGCGAAGAGTGATCAGTAAGTGCTCCACATAGGCAGTGAGGGTGGCACTAACCATGACAGCCATTGCCCGTGGGTTAACAACTGTGTGGCGAACAACAATCACAGACATTTTGTTCTCTACGTACTGTCTTTGGAGCTCGGTATTGTCATGTTCATCAGGTTGGCACTCGCTTGTAGGTCATCACATCTTGATTTTGCACCATGGAGCTAACTGGAGCAGACTTGGAGATACGTGACGCACCCACGGAATACCCTAAATGCGCTGTCATCTCACCAGAGCTTTGCAAAGTCCTCAACAAAGACCCTTTCACAATTGTGCTCTCGATATGGGCAGCTTTCCAGCTGACTTGGGTCACCATGCTTCTCTGTGTCCAGCTGCTTCAGATTGCGCGGAACCTGACAACGTACGAGAGCATGCGTGGTCATCTCCATGGCGCTACACCCGCAGATGCACTCAACTCCTTTGTTACGACCGGCGACACCAGTCAAGATGTATCTGGCGGTGCCGGCAGCGCACCAACAAACGGGTTTGGCTCTGGCCAAGACACGGGCGACATCCCTCGGCGTCCTCAACCCAAAGCCTCCATCTGGGACCAGTGGAAGCGTCTCCTTGGAATCGACACGTTCCTCACCATCGCTCTCCACGGAAGTCAAGGAGAGCAAATACGGCGGCAAAGAAGAGGGAACCCCTTTTCACGCGGCATCGTTACGAATTGCAAAGATTTCTGGTGTGATGCCAGCCCAATGTTTGGCACGAAGGAAAGTGGTTATGCGAGGCTTGGTGGCGAGCGAGTAGATTATACAAGGCTGTATGAGGTGCCGAAGATGAGGTATCAGCGGGGCGGAGGGGGTGAGGGAGGGAGATATGAGAGCGTAGCTGCGGAAGAGCAGTCATGATGATGATGTTGCAGATGGTAGTAATGTTAATGATGATGAAGAGTTTGAATGGACACCTGCGTATAGGTACGTGCAAGTACCGGTGATGAGCTTTCGCTGTGTGCAAATCGGCTACTAAAGTGTTGCCGAAACCCCTGCAGCTTCAGCCATACCGGAAGCCAGAAGCCGAGGGTGCAGCGAAGAAACTCCCCGCGCCACCCTAAACAACCCGTCGTGGGTCGCGCACATGCTCGACGCTCCACAGTCCTACTCAGCTCGGTCGCCTGGCGTTTTTGCTGAGCTTTCTTCTCCGCAATGCCATAGATCCATATTGTTTCTTTCCTTACTGTCATCGTCGCGAGCTTTTAGGCTGTGCGCCAAATGTCGAAAATGACATCATCCGAGGCCCTGAGAGGGTTGAGGACCCTTTCGCGATGCGCTGGCCCGGCGCCGAGGAGCATCGCGGCCGGTCAGAATTTGGCTGTTGACAGCAAGAGAGCGCTATGTACGGACTGCGCAAGGAGTTCGAAAGCGAGGAGCAATGCACGAGGGCTTGTTCTGGCACGCACGAACAAGCTGGCGCATGCTTCGAACAGAGTTTCGTTTGCGCCAGTGGGCCGCAGAGGATATGCACAGGTTGCGCAACAGTGTACGTTCGGCCATTAGTAGAGTGACTGCATGGACCGAGTGCTGACTTTGGTAGACGCACCGGACCATTCTGAGCAAACCCATGGGCCCATGGCCGAGTACGATGCGCGTGTTGAGTCCGGACGACTCCGAGACGACGAGCACCAACGCAACATCATCAAGAACCTGCAAGATCTCCACGATATGCTGAAATCCTACACGCAACCACCAGTTCAACAACCTACCATCGAGTCCCTACAGCCGCCCAAGAAGTCGTTCTTCTCCTTCCTTACGTCGTCCAACTCCGTGGGGTCGGCCCTACCACCCATACCCGATTCGCTGCCAAAGGGCATGTACATGTTTGGCGATGTAGGCAGTGGGAAGACAATGATGATGGATCTGTTCTATGACACTCTACCGCCGAACATCAAGAGGAAGACAAGGATACATTTCCACGCGTTTATGCAGAGCGTACACAAGGATTTGCACAAGATGAAGATGCAGCATGGGAATGATATTGATAGCATTCCCTTTGTTGCAGCGGGTATAGCAGAGCGCTCCTCCGTCCTCTGTTTCGATGAGTTTCAGTGTACGGACGTTGCCGATGCTATGATCCTAAGACGACTGATAGAGAGCCTAATGGCCCACGGAACCGTTATTGTCACGACAAGTAACAGACATCCGAATGACCTTTACAAAAACGGAATACAAAGGGAGAGTTTCGTACCTTGCATCAACCTTCTCAAAACGAGGCTCACAGTCCTGAACCTGGATTCCTCGACAGATTACAGGAAGATCCCACGGCCACCAAGCGGTGTATACCACCATCCTCTCGACGCCTCCGCACAAACGCATGTAGAGAGATGGTTCCGCTTTCTCGGCGACTTCGAAAATGACCCCCCACACCCCGCAATCCATGAAGTATGGGGAAGGGAGGTCCGCGTACCGAAGGCTAGCGGGAAGTGCGCCGTGTTCAGTTTTGACGACATCATCGGGCGCGCTACGGGAGCAGCCGACTACCTCGAGCTCACGAGACAATATGAGGCGTTTGTCATTACAGGGGTGCCTGGGATGAACCACAGGTCCAGAGACTTGGCGCGGAGATTCATCACTTTTATAGACGCCGTGTACGAATCAAGGGTAAGCGAGATGCTGGTAGCACAAGACCCCATAGCATGAGGCTTGTGATTGGAGTATACCATGCTAACGTAAACCCAGGCCAAGCTAGTAATGACCACAGCCGTTCCACTAACGTCGCTCTTCCTCGACCAAGCCGAACTCAACGACGCTGTTACCGCTACACAAAAGGCTGGGAAACTTCCTACGACCGTCTCTCCTTCACCGAAGCCACCGGCCAAGTCTGCGCAAGCGGACGACCATGAAGCCATCTCTGACGTAATGCGCAATCTCATGGACGACCTTGGTATGAACATGGACATGTTGAAGAACAGCAGTATCTTCTCTGGCGATGAGGAGAGATTTGCGTTTGCTAGAGCTTTGTCAAGATTAAGTGAGATGGGAAGTCAAGAGTGGGTTGAACGCGGACTGGGCCTTGAAAAGAGAGGTGGAAAGGGAGAGATGGAGGGCTGGCAGAAGGTTAGGAGTAGATGGAGAGAGGATAGCATGTAGGCATGGATACTTGCAATATGGCATATTCTGCAATGCCTTGAAGCTACCATCATTCCATTAATCGAACATGACAATCTTTATTAAAGCTCCCAGGGGAAAGGTGGTAGACATTTGGCGCCCAGCACTTGTGATGGACTTTTCTGCGGGGACATGCATAGAGCTAGAGGAGTGCGCCTTTGAGCGAAACCTGAAATCTATACACAAGTGGGTGTCGTCGACAACAAGTCACTGTGGACCCTTTGTATCCTAATCTGAGAGCCGCCGGAGGCGGTCGATGTGATCTTGTCTTTGAGACTCCATTACTAGGCAAGAGAGATCAGAGGAACGATGAAAGGACGGTTTTTCGATCTTGATTCCAAAACATGTTAAGATAGTCGTGATCGACGCGTCTCCTTGTCAGATGTTACTGCGATGTGCGATGCGGTGCTTATATCGGACGTTGGGCATCTGTACGTGTCAGGTCATGAATCGTCATCATCGTACCAGTGGACAGAAATATCGAGATGCCGTGGTGGTGAGCAGACAGGCATTTTTGATCGACCCGGTTCATTTGGCCGAAACCTGCGGAGCCGCGGTTTGGCCGACATGCTGCTCGCTGGCACACAGACATGATCGCCTCGTGTTCGCCAATATTGCTAGTTTCCAATGCGCTTGTCGGGCAGCAGCGTTTGCGGTCAGATTTCGTTTGCTAAACAAAGGCGGCAGAGCCTAGCGAAGCACATGTTGCAACCACGCGTTTCCTAAAAGTAGCGTGGCGGAAACGGCGGACGCGGCAAGTATCGCGTGCATTTTGGCTGTGGCTGAGGTGTTGCAACGAGGACCATGTCTTGAGCATGTCTGAGCACGTCTGAGCACGTCTAACGGTGTTGGCGGTGAAGGTCAAGGCAGCCAATAACGCGGGCTGCTGGAACCGTCCCAAGTCACATGGACCTTGGCAGTACGTCATGGCCGCGGCGCTAGCATTGGTAGCCGCGATATGCACGACGGCGGGCCAGCGATAACCCTCCTTCTTGAGCACGCGCATTGTCCGTAGTAAGCACATGTTTGTGCTGCCTCCCCAACGTGGATATGGAGACTCCACATCCCGTCACCTGTCCTTATCGTGCATCTGCAGCGTCGTGGATACTCAGGGTGTTGGTGTGGAGAGAGGGTCCTCGTGAGTCTTGCGCTGAACAGACTAGTCATCAGAGGCTTGGTATCGATTACAGGCTGCGGCGTGTGATATAGACCTTGCTGTCTCTCCAACATCCCTCCTTCTCTGTTTGTGAGTATCCTCTCCAAGGGCAGACGGCATGGTCAACTTCACTCCCTGGCGGAAGCCGCAACCAGCGGACGCGAGTGCTGAGAGTTCGACTGCCACATCCACCACACAAGAGAAGGATGCCCCACGACCAAAGTGGAATCTGGGGATCCTGAGCGACCCACAGACGGACGAAGTGCCTGGTAAGGACGTTCCTGCAATATGATCGATACGCGAACAAACAATTAATACTCTCTTCACAGGCTCCGTTATCCTTCTTTCCAAGACGCACAACCGCAACGAGCCGCTAGGACTGCAACATGCCCACGCACGCACATCGGCTTCGTCGCTACCAACCACACAGCGCCCCCAGCCCCTGCGGACTGCCTCGCATGGCTCCCGCCAGTCGTCGCGTTCGCGACGGCCTGAGAAGAAGCGTACAAAGGACGGCCGCTTCATTCTGGACCCTCAGCCCGAGGATTCAGCAAACGACCCGCTCAACTGGGCTCAGGTGCGACGAGACCTCGCTCTCGTATCGCTCGGCTTCTACTGTATGGTCGGAGGAGGAATGACGCCGCTGTTGGCTGCTGGTTTCAACGACGTGGCTGAGACATATGACGTGACGATTCCCCAGGTGGCCTTGACTACAGGCCTGTACATGTTGGGACTTGGTCTCGGCAGCGTCGTTGCATCACCTACTGCCATCTTGTTTGGCAAGCGACCCGTCTACCTGGGCGCAATCATACTGTTCACCATTTCCTCGATATGGTGCGCCGTGTCGCCGAACTACGCCTCACTCGTGGTGGCTCGTATTGTCCAAGGCTTTGCCGTCTCTCCGGTCGAGTGTTTACCAAGTGCTACCATTGCCGAGATTTTCTTCCTCCACGAAAGAGCGTATCGCCTGGGTATCTACACACTTCTTTTGCTCGGTGGAAAGAACCTGATTCCCTTGGTCAGCGCCGTCATTGTGCAAACGCTCGGATGGCGATGGGTGTTCTGGATTACCGCCATTGTGGTTGGTTTCTGCTTCTTCCTCATCTTCTTCTTCGTGCCTGAAACGTTCTGGGACCGAGCTCCCAGGCCAGCCAAGCGACACACTCGCGCCCGCAGTCAGAGTCCAGGAAAACACCATGGACACTTTCATCTGCCACATATTCATCATAAGAAGGCCACAGATGGACAAGCGCAGCATGTGTTCTCAATGCCAGCGACGCCCTTGCCAGCATCGCCTCTGGCGTCACCTCCTGAGCAGCCTGCCAAACGCCACAAGAATGCCCATGTTGGATTTGCAGAGCCAGATCCCGATGAAAAGACTGGCCACGTAGATATGACTAACGAGACTGCACGCCATGCAAGTGTTCCGCCGACTCCTCGCTCCCCGATGAGCATCCATTCTACCCCCAACGAGGATCCAAGACACGACTACTTTGGTCAGCTCCCGGCAAATTTGGGGTCCGACCCTGAGAAGCAGGATAGTCGAGCTGACAGCGGACACCCGCCGTCTGATCCTGCTGCAGCCGATCACATCTCGGAGCAGCTGAGCATCCACTACACCGACTACTATCGTGATGCCCCAGCAAAGTCGTACCGCCAGTCGCTAAGACCGTGGAACGGTCGTCTTGTCAAGGACAAATGGCTTCGCGTCGCAGTCCGCCCATTCATTCTTTTCGCCTATCCTGCAGTCCTTTGGTCGTCGCTCGTCTACGCTCTCGCTGTTGGTTGGCTGATTGTGCTTTCTGAGTCGGTTGCCCACATCTACCGCGATACCTCGTATAACTTCACCCCGCTTCAAGTGGGTCTCGTCTACATCTCGCCTTTCATAGGTGGCGTTCTTGGTACGGCGGTGGCAGGTCGAGTTTCCGACCTTGTAGTACGTTTCATGGCGCGCAAGAACGACGGTGTATACGAACCGGAATTCCGTCTTCTCATGGCGTTGCCAATCGCAATTAGTACTGTCATTGGACTTATGGGCTTTGGATGGAGTGCAGAAGAAAAGGACAATTGGATTGTCCCTACCGTCTTTTTTGGCGTCATCAGTTTCGGTTGTTCGTTGGCTAGTACGACATCGATTACTTTCGTCGTGGACAGTTACCGCATGTACGCAGGCGAAGCACTTGTCACGCTCAATTTCTCGAAGAGTAAGTCGCCCCTTAACATCACTTTGAGCACACACATGCTAACGTACCTTGACAGACGTTTTACACGGCTTCATCTTTTCCCTCTTCTTCCCGCATTGGCTTGAATCCAGCGGAAGCAAAGATACATTTTTAGCAATTGGCGGCATCCAGTTAGGATGCATGTTGTTCAGCATCCCCATGTACATCTACGGAAAGAGGGCACGCATGTGGACGGTCAGAAAGAACTTGATGGAGAAGTTTTAGAGAAGTTTGATAGATGTGACTATGTGAATAGATTGGGTATGAATAAATAATCTTCTTCTTCCCCATCAACTATAAGCAGTGTTGCTGTGCGTCATCCGGGGACCTTGTATGAGAATAGTGTAGTGCCTTCACGAGATCTGATATCTGCCAATGTCGATGTGAATTTATTCTTGCTGATCGCAGGCGCGACCTGATGCAAATCGTGCCAAATCCAAGCAAAGAGAGTTCTGTTGATGAGCTTTTGTCATCCCTCAAACCTAATACTCTGTTGTGCCTAACATGGACATCAATCGATATACCTAGTACACCGCTCGTTGCTTAGACGACGACGCTTCGCCCTTGGCGGCGGGCAGTATTTTGCGCTCGACGCACCCTGCGGCCCCCGCTCAGGCTACATCAAACAGCCCCTTCAACACCAGATTGAACCCTCACACCGCCTATACCACCGTTTTTGGACTTGCTAGATATCGTTCTTGTCACCAAGTAACCCGCACCTACACCTTTGTACACAATGGTATGTAAAAGATGTTCCTGTCCCCCGAAACTCGGACCCCGCATCACTCGTGGCTTCCACGCTATCGTTGGTTGGCCGCGGCCAGGTCGTCCCTGCCCTGGCGAGTGGAAAATGGGCAGCGGCGAGTGGCCGCATCAACGCAACGCGCGTGCTTCACTTTATCGAACATGGTGTCAACAGATCCCCTTCACTTCAGCAGCAGCAACAACACACCGACCGAGCGCTTCAACCCACAACAACCACCCCGCTACCAGCAACTTGACAACACACGAATAAAAGAGCAATGAATAACAGTAATCAGGCCTCTACAAACTACCGCGAAGCTTTCCAGCTCTTCGACAAGCGCGGCAACGGCCGTGTCGACCGCAGCGCACTGGGCGACCTCCTCCGCGCATGTGGCCAAAACCCTACGCTGGCTGAGATTGCCGACCTCGAGCGTGGTGTTGGTGCAGACTGTACGTATCTCCACATGACCTGATTCGCCATTCCCAGGCGTGTCACCCCGCTGCACCTGGACTCCAGGGCTAACGACTTGTGCACAGTCGACTTCGACACCTTCTCCAAGATCCTCAACCGCCCCGGCGGCTTCCGCGAACCCTTTGACATTGAAGAGTACATCCGCGGCTTCCAGGTCTTTGACAAAGACCGGAGTGGCTTTGTCGGCAAGGGTCAGATCAAGTACATTCTGACCAACTTGGGCGAGAAGATGAGCGAGGAGGAGGTCGATGAGCTGTTCAAGAGCACGATCGATGCCAGCAATAACGAGGTGGACTACAGGGGTGAGTTCCTCATGTTCACACGGACCGAGGGTGACATTGGCTAACTCGTAATCACAGAGTTCGTCAAGACGATTGCGGAGAACTAGACCGCGGTCCTTGCGATCCTTCGTTTCTTCGTCCCCATCTTCTTCTCCTCCATTAGGATTTTACGCGAGCATGTCTGAAACGGGTCACGGTTTTTTTGCATGCGGATAACGTTGGCGTTGGAACTGTCTTAACATGATATATATACACTTCTTTGATATCTGCACAGTAGGGCTGCAGGGCATGGAAGTCAGATAGCTGCGAGCAGCGAATCAAGATGCGAAGACAATATGATAATGAGTCGAGTAATGCTAGTCACGCATGTGCAAGTGAAATGTTGTTGTAAACAGGGAATGCAACTCTGTTTTTGGATCCATAAGGGACGCTGTGTGCTTATAGACATGTAGGCTTCTTTCCTCCTGTAGCATGAGAAGCCTTGCGCGTTCACCAATGGGGTATCTAGATGTGAGAAGGGTGAGGAAATAAAACGTCCCGCTAATCCACGCTGCCAAACTCCGAGCGACATGGAAAAAGCAACCGAAATCAATAAACGCCTAGACCCAGATTCGTCAGGATAATCGTAATCGTGGTTCCATAAATTCTGTTGAGAAGCACTGTGCGTAATCCCCAGGGGGAAGTAGCGGAAGAAGGTGGGGAGCCCCAGAACTCAACGGCTGACGGATCCGCCCTATGCCTTGACCTGAGTGACATTGACAGTGCCCATCCCTGCGCCGCCCACTGCAGATGCAGATGCGGGTGCGGTAGCCGTCTTCCCCATGATCATGTCGCTTGTCTTGACGAAGCCACCCGGGAGAAGGAAGACGTAGTCCTCGCGCCTGCCGGATCGATCGACCGCGAACTGTTGCCAGTCTAGCTGGTAGCCCACGACCAGATTGCACCGCCCGCAGCGCTGTAGATAACGCTTCTCAAAGCCCTCGTCGCTGGTTATGATTTCAGCTTGGCGATCTTGTCGGGTGGACAGGAGGAGGCCGTAGTGGTCTTGCGAAGCCGCGTTCTTGTTGCGACCGGAAGTGGGCGCTGGAGGCAGCGGCATGATGTGTGCAGCATCGCGCGTGTGTTGGCGTTTGGGTAAAGAGGGAAGCGGGGTGGTTGTTGCGAGTAACAGATGGTTGCACAGGCAGTGGTATGTGTAGACCGTATTGCTGGCCTGGAGGGAGATCTTCTCATCAGGAGTGGGAGAAGGCATGGCGAAGTAGGCGCGGGAAGTAGTGGCGATGTCCATCGTAGAGATTGTGTGTGTGTGGGTGTATGAGAGAAAGGTGTAGTGGATGGTCCTGGAACAGGCGTGTCGGGGAATTTATGCTTGTGAGCAAAAAGCGATGCCGAGACCCTTTATATAGTCGCCTAGAAATGATGCGCGGTACCGATCAACGGAACCGTGGTTGGATAGGTACAGCGAGAACGTGGGCTGGCGTGTGTGGTAGTCGCGCTATGTAATCGAAGTGGAACGTGGTGGAATATGCTATGTCCGATTGGAGTTGAGACGGGCAGAAAATCGGAGGTCCGACCCTCTTATAGCTGGAGCGAAGGAAGGTCGACGACGAACCCTGATGCTGGTTCCTACGCTTGAGAAACAAGCGTACGTGGTGGAACTGTGGGGATCCTTCCTGTCTCGTCGTGCACAATGTAAGATCGCCGCCAGTGCAGAGTGCCAAGTCAATCAATAGTAGCTTGTCTGTGCAAAGGCAGAAGCGGGTGAGGCGGAGGCGGAGGCGTGTTTGTGCTGGAGGGTAATTTGTTTGAAAGCCGGGCCGGGCTCGAAACCCTATGCTCCAGCCAAGCTCAGTTATGAGACCCTCTTGGCGTGTCCTGTCGGTGGAGTAGGCGGTCCAAGTAAGCTAAGCTTGGAGTCAGAGGGTGCTAGCAGAAAGGTCTGAGTGAAAAGGGTCCACTAGGCGCTCCACAGTGGTAACGGGAATTGATAAGAGCAAGCAGTGCAGGTAGACATGGGCTTCAGGCAGAGGATGTGAGATTTATAGTGTCATAGGTGGCCGGCGGAGGAGGAGTAAGGGCAGAGGGCGTCGGCGGCGTCATTGCAGATTGCGCGGACAGCGGCCAACCCCACGATGCGGCGTCGGCGTCCCCACGGTGTTGGACATGCGTCTGGCTGTGCGAATGGATGTGTAGCACCTCAGCACGCGTCGCATCAGTTCGACTCGGATTGCGCCGCCTGCAACTCAGCATGTGACACGATATGAATTGGGCCGAGAACGGGGCCCTCTGGTCGCCTCGCCTCGAGTTTCCGGTGTAGCGTGGGCGCTACCGTGGTGGTGGGGTGAAGAGGTATGGCGTGCAGGTGCATGGAAGCGCACGAGGAATGTTCCGTGCGCCGTCGCCCGCTTGCGCTGGGTTGAGACTGCTTGGCGCCTCAGTGCTTGCGACGACGCTTAGACGCCATCTGAGGCGACACACGGGGAGGATGCCGCTCACCAAGGAGGTCGTCAAGTTTGGCTCCTTTGTCGTCACCAACCAGGTGCGTCGTGCCTGTGCAGCAGCCGTCGTAGTCGCAGACCAAGAAGACGCGCAGCTGAAGCTAACTCTATGTAGGTCTTCCACCTAACGCGCCTGTCCTTTGCCATAGTCAACCTCAAGCCACTACTGCCTGGTCATGTCCTGGTTTCGCCGCGTCGGGTCGTGCCACGTTTCAACGATCTATCCGCTGCCGAAGTGCAAGACCTCTTCCTGACTGTACAACGTGTGTCCCGCATGGTGGAGCGAGTCTTCAGTGCCTCGTCTCTCAACATCGCCATACAGGATGGCATCGATGCAGGCCAGAGCGTGCCTCACGTTCATACACACATCATCCCTCGCAAGAAGGATGACCTCGAGGAGAAAGGCGGCACCGACGCTATATACGCCATGATGGAGAGCGAGGATGCAGACCTCAGTAAGCAGCTGGCCAACAACGACAGGGCATCCAGGGCAGACATCGCTGAAGAAGAGAAAAAGGGTCGCTTTCCTGCTGTGGACAATGATAGCCGCAAGCCCAGGAGCGACGACGAGATGCAGAAAGAGGCCGAATGGCTGGCAGAGGAGATGGCCCGCGACGAGCAAGCCGCAGGGACTGCATAGGATGACCAACGCGCTGTCTAGGAGGTTTCTCCTTGGGCCGTCATGCTATACTCGGAGACTATAAGCATCGCAGCTACTGCAAGCTATGGCGTCCACATTGGACCCGAGCCTTGCCTCATACTTGCAGAAAATGGATGGTGCATGTGCGGGCGCTTGCAGTTCAGAACAGTGTGCTTATAATAGATGAGTGCCTTTCATAGACTCAACACTGATAAATCCTGGATTTGTCCTTACGCAGTCATCCCCTCTCTTCCCGTCCGCTCGCCTGAGCGCCATCGTACTTTCCGCGCTTCCTCATTGTCGAGCAAACCCTGCATAGCCTTCGAACATACTACTCAAATTGTCCTAATCTCCACTGTAGAAAGCATGCCAGGATTCACGTCAATATCTGTACCTTCACCTACGGCGCAGTCGCGTTTGCTTCCGTCATGCAGGAAGCCCGGTCTTGGCGCTGCAGCCTGCATTACCGCCCCAACACCACGCCTTCTACCATCGTGTATGTCACTCTACCGCTGGCGACACTCTCCTTGTTTCTGTGCTTCCAAAAAAAAATCCTTCAGCAGTCGTCTCAGATCACTTCGCTACCAGGTTGCGGGTTCGTTAGAACACTGGGTCTTAGCGCAGGCGGTCTTTGCTGTTTGGTTCCAAGGTACTGCTCATCCGACCAGCTGAGTAATTTCAAATATTTGGCCTCCTGCGAAAAATCTACTTCCGGTCACGATTTCAACTTCCACGGGTTATCGTTGCAGCAAAACAATGACGTCCTGTAACACCGACTTGGACCCTGATGAAGTCGAGTTTCTGCACGAGACATACAAGGGCAAGGAAGTCATTACTCTCGAGGATGAATCAGATCATGTCAACGACAGTGGACAGACATCTCGCAAATACTCACCACATTTCATGATAGACTTCCGCCTGCTCGATCTCCCGGCGGAACTTCGAATCCATGTTTACTCGTTTTTAGTCCCACACAACATGGTGATTACATTCGAGCGGTATGGATGGTCCAGTGGCAGCGAACCTGATTGGACCATTAATGCATTCCAAAAGGGCGACGACGTTCCATACAAGATAGGAGGCAATCCATACTACAGAAACACAAAAGTACGACGCTATAATCATTTCAAAGTCGAGACACAACTATTCCGAGTGAGTAAGTCCGTCTCCAATGAGGCCAGGTGTGAGTCATCCCATTGATTCGTATAATATGTACTAATGGTTCCAGCGGTTCTGTATGGATCGAATACCTACAACTTGACTGTTCATGGAAATGCCGTGTGGCCAAAGTCACTGCGGAGTCCTTTCGTCTTCGGACCTTTCGGCCATCCCGCTCGACTACCTCTACTACGAAATCTGCGAAGCATCCATATCGACGTGATACCCGATGTCGATAGCCACTGGGCGGTCAAGCGTCAACGGTCAAGACTCGAATATCTTGTCGAGATCCTGAAAGAACATGCAGACGACAGCGACCAAAAGTCCCTTTTGCAGAACCTGAAAGTTGACTTCCAGTTAGTCTCGCCAGACAAGGCCGAGAGGAGGCTGCGCGATCGTCCTGCGTGGCCGCGGGTCGTGAAGCCTGGAGTTCCTGAGGACGTTGGGAAGTTCATGTTCGGTCTTGAAAGCCTGGCATCCCTTCGCGGTATTACGGACGTCGAGATCAACGGACTACCAGAGTGGTACGCGAAATGCATACAGCTAGCTATACAGGGCAAAGGAGGAGATATCCAAGAGACGGGCTGGCCGCTCGTGGAACTCAAACGTCGCGCAAATGGGAAGCGCAGGTCGTCGAAGAGATTGTTGGTCTCGATTCGCAAATGGCATCAGCCAACGCTGGATTGGAAGGAGTTTGCTGAACGCAACGGCATTACAACTCCAGCTGACATTGACAAGTTCTCGGCAGATGAGAAGTAGATTTGTATGGGGTGCATCCTTTCTTTTAGGTTGGAGTAATGGTTTCATGTCATAAAAAGCTACTGTGACAGCGGAGTTTGAGCCCTGAGAGAACATTGACGTAAAAGTTCTAAAGACGGGTGGGGTGTCAGCAGGAAGATGAAGCAGCTCATTACGCTCACGGCCATCAATGATTGCACGGCCTCGTTAGGCCATGAAGTCACAAGTTTCGGTGATGATAAGTCTGACAAAGTGACAGTCTTGATCAAGTCAGCTTCAATGTAATCATGGAGTTAACAGTGGTTGGAAGCATTTAAGAGGGGAAGCTCTGTAGGTGACGAATCACATGTGACAGCTGCTGCATCGGCTTCGTAGCTCACATAAGTAATACCTGAAGAGACCACGTCTTTCAACAGCTATTGCATCACTCTTTGGCCTGCTTGAATGCAGAGATGACTGCGTGTACAGTCACAGACGTGTGACTCTTGCCGTCTTACCCCATCCATGGATGGTACCTATAAGTATGTGGCTTGCCCCACGTTTGCGGCTTGATTGGCTGGCGAGCATGACGCGAACTACGACCATGACCTAATGACTCCTATCGCGCCGCGGCCTTTATCGCCATCTGTCCCTAAACACATGCTCAGTGGGTAATAGAGCTTCTGTCTCCTTGTCCTCTGTTCAGATATCTATCTACTACAATCTCGTAGCATCTCCCTTCGTTGAAGCCCGTCCCTACCACGCCTCCTGTAGTTCGCACCCTCAACGCCACCACAATGGCAGTCGGCGATATTCCCTCAAGCCCCCAGCAGGCAGCTGCCCCGCCTCAGCCCATCGACATCGAAGCGTGGACCGAGCAAGCAACTGTTGCGCTCAGCTCGGTGGCCATATCTACCCCTGGCGATGCGCTTCAGGGTACCTCGGTTACACTTGCGATACCACTCGATGAACCCGATGCGCCTGCTGCTGCTGCCCACCCCGTAGGTGCCTCGGCAGCTGCAAAGGAAGGTGGCTACTATCGTCGCAAGGAACCACTCCGCCGCGACAGCTTGAAGAGGCGTGAAGCTCTGCTCAAGGGCAAGGAGGGGTCCAGGCGCAGACAGCGTTGGGAGAATGGTACGTTGAGGGTCTGCCCCTCCCCCTTCCGTTGGAGACGCTTTGCGCATCGCCACACTATCTCCTGATATTCTTATGCACTGCGAGTAATTCATCGTTCAAAGTACGCGTCAATTGATTTCTAGCCAGACCGTCTCCTGAACAACCCCTACGCTGAGCCTCCGCTGCCGAAGGACTGGGAGGTCCATCCTACCTACACGTCCAAGAATGTACCCTACTATCTCGCTCCGCTCTGGGACGCAGGCCTCAAGCGCCAGTCCAACGAACGCAAGACCGCTGCCGTCGCCCAAAAGTCCGCTACCAAGACTGTAGCCAATAAGCCCACAACTCCCGGTGTCGTGCCCAAGGAGCTGCGCGAGAAGCTGAAGCGATCGCGCGGTGCTAAGGGTCTGCTCATGGACCTTGAAGGCGAAGTGCGCAAGTTCGTAGAGGGCTGGGAAGAAAAGGAGCGCAGGGCAGAGCAAGACGGCCTACCTGCTGATCCAGACAGCGAGGACGACGAGATCGTCTTCGTTGGAAGGAACGGGCAAATGAACGATCTTCGCTCGCCTACAGAGGCTGAGGCTATCAAGAAAGAGCTCATGCTCTTTGAGACGCCCGAGGAAGACGTTGGAGGCAGCTTCGGACGTTGGCTCGTACACCACATCGGGGTTTACTATGGCTTGAAGACTTGGAGTGTCACTGTTGGCAACCCAGCCAGGCGCGAAGCCTATGTTGGCCTAAAGGGTGCGAAGCTCCAGGCTGGCAACACTGGCAGCCAGGTCTGTGGCACCTTGCCTCGACCGCTCTATGGCTTGGTATAGCTTGCTCATGGCCTCTTGAGCTCCTTCAACATCTGTCGCACACTCCATGTCTGTTCGTTTGGTCTACTCTACTCATGTACACGGCGTGTACGTGATTCTGTATCTCGGACGCACACCTTTTTCATGATTTTGGTCGCCCCTCCGATTCGCATCTGCATCTACATCTGCATCTGCATCTGCATATATATGGATGGGCCGTAACTCTTTGAATCACACATCATGCTCTTCTAGGAAGCTTGACTCAACAGTTAATCGTGTTGCTGATGCTATGCTCGATTAGGAAAAAGGCTGACCCAAAGCTCGGTCGCGTACCGTAAAGTAAGGGTTCAACCTCTCAGCTCGGCTTTGTGCTGTGCATGCACACATGAGTCGCGATCATTGAGATTATGCTACGTGCCCTGACTCTCTCATAGACTTGTCCTTCTAGGATCACACAATGTTGCCAGTGGCGTTCATGCGTTACTTCGCATAAGACGATCGTCTGTAGGAACGATCCTTCAGATGTAATTTGTTTGTCATTGAGAGAGCCGGTTAGGGTGATGAAGGACGAAGGGGCGATTGTGAAAGCCACCTTTATATACAAGGGAGCTTATTATGGGAATGACGATGTGGTAACATACGACATCTTGGATGCTATGACACAGCCCGAGGAGGAATGAAAAGCGAACGCAGTAGCATTCCTTGATGTGGGCTGTTTTTCTTCATTTTCGCACTTTGCATCCAACTAACCACACGCATCAGCAACCCGATATTCCAGATAGGCACCGTCTGTACCGGGATGAGAATCGCCCAGATTTTGATCCAAAGAGCGAGGTGTATCTCACTCAAGAAGACATCCATAACCGCGAAGAATCCGACCATGATTATGATATGCACTTTGACTCATACAACGCACCTCCGCCCCATGATCATCTGCATGAGTACATGGAAACTGGAGCTTTGAAGCATGAGGAAGGAATTTGTCGGTGCTAAGGGAAGAGCGTACTCTTGTAATTGTTGATACGCTCGCCATGTATCTTGCTTCTAGCGATTCTGCTTGCACCTGGATGTACTCATGTTGTTATCTGAAGTAGTGCCCACGACAACGTGTGAATAGTATCTAGGATCTGGGGGTATGTTTGACCAGACCGAGAAAGATTATAGAGCAGGAAAGCAACGTCCCTTCGGGAATCTTCTTACCTTAGCTAGCCATGCGGACGCGGCTCCGGAATGGGGGTGACCAGGTCACCACTAGGGCATTGTGTTAGCGCGTACGCCCTACACCGAATCACATATGCAGCGACAGACGCAGGCATATACACCACATGGGGGTGAAAGAGCTCGATGTTTTGGAGGATCATTAACAATACGTTGATTCATGACTGCAAAACCGCTCGCTGTTCATGCAATAACTATGAAATGTTCATGACGACGGCGGGGAGTAAACCTTATTCCACTTCACCGACCCTAGTCGAACTTCGCAAAAGCAAGTTCATACGCCAGAGCAAGCGTCATACGCGCGTGCTGAAGCATGTGGTCGAAGCTCAGGTACTCAATCTTGTCTTCGGTTGTGTGAATCTTGTTGTCGCTATACTTGAAGTCGGACTCAATGACGAAGGCTGACGGGTAGCCGGCCTTGGAGGCGCTGGCATGATCTGAGCAGGCGTAACCACACTTGGTCAGGACATACGGAATGCCACAGTAGACAGTGATGATCTTCTTGATGAACTCGGTGAGACCGGCATCAACGAAGTCAGTAATGACACCAACAGACTCAGGCTCGCCCGCATCCAGCGTCTTCTGGACGTAGCCGGTCATGTCCTGCTGAAGCATAGCCTTGACCTTGCGAGCCTCCTTCTCGTAGGACTGGAAGATGGCCTGCGATCCCAGAAGGCCTCCTTCCTCGGCAGAGTACCAGTGGAACTCGATTGTATTTTCTGCCTCGCCCTTGAGGATCTCTTCCGACTTCAGGAGTACGCGCAGCGCTTCGAGGATAGTCACGGTACCGCTACCGTCGTCGTCAGCGCCTGGAGCGGCCAGGAGAGCTGGGAAGAAAAGGTTGATACTGTCCTGGTGAGCGCCGATGACAATTGTCTTGTCGCTCTTGCCAGGGATGGTGGCGATGATGGAGGACTGGCCCCATGGGTGAGGGAAGGCCTTCACGGAGGCTTTGATAGCGCCTGCATCCGAGAGAGTCTTGTTGACCTGGCCAAGGAGCCACGCCGAGCTCTCGACGCCGTATTTAGACTTGTAGTATCGGGTATGGAACGAGGTGAAGGTCTCGAGATGTTCGCGCATGTTGTCCTTCTCCAGCTCCTTGAGTAGCGGAACGATGGTCTCGTTGTGTACAGGCTTTTCGGGGAACTTGACGCTCTCGGCCCTGACCTGGCGGTTCAGCGTGCCGAGCTCGGCATTGTGCGTGATGTCGAAGAAGTTGATGTTTTGCTGTAGCATGTCAGCGGCAGGCTTCACATTGTCTGTTGTCAGTGCTGGGCTGCCATACTTTACGCAGCTCCCACTTCTCATCTTCGGTGACCCATCTTGTCTCGCCCGGTGACAGCTCGATGAGATACTCGTCTGGCTCGATGATAGTAAGCTGCGGCTCTTGCAGCACGACCTGGGGGTCTTTAGGATGCGAAACCGCAGCTGCAAGGGCTGCAGTGTACAGAGGTAGTAGGATCGTTGTTGACTTCATGTTTGCTGTAATGTAGATGGTGACGAGAGCTATGATAACGTCTGTAGCAGCCGGCACGGTGGCTGGGTTGACGCGATGATGCGGAGATGGCTGCGGAGCTGTCCCGTTTCAGCCAAGCGTGTGGATCATCCGTCACGAGGTCACGCGCAAGTTTTAGCAACCAACTGCTACAAATTGACTACGGCGATTTACCAAGTCTATTGATTTCGGGACCGAGCTGTCATGATACCAAGCTCTCAACTTCAAAACCACCTATGTGTCCACGTCTTGTCACCTCTTTCCATGCGTTCTTAGCTCCTGCTTGAAACACTACGCCTTACAAGCCAATGCCACGATCCCCGCAGTTCCGAACAGGATGTATCTCTCCTTACGCTCCGTGAAGAGCAGTGCACCTGCCAATCCTATGGAGACAAGCATCGTTGTTTTAGCGAAGAGCACAAGGCCTCCACCTGTTTCCTCATGACTCAGTAAACGACTTTCACGCCTCTTTTTCAGCGCCTTCAACATCCTAACACGGGTATTCAGATGCGTAGCGGCACCGCAAAATGTCCTGAGTGTAGCATCGCGTATACTTATACCTGGATAATCATAGTCTTCGTCGTTCAGAGGCTCGATAATCCTGTTCATCGCTGGTTTTCTTGTCGCCATGCCCTCCCAGTAGATACGTCGAAGGGGAAGTCCGATGTCATGACAGACGCGAGGTAGATGCTCTGCAAACTTTTGGACGAGCTCGTCGCTTAGGTCATTCTCTTTCAAGGAGAATCGGAGACCTAAGGACGCTTTCTCCAAGTCACTCGTTTGGAAGGCCGCCTCGCGCTCCTGTGTCTGATGCTGATGCAAGGGTACCAGCTGGAGAGTACGTTTATAACTGCTGAGTCGATCCCACATCAGACATGCCTGTTTCTTTCGCTGTTTGTTGATCTTCTCGACGAGTTGTGTCAGCAGAAAGGGTCTTCCATCTCTCTCATCTAGCAGTTCTTCGAGAGAGTTGCAGAATGCTGTCGTAAACGATCTTGGGCCTGGACCAAACGTATTCATGCCTTCCGATACTGCTGCCAACAGCTGATAGGTCCGCGTTCCTAGGTTTCTGCCTTTTGCAGCAAGGCTTGCCATGCAGCAATCAAGTACGACAAGAGCGTCACCTTGCATTTCCTTGAGAATCGGAATTTCCGCTTTGGGCCAGCTAGCCGTTGCCTCGTGCCGCCCAGTAAGCCTGATAGTCTCGGAGCTGACTCTTTAGTTTTGCATTGGCACGAGGCATCCATGGGTCACTCACGCTGATAGCTCAAGTAATTTCTCGGCATCTTCTGCTCCATGTCCGGTGTAGTAGAATATCAGCAGGCTATGTGGGTCATCATGCTCAAATACATGATCCAGAATAGCCTTGTTGATGTCGAGCTGGGGCTTTTTGTTGTCGTTGATGGAATGTACGGAGCACTGATAGCCAAACCTGTCCCTGAAAATACGTTCCAGTCGCGCGATCTATACATGTAGGTCAGTAAGTAGTCGTGGTATTGGTGTGAACTAATTCAGGGGGACGAACTTCTTCAGTATGGCCCTTGAAATCGTCAATGTTCTCATTCCAGCGAATGATCTTCACTGCAACTTTGAGATAGCCGTTTGGTATTTTCAAAGCCTCATTGACGGTCTTTTGAAATATGGCCTGCCTCAGAGCGTCTCTGCTCTCTTCCAATTCTCGTGTGGCTGCATCATCCGATACATTGGCGGAGTTCTTACGCGAGATCTTCATGGGCGGAGGACTGTAGCCGGCCAATTGTTCGCTTCGCTGTCGTGTCACGTCGGATACTATCTGTTGTGTCGTCATGGCGGATTTCTGTGTAACTCTCAAAATTGAGGGCGGCCATTGAGGGATCGATCCTCTTTTTGTAGCACCATATTGGGCTGTGTTTCTCCCGGTACGTTCATGCACCTATGTCTTGTGGCAGTGCTGACATACCCACCTGAGTACACAGCATAGGCGTTTAGCCCCAAGCAATCGGGAAACGATAAGGTAAGGTTTGCCTTGTATTCTGCCCACTTTGCCTTCTTTTTTATTGGATCTCAGACCCCAACGTTCGTCCTGCGCATCGCGCCGCAATCAGCCTTCTTCCAACTACAATGGTAGCCGACCCACCACCACGGTAGCAATCAAGTCAGCCGTCCAAACGATCGGAGAAGCTGAGGCTCAAGCTCCTAAAATGGTACAGACTGGCGTTTTTCGGGGCTATAAGAATGCACAGAGTCGCCTGGAGTATGCCTTACAACCCGGGAAGCCTGAGACTTGGAGGGCTCCAGTACGCCTATCAACTACCTTATTGCCTCAGGCTCATCTATCGTCTGCCGATCTGGCAACAATACTGCTCCATATGTCGGACCAGGTGAGACCTCGTGGGCTCCGCCACCTAGGCACCATTGACTGGATCTATTGCTGACCGGCTCTGCTTGGCCGATTCTAGGGAACCTCCTCTGAAAACGAGCGACTCAAGTCGGGCGTGCGCATTAGTAGCAACCCTACGACAGTAAGCAATGAATCTTGAGATGTGATGAATGTATATATATGATAACCACGACTAGCGCGGTGGATGTTTCACCTCCGGTGGTAGAGTCAAGATGTTGATCACCGAAACAAAGATCGATGGAAGCACCAGGAAGTGTTTCAAGACCTTCTACGTCGCTGTGTCGCGTCTCGTATCTGATCACTACGAATACCAGCTGACCGATTCTCTCACGAATGCATCCTGGGAAGAAGGCAAATGGTTTAGAGAAAATCTTTTGGCGAGTGGTTGAGGCGCTCACGGTATTGCCACGTCTCAGGGGTACTATTGGGCAACGTCCCGCGAGCTAGTCACAGCTCGAAGCTGTTGTGATCTGCGGGTATTCTCAGCCTTCTCAATCATACCACTACAAAAGTTCCGCAGTTTCGCAGGCCATCGACCTTCTCCTGTCCATATGTATCGTTCAATTCACTGATATACTCATATTGCTGCTTTGATCATTGTAAAAACATTATCGCGATGCATTCGCCCAGCACTCCTCCTTGTGACATGCCTGATTTGGAAAAGGGAATCATCGCCAACCCGCAAGGTTCACATGATACGGAGATGGAACACGATAGTCGTGCAACGACTCTGACCGTGAGAGACACAGCAAAACAGTTGCTAGGTCCTCATAACGCGAACACCAAAGCATCCAAAATTTCGGCTGCTCAGATCGAACACAACAGTATCAGAGAAACAATAACGATACCCCGTATGTTCGGATAGGATCTCTTTCCTTATTCAAGATACTAAAGTTACGATAGTGGAGGACTATAGGCAGGGTTATCCGCGACAAGCAGCCTTTCAATCCAGCGAGCCCAGCTGGTCCATATACCGTGGGTTTAACTACCTACACTCCCGAGTTATCCTGGAACTCCAAGACGAGCTCCGATGCATGGAGAAAGAACTTTCCGACATGGACGAGATTGATTTCTACAATGGTGACGAGAACCGACTGAAATCACGAAACAGCGACCTCATGCAGGCGCAGCGAGAGAAGACTGAAAGCGCTCGTGCCGGATTGATTAATGATATCAGAAGCAAGCTTGTCAACTATGGTACGTATCATAACAGTATCTATAGTTTCACAAAACTTACGGTAGACTAGACGAAATTCTCTCACGAGCTCGTGATCTCAACGCTTTCCAGCGTCCGTCAAAGCGCGATTATCGAAGCTTTCGAACATGGTTCTTCAACGTGAAACCTCTGAATTATGAACTGGAGGAGCAATTCATAAAGCGGAAAGAAGATCTTGTCTCACTCCGACATGGTCGCGAATGGTCAGGTTTCGATGGTCTCATCGAGTCCTGTTTGCAGAGGGTACATTGTGGGCTCACTCAAGTAAGCCATTACTGCCTATCGGCGTGTAACCTAAGTCTAATCCGCCCAGAAACTATTCGCAACTGAAGAACTTCGCAAGAAGACAAGCGACAAGTGTATCTTCTACTACTCGCATTCACGCATCGAAAAGCTAGTTGGGCTGATAATCACGCTTATGATCTTCGTGTTGCTGGTCTTACCAGTTGTGGCTATGTATAAGCTGACTTCAGTTGGTGACCGCAACTCAACCTTCGACGCCGTCGGTATCCTGGTTGTTTTCACGCTTCTGTTCTCGGCGGCCATGTCACTTGTGACGAAAGCAAAGCGGCATGAGCTGTTTGCCGCCAGTGCAGCGTATTGCGCTGTACTCGTCGTGTTCATCAGCAACTTTAACAATGATGGAACTCGCTAACTTGGTTCAACATGCAAGCACTTGAGCAGTCAACGGTCTCTTTATCTCTCTTACTGGTATAATTCTTCTTTATATGCACAACCAGATCCTACTTGCCGTTGTTATACAGATGATAGTATCTGGAAATTCGTAGCTTGAGGTAGTAACACATCTTCCATAATCATCATTGAGTTAATTATCTTCTTCGTCTGTACAGTGTACGATGTCAGCGCGTCCACAAAAGATCGTTTAACGCAGCATTTACACCAACGAACATATTCGGCAAACATCAGCACCTTAAGTCCGGAAATGAAAATCGCTTACCTACATGATGCAAATACACGCCCTGGCCTGACACCATCACCTTACGTTGTGGTAGCGGCGCAACTAAGCTAGAACAGATTCTCTAGCCTCGTCCTCGTATATCGTTTGTATTTTTCGAATTTCTTAGTCACAACTTGTATGTCAAAAGTTATCTTAATGTCCACGGGTAGGTGTCAAGCTCGCACGAGGTGTGATTGCGCGCGATGCAGGTGGCTTTAACTCCGGGCGACATCTTCCTAACTCCGGGCGAGGAAGCCCCACGAGGTTCTTCGGGGGCCTAGGTATAAAGAGGGGGACAGAGCCAACGAAGAAACGGTGACACTTTGTCCAAAGAGAGTTCGGATTGTACTAGTATACAAATTTGTATTGCAACACCTCAAACGAAATGGCAGACTCTTCAATCGTTTTCATCACGGGCGGCAACACTGGCATTGGGTACGAGACCGTAAAGGCTCTATATGCTTCGCCACAACCACACACCATCCTGATGGGTAGTCGCTCTCTCGAAAAGGCCAATGATGCCATCTCCAAGCTCAAAGGTGAAGTCTCAGAGTCCAAGTCAGATGTCGTCCCCGTTCAGATCGACATCGAGGACGATGCGTCGATCGAAAACGCATTCAAGAACATCGAGAGCAAGTATGGTCACCTTGACTCGCTGATCAACAATGCCGGTATGTGTGATTTTCTCTCTCTCTCCAATGCAGCCGACTGATGTATCATAGGCGGGTCTTTTGATGGCATTATGCGCAACGACCCTAGCCCCAAAGGCATTCGCGCAGCTTGGGACAGAAGCTACTCCCTTAACGTCACTTCCACCCAAGTAGTGACCCATGTTTTTGCACCCCTGTTGATAGCCTCCAAACACCCTAGGCTCCTCTTCGTGACTTCTGGTCTGTCTTCCCTCGAAACCTCTTCCAGCAGCTTTAATTCCAAGCTCATGAACGCACCACCACCAACGGGTTGGCCCAAGCCACCATCCATGGCTCAGACAGCTTATCGCTCCAGCAAGGCTGGGATGAACATGATGATGCTAGACTGGACACAAAGTCTTAGCGTCGATGGTGTCAAGGTCTTTGGCATCAGCCCCGGATTTCTGGCTACGGGATTGGGAGGCATGGGGCCAGAAATGTTGAAGAAATGGGGCGCAGGCGACCCGAGTATTGGAGGCGTCTTCATCAAGGACGTTGTCGAAGGAAAGAGGGACGAGGATAGCGGGAAGGTTATCAACAAGGATGGTGTGCAGCCTTGGTAGATGCGTTACCCATGGCGTGACCGACGAGCGGTCGTCGTATCACACCTGCGAGATCCTCTGTTCTTGGTGTTGGTTTCTGTTTGAACACTTTATAACGATTGAACGAGGCAAAGTCTCCCACACCAGAATTGTTATCGTGCAAACACCCCTCCAACAGCTGAGCAATGCCGAGCCGACCCTTCGTGCCCACGTAGCTACTTGGTTGGTCTACATGTCTCGGCATAGCTAAAAGTACTGTGCATGATGCTGCATATCATGGGAAGGCTGAGCTATCTTTTTAGTAATGCTCCGGCTTCCGAGAGGCTTGAAAGCTGAAACCCTAGGAGCTGGGACTTGATATATATCTGCCATTCTGAACTCCCAAGAGTTATCACTGCGTGGGACCACAAAGGATTAGGAATTTCTTGCGCATACAATAAATTTCCGTATCTTGATGTTAGTATGACAGCAGTTCTTTCGCCACTCAGCCTTCTGCCTTCATTCCCTATCTCTCAGCCTTCCCCGCCCCCGCCACCAAAAGGCATGCACCTATGATCGCCGATATATCGCACTGCCCAAAGCAGCTCATGGCGACATCGCAATAGGTTGCGCCTCGCTTTATGCTGTTGTTATCTCTCTTGTGGTCCACGTTACGATGCAAGTGCAGAAGACGAAATGACGCGTGCCTCGGCTATGAAACGTTATCGATAAGACGCAGTCGACCTAGGAACCCTTCACCATGCAGCTCTTCATAGCTGCCCCTAGCCTCGAATATATAGAACATTCATATGCCGACCACACGAGGCCAAAAGCGCGACGCAGAGATGGAGGCTGCCCTGAAACTCTTCTTCTCAAGCCCGCGTTTTGCTGTCGCCGGCGCGTCTTCCGATCCACACAAATACGGACATAAGAGTACGCTAAGATATCCTCTTCCAGTCTTACCTCATTCCCGTCATGTCTAATGCGATATCACAGTATTCGCGTGGTATCTCCAGCACTCCCTTCCCGCAACGCCTTTGAACCCGCGGAGCCCGAGTGTCACTATCTCGAACCGTACTCACACCACCGTGCCTTCGCCGACTGCTCTTCAAGACCCACCAGCATCCAGCTACTCTCTGTCAGTTATTACGCCACCTGCAGTGACGAAGCAGTTGCTCAAAGAGGCGAAGGAGGCTGGCATCCCGGCTGTATGGCTCCAACCTGGAAGTTTCGATGCCGAAGTTCTAGAGTACGCAAAAGCTAACTTCAAGGCGGCGATTGGCGGTAATGGAGGTAGGGGAGGAGAAGGGTGGTGCGTGCTTGTTGACGGAGAGGAAGGAATGAGGTTAGCCGGAAGTGAAGCGTCGAGACTTTGAAGTAAAACGAAGGTCGACAAAGTAGTAGGTGTTGCTTCCTACGCTGGCTCTCTGAGGTGTCACGATAATGCCCACGAATGATCGAGATACACTGTATTTCATACTAAGGAGATGATATGTACTTGAATAAACCAAGTCTGCCATCCCGCGTCCACATCCATTGTTCTTTAACCTTTCCTCCACGAACTCTCCGTCTCCAGCCAAGTCTCGAACCCCTTCATTTCCGGATTCATCCTCTTGCACTCCTCATTATCTGCGCCGAATCCCTTCTCGCGAAACCAATTGAACATATAACCAAGCTCTTTCGACATCCAGCACAGCGCTACGGCGACAGACCGGTACGTCATCGGAAGCTTTTCACCCGTGCTCTTTCTAAAAGTCTCTCTAAATTGTTCGAACGAAAGTGAGTCCCCTGCTAGCGACATACGCTTGTTTTGGTATACCGGAGTATCGCTCTTGAGGAATGCTTGAGCGGCGAAGAACCCAATATCACTGGTACTGATAAATTGTAAAGGTTTCTCCTTTGGCAGCTTGATCGCCCAACTCGTTGTAAACACCTTGCCGAAGAAATCTGCAGTCAGATTCTCGTAAAATGCCACAGGTCGTAGTACGGTATATGTCATGCTGCTTTTCTCGGATTCGGAGAAGAGGTGTTGCTCGATATTATGCTTCGTGATGAAGTGGGGGACGGTTGTCGGATCCGAGTCTGAGTTTGCACCACCTCGATCGGCAGAAGAGAAGACGAAGTGTGATACACTGTTCTTGATTGACGCATCTATCAGGTCCTTTCCTTGCTTCTCCTCATTCTTTCCGAGCGCCTGTAGGAGGATTTAGTCAAGCTCGACTATCAATGCTGTAAACATGCTCACCTGAACACTAAAGACTCCCCATATGGGTAGCTTAGTAGACTCTCTCGCTGCCTTGAATACCTCGTCGGCTGTATCGAGGTTTCCAGTGACGAGTTTGATCCTTGACGACTTCTGTTTGAGCTTCTTGGAAGATGACGACTGGGCGTCCCGTGTGACTGCTAGGATCTCATAGGGAGCGTGCGCTTTGAGCAAAGCATCAACGACTGAACCACCTTGTTTCCCAGTCGCACCTGTGACGAGGACTGCTCTGAGAGCCATTGAGGGCTGACCGGATATCATATAGTATGGTCAGGAGAAAAGGAAGGACGTTGCGACTGTGTTCGATTGAGATTTGAGAGATTCTTGCATCTTTTATGAAGAAATCGCTCTGCTATGTCTATTAACATATGCGAAATACAGGCCTGCTTAGTATTGCTCGTACACATGGTGTTGCGCACCGCGACCGCGCGAGTCGGCGGGTTATTCGCCCGCTTCTGGCAGCAGCTGAGACGAACGCCGCTGATTGGTGTTCGGCCTTCCGAACAGCGAATGCGAGGCGGCTTACGGGATCGATCTGCCGGGCTTCTATCTGGTCGCAGCTCCGTCGCATCGTTCAAGCATAGGATGCATCAATAACTGAGTGAGTGTTCCATGACTGACCGCACATCAAAGCGCGAAAGAGGGTATATAACTGCTAGGAAAAACGATTTCAAGTTTTCCAACATAGCGTGCATCGCACCATTAAGCCAAAGACGTTTACATTTCCTTTGCGACAGCCTCCAGGGACTCCTTGAAGATGTTGCAAGCCTGGCTCAACTCCTCCTCGCTGATCGTGAGTGGCGGAATGAACCTCAGCACGTCAAAGACCGAAGTGCTGAGAAGAAGCATGTCTCGCTTGATGCATTCCTGCACAATCTTGGGCGCGATTTGTGGCTGGCTCTGAGCATGTTGTGCAGCAGTGTTTGACGAGTCGCGTTGCAATTCTGGGTTCGCAAACTGGACACCTACCATGAGGCCCGATCCGCGAATGTCTTCGATCAAGTTACCGGCCTTGGTACCAGAAGCTTTGAGATCGTGGAGGAACGAAAAGATCTGCTTGGAGCGCGCGGCGACGTTGTCAAGGATCTTCTCCTCATGGAATGCTTTGACTGTTGCTGTTGCAGCAGCGCATGCGACCGCGTTGCCCGCATATGTTCCACCCATGGAACCTGGTTTCTGGAGATCCATGAGCTTCTTGCTGCTCGCAATACCGGATAGAGGGAACCCGTTCGCAATGCCCTTTGCGAAGATGAGAATGTCTGGTCGTACGCCAGACTCCTGTACGAACCACATGTGTCCCGTGCGTCCCATACCAGATTGAACTTCGTCAGCGATGAAAAGGACATTGTGCTCGTCGCAAATCTGTCTGACGCCGTGTAGAAACTCGGGCGGTGCCGGGACATAGCCTCCCTCGCCAAGAACAGGCTCCAGAATGACAGCTGCGGTATCCGCGGGAGAAGTCTGCTGCTGCAAGGTAAGCTTCAATTGAAGCAGTGCCTGTTTCACGAGTTGCTCTTTCGGTGTGTCTGGTGACATGCCAAACTGGCTGTAGTATGGGAATGCGGACGCAAAGACGCCACCCATCAGAGGTCCATGGCCTTCGCCGTAGATGGTCTTGGATCTCGTCATCGAGGCTGTCGCGTTTGTGCGGCCATGGTACGAGCCCTGCATGACGATGACATTCGGCTTCTTCGTTGCGGCACGGGCCAATTTGACGGCTGCTTCAACTGCCTCTGCACCCGAGTTCCAAAAGAAGACAGTATCGAGCGATTCGTGTGGGAGTATCGGAATCAGCTCTTTGAGAAGAGCGATCTGGGCGGAACTGAAGCCAATGTTGACTTGTGCGTGTGTGATCTTGTTGCATTGTGCCGCTGCGGCAGCGCTGACTTTGGGGTGGCAGTGGCCCAGGTTCACAACACCAATGCCAGCCGTCATGTCAAGCAGCTTGACGCCCTTGTCCGTGGTGATGAATGTGCCCTTTCCATCTTCAAAGACATGCTTCGTGAGGCGACCAATGCCCTTTGCAATGTGCTGTTCACCAAATGCTGCTGTGTCCATAGCGGAGGACGCTGGTTGTGTAGTAGAGAACGTTCGTCGGGGGGTTGGGACGTGTCGCGGAAGAGTGGGTGTAAGGCTGCGTGGAGCTAATAAGCAGCGTCTGGATATCGTGGCGGCCTTCATTATGTATCGTGGGGATTGTGCTGCTGCTTTCGACTGCCGTGTAGGTTAAAGTGGAGGGGTTCGGGTTGAGGCGGCCTGACGTAGTAGCACGCTTATCGCCGAAACTAGACGCCATACACGCGTTCATATGACCTTCGCGATCATTTGCGACGGCCAACAACTCGCTCACATCGCTTCTGCTAACTTCTTTAGGTAGTACAAGAGACCGTTTTGCCAAGAATTCTTACTCAACCACAAATTATCTACACGCCCCACACGCCTGAAATATTGTGCTGATGAAATCGACCTGCAGCCATTGCTTGGGCAAAACTTTTCTGTTGCTAGTATAATAACGATAACGCTATCAAGGCAGTGGCAAACAAACAACTACACATAGCAACTACCCCGAGGTGCACTAATTGGGCGAATTGTAGGAGTCTACAGTTTTCGTTTCAACGTAGGATGTACCATTAGCACAATCGACGAGCCTGGACGACCTCCGGAATCTCTCTAGTCCAGCCGGTGACTGGCATATGCTACTTCTCCGCAGCCAGCAAACGTCAAATCTGTATCTTTTCATGTTGGTTCTGGAAAGGGTACAAGATATAACATGAGAGCCTTGTTTAGCGTCACTGCCTGGGCTCGTGGTCATTTTACTTTGTTCTCATCGTCAGCGAACAGCCTTAGACATGGCTTCCCTCCTTCCGGTCCCAGGCCATCACCCCCGGGTCTCGAGGACCTCCAGCAATGACTGAAGTCACTGTGAACTTGGTCTCCTTTATAATATTCTTCTGAGAATCTCCGTCGCTATTATCAGCTTCGTCGTTGTCGCCCAAGGTCTGGAACGTGTCCATGGCTATCACGCGCGAGCGCGAGGTCGGCTGCCGGTTGTTGGTACCAGATTGGTATGCTATTCCGCCAGACGCAGCAGGACTATTGGAGCCGGCGGACACCCTAATGCGAAGGGATAGGAGAGGACGAAGAGGAGGTAGCGAACCGGCGATGAGGCCAATGCCGACTTCGGTCAAAGACCAGAAGCCGATTTTGCCCGTACTGTACATGAACTCGCCAGGGTCACTGTAGAGTGTGAGGTACTTGAGACGAACGATGGTAGCACATGAGGCACTGAGTCAGGTTAGCTTTTGACCATATTGTATGAAGGATCGCCGAGATCTTACAAAGAAGCGAGCGCAAGCATTACGGCAACCGAAGCTTTCACAGCCCCCTTCATCTGGACATTCCAAAGCAAAATAGCCGGCATGATCGAGAGACTAAAGTCCGCGGTGATCTCGATTGCCGAGTAGAATAGGCTGACGTTCGTGTTGAGCTGGAGGTTGCAAGTGCCGTTGGATTCACCCCATAGTGTGTTGATCGGATGGCCGGCAAAACGTTAGCAACGATGTTTCATACTTGTAAAGCACGCCAACTCACAGATATTTGCAATTCCCACGCAAAAGACTAGAGCAGCAACCATGGTAGCACCGATCAGCGCCCATAAGCCCCACCTGAAGAAGCGACGGTTGGCAGTGATACGCAGAAGCGCTACTGCAACACTGATCTTGACGAACATGGCGCTGGCTGCGTAGAAGTACTCTGCAATGTAAAAGAGCTGGAGACAGTGAGTTTGGGCTCGATTAGAGACTCTTGATCAGCAGGTATATACCTTTGTTCCCTTCGATATCGTCACAGTAGGCAGCTCTCTTGCGAACTGTCCGGAACCATAGTAGCAACAAACGATACAAAGAGCAGCTGTAACTGAGAAAAGAATCTGCAAAGAGCTATCAGTTGATGTATTCGATGTTGGTGGTGTTGCGCACTTACAGCTCCGACAAGCATCAGGTAGTCATCCATACCCCACGCTTTCCTCCATATCCGTACGCCGACTCTCATGGAGAAGACGATCCAACTCAACACAAGCAATATGATCGCGCAGTACAGCAAGGCCACTCCATCTCTAGCCACTCCAACGGTCGTCATGTTGCCTACGCGATGTTGACAAACGTATCAGAGGCCGAGAAACGAAGCAAGCAGATGACGAACACGACGCCTTGTGGCAGCTCGCCGAACGACATATATTGATCGTTTCATCTCTACCACCGTAACATAGGAGGTTCCCGATTTTCTGTCGACTCATGTCCTGGATCGTGAGCCGTGCAAACAAGGCCCCGTGTTACGTCGTCCTAAGCCCGCGGGCGCTAGACGTAAAGAGCTTCGTCTAGATCAGATCTGATGTGTCAACTAACGGCGGAGAATGCCCTCGATAGTAGCTTAGTGTCTAGGAATGCCGCGTGGTCCGAATTGTTTACGTTATTTTCGGGACCCTGCTTTGTGGAAGCGGGTATCTATCGAGCACGGTCCCACTGTGAGCTGCGGCGTGTAGAGGACGTACATGCATCGAAGAAGTCTTATGCGTACCATACTTGCTATTAATCTGAACTGTCGAAGTATCTGCGAGGCGTTGGTGACCCTTAGTCATCGAGTACGGTACATGAGTGGTAAGTGTCGTGATTTTCTTCTCCTGTCGGACCGTTGCTAGCTTAAGTGGGTCTTACAGCTGGTCCCGCCCAAGAACTCCGTTCTAACACTGGCTAGCGCCACGCTCAGACTGCCTGATTAAAACATGTTCGTCCCAAGACGCCGGCAAACTGAGGCTGCTACTTGGGTTGGGCGGTTACCATCATGGTGCGAATCTTGGCTGATAGATGCGCAGTCGCGCGAGCGTACATCGACCCTGAAGCTACTCAATCAGGGTCGCGGCTGACGTGCCACGAGCCGCATCCTTCCCTGCGATGAAAAACGGGTCCCGTACGAGGACCCTCCCGAGCTCGCTGTGTTCCTTGTAAATCTCCGGTAATTCCTCATATCTCGTTTGGGATGATGTTTCTAGGCCCAGAACCCCAGTAGCCTCACTATGCCAGTCAATGACTGTTCCAAATCAGTGCACTCTTGCATGAGCTCGAGCTGATACGCAGGGGGTCGGTGTGTCTGCATATTATCCTGTTCCTTTCTGTATTTTGCCAAAACTTGCGTCAGTTTACTCACCTCATATTTATTCCCGACATGACATCGTTCCAAATCCAAGACTCCGACCTAACGGGCTTTGAGGGCAAAGTTGCCGTCATAACGGGTACCTCGATTCCGTCCAATAGACTACCAGATCCAGAACACTGATAAAGTTGTAGGTGGGTCGTCTGGTATCGGCCTCGCCACAGCAGAACTACTGCTCTCTCTAGGCGCACTAGTTGTGACTGGTGATATTCAGACACCACCGGCGTCTGTGGCTGACTGCCACTTCGTCCAAATCGACGTCAGGCATTGGGGCGATCTCACAAAACTATTCAAGGCCGCGAAAGAGAAGCACGGCCGTGTTGATTTTGTATTTGCGAATGCTGGAGTTGGGCCACGGGCCAACTATTTGGCCCTCGAAGTCGATGAAAATGGTGACCCGAAAGAACCAAACGAGGACACCTTGGACATCAATCTGGATAGTGTTGTCAAGACCGTAACACTCGCTACCCACTATCTGAAGGGCCAAGCTGAGGGAGGGTCTATTGTCATCATGGGGTCCAGCACCGGCTTGCATCCAGTCCGAGCAGTTGATTACTGTGAGTAACAAGTTCGTGGATCACGTGTGAATCTCCAACTAACGGCACGACTCAGCGACGGCCAAGGCGGGTGTTCTAGGCTTTGGTAGAAGTTTTGCGCTGTTGGTGAAGGCTGCTGGTCTACCTATCCGCGTTAACACTCTCGCCCCTTCGTGGACGGCAACTCAGGTCTTGCCCGATTTGAAAGGCCTCCTAGATGCGGTCTCCCACAACTGCCAGCCTACTTCAGTCGTTGCCCGAGCAGCGGCGTACTTGATGGTAGACGAGTCTCGTCACGGGGACCTTATCTTTGCGTGCGACGGTAAATACACAGAGATCGAGAAGGCTGTGCTGGCGCCAGCATATGCAACCATTAAGGGAGACGGATTGAGTGACGATGATGTTCTGGCGAAGGTCCTGGCGCTGGGTAGTTAGACACCCAACTCAATCCATAGACAAATTCTCAAGTAATGGAAACAGGCTGTGTCTGGGGCTGAACATGGATGATGTGAGTTGAGCGATCGCAGAGACGTGGCCCACGGGTCTGGAAGACGGATCAACCCCTGCCAAGACGCTGCCTCTAGTGCTATCATCGCTGCCTGATGTCATGCTGGCTAAACCCGAATTTACTCGCTCTGCCGTGTCGTCGAATCTGCTCAGACATAGACTTCAAATTTGAGATGGATGCAACGAATTATTGAGGTCTAAACACACTGGCTATAGTAATCGCCGTTGGCCTTGCACGTCGACCCACTTGCGCAATCTGTACATCCGCTGTAGGTTTTACCGCCGCACTGCCTAAAAGATGAGGGTACGAAGTCAGTATTTGTCTCACATACAGTTCATACAGGGACATTACTAACCCATACTTCACTACTTCGCATATGGGTGCAGCCGGTACTGTGGGCGTAGCAGATGCGCTGGTCATCATGGTAGTGGGGGAGGCTGTGGCTGTGGGTGCGGCTGTGGGTACAGCAGACGGCGCGGGTGCGGAACCGCTTCCCGTGCCATCCCACACAGCAGGGCCTGGGATAGGATATGTGGTCGCTTGCTTAGCTTCAGGTGAGTCGATGTTGAAAGCGATGCCGGGTTCTGTTCCTGTGTAGGCGCCTGGGAACGAAACGAGCGCTGATGCAGGAGGAGAGGCTGTGCCAGATCCTGTCACGGTGAACTGAGCGCACTCGGGGTAGACTACAGCGTGTCAGCTTGAATGGTGGTATAGGGTTGTGGAGAATTGGCTCACATTGCGGGTTGTTCGCCTGGTGCACAGCGATGAGCTCATGGCGGATCAGGTAGCCACCTGCGGCAAGTGTAGCCGGGATAGTGACCGTAGCGTAGAGGGTGTCGAGGATGGCATCACCTGCCCAGATGCCGGAGTTTTCAGTCCCAGATATGAGGCCTTGCTCATATATCTTAACTGTATCGCGGTACTGTCAGAGACGTAATCTACTCGAGGTATGTATACTTACACCACACTTTACCAGCTCCATCGAAGCTGTCACAAGATCCGGGACATTTGGCCATGTATACAAGAAGAGAAGTCGGCCTGTGAGTCCATTGCTTCCAGTGAGTCTTCAATTTGGCACCAGCGGCAATGGTGCCAGTCATGCCTGTACCGAGAGCGCCGTTGTTGTTGCAGCGAATGTTCACTGTCTAGAATAAGTGAGCTTTTGGTTGATGTACGGTTTTGTAGGGTCTTACTGAGAGATCTTTGATGTACATGGGGTCGTAAGTCGAGTACTGTCTCTGAATGGTCTTTTGACCTGAAGCGGAGTTGTACGGTGACCATCTTGGTATTGTCAGTACATGTTGAGAGTGCGTGTGAGAAGGTGATGTACCCTTGGTAGGTCGTGTCTCCTACAATATACTGATCGACTCCTCCATGAGCGGTTGCAGTCGCAACCAAGGAAGCAACCGCCGTCAATGCTGTGTAAAACTTCATTCTGATGTTGTATAGCAACTAGAGGAACTAATAATAGATAGCAAGTCGATGCGCAAAGATGGGTGGTGGTACGCGCAGAGTGCACCCTCTCATATACTTTCCGTTTGCCCCCGCAAGCCACAACAGCGCGTATCGCGTGAGGAAACCGGGTATTTTGTTGTCTCGTAGAGGCAAATCTCCACGCGTACCATAGATTGATGTGTGATACTAGTCCATATGCCTTGGTCCGTTATAGCCGCATGGCATCTCGGCCTCTGGGCGAATTTCTGTGACCGGGCCAGATCTGGGGAATACCACATAATCTAGTCAGTGGACCAATAGTATGAAAATACAGGTTCAGCTTTTGTGGTCGTCTCAACGGAGAAGAGAGCCGTTGTGGGAATGCATAGATGAAGTGCGCAGGGATGTAAATAGCCGGAGGTCACATTTCGCGGGGAAATCGGTAGCGTGTGCCCATGACTTGAATGCTTGGTATATGAGGTGTGGGTCATCTATAACTTAGGATGATCTTGATCATACATGGCCGCTGCTTGTTCGACCATAAGACATGAAGCTCAGAGCTTGAGTATCTCACCAGGTTTGTTAGCGACAGCATCACAACGGCCGCAGACATTGGCGTTGAACAGGTCGTACATGCGTAAAGTATGGCAAAGACCTGGGTGTGAAAGTATTAGTGCAGGGTACTGATTTGAAGAGCTGCTAGTTGGAGAGAAGACCATACCTCGCGTATGCATGGATGGTCAGAACACACGACGACACGGTACGGTTTACTATATGCGTTTAGTCGAATGAACTGTGAGATATATGGAGCGCCCGGTCAACATAAACCCATCGAGTACGCTGGGCCGAACGAAAACCTGGTCGAGAATCTTAACCATGTGTGTAGCTTGTCAGCTCCAGGACGGACCTGCTTGTTTGGCGCGACAGAGACTGTGAACAGTGAGCATGATTCTGTAACAGTATGTGGTGTCTTTTTCGATGGTAGAGGCAGACGGGGGCCCAGGCCGGAGTGAGAGAAGAATTGCGGAGCTAATCTGGTCGCCTGACAAGACGATAGAGTGTTCAATAGCGTGATGCATTGATGCCCACCGTCAGATAAGCATTCACATCCCGCGGGGCGCTATACTGGATATTGACGTCAGGCTGGATAGATGGGATCTTATCCGAGCGCCGGGTCCGGAAAGGGCTGCTCAAGCACATGACAAGCGCCCAGATGTATCACAGCTGCTGCCTTGGGTGTACTGAAGCTGGAGTGTCAGTCGCTGTCTACGTATTAACAAAGTTCGTGGACCCATGTGTGAGAAAAAATTGATAATAGAGAGAACACTTTTACGCAATACCTAATTCCTCCATCCGTAATGGGGTGTTCCGAGCCACTCATATGTGCTAAATGTCAATAATTGCAGGACAAAAACCAGAACGACAAAGGGCACGAGAGCTCGAGTCGAGAGGTACGTAGACCCTGCCTTTCCCACCTCCTCGGTAGCCAGTAGATGCACCGCAGCATATGTACTTTTTGGCGAGATGTCGTAGACATGTATGACATCATCGGCCAGACTCAAAACCGCTGCAGATCGCAAACTTCCGACCAGGTCCTCATTTCCAATAGACAGTCACCTCGTCTCTTGGACTAGGCATGCATCAGATCGAACTACTGTAAGTAGCTTCCAGGCATGCGCGCTTGAAGCGTGACAAGGAGCTCGTAGAAGTCCTTCCGCCAGTCAACGCACTCAAGGTACTCCCACCAGAGGCGAAGTGCGGGCGCCTCATCCATATCAGACTGTAATCGATCAGCTTTGAACTACTTTTACACTCCAACGTGACTTACCGCGTCGAACGCCTCAAGGATAGACTGCTTCTTGATCATAGCGGTCTTCATATTGGCCTCGCGCTCCCACTCACGAAGCTCTTCAACGTACTTGCGCACGTCTTTGGCCAGTTGCTTTGTGAGCACAACCTCTTCCTCAGAGTCAACTGTGGTTCCGTGATCCGATGCAGCGAAAAGACGGCCGCTGTACTCCGGCTTGCGGAAGAAATGCTTTTTGAGCTCTTCGGTAACCCACTTCTCGCGCGTCGATGAGGTGAGCTCTTCAGCCCAGTAGTTCTTGACGTGTTGAGGTACTCTAGCCGTCATGGTGTCATAGTCCAGCTTATCGGACCAGCGTGTCTGTGAATAGTTTCCGTGGTACATATAGCGCTTGCCGACTAGAACGAACATGGGCACATCCTCGTACGAGTTGGAGTCTTCGTCAAGTAGGTTGCCATATTCCTCTTCCGGGGCTTTGTTGAAGAAGGCAGTGAGCTTTGCACCATGGTCGCCAGGCGCCTTGGGCAGGTAAGGTTCGTTCTCTGGATCGAGCTGGTAGTATGTACGATTCTTCAGGATGCATGGCCCCTTGCCTGAAACGAAGCGCAGGCCAGGTGACCAGGATGCTCCGCCCAAAGTGTTGGCGAGGAAGTCAGGATGGAACGTGACAGTGGCGTTGCCTGTGGGAAGTTGACCGGAGAACGCGGGCAGGGTTGTAAGATGGTAAGGATTCCACGCTGCATCTAGAGACAGGCGTTCGATGGACAGGGCGGCATCTTGGACGGCAACTAGTGGTGGAGCAGGCGGGCTTAAAGCAGGTGTGGGGATCTGCTTGGAGACGACATCGACTTGATGGGCGTTGGTGGTGCGGGTACTTAATCCTTGTCAGCTCCAAATAATCCCAGACATACAAAACTCATCCATACATATAAAGATGCACTTACACTTGGCCATTGATAGACTTGGGCTTTTTACCTCGCAAGTGCGGAGGTAGGGAATTCTTGACTGTACCACCGCCGGTGACGCTGGAAGTCCTGAGATGGGGAGGTGTGCTGCTGTTCGCCTTTTGCACGTTAGTCCCACCGTTCACAGATCCTTGGGTTTCTTCTTTGAGTTTCTCAAGCTCAATTGCGAACTCTACAGCGCTTTGGTGTGATTTCTGTACATCCACCTCTTGGAATGGGCCGACGCGTACCAGCCAACCGCCCTTTTTGAGTTTGTCGACGGACAACGAGAGGCCATGGTACAGTTCTTGGAGAGCATCGACGTCTGCGCGTATCGTTGCATGTCCGTCTTCCAGGTTGAGGGTCCTTGCCTCCAAGTATGGAGTGGGAGGGGTGCTCACCTGGCTGGGCGTGCTGTGCCGAGGAGCGGTTGGAGCGAAGTTGTTGGCCGCCGGGTTCATCATGAAGCCCTTGTTGTGGAACTGCAGCGAGTGTGGGCCGCGGTGGACTGGATCGCGGTCAGATATTGTACTACGAGAGTACTAGACTTCTCCAAACCAGGATGACTTGTAGAACTCTCAAGTACTCGAAGTTGTTGAGGCTAGAGGAAAATGTCAGCATACGGTGAATCTAAGAATGAGAGGCACACAGTCTTACCGTAGACCGATATGCTATCGTTATGAGGTGATGCAATCAAGTGAGACGTGCTAGAAGTTATATGCTGGGGAGATGTAACATGGAAGGGATGAGAGGAGGCAGGGCTGGAAACCTCAGTAGGCTTGCTTATATAGACCGCAGATGAGAGTCGTTGACCTAGGAAACAGAGGCGGTGGCGAAGCAGCAGCTCCACGCTATCTCAGGTAAAAGAGATGAAGTTGCGGTGATATCGGAGTGGTGATGTATGCAGACGAGAATAAGGTGAAGTTCATCCCATCCAAAGCACCGGTAGGACGTTCAAGCTTTGTGCCATTGCGTTGACTACCCAACATCTTGGGAAGGATTTGGCCCTGTATACTTCATCTATGGCGCTGAGGGGGTGTCGCTAGGCACTAGAGATGTCTCGTCTTGCCGAGAATCTGGTTTGCTGCTTTGCACTCGAGTCAAAGTTTATCGCAGGTTTTATCCAGGCCCAGAGTCGATGTGGGCGTTGCTAGGCTCTCTAAGAGTTTGATGTTTGCTCCTACTCTGCTTGTCAAGCACGTATCACCTACCTACCCCTACAGTCAGACTATACCACTAGCTTCGCGCCTCGACTGTGCTCAAGATTAACACGGATTTGTCTCAAGTCTAATACCTACGCACCCATTCCTGTTGGGTGTTGAATTGAGCTAATTGCGAGAGACGGTTACTTGGCTCCGAGTTCTTCCCAACCACGTCGACATCTTCTCTTTTTTCCCATACTCAAGCATCCACTCCCAACGACATCGGCGAAATTCTTAGGTTCTGTGGTCCTTCGCTTATCGTGGTTCCAGTCTGGCTTTTGGTACCCCGCGCTTACGAGGTCGACAATCACGCTGCAGAAATGCGCGTCCAGATGCCCAATGGCTACAGATCTTGCTGTCCATCCAGGTGCTGATGGACGTTGAAGTCGACGGGGCGCGTCAAAACGCGAGGCTGCGAGGTTAACTTTGGGCTTACGACCCGAAGCCTGCTCTCTCCTCATCAGTCGCACATCTAGGCATCGATGGGCCTATGGGCATCATGGAGCTCCATCTGCGACTCGGTGTGCATGGACAAGTAGCTGGTTCCGAGTCCGAATCGGGGTGCATCACGCGCGTGACCGGGATGGTGAGGGGAAGCCGCGGAGCGACACGCGACATACGCGACACAGCGTGAAGCAGGCGACGGCACCAGGCATGCTCGTCAATTCCGTCATGGGGATAGAGTGACGGACTTGTTCAAAGACGATGTATCATGGGACGAACATCTCGTCAAGATTGGGAGGAGCTCACGATAGATGGCCTAATGCAGGGGAAGGGAAAGGAGGACCCTGACCGAGAAGCGCGCCAACGTCATTGCGCGCTTGGGCCTTGGCCGTCATTTTGCTCTCCATCTCGCTGGCGACCAGCACTCGACCACTGCATGTTGACTTTGGCCGAACACGGACAGGCCCATACCACCTTCGGAGCAATTGCCAGTATCTTTCCTTCTCTGTCAAAACTCGCCATTGGTTCTTTAGTATGCCTCCAAAACGCACGCATGCCCACGACGAGACGCACACGTCGCTCAAGGACAAACTACAGAACCTCCAGGGCTCGAATGCGCGGGGCGGTCGTCGCAACGGTGGTACCGGTGCCCTAAACGGCAGCAGCCTGAAGGAAGTGGACAATGCCTCCACCAACAGTGGCCAGACGTCGACCGATCTCAGTTCGTCAGGAAACGTTCGTCGCGCCCTCACTCTCTCCCCTTCACACGCCTGCGCCTTTCATAGCTAACATGCTCTCGTCCCAATAGATAAAATGGTCATCGCAAGACCCCTCCGTCCTCCAAGGCTACCGTAGAGCCTACCGACTCGATTGCCCGTCAAGCTTTAAGAATCCGCTCAGCCACGTCGTATTGAGCCAGGGCATTGGGCGCATGTCTCCCACCATGGCGCGATCAAAGGGAAAACGACGTGTTCAGAAGGACCAGCTGGGCATGGCCGTCAAGAAAAGCTTCAACTCCCAGGCTGTGACAGAGAGCGACGTGATTGTCGACTGGCTCTACAAGTCGAAACACCAGGGTACGCATCGCGAGCATACTCCAATACCGTGATTAGGCTAATCCATACCACAGACAAGGAGTTCCGCGTGCGCTTTGCACCTCAAAGGAAGTGACTGGGTCACTTGCGCCTATACATCGCTGCATTTCCGACTTTCTTCGACGATACCCCTCTTTGGCACGATAGCCACCACTTTTTTACACACGACATACAAGCATTGAACAGGAGTTTGGGATACTGGGCATTAATGAATAGGGAAAGGTGACGCATCACGGCTTGGTTTGACCGCGTAGGTTGGTCTGATGTCCACATACGACCCCGAGCATGGAACATACAGAAATAAGGATGATCGGCAATGAGCATTTGGTAATACCAGGAATCGGACTGGGTGTAGCGGATGCGCCTCGGTGCGTTGAGTCCATAGCATGTCTGACATTTGCATTCCACATGGCGAAACACGGACAGATAGCGGAGCCGGTGTCATGATATGCAGACATCAGCGAGAATAAATACATCCGTTCGTTTATCTATGCGGGCATTTTGCTAAACCGTAGTCGCGTCATAGTAAACTCTCGAAGCTTCGACGCGCTCTTTACCGAGGGCAGCCAATGATCGTGCGTCACCGGCCCGTGCCCGCAAAAAGTTGTCGATTGTCGGATTATACACCACAGGTCGAAGCACATAGCGAAAAGCAGTATCAAGACAGTCATTACTCACCTCCACATCGTTTCAGCATGAGCTTCGCTGGTCCCATGCCGCTCAAAGCGGTGGCTCCCGTGCGCATCGCCGGCTCGAGGTCCTTTGCCAAATGTCAACGGCGATGTATAGCGACGCAAGCCTCGCAAACACAATCGCGGAGACCCTCAATCGTACAGAGGCAACAACCGCACAATGCGCAGTCAATACGAGTACGTAGCATCCGTCTTCCCTCTGTCCCGGGTTTGGTTACTAACACAGCATGCACAGTTCTTCCACGCCTCTCCTCCGTCCTTCGCCATGGCCGACCCGTATCAAACACTCGGGGTCGGTAAGAACGCATCTGCCGCCGACATAAAGAAGGCCTACTATGGTATGGCCAAGAAGTACCATCCCGATACGAACAAAGACGCCGGTGCGAAAGAGAAGTTTGCCGCGGCACAATCCGCATACGAAATCCTCTCAGACGCCGAAAAGAAGAAGGCTTTCGACTCCTATGGCGCCGGTGCTTTCGATGCAAATGGCGGCTTCAATCCTGGGGCCAGCGCTGGAGGACCGGGAGGAAATCCATTCGGAGGAGGAGGAGGCTTCGGCGGGTTCGGTGGGTTCGGTGGCGCTCAGGGTGCGGGCGGATTCCAGGATATCAACTTTGAAGACTTGTTTGGAGCTTTCACAGGTGGACGACGAGGAAGAGGCGGAAGTGGGAGAAGGAATCCGTTTGAAGAAGAGATCATGGTTGGCGACAACATCGAAGTACAGACAAACATCTCGTTCTTGGACGCGGCCAAGGGTGTCAAGAAGGACATACACATTACCCCGATGGCAGAGTGCGGGACATGTAGTGGCAGTGGGTTGAAGCAGGGTGCCAAGAGAGCAGAGTGTAAGAGCTGTGGGGGTACTGGACAGAGAGTAACGAGCATGGGCGGCTTCCACATGAGTGCAACTTGTTCATCCTGCGGTGGATCTGGATTTGCGATACCTCGGGGCTCGTCTTGTGGCACTTGTGGCGGCGATGGAGCAGTCAAGGAGCGCAAGACCATCACCATTGACATCCCTGGTGGTGTGGAAGACGGCATGCGGTTGCGCGTCAACGGTGAGGGAGATGCACCACTCACAGGTCATGCCATGTCTTCTGGCTCGATCCGTGGCCAGAGAGGAGATCTTTACGTCCTCATTCGCGTAGCAGCTGATTCGAAGTTCAAGCGCAACGGCTCGGACATTCTTCACACAGCCACCATCCCTTTCACGACCGCTGTACTGGGAGGAGAGATCAGGGTACCCACCCTAGAAGGCGAAGTCAAGGTCAAGGTCCCCACTGGATCTGGAACCGGTGATCGCGTGACCTTGTCTGGCATGGGCATGAAAGTACTCTCCGGTCGACGAGGCGCCAAAGGCGATTTACGCGTTGAGTTCAAGGTCAACATGCCCAAGTATCTCAGTGTCAACCAACGGACTATTCTCGAGATGCTAGCAGACGAGATGGGAGACAACAATGCGCAACGCGTCATCAATCCGGGAAAGATGAAGGACCAACATGGCAACAACGTTGAGAACGATCACTCTAACGAGGGCTTCTTGAAGAGCGCATGGCATAACCTTACTGGGCAGCATAAGCACCTGGACCCAGAGGAGAGGCGGAAGGCGGAAGAAGATGAGAAGAAGCGAGGATCTGGTTGAGCCTACGTTTATGATATGAGGCGACGTTGTATAATAAGGCGGGCGGGCGTACAGGACGACTCATGCGACTCATGCGACTCATGTTATCATGTTTGCAGCAAGACGATTGAGAGCATTCAAGGCGTATATGGAGACTGAGTTGAGCATGATGTATAGAAGTATTAGTATTTGGCCTCTCGACTCAGGCTTGTAGAATATCACGCTGTTTATGACGAACGGAAAGAAGCCCAAGATGTCTACGAATGGAGGCAATCGCTAGCTTCTCCTACCCAATATCGCGGGCGCGTAACCAAGGCGAGATTCTCGGCCTCCTTGCAAGGTCATTGGCCGGCGCGAGCCGCACAGCTGGGGTCGGCTTGAACGTCTCGCTGAATTTCCGCGACGGTGTGACGAGCTTGGAGAGTCACATATCGATAGCGGTCTGGTTCGCGTGGCGTACTGGAGGTGTGATAGGCGAGGGTGGATGAGGAAGTCGCGGCTCTGGTGTTGCTTATGCATGTGCCTGCGTCTTCCCCACCAACATCACTCGCACCCTCCGAGCTCACCGACGACACCAAACATCGTCTGCATTGTTACCACCTGGGCATTTAAGCTTTCGCTGTGCCGCATCACAATCGTTCCCAGGACTCGGATTGACTAGATCGTGCCCCATGCGGCTTCTTACCCGCAAACGACTGACTACGTGAACGAGCTACCCGACCAACGCATCGTCCCGCTGTGCATGTACACTCTCTCGACGTCATCTGCTGCGTGAATGCTCTGCTACTCGGCAAGCAAAGCATCGACATATCTATCCCAGAGTACTAGGCACGCGCATTTGCAACTACTGTTCTAGCGCGCCATCCGAGGCCCACGACAGCCCACTTCCCACGTTGTCGCCTACGCCATTGTCGCCGATCACCACACCCGCGAGCCCAAGAGCCTCCCCTCGCGGCGATACCTCTCCAGAAAGCGCGCCCAGCGGCGGCCTGCCCAGCGCACCCTTCGCCCACCATGACGACGCAAATACCCATGATCTCGGTGCCCATGAAGCAGACCAGCGAGATCGACTGGATAGCCCCGCTGAAGCAGTACATACGCGCCACGTATGGCGACGACCCAGAGCGCTACTCGGAGGAATGTGGCACGCTGAATCGCCTGCGTCAGGATATGAGGGGCGCTGGCAAAGACAGTGCGGCAGGCAGGGATCTGCTCTACAGATACTATGGGCAGCTGGAACTGCTTGACCTGAGGTTTCCGGTGGATGAGAACCACATCAAAATAAGTTTCACATGGTACGTTGGTAAACCGGAAGGAGCATCGGAGAAACAGAGGGATTAGGCAAGAGCACGCCCAAGACTAACCCGCGTCAGGTTCGATGCCTTTACACACAAACCTACCTCTCAGTACTCCCTCGCATACGAAAAAGCCAGCATCATCTTCAACATCTCAGCCGTCCTATCTTGCCACGCCGCCCACCAGAACCGCCACGAAGATGTTGGGCTCAAGACGTCGTACCATTCATTCCAGGCCTCCGCTGGCATGTTCACATACATCAACGAGAACTTCCTGCACGCACCCTCGACCGACCTTAGTCGCGAGACTGTCAAGACTTTGATCGCCATCATGCTGGCACAGGCGCAAGAAGTTTTTCTGGAGAAGCAGATTGCGGACGGCAAGAAGGTCGGCTTACTGGCAAAACTTGCCAGTCAGGCCGCTTTTCTGTACACACAGGCGACGGAAGGGGCGCAGGAAAACGTCACAAATGCTGTGTTCGAGAAGGTCTGGCTACTGGTTTGTCAGGTGAGAACATTGCAGTACTACTTGCTATCAAAACTAACGGTCGCACAGATCAAATCGCACCATATGGCTTCGCTAGCCCAGTACTATCAAGCTTTGGCTGACGACGATGCTAACATCCACGGCGCAGCCATCTGCAGGCTACAAGTCGCCGAAGCGCATGCCAAAGACGCCAATCGAGCAGCCCACAGCTTCCCCAACAACGCGCCAGCCAACTCGAACCTAACCTCAGAGACTGGAGGCATACTAGCAGAGATGACGAAGAAACACCTAACCAACGTTCAGGAAAAGCTGGTAGAGTTTTCCAAAGACAACGACTTCATCTACCACCAAGGCATTCCGAACGAAGCGGCCTTGACACCAGTGCCCAAGATGCCTGCGGCGAAGGCGATACCCGTCAGCGAGCTATACCAAGGTCAGGACATTCAGAGAATTATCGGGCCAGATATCTTCCAAAAGATTGTGCCTCTAGCTGTCACTGAATCAGCTAGTCTATACGATGAAGAGAAAGCCAAGCTTATACGGGCTGAAAGCGAGCGTGTCGAGGTCGCTAACGACGAGATGGCCGCTAGTCTCGACTATCTTAAGCTACCCGACAGTCTCAATGTGCTGCGAGGAGGCATGGACCAAGATATGATGGTGGATAATGACTTTCGAAAGTGGTGCGAAGAGCTCGCTGGGCATCAATCATTTGGCCCTGCGTTCGAACAACTGGAAAGGGACAAGACCGAGATAATGAACTCTCTCGATGCGAGTATGAAGCAATTAGACATGGAAGAGAGTGTTTGCGAGAAGATGAGGTCCAAGTACGGATCCGAATGGACACAGCAACCTAGCTCGCGCTTAACCTCGACACTGCGAAATGATATCAGAAACTATCGTGGAGCTGTTCAAGAGGCTAGCACCAGCGATGCACAGCTATACAACACGTTTAGGCAATGTGAGGCCGACTTTGACGAGATGCGCTCAGCTGGCGAGACGGATGAAGCCGATGTGTTATACTCCCGCGCTATGGTCAAGGCAGGCGCAAGCAAGGGCAAAAGTCCTAGGCCAATGGAAGGCAACCTTATCGATGATGACATTGACGAGGGCCCGTCAGTCACCGATCAAATAGCAGCCGTCGAGGATATTCTGCGGAAGCTGAATCTTGTAAAGAAAGAGAGGACGCAGATACTGAAGGATCTCAAGGACAAGGTACATACCCGTCGACCCCCCCCCCCCCCCCCCCCCCCCCCTCATGATATGTACTGACCGGAACAGGTTCACTCTGACGACATCTCTAATGTACTCATCCTTAACAAAAAAGCCATCGCGAACCAGGAGTCGCAATTGTTCAAAGCTGAGCTGGAGAAGTTCAGACCACATCAAAATCGTATACTGCAAGCCAATCACAAACAAGCTTCGTTTCTGAAAGAGCTGACCCGGACTTACTCCGATCTGCTGAAAGACAAGCGTGTGCGATCTGAGCAGAGCAAATACGAAGCCTTCTCGCGACAGCGAAACACAGTCATGACGAAGTATCGCAGAGTGTATCAAAGCTTCAATGACCTCGTGGCTGGCTTGATGCGCGCCCAAAGCTTCTATACGGAGATGAAAGACACCGTGTTAAGTCTGCAGAAGAATGTTGAGACGTTCGTCAACAACAGGCGGAGCGAAGGCGGACAGCTATTGTCGAAGATCGAGGAGCGAAACAAGGCACAGGGTGCAGACCAGGAACAGCAGCGGATGAAAGACCTTATGGAGAGAATGTCGTTGGAGCCTTCGGGATCGCCGGTATCACAAGGTGGAGGTCGTAAGAAGAGCATACCACCACCACTGTCTTCTACGCCAGGCTATCCGTCAACCTCGGGAGCTAGCCACCCTGCGTATAACCCCGCGGCTTCACCGCCAGTCACACCGCGCTATCCGATGACCACAGGCCCCGGGCAACAGTACATGTCGCCACAGCAGTCGTACGGTCAACCCTCAAATGGCTACAACCAGCAGCCACCTCCACGTCGAGAAAGCTATCAACAACAATACCCAACACATCAATCCCAGAACTCACAGGGCTCATCGGCTTACAATCCCGCGGTTCACAATCAATACAACCCGGTCTCCCCACCGGCGCATCAGCAATTCTTCTCTCCGCCACCTGCACAGCATCAGCAGCATCAGCCATGGGGTCAACCCCCTCCAAACCAGCAACAACAATGGGGTGGTACGCCTCAGAGCAATCTGCCACAGGGTTATGTTCCACCGCCACCTCCCCCGGGACCGCCACCGAGTCACCATCAGCAAGATTATAGTCACTTTAGCCAAGGAGGGTATCCGAATGGACCTGGCGGATATGCGAACCAGCAGAGGCCAGCGCAAGGACAGAATGGCAATGACCCGTGGGCAGGGTTAAGTGGCTGGAAATAAGCAACACGAAAAGTGAGAGAGAACGCTGTCTTGGCGCAGGTTGTACTCGATTGTTTGACAGTCTCACTGCGCACAGTTGGGGTTAGTTTACAGGTTCAATTCATTCGGTGAGGTCTTCTGAAGAGCGGAAAGTGGATAACATTTGTGTATTACCAAGGCAGGTGTAGATAGTTAGAAACATCAGACATGCACGATCGACTTTTGGTTTACTCTCCACACTGAGACGAAGTCTCGAAATCAATGCTTAGAGTATATATATATATATATATCTTGCGCGCATGCTATTTTGGCTCCACCGATTGTTGCGGCATAACAAGCTATTCACCTACAAAGTCATACACCATTCTTACCCTCAGCTCCTCGCCTTTGTTATTGCTAATCATCACACGTCTCGTGTGTCTCCTCTCTCCATCAACAACCTCGAAGCCCCAAAGATGACTAGCCTCCCACTCGCCCTCCTTCTTCCCTTCTGCGTGGATCAATTTCCCTTCGCTATCTCCTTCAATCCAGTCACCCTCGCCCTCACCAACTACGCCCGTCTGCCTCGCCTCTTCAACGCTGACCCATTGACTTCTTCCGGCTACCTCACCAAAGAAACCGTCCTTATTGGTACGCCACTCGTAGTCCAACGTGTACTCTTCGGTTGTACCGGGGATTTTGCCGCTCGTGATTGACTGGGCCATCTTGATGTGTTGGTTGTCTGGCTGGCTGATGTTCAGATGGATGGATGCTGCAGTGGCTGTCTTGCGGACTAGGACGTTGACGCCCTGCAGTGCGAGGACTGAGGCAAAGTCATCGGAGCAGGCTTTGTTTAGTTGCCATTTGCCGGAAAGGGACTGTAGGGATTTGTTCGGGGGCGCAGCCATGGTGTGTGATGCTCGCGATAGGTGATGGTTTTTAAGATGTTCCTGTTATTGCAGTGAGATGCTTGATGCAGAGGAATGTCTTCGTCAACTCGGGCAGGTCTAAGATGATGCGACGCGCCATTATGGTGTGGGATGGTGTCGTCACCACCTGCATTGTCTAGGTTCAACCTCTTCCAAAACTATTCACCTTGTTTGTTGCGCGTCGACATGTTTGCCTTGCAGATTCGATTCTACGAAAAACGGTTGCAAGTGAGAGGTGTGGATCCCAGTACGTTTGATATATTGGTGGCGTGTCGATTTGCACTTCCTTCCACCATGCGGAGATAACCGCCTCCGCTTCTAGTAAAGCTTCTTTCCGCGGCTCTGGTCATCCCTCTCGCACGACCTTATCACCACCAACACAATAAAGCGCGGCGCCATCGGGTCTGAGACATTTTACCTGCGAACAAATATGACGAAGCCGGCCTATTCCGGGATTACCCTGCGTTGCTCCCAACCTTGATGGGCTGGTGTCACAGCAAAAGTGCCCTTGACATCATCTCGGACAATGCGGCATCAGCAAACTCTTCGTAAATGGTCATGCCCGTTACATCGCCCCTTGTTAGAGGGCATACGTACGAGGGAGGGATAAAGGTTGCGAGGTATAGTTGCACTAAGAGTGGCTTTGAGCGGCGATCGTTACCAGGCTAAATGCTGTTGGACGCACAGCGCTGCGGCTGAACATTGACGAGCGAGTTGGCCCTACCACCTACCCACATTGACATCACACCAACAGGCATCATGCAGCGAGGTGCAGGAATACTTATACAGCTTCCAACGCGTCAATTATCGTGGAGCCATCCACCGGCAACAGCATCTTAGTCCCGCATAGTCAAATCTACATATATATCCTTCCAACAGTCGTTGTCTAGTTATCGACTTATTCAGTAAACATGTTGTTCACTTCAACTACAATCCTCGCTACGGCCTTCTGCTCGCTGGCGTCTGCGCTACCCACGTCGAATACAGTTCCTCGAGCGGGCGGCCCTGCGATTGTACCTATTCCCTCGACCTGCACCGTCACCGACCCTCTACCGACTGGGTCAAACGCGTCTTACATACCGTCACCGGCTGCCCACGACGACATCCTCTACAGCTCCTACTACCCTTCCTACTCGTCGAACACAACTGCCATGGCACAGCAGTGTCTTCAACAATGTTACGGCTACGGATACCATGTTGAGTGCAAGACATCATACTGGGCAGAGAACGTGGTAGTACCGGCAGGATACTATGGCACAGCTGGCGGCCAACTAGAGACGGCCTGTCTGATGTTCAGCAGAGCCTTGACCAGCGACGACTTCGTCGCTGCGCCAGAGGGTCAAGGCACCGATGCGACGGCCAGCAACATTGCATGCTGAAAGCATCGACTACGGCAATGAAACTTTGTTTCCAGCAAGGCGGTCGATAAATGAGAAACGATCTGAAACTTGGAGTTTGGGGTCTGGTGTTACGTCATGGGATAAACATGAAGGCATCCATGCGGAGACGGTTTCACATTTCTACTAGGGCAACTAATTAATGATGTTAGACAACACTACGTAATAATCCTGATACTCTTCCATTTACATCAAGATATCCTCCAAGGCTGTGATGTCACCCCGTGATTCAGAACGTTCACCAATAACGCTGGAGACTGAGTACAGCAATGAAAAGAGTTGCAGTATGGTTCGTGGACAACTCGGCATTTGTGGCTAGTCTCTGGATACACTTACCCACTGGCCGCTTCTTCTTTTGGCCATTCCATGAAGTAGCTCATCGATATGATCGCTTTGGGAAAGAACGCTCAAGAACTAACATTTGTTGACAGCACCCGTGTATGGGCCAAAGCTGGTACACCAATGCTAGCATACCCTCAACTCCGGAAGCTGTTCTAGACATCATGTTCGCCGATGTCGTCATTCCCACCACCAAATTAGCGAGGTGGCATCGTGCGGCAGAACAGCTATTTTTGGGCGACACGGGTGCAGCGCGATTTCCCGTCGTGCAGGAAATTGAATGCGGCAACAATCAAGCTTTGCCAGGTCGTAAGGCTGCGGGATGATTCAGTACAAAGTAAGGAATCGATGGATACGAGCTGCTAGTCCACGGTTGTCTCGTCTATTCCTACCTTTTCGCTATTACCGTGCTGCCTGGACATGCAAGGCGCAATTATGAGTGGGGAAAGAGCGATGCGGGAGTGCGAGCGGCGGCGGATTGGCGTGGTGGTGGTTAGGGTAGTGCGCCTCCATCTATCGCGTGTGATGGCTTGCATTTACGAGGTCACGCTCGCGTCGCGCTTTGTATGCATCTTTTGACATTCGCTTTGTGTGATACGCTGGAAGCACATACCGTTGAAGTCGCGAATTGAACTTGGCAAGACGAAGCGGAGCTACGACCCGAGAGTATGTATGGTAGTGGGTGGTCAAGGTTTACAGGGCGATATCCTTGCTGGTAACAACTGCTTGGGGAGTAGCAGTCAAGAAACGCACCCGGTTTCTACATCAGGAAAGTCTGGTGGTACCAAGACTCGTTGCAAAATCTTGTCGCATTGGAAAACAAACTCTAGGAAAATGGTGGTCCAGTGGGGAAATGGGACACACGTGCGTAGCCATTCACCAAGGTCCAACACCCGGGTACATTTCCCGCAACGCGTGGTCTGCCCCCGAAACACCATATTTACGAGATACCTCTTCTTCAGCCTCATATCTTACGATGCACAGCTGGTGGTCATATCAGGAAGTTGTTAACACGCAAATAGGACGGAACTCCAAATGCCGTTGAACGTGTAGCATGCCCATATCTAGCAGGCGGCCATGAGCTGCGGCCATGAGCCGAGACCATTAGATACCACCGGCCCTGGCTCTTTAGCCCTCGGGGTATCTGCCACGGCTGACTTCTCTGCGACCAACACCCGAGTGCCACAGTGAGATTTTGGGGCTGGTGAGAGATGAGCATACTCCGATCGGAGTTTCTGGGACGTTCATTGGTAGCATTGCGGAGATGCATAGGTAATTTGGCTGATGCTGACGGGCCGGCTTCCTATATCGGTACTTCAATTCTTCAACTCGGAAATATGGTGAGCGATTTGGGGCTGTTGTCAATCACAGGAAGCAAGTATCCGGATGATCGTATTCATAGACGCTCACCTATGGCCAGGAATGTGAGTCACGCAGACCTCGAGGGGCTAAAATCGCGTAAGCGATGTTCATCTTACAGTATAGCGGGTACAATTCCGTATTAGTTACTATCTACGATAGGCTGGCCGTAGCTTCATGATTCGTGGAAGTGTCGTGAAAAGCTGGCATCGACCAGTGGTGGTCGTCACACCCCGCGTTGGAAAGTAGTTCAGAAATTATTGGTGGACAGGGTTTTGCAGACGAAAAAGTAAATGTAGCTGAAAGACACCTGTAGGCTAATGCCCAGTGAACGCTGGCTTGAACGCAAAAGCAATATGGGTATAGACAAGAAGCGAAGTTGAAAAGAAGGAAATCCGTTACCCGAGCATCTTCAGCCAATGGAATGCTAAGACGTCTCTGTCTTCACGGGTACCGTACCCTTGAATTCCCCATGTAGTATATCGAGAAGCTTACGGAGGGTATCCGAATTGCTGCCTCGCCTGCGGGTAACAGTACCCTCCTCATCCTCGCCCTCTGCATCGTCGTCCTGTGTAAGAAGCTCGATGGTCTTTCGAAGCTTCTCGTAGGCCGCATTAAGCTCCGTATGCGATACTTCGAGCTTAGTGTATTTGTCGTTCAAGACCGCGAGTTGCGCTTCAAGATCTCGGGCGTGCTTCTCTTTCCGCTCTCGGAACGCACGTTGAGCGGCACGATTTTGAGCCCTTCGGCGCTGCGCAGGTGTTAGCCTTAGGTTTTGTTTGTGAGATACAGGATACATACCCCTGAGGTAGTGTGTGTTCGTTCGGCTGGCGCGGGCGTAGGCATAGTCCCGAAAGTAGATTCAGCGTGCTGAAGTGGTCGAGGACTGCAGTATGGACTGTCGTGATCGGACCCGAAATCGGAGGGTGTCATTGGCATGGGATATGATCCAAATTGCATAGGCTCGTCGACGATGTGAGGGTAGTAAGCTTGATGAATAGGTGCCGGAAATTGGTCGTATGTAGACGAGACCTTGAGCAAGTCAGTTTTGTAGACTGGTGGATTTCAACATAAGACTCACAGGCGATCCGCTTAGACTCGGAACTTTGGAAAGATCTGGAGGCATTTCAAATACTGCTGGCTGGTGTGTTGGAGCAATGTAGTTGCCCTGTGCCATCCAGTAATCGAATGATTGAGAATCCATTGTGTGTGATTTGTGGTTGTAAATAAGTGATGACGAGAAAGCTGGTAAGTCTTTGCGCAAGGCAGAATGGTGCCCAGGTGTATAGGAATGAGCGATTGTCCTTCTTATGACTAACACTTGTGTTGGAGGCCGCTGCTGAGATAATGTGCAAGTGTCGTGTCAGTTCAAGTTGAGATACGTATGTGGTGGAGATGGCTTACACAACGGTGGGCAAGCTGAGATCTTATACACTGTGCGGACGTCGCGCATGTCTCCTTCGGAACCGCGTCAAGTCACATGAGATGGCGGCCAGTGGCTTGAGCAGGGGTATCCAACCATGCAATTATGCCCGCGAACAACCCCAACGGCCATGGTGGACCCTGAAGATGTGGCTTTCAGCGGAATACGTGCAGAAGATAGCTTGAATTGCATGCTCATACAGCTGCTACCGGCACACGCGTCCGAAGCACGGTCCACCAGTGCAGCAAGCACACCAGTTGTTGTTATTCTCGTCTTCCAGTGGTTCCCAGAGTTACACGAGCCATGGCCACAAGACAGGGGTCTGCATGGAGGCGTCCGCTATACTCCTTCAAGTCTTTGATAAAAAGATTAGTACGCATGCTGAACTAGCTGCACCGACGTCCAGCCAACCAAAGACACGGTATCAAAGTAGTTCGCTGTCGCATTTGGTGAGAGTCAGAGAGGTGCCTGGTCTTGTCTTCAAGAAAACACACCCCACTTGAGGATTTTCGTCCCGCACAAGATGCATGGTAGGGCTGGATCTCCAAAAGCTCGGCGGTCCTTGGCTGTGATGGGGTATCTTGAATAATCAATCAAACAACATCCGTAATGAGGGGCTCACATACCTCAACATAGACGCTCTGTATTGCGCTGAGTCTAAGGAGCTTGTCTACATGACGACGTCAGAGCCATGCACTGACTCAAAACTACGTTCAGCTGGGCTGTTGAGCCTTCGCTTCCACTGCGAGCCTTGGGCCGAAGTTCGGTCGTAGTGAAGTGTCGTTCGCGCTAACTGGGAACGATGTAAAGTGCATGCAATTCTGTCACCGCTCTTCCTCGCTCGCTGCGAGAATACCGACACAGTGGCTATGTTGGCTACCACTGCTATAACCCGCTACCATGTGTATTGCGCCCTTCTGGCGAGAACAATCATCCCAGGCCTTAGCGCATTCGGATGCGTTACGACATTCAGGTGCGACTATGGAAAGAAGTTGGCTACCGTGTGCTTCGCTGACTTAACACAAAAGAGCAGAGCGTGGAATGGAGTCCTTCACACATCTTGTCGTGCGTTCGAAGGAAAGCAGGAATTCGCGAGGTCGGGAGGCGATCGGTGAGCGTCGGGTACAGCTGCCTGGGGGTGGCCGAAAAAGAACCCTATGGTGGCAGCACGTGGAACGCTAACTGAGCTGAAAGTCTACCTACGTAAGCGCGCTTGCCATGACTTATCAGTAGCCTTGTCCATGTAACATTCTCAAGCGATCACCATCTTACATCAGGGAATGCTCGGCGACGTAAGGTGATATATACTCACCGTATGCATCCAAGCAGGCTACAGGATGCAGCCTGCCTGTATCGTGGTGCTGGAAACGTTGTCGATGCCTTGCGCCAGGCTGTGAACAGAGAGTCTCACCTGGCCGGTATGGTGTGATTCCTACATTGCACGACCCACGTGGAAAGAGACAGCCCTACGGCGTTCTGCTGTGACTACGCTGGACTACTTACCGAAACCAGTAATTCTGCACTTCCAGCGTGGCGGCGCACTAGTGACGTTCGCAAGAGGGACGCACCGGCTCAGGCGGCCGATCTGGAGCTGCTTTCGCGAAACGAGCCTGTAGGCTGAAAAACCACCGCCCGCCGTCTTACGCATCCACCGAGTCCGCATGGGGCTGTTTGGTCTAATCTCGTAGTAGAATTGCCAGCCGATACATCCACAAGCGAGTCGTGTATCTTATCTGATGGTCCTTCTCCCGCCACATTCGCTGCCGTCAAGCATACTTGTTAGAGCCTGCGCCGATTTGGTCTCGGCGCTGCAAGTCATTAGTGTGCCATCCCTAACCGGCAACACAACCTCTCTGCCCCGCTGCTGACACATCTCGTTCTCCGCAACATGAATCCCCAGCTTACACCTTAGACCCATGAAGCTTCGAGGCTATTCCACCGGCTAAACGGTCAGTAGCGGGAGAGGACTTGAACCTGTGAGTTGGCGGACATAGGCGAGTTACAGGCCGCTTCACTGCATCCGCATCGGGACACAGCGCACCAAGAAACATATACAACGCTAGACCGAAGTGTCGAATGTTAATGCAAATACTCTGCATTATCTACACAGGATAGACGAGGCTATCCAGTAGCAATGGTGGTTGCCATGTCTCGCTTGTTCCAAATACCATAGGACGTGTGACATACAGTTAGACGGCCTCTGTACCACATCCCCGTCCCCATCCTATGGTCTTGGATCGACTACCCCCAATCCAATTCGTGTTCTCCCTCTCGGGTCATCTTATCACGGTCCCAAAGCGTAGTAGCGCAGAACGCACGTCAGGGTCCAGCGCTTGTAGATCCTGGCGGACACTAACAGCCCTACGACAGTTATCGCTGCTTTTAGGTCTACTGCCTTACCAGAGCCCACCGTTCAGATATATCGTACGATTTATGGCCACTATAATGCAGTGCTCAACAAGTGACGGGGAAGACAGATGATGGCCGCCTGCAGCACATCTGCCCATCTATTATCTAGAAAGAGCTTTTGATAATGTACCGATAGCATCATGTACGTTAATACCTGCAACAGTCTGGATATATGCATACGCCCCGTCTCATCGTTCGATAAGGACCGGCTGTCAGAGGTTCTCTTTTACTCCACACAAGCAAGAAGCAAATGCTCAGCTTAATGTGACATTACGCATGCCAACGACCCCTCTTACTATCCATCTTGATACCTAGAGCCTTGAGTCAAAGCGGGTCCGAACTACCACCGATGACACCACTGCCACAGTGCTGACTGCATACCCGTATCGCGTAAGCCGCTCAGCGCCAATCATATCATGGCCTGCACGCTTCGGACCCGATCCAAGACCGTTCCTTTTCCAGAGCTCAACAGACAAAGTCTCACATGTGTCAGTGCGTCTTCTACGGGTCTTCTAGAAGGTGACTGTACCTCAGGCTCGGGGAGTCTGTGCACCGGTGCCACATTGCGATTTGACATACGGCTGCAGACACGAAGTCCCGGTGCGAGAAGCTTGGTGATGCTTCGTCGGCGCTGCTCCGGCTTGATGTAGTAGTCACCGTGATTGCTAGATGACTACAAAGCTTGTACACCTACCTAAGACCTCCTCTGTTCCTGAATCGGAGGTGATGTCACCAAGCGCAGACCTTCACGCTACGTCACTGCTATGAGGCGTCACTAGATACACTGGCTTATGTGATACACACATCATCTCTCTTCATTCATCATTGTGCTCCTCAATAACCACCAAAAGTCGGACTAAACAGTTTATGACTTCGTGCCCACGCTTGACATTCATCTTAGCATGCAACGACGAGCACGTTGCTCTTTCAGAAGATTCAAGACTAGCATATGTGTAGAAAGCAAGTTCTTGGAAAACAAGTGTATTTTTTCACATCGTTATGCTATATCTAAAATACGCTTTGTTATTGGAACAGCTTCTCCGTTGTATATACTATTCCTCTTATTACGCATAAGAAAGGATAGAACATATCACTACATGTTGCACGATATAGCTTCGGTTAGCAAAAAAGGGCTATGCATGAGGTATCAATATCAGGGCGTTTACGCAGTGCATGATGCCATCAACCTGTGCAAGCTTCGCAATCATAAACGAAGCATCACAAACAGGGCGAGTGGGCGCGAATGTATAGGTGAGAAATTGGGTGCCGTAGAAGGGAGTAGGTGCATGGAGCAGAAGTTGATCGATGGAAGGCTTGGGCGCAAGGTCTAAATCCGGCGATGGGTTGCAGTGGATCCAGGCGGATGACGGCGTTCTTTGGGATGTTTGCTAGGGCCAATGCTGCGTAGGTTGGTCGCTGTGGAAGTCCAAAATCCGGCGAGGGCTGCGTGGTCCATATGTCGCACGGAAACCAATGTGGGGGTGGGCGCAACGGCTTGCTGCTTGGAACTGGTTGTCGCAAGGCGAGTCGACAACTGCTTCGGATAGAGTCGCTCGTGTTGCAATGGGGCTTACCTTCACATTTCACCTCGACACCACTCATCTCCATGTGGGTCATTGAAGTTGAACATCTTGGTGTTCGAGTACTATAAATCATTAGCAGGTAGATGTCCCAAACTCCTCCCATTTTGGGTTCCTATAACGCCATATCGCTATGCATGACGAAAATATTAGAAGGTATACTTTAAAGTGTCCATAGACCGCTGCGTCGTTTGCCCATGGGGTAGACCAGAAGGGCAGCCATAAACAACCCGACAGTGATGCCGATAGCAATCTGGATCATGGACGCAGCGACATTGAAGACGATGGCGTTGAGACTGTCAGTCGTGGTCTGCGCTACGTTAGTGATGTTTTCGTAGCGAGAGGAAGGATTGCTGACGTCGGCGGATGTCTCTGCGCCCTTGATTAGGGCTGATGCTGTTCGTAGAGCAGAGTTGATACTGCCACTCGATGCAAGAGAGCCCGGAACTTGGACGTATACTGCAGGTAGGAGGACGGCAGCTGCAACTCCGTGACGTAACCGGCTGTACAAGTTCGCCAATACGCCGATAGTAAAGGCGCCAAATGTGTAGGCGATGGGTGCAGACGACGAGAACTTCAGGCCAGCGTAGAAGTTAACAATGTAGCCAGCAAATGCGATGGTTATCATAGCCGGCATCTGCTTGTACTTGGCTTGCACCGTGAAGGTCGTGAAGAAAACATAGAGTGGGACCATAAGGAAATTCCAGTATGGGTTCATCGGGTCCTGGCACTGGGTCGAGTTCGTGGCGTTGGAGTCTATCGCACCATATATAGCTGTGCCGACAGTGATGCCGTATCCGAGGAAGAGCGAGTAGATGATGGCGAAGACAAGGCGGATAGATCCCGGTACGATAGCACGAGACTGGAGCTCCAGGGCCGAGCTAAGCACCAACCATCCAGGAAGAATTAGGGCGATGGCGCTCTGTGCAATGGCCGAGAAGCAGAAGAGGTTCCCGTTGTTGATGCTACCAAATGCGCGCGCGAGAAAGCTCATGAGGATAGTCGCAGTAATTTCGAAGACAGTGCTGTATGTCTTGGACAGCGGAGCGATGACAAGCTGGAGCAGACCAAGGACAATGCCGAGTACGAAGATGATGGGCATGTCGATGGGGCGGGCCTTGAAGAAGCAAGAGACTGCCGCACTGGCAAGACCGTACATGAGAACAGTCAGCCAACGTGGATGGCGATCCTTTGCGTTGATGACCTCGTCCAAGCGGGCAAGAGCCTCGTCCAAGCTGATGACGTCGTGCAAAACCTCCTTGTAGATGTCGTGAGTGTCCTTCAGCTTGCCAAGGTTGACGCCTTGCACGGTGCGAACGATCTTGACTTCAGCGGTATGGGTCATGCTGTCATCGAAGGAGATGATCATACACCCGGGGATGTAGAGGAATTGGGAGTTGATCTCAAGGACCTTGGCTGTGGTCGCGAGGTACTCTTCGAGACGGTGTGTAGGTGCGCCAAAGAGCATGAGAGCGCGACACATGCGTATGATGTACTGTTGTCGCTTGAGGATGTTTGCAACGTGTATCTTGATTCTGGCATCCTGGTCTTCCTTTGGCTTCAACACCTTGGCAATGATTCCTCCACTGCTACTCCGCTTGTGATGGCGCGGGCGTATAGCGGCGTCTTTCTTGTCGTCCTTTGGGTTTGCCAGCTTGGCCGAAGCGCCAACGAGAGTAGCCAGTGTCTCTGTCGACTGCATTGGCTTGTTTGCGTTGTACCATTTCCGCTTCGATGGGGTGCTGGGTCCTGACGAAGACCCATGTCGCGACCTCTGTGTTGGTGACGTCTCGCTGACCTCGGAGGATGTATCGGTATAACCGCGCACTGGTTGCTTGTAGGCTTGCAGGAGTTGGTAGAAGATGCCCCCGTTGGTGTTGCCGGTGACAGTGTAGGCCCCGTCGGGATCCACTTCGCTCACCGGCGGCGCATTGTAGTTTTGCTGGCCGGTGTGGTATGCATTAAAGAGCTCTTCAGCGTCGGTGGTATGCTCGTTGGTGGTGATTTCATTCGACCCGGATTCGCTGATGCGGCTGTAGCTCTGGACGTGTTCCAGAGGCGCAGGGACTTCGACGTTGGCAGAGCTGTTGAACCTGACCCTCGTCTTGCCGGTTGCTTGCTCGGGCTGTATCGAGGGCGAGGGGTACGTGGGCGGCATCTGCTGCATCTCGTGGGAGTCGACGTGGGTGTGCTCCGACGAGTTGGTGGTCGAGGGCTCCATTGCGGCCGTTGCTGCGTAGGAGAGGGGGAGCGCTGTGCGGTTGCTGTGCTTATTGAAGAAGAGGAAGAAGAAGAGATGACGGCGACTGCCACGTTGGAGGCGCCATGAGACTTTGAGTACTACGGCTACGAAGGTCCGGCACTTTGTTGTGCGTAATGGTCCTCGGACCGGAACCCAAAATACATTTGCGTTCGGTCGCGACCTGGCTGTGGATCCGAAACACAGGGCCGCCGGGTAGAAGCGATCAAAGGGGTCGCCGAAATGGGAAGCAAACTTGCAAACTGGAGCCCAAACGCGTCGTGATTGTGTGAGCCATGATGCAACGCCAACGTTCGAGAGCTTCGAATGTGTCAAGGAATCGCTGCCATTGGTCCGTTGTCTGACTAGATCACGCCCGCTCTATCCGTGCCATTTTTGAAATATGGACCTTTGCATCAGGTGCTAAAGCATGGCGCGCATCCCCGACTCAACATGTCAATCCCCATGGGGCGTGCGCATAAGCGTGCACTCACTTCCTCTCGTCTTTGGTGGTGCGTCCGTCGGGTATGTACAGCAAGCGCCATGGCTGTCGAGTCATGGTGGCTGAAAATTTATCGTCGTTTGATGAATGCGAGGTTGTGCGAATGCGACATTGGCTTCAGCCCATGTCTGAGCTAGCAGCACCGTACGGTATATACGTTCATGTGCTGGCATACTCCTCGTTTGCAACTTTCACAAGTCCCCGCTGTCTCTGATCAAGTTCCCACCCATGACGCGTGTCAGGTTCATCAGCCGCGACCATCCATGACACTTCCTTTGCACCTTCCAGAGATGCATTAACATCGTCACTCGCTCTCCCGCTGAACGGGCGTAAGAAGCTTGCTTGCAGCCTACAGTTATCGCGCCTTTGCAAGATAGCACCGGCGTCACATGTCATCATTGGAAGCAGACTCACGCCAGCTTACGCCAAGGCCTAGGTGACATATTGACTGAAGGAACGAATCAACTCACTTTGAAATGTGAGAAGAGCTGAGCTGGTTGCGGCCATGCCGCTGCCACAGCCATCAGACTTTAGCATGCACGCCCTATGAGCAGCATGTCAGTCTGGAGCCATCCGTCCCAGTCTACATTCAAGACCAGTCTTTACATTAATCTGAACACTCCAATTATACTTTTTTGAATCCCGTTGCATCATTAAACCACGATAATGGACCTGTCGCGAAAAACGTGCGTAACGTACGTGGCTGCCGACTGCGGCTCCATTATACCAGGGAAGTCCAGGGCGGCTGCGGCTTTCAAAACGGTCGACATCTACCGCAGACTGGTCGAAGCGGGCGTAAATGTTATTGACATCGACATGAGTAAACTCCCCGACTGCGATGACCTGGCCCCAGGACCGGACGTGCTCGATGGAAAGGTGACCTACAAGCCTAGCTCCTTCGTACCAGGCGATATTCGCAATAGGGCGGGCAATCTGGAACTCCTTCGCAGAGTGCGAAGGAAGATGTCCGTAAACTTTCAAGCGGAGCCCAGAGCATTCCAGCTAGTTCTTGGGGGCGAGTGCTGCATGCTGCCAGCCATCCTTTCTTCTGTCAAGAAAGAATACCACGAGTCTACTACGGGTCTCGTCTATATTGACGCGGACACCGATCTGCACTCACCCTTAGACGACGATTGGATGGGCTATTTTGCAAGCATGGTGAGCAAACTTCATACGCAAGATGAACGTAAGACAAACACTGACTTCGTACACTCATCTGCAGACGATGACGCAGCTCATGGCGCGGCCCGGGGCAATTAGTGACGGGTCGGAAGGCACACTAGACCCTGTACTCGCTCGTGAGAAGCTCTGCGATGGTACCAATACAGTTTTCTTCGGCACAAACCTTCCCCACCCGGGGAACAAGCCGAAGCACCTAGCATATCTGAACGACGAGCACTTCAAAGTTATCTCGTCAGAAGCGCTGGCAAACCATCCAGAAGGACGTGCAAACGAAGCATTGGAGCACCTTGAGCAGAACAAGGTTGAGGCTATCTGGGTGCACCTTGATATTGACTCCATTGATCCAGGCGAGTTTCCGCTGGCAAATGTTCCAAACTTTACGGGCGTGACATTTCAGACAATGATGCAGGCTTTGTCAGTGTTCGTGGCTAGCACCAAGGTCGTTGGACTGTCCATCGCAGAGGTCAATCCAGATCATGATCCTGACCTGGCCATGACGACGATGCTAACCAAAGAGATCGTGAGTATGCTTGCGAGAAGGGAACTGGTTGACTCGTTCTGAACGGTCTGGAAATGTGGCCTCAGCACACGAGAAGTGGACGCAGACTGGAAACAAGCGAATAGAACTATTCATCTTCCTAGCCATTCAGCGATTATTCTCCCTTGCATCGTCTATCGTTTGGGCTCGTACACACAAGTGACCTCCTCGTACATCTCCCCATTAACTACCAACCTGATTCTACCTCTCTCTATAAAACCCGCTTTCTGATAGAACGTCTGTGCAGCTTCAACAGTGCTGTCCAAACACGCAGGCACACCTTCTTTCTCGCACAAGTTCATGCCCCAATGCAGCAATAGAGTACCAATACCAAGTCGAGAATAATCAGGTGATACGGCGAGCCACATAAGATCTAGACCTCCAATTAGTCCGCATCTCAGGTCATGCAGAAGCACGTAACACCACCTACCATAGTGCGGCGTATGCCCAATAACTTCCTCCGCAGTCTTTCCAGCAGCCGCTAACCAAGGCCTCAACACGTTCCAATCCGTGCCCTCCGGCAACTTCCAAGCTGGTGGTTTCCAGCCCTGCTCTTCGGCCTTGACCGGATGGTACCACACTGCGTAGCCTACAGTCTTACCTTGCCCTTCCCTTACTTCAGCCTCGTCCGTGTGTTTGGCGACTAGAATTGTAATTTGGGGCTCTTGCATGTCAGCTGAGAATTTTTCTTCGACGCAGCCCTGGAGTGCTGCCCATATAGCAGGGGTGGGGTAGATGGCTCGCATGAGGACGTTGGAGCTGAACGCTTGGACATGTAGGGCGGCGATGTCGACTGCATCCTTGGGCTGTGCTGGGGAAATGGACACGGGCATCGTGCTTGATGTTTGGGCTCTAGAGTTGGTGGATGATGTTTCTGGGTCAGGACCTAGGTACTTGGTGCACAAGGCCGTGGCGTGCATATGTGAACATGGTCAGGTTGGATTTGATGGCTGAGGCTTGAGGGGTCACATGGTTTCTGTCGGCCTCGTGCGACGTGTTTGGATGGATCTAGGAGCAACACAACCAGAGCACGGATAAAGAGCATGTAGTGCGCTGACCAAGTTTGCCCAGGCAGAGCACGAGAGTCGTGTGTAGTCCGTGATGCGCTAGCGGTTTCTACCTTGCCCTTGCTCTGTTCTTGTGAGACCTGTGCGCATAGGGAAGGCCCGTTTGAGGATGGAAAATAATGTGCATGTTGGCTGACACGAGCTGCCTGTTCAGCAGCGAAAGGTGAAAGATTTGAATTGGATAGTTGCTGGCAATTCGACCGCCAAAGCCGTTACGACGTGCCGCAAGAATTATATTTACCACCACCGCGCCCCAAAAATCTTTGGCGCAACCTTGTCTTTCTTGTTCTCGGACACCAGATCAATCCTCTGATGGCCTTTTACATCCACGGCAAGCGTCTCGTAGTCGTAGTCATTCTGACTTGGTCTCTTGGTCAAATGTACATGTACCACGCCCTGCCCCAGCGGCCCCTCAACGTAGAACCTAAAGCGCAGATGCTCGGTGCCCCACTTGTCAGTCTCTTCGGTACTGCTGAGGTAGCGATTGCGCGCCCATCGCGACCAAGAGCCTTCACCAAAAGCAGCAATTTCGGCGCCAGGACCCAGCAGCTTTTGACATCGGGGGTCCTGGCGTATCAGTGTCGTTGCGCGGTTGAAGTAGGCGGTCTTGGAGGAGGGGCTGAAGACATCGGAGAAGAGAAAATAGCCGACGCCGCCCTGGTACAGATGTTAGTCTTGCGCCTCCAAGGATAGATTGGCGAGGGGAAGCTGTACAGTTGCTACGATGCCCACCAGGACCACTACAAAGTTGAAGCTCTGCTGAGTGGTCCGTACTGCCTTTTCGCCTGGTGACAGATCAGACCATCGCACTTGGCCTGTGTCGCCGGTCAGGGATATTGACTTCCTCTGCGGTTTTGGCGGCGGGCTGCTCGTCGACGTGTGTGTGGCTTGTGCATGGTGGGTAGTGGAGAAGGCGATGCGCCCGATGTGCGCTCTGCGATTTGAGGCACGGATGCGCGGTAGGACGAATGTTGGTCGAAGCAGCGCGATGGCTTCCGTAGGCTTGTATACGGCGGCCATTGTGACTATGCGTGCGAGTGAAAGGTGAAGTGGAAGGCATGCGATGTGATGCGATGCATGGATGCGGAGCGGAGCTCGTGTGACGCCGGGCTTGAGGTCAACGCAGCCGCGGCCCGGTTCCTGGACCGGAACCTTACTTTTGGCATCGACACCGCACGCTCTATCAACCTCCCGACCCAACATTCGCTCTTTGAGCACAAACCCACGCTATTTCCAGAGACAAGCGCACTGGTGAAAGTGCAGCCAAGCGAGCATGAGCGCAAATAAGAAGAGCAGCCTTACTGGCTATCTCCCAGATATCCTCATGGCAGCTGCAGCAGTACGTCCATTCCCACAAGCGCGCCACAGTCTCCCCACACCTGCTGTGCCCCTCACTGCCTTGCCGAGTACGTGCTCATATTCCCGTAGCCGCTAATAGCCTACTTCGTAATTCGCAACCTCCTCACACGCCTCGATCCGGAAGCTCAACAAAAAGAAGAAGCCCGCGCCAAAGCCTCAGCCGCCACACGTAAACTCGACGCCATCCTCACAAGTAAACGGCGGAAAAGCTATGGCGAATACGACAGTGAAGATGAGGAAGACACAGAATCCAGGCACAGACGGCCCAGGATACAGGATCTCAATTTGAATACCTATGAGCAGACGATTGCCATGGAGGTGGTTGCGCCCGAGGAGATTCCCGTGAGCTTCGAGGGTACGTCACAAACTTGTTCGGGCTTGAGCCGTGGGCTGCGGAGTTATGCGCATGAGTGCGCGCAAATTGGCCTACTGGAAGCCTGAGTCGCAATGCAACGCTGACACATTCCAGACATTGGCGGCCTCGACTCTATTATTGAGGAGCTCAAGGAGTCCGTCATCTACCCTCTGACTATGCCCCACCTCTATTCGCACTCTTCCTCGCTCCTCAGCGCACCCAGCGGTGTGCTCCTCTACGGCCCTCCCGGCTGCGGAAAGACTATGCTCGCAAAAGCCCTCGCGCACGAATCCGGTGCCTGCTTCATCAACCTACACATCTCGACGTTAACGGAGAAATGGTACGGCGACAGCAACAAGCTCGTCAACGCGGTCTTCAGTCTGGCGAGGAAGCTACAACCAAGTATCGTATTCATCGACGAAATTGACGCAGTCTTGGGACAGAGAAGAAGCGGAGAACACGAGGCCAGCGGAATGGTGAAAGCCGAGTACGTTTAGACACCATCCAATCTCACTTGCGACGAAAGAAGGACTGACAATCCATAGATTTATGACCCACTGGGACGGCCTCGCATCCAGCACCTCCTCTGGCACATCGACCCCCCAGCGAATATGCATCCTCGGCGCCACAAACCGCATCCAAGATATTGACGAAGCCATTCTCCGCCGCATGCCCAAGAAGTTCCCCGTCGCACTCCCTTCGGCCACACAGCGTCACAACATCTTCTCTCTGATCCTACGCGGCACCAAAATCGACCACCAGAACTTTGATCTAAACTACCTAGTCCGCGTCTCGGCTGGTATGAGCGGTTCGGATATCAAGGAGGCGTGTAGAGATGCGGCCATGGGGCCAGTGCGAGAGTACATCAGGAGAAAGAAGGCAGACGGCACGCTGAGGAGCAGCAAAGGGATGGCACAGGGCGATGTCCGCGGACTGAGGACAGAAGACTTCTTCGGTCGGGGAAAGGGGCTGCGCGAGATGGAGAAGGTGGACGATACACGCGAGGAAATGAATGCGCGCGTACGAAGTCGAGTTCACACTACTTCCGAAGAGTCGGAGGAAGCGAGCAGCAGCGACAGCACAGCCAGTGGCGAAGACAGATTCCGCGACTCGGCATACCAGGGCGCGACCAACGAGGCCGTGGTACAGTAATGACAGCGCTGCCATAAACTATCAGTATCGCCTTGTAAAATGTCTGTATATGTTGGAATATCACGAAGACGAGACAAACGTACATATGGGTGGCGTTTCTGTGGGCTAGGCATAGATTTAAGGAAGGGACGTGATACAACGTCACATCATGCTACAATATATCGAATCACAACTGTGAACACCATATCTTTGAAACATCTATATCATTGTATCGTTTTCCGTTACCGTACCTAAGCTACGTGGAGCAGCCACACAATCAAAGTCAAACTGCAACTACAACGGATCCGCCAAGCAAAACAACGCTTGATGCAGACACCTACTTCTCCTCCTCACTTTCCTCACTCTCTTCTTCGTCTTCGTCTTCTTCCTCGTCATCGTCTCCAGCATCGGCTGCAATCTCTTCATCGGCATCATCCGCCTCTACTTCGTCTTCTTGGATCAAAAGGTCCTCCACGGTTCCGCCTTCCTTCTCCAACCGCAAGTACTCATCCCATTCTGGGAACATCTCTGCATCGCCCTCACCGTCCTGAGGTGGCGCGCCAAGGAGTCTAGCAACCTTGGTCTTGTTCTCCTTCTCCAGGGACTCCTTCCATTGCTTGACAAGGCCAGCGGTAGCGCTCGGTTTGTACGTTTGTGAGAAGAGAACAGCCTCGGCGAGGCGGTTGGTCTTGACGAGCAGGTCGATGCACGCCTGGACATCGCCGATTTGCCAGAGCGCAGAGAAGGCTACGTTGTTCGCGGTGGCGTTCTCGGCCAGGGAAGCGAGTTCATGGAGACCAGCAGTATCCGAAGTTGCGCTATAGAGGAGGAGAAGGGAGCCGAGGTCCTTGGCCTTGACAAAGCATTCCTGCGCGAGCTTGACATCCCAGTTTGTGAGAGCAGCATCACCGACAGTCTTCCACTTATGTTCTGTGTCCTGCTCGCGAGCGATTGTAACAGCCTGTTGCAGATCTCCAAGGGACAAAGCGAGATCGAATCGGTGTTCAGGGTCGGTGGCAACCTTGAGCGCCATTTCCTTGTAGCCTTGACCTTCCAAGAATCGAGCAATCTTGTTGTTTTGATCCTTGGGCACAGAGGGAAGCGTCTCCTCGGCGGCTTCAAGATCACCTCGGAGGATAAGTGTCTGGTACTCAACGACGGCCAGAGACAGAACGAAGGAGACCACATTCACATCCTTGTCGGCGACATAGATTCTGGAATCACGAGGTAGATATCCAAGGACGTAGTGAGGCGAGTCGAAGTGAGAAATAGTGTACGTTTGGTCGCCGACAAGGTAGTTCAGGCGATTTGTGCTGTTTGTGTAGATGAAGCAGTCTCCAACCCAGGTGCCAGTGCGAACGCTGTTCGTCATTAGCTTGAGGTTTCAGTAATGGTTTCCTAGAACGTACCTCTCGTTGATGTCGCACACAACTTCGAATGCAGACTCGGCGCCATCCTCGTCCACTTCGCCGTTTTGCATGGCTTCTAGGTAGTTCTCCCTAGAGTAGCGGAGGACATAAAATGTGTCTTCCGTGGCAAGCGTCACGAGTTCCCCGCTCTCAGACCAGTAGACGCTCTTGGGCTCGACCTCTATCCGTCGAACCAAGGCGCCAGAGTCCCAGTCGAATAGGCCAATGCCGCCTTGACCCTTCACACCCAGAAGCACACCGCCACTCAAGCCGTCAGCTGAGAAACCAACATTCAGTACACTCCGCTCCTTGAAGTTGCGGAAAATCTTGACACTAGTAGAGGATTCCCGAATGGCGTAGTCCTTGTCGTGTTCTTTCGAAGCCCAGCAAAAGTCGAGAGCACTACCGAAAGCTTGGTTACGGAGAACAAGCGCAGTGTAGATGATGTATTCGCCATCACCGCAAACTGCTACGAAACGTCCGTTGGGCGAGTGCAGCAATGACTGCGGGTACAGCTCTGTTGAACCAAGATCCTTACTGGGGAGGGAGAGCCTCTCTCCATCCTTGAGCTGGTCGCTGCCTTTGATCACCGAGGTGAGAATGTCGTTGTTCTTGGCCCAGAGTAACTTTCCGCTACCGTCCATGCTGACAGCTGGCTCTTCACGACCCATGGTGATGACGACAGCTCCGTCATCGAATCCCAGTGCCACGCCGTTTCTTCCTTTCTGGTACGATACACACCATGCGCGCTCCAACCCATAGTTCAGGGACTGTTCCAACCGGTAGGTCGACGAGTGCCAGATTTTGATTGTGCCGTCTTCCGATCCAGAGATGATGACGGGGAGCTCAGGGTGGTATACGGCGAAACTGACATTAGAAGTATGGCCTTCGAGTGTCGCAATCAGCGCTTTTGTTGTGTAGTCCCAAACCTTGACTGTCCGATCATCGGAGGTTGTAAGGAGATATGGCTTGTCCGACTGGGGGTAGTAATCGATGAAGTTGACACCCTTGGTCTCGTGCGCCTCGAGCGTAAAGTTGGGAGTAGAGCTGCCGAGGGACCATATCTTGACGGTTCGGTCGAGACACGCGGAGGCGAATGTGTTGGGGTCTTTGGGATTTATCGCGATACCCATAACGTAGTGTTGGTGGCCAGCGAATTCTTGTACGCCTGCTCTCTGTCAGCATATGCCATGTCTTTTGGTATGACCACTCCACATACACTTCCACGACTTGTCCCAGTCCCAGAGCTTTATAGTCATGTCATCCTAAAGCCACATCAGCTTCGCTTCTGCGTTGTTCAGATTTGTTACCCACACTGGCGGTAAGGACGAAAGGTTGTGTTGGGTGGACAGCGATTGCGCGGATGTAATCGGGGTGTGCCTCGAAAGATGTGACCTTCTCGGAGGTGTTGTAGTTGTAGACGCGCAACTGGAAGTCATCGGAACCTAAGTGTACATGTCAACTTCTCTTCCAATAGTTTCGGGTCCTTCAGGCTTTACCAGCGACTATCCAGTTCTTCCTCGCAATGAAGCGACCAGCGCGCACGGGTACGTCGGTAAGCTCGAAGGTTTTGACAATCGATTGTGATATATACGACCAGATGTGGACGTGTCCTGCCTCTGTCAGCACCTCGCCTGCAGCGTGGAGGACCAGCTGTGCATACCGCTGTATAAAGTCGTAAGGATCCATGGCTCGGTCGGGTGAAAGTCTTTGGGGATATTTAGCGGTGAAAATGTCTAGCAGAGCTGCTGTTCTTACCAATGCCTGTAACATGTTAGTGTACGTCTTGGTAAGTCTGTCCATCGAGGCTACTCACCTTTGACACGCTCCGACCGCGCGAAAAGCTGCCTCTATATTCAAAGCCGAGTTAGAATTGCTCTTTGCTGCTAACGAATGCAACGGCGCATTGTTGCGTACCTTGACGTCCAGACGCATTGTTGTAGCTCAATTGTGTATCGCGGAGGGGTGGATTATGGGAACGTGGCTTTACTAGCCAGTCCACAGATGCGCAGGCAGTCGCGGAAAGAGACAAGAAAACGTGAACGGGTATCGATGGTATAGAGGTCCAGAGAGGGAGAAAGCCAGTCACGGGATTCGCTGGGGTGTTACTGCTTGGTGTCCTCCGCAATGTGTTCGATGTTCGGCGGAGCTGCGCCAAGACAGCGACAGGGTTCAGGCAGCTATTTCCCACTGCGGCAGGTTCGAAAAACCGTCGATAGCAGACGAAATGCGCAACATTACCGCCTCCGCTAGCTGCACGGGGCTGTAGATCCTACGCCGTGCGTTCAATACATCATCTCATCTGTGCACGATGCGAGCAGCCCTTGGGACATTGCGGCTGCTCATGTGGGACCCTGCGGCTTTGCGCCTGCGTGCCTCAAGTCACGTAAGTGGGCTCGTTATGCTCAACAAGTAAGTGAATTCTTTTTCAATTCCGACCCTACAACTATGTACTCGGAACGACAGCCTCCCCACAAGTAGCCCCTGCGCGCTGCCGCTCATGCATGTACAACGCATAACGAATATATCGACAGCAACCCCAAACCCTCCACCCATGGCATGAAATGGCCATTTCATATATCAATAAGATGACGAGAGGAAAAAACGGTCTAGCTTGACTAAGCGTAGACTGGTATCTTAGAAGTGAAATACAGTGAAAGGAGAATATATGTTAAAGTATAGTGTGTAAGTTTATGGTGGGTTAAGCGAACGTGTCCGAACGGTAGTGATGAGAGATTTGCTTCGCGGCTGGATCCTGAACACCAGCTTGGATGAGGTCGGTGCGACGACAAGTTGTTGTTGATACGGGGCAAAGCTGGTCGCTGGGACGGAGGTGTTCTGGAAGGCACGAGGCGGAGCCATCCACGTCCAGTCTATGGTACAACGACGAAGACTTTGTGGGGGAGGGAACGGGTTGTGATGCTTTAGTTCCAGCCAAGAGAGTTCTCAGCCATGACCGGAGCTGAGATCTGCTGTGTTCGGACACTGCGACCCTGAGTGGTACTGCTGCCTTGGCTGCCGCGACTACCAGGCGTCATTCGACCATTCCGAGCGCCATGCATCCAAGCAGCAGCGCCACCTGGAATTGAACCGTAGGTCATGCGGCTTGTGCTGGGAACAGAGCTCGAGCGCTGGTGGGCCATACGCTTGTTCCTGTATCGGCGAGCAACAAAGAACATGGCTGCACCGTAGGCAATAGCACCAACAATGGCACTGCTAGCGACGATGGCGCTGGTCTTGTTGACAGTGCGGCTGGCGCCGATGTCGCCTCCCATAGCACCACCATCGCCAGAACCACCTGTGGACTCAGCACCTGGTTCGGCAGCCGCATTGGCAGGGCTGTTGTCACCCGGCAGCTTGCCCGCGGGAAGAGGGCAGGCGGTGTTGATCAAGGTCGTGAGGTCGTTCACTGTCGAGTTTTTGTTGTGCCAGAAAGCATCGGCGGGGTTGCGGAGCTGCGCTGCGAGCTTCGTCTGGAGATCCTGTGGAATGGTGAACAAGGCGAGAGTAGTGATGAAACCCTGGTACTCCATGGTGTTGAGAGGCTTCAGACCGAAGTTCTTGACCTCAGAGGTTGAGATGTTCAAACCGTCTGCGATAGCAATTGGCAGGTAGTGGAAAATTTGCTGCCCACCATCGTTTGCAGACACGAACGGGTAGTTGAGCGGCCACTTGAAACACACTTGGCCCATGAAGCTGTTGTCTGGCCTCTCAGGAGGGACTCCTCCAGGCGGCGCAATCATCTGTGGTAGACTCGAGGGAATGCTGCTGACGGTGGGACTAGGGGTTGGCATCGTCGAAGCCTCAACGATGATGCTGGTACCAACGATGAGAGAAGTTGCGCTATCGGTGGCGGTCGGCGTAAGAGAGAAGACCGGCGGCGCCTTGCTAGTGGTAGTCGGTAGGGCTGGAATAGTGATCGAAGCAGGGCTCTTGGTGGATGTAGGCTTGGGTGTCTCTGAAGTTGGTGGTGGAGTGGACACAACAACGGATGACGGAGCAACGGAGCCGGTGCTGAAGAAAGAAGTGGGAGCATCGCTAAGGGTGGCATTACCAGCACTCGAAGGGCTCAGAGTACCGGCGGCAGTCGAAGTAGCTGACGAAGGTCCTTCCGAAGCCGGGACAGTGAGAGATTGGCTACCTGACGAAGTTGGAACTGGGGACGCAGATGTGCCGATAGAACCTGTACCAGAAGGAGTGATGCCTGAGCTTCCGGAGCCTGAGGGTAAAGCAGTTCCCGAAGATGCTGAAGGTGTAATGCTTGCAGTCTCGGAGGCTGTAGGCCCAACGCTGGAGGAGAGAGCCTCGGAGGCAGGCACGCCAGACGAAGAAACGACTTCAGAGGTTGGGGTAGGCACGGCACCGGATGGCAAGAGTCCTGAAGAAGGAAGGATGCCAGACGATGGTAGGATACCTGACGAGATTGGCAGGCCTGACGAAGGGGGGAGAACTCCGGAAGACAGCAAGCTTGAGGGCAAGACAGTCGGGATGATAATGGGACCAGTGCCGGTGGGAAGAGCTGAGTTCAAATCAGACAGAATGCTTGATATAGCACTGGGCACCACAGAGACAGGAAGATCCGATACAACTGAGGACAACAGCGAGGAGATTGCCGGAGGAAGAATGCCGGACGCGCTAGCAGAAGCTACTGATGTGGGTGCAGTGGATGCAACACCGCTACCGGTAGGCAGGACACCAGATACGACCGACGATATAAGTCCCGGTACGTCGAGGATCGGGGAGCTGGTAGCTACGGTCTCTGAAGTAGGAATGGCTCCAGAGCTCAAGGGAGAAGTCGGTGTCGCAGTCGAAGCAGCAGAATCACCAGTGCCCAAAGCCGTAGTGATGCCGATGACAATGCCAGATGATGGCAGAAGGGGTGCGCCAGTCGAAGCAACCTGGGAGGTGGCTGTCGGGACTTCTGATGCGAGGAGCGAGGACAACAGTCCACCAACTAGGCCTCCAGATGACGTTGGTTGGACAACGGTCTCAGGAATACCTCCAGTGGTGCCAACCTCGGAAGTAGCGGCAGGTGGAAGAATCGACGAAAGTAGCCCGCCAAGAAGGCCCCCAGACGAAGTGGGCTGAACGATGGTCTCAGGAATACCTCCAGTGGAGCCAACTTCAGAAGTTGGCACGGGTGGAAGGATTGACGACAAGAAACCACCAAGTAGGCCACCGGAAGAGGTAGGCTGAACAATTGTCTCAGGAATGCCACCAGTGGAGCCGATCTCAGGAGTAGGGGTGGGTGCGAGTAGCGTTGAAAGGAGACCACCAACCAGGCCGCCGGATGAGGTAGGCTGCACAATCGATTCAGGAACACCGCCTGTCGATCCAGGGACAATGAAAGGCCCCTGGAAGCTGGATGCAGCAGGAGAGTTTGGTGCAGCAGAAGAAGCAGGAGACGCAGTGGGTGTCACGATAGTCTCCGGGATGCCTCCAGTGGAGCCGACAGCTTGCTCTGATGACTGGGCAATAGTCGATGAAACTACCTGGGTAGGTTGGACAACAGATGTGGGAACACCGCCAGTGGATCCAATGATTGGGTTCAGAAGCGATGAGAGAAGCCCACCAACGAGACCAGCAGAAGTCGTTGTTGCAGTAGGTGTGTCGACAGCTGAAGACGATGGCTGCACAATGACATCCGGCAGTCCGCCTGTCGAGGCAGGGGTATTCTCAACACCAGGAGGCGTCGAGGTCGGCTGTACGATGGCTGAAGTTGGCTGCACGATGGTCTCGGGAATGCTGCCGGTAGAAGGCGCTGGCTTGCTGTCGACAGCGGAGGATGACGGTTGGACGATTACGTCAGGCAGCGCTCCAGTTGGGGCAGCCGCTGAGCTCTGAGCGGTCGAAGAAGCTGGAGTATCTTCAACGGCAGTCGAAGAGGCCGCAGCTGAGCTTTGGACAGTGGAGGTTGGTGGGACGATGATCTCAGGTAGGAGGCCAGTGGAGCCGAGGATAGGACCCAGAATAGGGCTGTCAGCCTTGGTAGAAGATGCGGCGCTGCTTTGGGCGGTTGATGTAGGCTGCACAATAGTCTCGGGGAGGCCACTAGTAGTGCCAATCTCGGCCGCTGAAGAAACAGCGGTTGTTGGCCGAGGTTCGGAGATAGGCTCGGGCGTGGTGGTCTCGACAGGCTTCTCGCTTTTAGGTGCTTCGGGAGTAGGCGAGGGAGCAGCGGTAGATGATGGCACAGGGATGGATTCCTGAATTTGGCTTGACGAGCTGACGATGGAGCTCAACGATTCGACTGCAGAGCTCGATGCCGCAGGCGGCGGTGGTGAGAAGACGCTGCTTTCTGAGAGAGGTGCGCTAGAGGAGCTCTCTACCAACGTGGAGGACAAGGTGCCGGTCGTGTCTGCGTCGCTGGTGCTGACTAGCACATCTGAGGAAGAGGCAAGAGCCGATGAATCGGAACTACCGCGGAACAGCGATTCAATGAAAGATGGGAAGTCCATCTGGCGGGACGAGAGCTGCTCAGTAGTGCTGCTAGACGAGTAGCTGGTTGATGGCTCTGGAGTAGCCGCAGGGGTCGTCGCATTTGTAACGATTTGTCGCTTCACGTGCCTAGCGAAGTAGTATCGGGGACGGCCTTGGGTTTGTTGTGGTCCTGGTGCGGGCATGGCCTCTGCTGTCGTGAGGAGCGGGCCAGAGCCGGAAAGACTGGCCAGGACCAAGGCGGCGGCCCATACTGTGGTTGAGCGAGGCATTGTTACGATTATGATGCCTGGTTATGAATAATTAGGTATCTCGAGAGTCTCGAAGGCAATGTACGTAGAAGCCTGCGGGTGTTAGCCATGGCATTTGCAGTGCAAGTGGAAAAAACATACTGTCAGGGCTATGGTAAACGAGTGTACTTGACGATTGTCAATGATGGATAAAGAATGGACCTGTCGCATGTTAGTCTTCGCGGAGAAAGCGCGTCGCTGAGCTGGGTGACTCACTAGACTGTCGATGCAGCTAGGAATAGATGGTTCCACAGGCGATACGATTGAAGCGTCGTCGCAATGTACTCGGGTTGGTCGCGGGACTATGCTGTCATGTTTGACACTGACAGGTACCGGAGAATAGTCGTCGCGTGGGTCTAGAAGCACGCGGTACCGAACCAGGGCCGATCAGAGATTGGTACGCACGTGGATGACAGCGAGCGAGCAGGTGGGCGACAAAAAATCGTGGGAGTGGTCGAGGCACTCTAGGCACGATTGCGTTTTCTTTATTCCTGAGCAGCGGGTGGCCGTGCGTGTCGTAAGTGGTCAGCGGGGCTGGGGCGCGTTTTCGTGGGTGGTGCGATGCTAAAACGAGCGGCGACGACGTTGATAGGCAACGGTCAGATTACTAGTAATTGCGGCGACGGAGCGGAATTGCTTTTGAAGGAGTGTTCGTGATTCGGAGAATCGTGCAAGGGAGCGTGAGGCCTGAGGCGACGTGGAGAGCGGTGCTTGACGGTCGGGGGAGAGAGCCACGGGGAGCCACGGGCGGGGAATGCGCAGAGTCGATATTTGAATGCGCCCGTTGGGGGGTTGTCGGCGGGTGGTGGAGAAGAGGTCGGCTTGGGGCGTGGGCGACGGGTAGTGAAGAAGAAGAGAAGACAGGGCGCCGGTCAGCAGCAGTCGCCCAGGTGTCCAGGCCAAAACGGCGGCAGGCAGGGGCGAGGGGCGGAAGAGGGAAAGCGCCGTGGGCTGCGAGTCGCCAACGTGTGCTCCCTGCAGGAGAACCAACTGCTCACCACTAGTGCCAGTGTCCACGACGGGGAAAGCCAGGGTTTCGCGCGGCGGGCCTCTGCATTCGATAGTCGCAAAATAGAACGGCGCTTGCTGCAGAGGGAAGTAGTTCGCTATTGACGTCGCTGGTGGAGACGATGCAGAGGGTTCATGTGACAGGAGACAGACAGCAAGACTTCAGAGGCTGCGACGACAAAAGGCGAAGCGGACATTGTGTCCCCATCAGCAGCAGATTGCGCATGCCGCCACGGTGCGCCTGTGGATTAATTTGCATCTGGCCGCGAGGCCCTGGTCGTGCAGACGGCTGTGAGCTCAAACCGCACTAGCCAAGGGTAATATATACCCCGGCTGTGCTACCGTACAGCCCAAGACATGGTGTATCCCTTGCCTACGACACGGCGACTGAACCCTCAATTTCGAGGAATTTGAAGGCGGCCGACTGCGCAGTGTTGATGTCCATCTCCAGCGCCTTGCTCCCCACCGTTCGATGCGCACGCTGCTGGAGAAGGAACGGCCATCAGGCGGCCAATAAGAGAAGGCGCAGCCCTTGCCCTTGCCGAGCCCTTCATTTCGGCATGACACGGGTCCCACTCGCATGCGAATGATGATGATCGCTCACCACCACGCCTCATGCTGCACCCAACCCCGTGGACATGCTTTGATTGTTCGCGCTCAGAAGCAATATCGCGGTACCTTCCTGGGCCCTGCACACTGTTATTCCAACGTCTCTACCGGCCGACAGTGGAAAATGCAGGGCTGCGTATCGTCTGCAGCCACCTAATTCCTTCGCTGCTGAGCGAGCCATTCTGCCGGCCTTGTGTCCACAGTCATTCCGAAGTGCGACCAACTACTACCGTATCCACACTATCGTTTTTTTGACAGCCATGTGCGCTTTGCCTGCATTGTCTTCTCGACGACTCGCCAAAGTTCGTCCTAGGACAGACGGCTGGTTTCGACTTCTGCTCGCCGCCTCCACGCCTGCGCCCCAGCGAACGACATGAACTTTACAGCGCCCTAGGTTCGAGGTACCAGCCCCTGTCCGTGGCTAGCCTTCACTTGGACTGCAGCCTCGACATCGGCTGCTGGTACCGGTACTTCCTGACTGGACTGTCCTTCATCTCTCAAGTCAGCATGGCCTTGACTGACGCCATTCCATCAGCGCCTCAAATACACATTCCGTCCTCTAACGTTTCATCTCTCCCTCGGTCTGCGACTGCGAACGCCTGCCACAGCTATATTTGGCTGTCTGTCAAAGTTCTACAAACATTCCACCTGACGGGTGCCGAGGCTCGCCTTGCCATCGGGTACTGTGACTCGTTTCAAGCTCCTGCGTGGCACTGTACGAGGAAGGTGCGAAGATCCAACCCGCACAAGACTGTGCCGATCCAATGGTCCAGCCAATGCACCGCGGCATCGGGCTGTCTCCTTGTCTACTGGGATTCCCCTTTCTGTCGCTTTGCTTTACCATTTGGTCGAGGCCAACATATCCGTAATTCCATCGCATCGCAAGGAGACTTCCGCCGCCACGGTTAAACATGTCGATTGAGGCTGGTCGATTGCAAGCGCGTTGTTGTGCTGTGCATGGTGACATTCTCTGATACCAGTGTTGTTCAGTATTCTGAGACTACCCTTGCCGGCATGCGCTTGAACGTTTCGAAACCATTCCCGCCGACTAGAAGAAGAACATTACTTAAGTATCTGAACATATAGACCCAGGCCCCGCATCTACGTTGGGCACGGCCGCGGTTATCATGTTCATGCTATCTTTCTTGCCCTATACTTTATGCAGCTTCAACCACAGGAGGCTCTAATGCATCTTCTGCTTTCTGACTTATGCGGTTGTTTCCTGTCAGATCCACATGCCGTGGCTTCTCGCAGGGTCATTGTTTATGGATCCTGTCTCCCGAAACGTGTTCTGTATCGCGACCACGAGGATCGGTGGGGCGTGACGGCACGCATGAACCTATAAACTCCATCTCCACTTTTGTGGCCAAGCAGTCTTTAGATCTGGCCATTACTGGCCTCCAGAAGCCTCCCATTGGACTTGTGTATATGGTTTGCACGATATGTGTCTCCGTCTGTTGTTTTTGGAGTGCCACTGGGGATGAAGAGACAGCCCGTAAACCTTGACATCAGGTTGAGGCATATGGCCGTATACGTGTACAACTAAAACAGATGTCTCATGACGTGGCAATCGTTGCGAGTCACAGAAGATCTACGACAAGAGTTTGTTCGTCTTCTGCCAACCCTTCGCTGACGACCGCTGCATTCACACTCGTCATAGTCTGTCCAATCTTTGCTCTTCCCACCATGTAGAGTAGCCACTTGCAGACCCAGGCAACCAGCATCCCCAGGACGACGCCAACTCCTCCTTCGCCGCCACACACAGCGTCATAGTCCCACCGTAGCCATCCCCAGTCACCATACTCCACTCCTCTTGCTGAGTGAATGTGCCCGCAGACATGGAGTTGCGGCTTCACACGCCAAAGTTCTCGCTGAAGATGTGCACAGCCCTGCAAATAAGATGGGTTCGCGGGTGACGAGTCGAGGTGGCCTTTAGCTGGGCCATGTGTAACGAGTATGTCCGTTGCTTTTGGGACAGTGTTGGACCATACGTCTTTTGCTGAGTACTGGAACGCCCAGTTGCCATATTTCGGTGTCATGGGGCTTCCGTAAACCTTGACGTTCCTGTCCTGAACGACAAGCACCCTCAACTCGTTCTCAAGGTATACTACGCCTCCCCACATAAGTTGTCGAAGTTTGCGTTCATTATTCCCTAGGCTTGTAAGGCGTGGGTTGCGGCGAAAGAAGGATTGATCGAGAAGCAAATCGTGATTCCCTGCTATCACGACCTTGTGTTGATGTGGCAGGCTGTTCAACCATTTAAGCTGTAGTTGGAGCTCTTCGAATGTGCCGTTGACTGTCAAGTCACCAGCGTGAATCAAGATGTCGCCGTTCGGTACACGGGGTTGCTCGTTGTGCGTATCGGAGATGCAGACGACCCTAACAGGAGTCGTAGACGAGTCCTTTGATGTTGTAGAACAGGACTCCGGCAGTGTTGAAGGCGGTCGGTGGGCATATAACCACTGTGCGATGAAGAGTATTGGGTCCTGCTGCAGGCGCTGCCATGCTGATGGCAGTTCGAGCGCGAAGGGGTTGGACTTGCCAAATGTAAATGGTGTGTTTGTGGTTGTCATGTTGCAACGCAATATGTAAATCAAGTCGCTGTGAACAGTTCTTCATGTATGTAGCAAGACGCGTTTTTAGGCAGCAACGAGGTGGACATGGCCACGTAGGATGGTCGTGGTTATACTGAGCTGTGGCAGACCTGGTTAGAGATTTCATTAGTGGTAAAGACCTATGGTACCAGTGTCCATGGATTTGACCAGCAAAACATGACGAGCAAAAACAATCGCACCAGTACCATCCAATTCAATATTTCTACTTCCCCGCAACCGGCACGATAGCGACAGCAGTCGCATAGTCTCCATCATGACTGATGCTAATTTCGCACAGCTGCCCATCGATCTCGCTCATATCGATCAGTCCAACCTTGCCGTCAGGCGCAACCCAGCTTGGCTCGAAATCCTCGTAGACCATATCCAAGATCAAGCCCTGGGGCCGTAGCGATTGGTGCTTACTACGGTCCACCGTGCTAACAGGGAGGATCATGATGTGCTTGAACCCTCTTTGGATAATGTCGAGGTGTTGAATTGCTTTGCGGCAAGCTTCTTTCGCTGCAAACCTGGTATCACGTAAGCTCCTAACCGAGAGATGAAGCTGATGCGGATTCTCACCTGCCAGCGAGAAATTTGGAGATTACATCTACCTTCTCCAATACGGATTCTTCGGGCCCAAAGCGATTCCAGAAGTACTGGCGCTCGTGCTCGGTAAACACTCGTTTTAGGTAGTGACGCAGAGGGCGCAAAGGCTCGCCGTCGCCACCGGTACGGGGCGTGATGATAGATCGTACTCTTGGGACATTGCAAATATCGGTGCCCACTCGGAAGGGGAGGGGAAAGGCTCGCGGTGGCATGGGAAGTTAGTCAGTCATTGGCTGTTCGGATTGGGGCATGTGTATACGCCAAGATGGAGCTTGGCGGCCAACATGAGATGGTTGAGCAAAGTGCAAAAAGTTTACGACTGAGCGAAAGCTGGCCATCCAGTCAGTCCCACCGGCAAAAAGATCGACGTTGGCCAGATTCGAACTGACGCTCCCGAAGGAACAAGATTTCTAGTCTTGCGCGATAACCACTCCGCCACAACGCCGTGTTTTTGCTGCTTCTGCTGCTTCGATGAAGAACAAGCAATCTAAATCGTGTATAATCCATTAAATCTATCCTCCAGCTCGTTTACTGCGTGAGGCGACAAGCGTAGCATCCTCCAACCCGACTAGAAGCCAGCCGTGCCTCCACACCTCCACACCTCCACCTAGACCTTCCGCTTACAGTCCTTCGCAGTTTGTGAGCGCTCAATCTTGCTGGATCCAAGTCATCATAGTTGACGTTGACACCGTCATGGGCGGCAAAAGGCCCGATGTCAAAAACTTTCGTTTGTTCGCCTGATCCCGCAAAGAGCCGCAACTTTGCGTTTCGGACATGAAGATGAGGCGGGAACAGAGAACCTCCCCGCAACCTCCGGATTCCGACGACCAATAATTCTCATACCGCCACGCGTTCCATAGTTTTGATTCGTGTGCGCCGCGCATCCCACACATAAGTACCCGACGCGGACTACGGTCAACGGGCAGACGTCTGCAACACGTCAGTCTTGGTGCTTGATGAAAACGGCCCAAGCCCAATTCAACCAATGTGTAGGTAAGGGGCCCTGGGACGTGCGACACCTAATCTGGGATCATGGTGGTTGTGCATGGCTGTATGCTTCAAGCTACGGTTGGCTCCCCTTCGTGGAAGTCCGGCCTTGGAACAAAGAGCTAGGATGTCATGGCTGATGTGCATGCGGCCATATTCTGGTGAGACGATGCTGATGGGCCGTTGTGTTATGCGGTGATGTTCAAATGTGCTTGGTTTCCTCGGTGACTATTTTCCTACAAGCTCCTTCCATCAACTGCACCGTTCAGAAGTGCAGTTACGCCTGCGAAATCAGGACTAATGCAGCCACAAACCTCTCCACGCCTACCCGGCGTCCACCTCCTAAAAGTAGACTCCAACGGACCCGAGTACTCTCGCTGGCGACGCAGTCTTCAGTTTGCACTGGAATCGAAAGATACTTGGAAATACTGCAATGGCGCTTTGCCCATGCCTATGCCAAAGGCACGGCCAGTTCCAGTCATTTCCTCGGAGGAAACGAAAGACGTAGAGCCGAGCCTTCTCGAAGAGCGAAGATCATGGGTACGACAGGATCGCGAGGTCAAGCTAGACATCTTTCTTTCTCTGGCAGAAGAAGTGATGCAGGAAGTTTTCGAAGTCGGGCCACCCCTACCTCCCATCAACCACACTTCGCAAGAGATGCTGCAAGCATTGGATGATCATTTCGGTGTCTTCAGCTTTTCTGGATACCATCACGCGTTCTGCCACTTCATAAACTTGCACATCGACCAGTACGCGACTATCGAGGATTTCAACACTGAATTCACGACGGTACTAGAAGATCTGATCGACTACGGCCATCCACTCTCCAACACGCAAGCATGTAGCGCATATCTTTCCAAGCTCCGATGTACGCAGAACCCGGGGGTAGCGAAGAAGTTGGAGGAGTTGGACGCACTGTCGACAGAACCGGAAATCCACGACCTCATGCGAGAGTCACTGTCATGGCCATGCATCCGGCCACTAGCGACAAAGTCCTCTCAGATATTTCAGGTGCCAACCGTATCAGAGGAGTGCCGTACGGATAGCGGGGGTCACTCGCACGACGACCCACCCGGTCTCTCGGACAACTCCACCGTATCGTCTGAAGGTTCCCGTTCGAGGCAGTTATCCATAAAGGTCAACCACCCACAGTGGGCCATCACGCGTGCTTCTGATAACGTCAACCCGCAGGATCTGCGTGAAGCAATCGAGAAACTACTCACCAGTGCTGAAGCGGATCCTTCCAGTTTGAATTACGATGCGTCAGCGATATCAGCATGCGCAACACCGGATTGGTTGAAGGCACAAGAGAAGGCATTCTCCAAGTCACTTCCGATAACAGAGCCACCGGCCCCTACTGAGCCACAGACTCTACAAAAGACCGCTTCCGAGTCGCGCGCGCGATCCGCCTCACCGCGGCTGCTGTCTTCAACGTCCCGATCCGTGTCACAAACAAGTCTGACTGTACCAACCATGACGACGCGTCCATACACCGCAAATACATCAGCCAGGTCATCCCAACATCTTGAGCATCAACCTAGACCGCCAATGGCAGTGTGGAGAGCACCAACATATCCGCCACCATCACTGTCTGACCACCCGGCTTTCCGAGACAATCCCTTTCTACCCAGAGAACGTGCGCAATCAGACTCCCTCCTTGCGGACGCGAAAAGACCGGAACCTAGACCCGACGACTATCAACCACCCCATTCTGCACCGTTGCCTCTCCCATACCAGTACTCGCCCCACTCGTCAAACAGCAGCAGCGCAATAAGTCTGCCAATCCAGGGAACGAACGAGTCGTCATGGAGCTACGGTAACAACAACAACAACAACAACAACAACAACAGCGATAACATAGAGGAACACATCCTATCACCTGTCGCATCTTCCATGCTTCTCCCACCCATAGAGAACAAATTCGTCACTATCCAGCAAAACGATGCCCCTCTCCCATCTCCACCCGAAGACACGAACCCCCTACAATCGCACACCCCAACTTTTGACGATCTTGTCCCGCCGCCACCCCCAAAAAAGAGCCGTCTGCGTAAAACATCTTCGACTCTTGACATGTTGAAGCGGCTTAGTGGAGACAGTCTCTTGGAATCGAGTGACGAGGTTAGGGAACGTGAGGAGAAGAAGATTCGAGAAAAGGAGAGGAAAGGGAAAAGCTGGAGTATTGGCAGTATTGCGAGGTTTACGCATAGCAAAGGGGTTAAGTAGACGCATTAGCTTGCGATAATGATGAACATGGTGCGTCATCGGGACGCTGAAGATATGTCGGACGGTTATTATTGATCTTCCAACTAATCGTAAAAGTGTTTCTTTCATTTGTCGTCGGATGAACCGCGGGAGCTGTATACCCTTTGTGTTGATTGAAGTATATGTTTTTTTTTACGTGCAATCGTACGTGCCACACTGAGTCTCAGCATGTGACTATCCAGAGATCCTTCATTCGTGGTGTCTGCTAGAGCGATGTACTCGTAAAGTCTTTTGACGTGTTAGACCATGGGAAAAGACATGACATCACGTCTGTATGTTCAATAGTGAAGTCTGATTCGCTGGATGAGGTGAGGATTAATCTATGGTAGATTCTATCCCACCAGTACGTCTTGGTCGCCGTCTCGCATAATCGTAACACATTCAGTTTCGGCTTTGCCGTGGCTAGCAAGACTCCTGAAAGACCTCTACAAGGTGCTATGCCCCCCGAGCCCTCCACTCTACTGTGTTTCCCTCACAACCTTATCGACAGCCTTCGCAAAGTAGTCGACGTTGTGTGTGTTGAGGCCAGCCATGGAGATACGACCGTTCTTGGTCATGTACACATGGGAGTCTTCCCGGATCTTCAGAACCTGCTGCTCTGTCAAGCCAGTGAAGCTGAACATGCCAATCTGCTCTGTGATGTGGTTCCATGTGCCGGGTGTGCCCATGTCCTCGAGCTTGCTACGAAGCGCCTTGCGCATCTCCTTTATACGACCAGACATTGTGCGGAGATTGTCTTCCCATTCAGCGAAGAGCTGAGGGTCGTTGAGGACGGTCGAAGCGATGCGGGCACCGTAGGCAGGAGGATTTGAGATCTCGGAGCGCTGGAGGATGGCGAGCTGTGAGGCGATGCGCTTGATGGTGGACTCGGCGTCGGATGACGGAGAGGTGACGAAGTGGAAGCAGCCTGCTCGCTCGCCGTACAGACCAAAGTTCTTTGCGTAGGACTGGGCAATGCAGAGCTCGAAGCCCTGCTCGACAAAGTAGCGGATTGCCCAGCCGTCAGTTGCAAGGTCACCTGAAGCGAAGCCCTGGTATGCGGTGTCGAAGAAAGGGAAGTGCTTCTTTGACTTGATCACGTCGGCAATCTTCTTCCACTGCTCTTGTGTAGCGTCGACACCGGTGGGATTGTGAGCACAAGCGTGCAGTACGATGATGCTGCCCTCTGCCGCGTCTTGTAGGGCACCGATCATGCCATCGAAGTCGAGGCCCTTGGTCTTCTTGGAGAAGTAGGGGTATGTCTTGTATTCGAGGCCGACGTTGGAGAAGATCTGGAAGTGGTTGGCCCATGTCGGGTCCGAGAAGTAGGCGGTCCGCTGGCTCTGGGTTTTGTAGAACTTGGCGAGGAAGAGGGCACCCAAGTGGACGGCACCGGTGCCAGAGATGGTCTGCAAGCTGGTGACCTGTGTGGTGTGAGCTCAAGTCATGACGTGATGGAGGGGTGTCCTCACCCGCTTCTCCTTGATGGCGGGGCTGTCACCACCGAGCACGAGCTTCTGGGAGGCGGTTGTGAACTCGGCGAGACCGGCGATGGGGAGGTACTCGTGGTTGAGGTTGGGGTCGTCGCGCAGTCTGTCGTCGGCCTGTGGGACATGCAGTGTTAGCCTGTGTTGTGTGGATACGAGGAAGGCGCAATGGATGTGAAGGGTGTACCTTCTTGACGACGGGCAGAATCCAGGGCTTTGCATTGTCGTCGCGGTAAGCGCCAATGCCCAGGTCGACCTTGTTAGGGTCCTCGTCGCGACGGAAGGCAGCCATGAGCCCGAAGAGCGGGTCTTCGGGCGCCTGGGGGACGACATTCGCGTCGAAAGCGGTGGCAGCCATGGGTTCGATGTGGGAGGAGATCTGGGAGAGGCGTGTCTTGGAGGAAGTCTGGGGAGGAGTGGAGGAAGAGGTGAGTGAGTCGGGCATGATTACGGCGTAGGAGCTCTCCCACGTTTACGTTTCACCGCTGCCGCTGCCTGCCTAGGAAAGGGAAGCCGCGTCCGCCCACGCTAAACCCCGCAGTTTGCTTTTGGAGACGAGATGCGGAGAACCGGGAGGGCCGGCGCGAGACGATGAACAAGAGATGCAGACATGGCGACGGCTCTCGGCCAGCTCGTTATATAGAGTTGAGGCTCGGAAGGTCTGCCGCAGCGTCGTGTGAGCAGGCAAGCCGAGGCACAAGTTACCGCGCCATCATGTCAGCCAGACAGGCCGTCTCACATGCAGGGCATTCACCACGACCACTTTTTGTACACGGGTCGACTTGCTACCACTTGGCTAGCGATGAACCGTTGTGGGTCTGCGTTGTACTTGGTTCAAGACTGCCCACCCCACATGGGCTGCTATTGCTGCTTCTGGGAATTTGGTCCACTCAGCGTCCAGCGGATACTAACGGCCATGGCGCGATTGATTCACATGTAGACGGTCTACTAACAACACCAACCCCATTCCCTGTACTCTTCAGATGAACAAGTCCCACAAGACAAGTGTCGTGCAGAAGATACTTGTCGCCCAGAACAGCTTCTGTGCCGTGCTGCCCCGCTCCGTCGCACGCTTGAGCTCCCTGTTTCCGCTCCCTACATTCTCCGTCGTATTGAACGAGTCTTCAATGAGCTGGTCAATGTGCGCCGCCTGCATGCTGAGGTTGGACGCGAGCGTCGACTGTAGTTCCGAGATCTCGGTGAGGGACTTTTCGGTTGCGCTATCTGTGTCAGTAGTCGTTCAGATGCGCACGTCCGAGTACATACCGAACTTTGTCGAGCTGGTCCTCGTACTGCTTGAGCATATCCTGGTTCTCCTGCGCAAACAGCTGGAGCTGCTCGGGGTCAAGCTGATTCTCAATCACCGCGCTCGACTCGTCGGGGTTGTACGTCGGCTTGGCGCGATACTCTGCAGACTCGTTGCCTGCACTGCTGTCGTTCATGCCACTGTAGTCGCTAGTCGTTGGTCCCGTGTTCCTTGTCTTGTACAGCACGCTCTTGCTCTTCTCCACCTCGCGCATGAGCCGTATTTCCATCATGTCGCTCTGGAAGCGGCCGCACTGCTCCAGCTGCTTCTGCAGCGACCATAGTATGCCCTCTCGATGCGCCTTAATTGTATTTGCCTTAGTCTCCTGGATCTCCTCCTCGACGCTCTTTGCTGTGATTGCCCCACCCGCTGCCCATCGTCCAAGCGCACCTAGGCCCTGCTTTGCGCGCTTCTTCAAAGCAACCTGCGTCTGCGTTTCCTGTCGTGTCTGCTCGGCAATGCCTAGCCTTTTGATGGCATCGTTCAGCCCGTGTATCGATTCTTTCGCCTGGGCGTCGATCTCGTTGCGCTGCGTGTCGCTAAGGTACTTTGCATCTTTGTCTGCCGACGTCGTGGAGCCGTTGGTTCGCGTGTACTGCTTCCGGCGGGGAGGATGCGCCGTCGAAAGATAACTTTGCCGTATCGACTTCAGGTCCGTGTGGAGCTTTGCAATGTGACCTCGCTGCGGCAGTTAGCTTTCACCTCCCCTCGAGTCCAGGCGCGCAACGTGGCCTACAATGCGGTATGCCTCTTTCACAAAATCATCTAGGGCTTCGACGCGGAATACATGGGGCTCGATCGGGTGCACGTCGTGTTTGGCGAGCACTTCGTTGAATACTGGTGTGATGTCCATTGTGTTGGAGTGCGTCTGGGCAGCCAACTTGCTCATGTGAAATGACGATGCTCCCCGCGGAAGTGCCATGCTGGTCTTTCGCTTCCGGGCCAATGACGCACCATCACCCCACAAGGTACTGTCTCGTCCACTATACCGGGCTTGCTCTTTGTTTTCTGAGCATGTGTTCTGAGCGCCCGCAAAGGTGTATACGTCCTCTCGCAAGAACGCGGAAGTTGAAAATGGGAAAGGATGGGTGAGCCTTTAAATGTTACAACAACACAACAACGCCCTTGATCAAGAAACGAATGAAGAAAACCTGCTTCTAGTTATATGTTTCGTCTCTTTCATTTGAGTTTTCTCATTGTTACATTATAGAATGAAATGGGGATAGGAAGTACTGCTGTTCTAGTTCTTACTTCTAGCTCTTGCTTCCAAGGTTTCTTGCCAGTGTATGTCCTACTATTGACTGACGGGCCGTGTCCTGTTTCCATGTCTCTTGCGGATTTGTCTGATCATGATCGTCTGCCTGTCGTCTTTGCCGTTGTCGGTCTCTATATATGGCGTGCTAGCCATAGGAGCCTCCAACTTTCGCTGCGCAAACATCGCTTTGTCCTCAATCTAGTCCCTCAGTACATGGCTCAGCTATTGGTAGTTACCTCAGTATATAGCTCAGCTGCTGGTAGTACAACCCAACAGCTGCATGTAAGCTTACCTAGGTATACTGAGACCTGCCCAATAGCACCTTCAGCCGCAAGGCCTCCTTGCTGAACTTCAACAACCGGCTAGCTCTTTCTTGTACAGCCCCAAATAACTTGCTCATCTTACTCAATTTACGGCCTACGAATGGACCTAAAATTGACTTTTCGCCGCTCAGTTCCTTCCTCGTACGCATCTGGCCAGTCGCCCCTACCGGTAGCGGCCCTGGATTGCGCCATAGCGAACGCTCCTGCCAGTATGCAAATAAAAAAAATATCCTCCAATACCTTTTCCCTCTCCTCATCGCACTCACAAAAGTATCAGCTCTTCAACTCACTCAGCCCCTCAAATCCCTGTGCTACCACATTCTCACCCTTCGCGAAAGCACATATTTCCTCAAGATGCGCTTCTCCAGCATCCTTTCGTTGGCCTTCGCCGCTGTTGCCATGACTGCTCCTGCCAGCCTTGCTGCCCGTACCGACGAGGGCTGTGTCCCGGTCTCATACACCATTTCCGACTACAAGCTGGTCACCTCTGCTACCTCTGGCAGCGTTGACTTCACATTCAAGTCTTCCTTCTCCAGGAGTGACAACGACGACCCCGTCCAGAACGGCGTTCACTGCGGCGGTTCAGGTGCCTCTGTCCCCAACAACAACGAGTGCCAGGTCGCTGACCGTCGTCTTCTCTTCGACCTTCGCGGACCTCAAGATCAGGCCTACTACCAGATCAGCCACTCCTGGACCTGCTCAGGGTGAGTCCACTACTACATTCATTCACATACAACGACTAACAGTAGACCAGCAACCAGTGGATCTCTGGTACTGCAGTCAAGGTCGACTCGCTTAACTGTTACACTGAGGGCGACAAGCGCGTCTGCACCGGCGGACCCCAGACCTTCGCACCCCAGAATCCGCGCAAGATCTGCAACTCGCCTCAGTGCTAGATGGCTTCGGCTAGCTTGTCAACTCTGTGGGATTCTTCAAAGTGGTTTCCTTAGGTTGATGTAATAATGATCAGAAGAGTATGCATGGCTATGGATCCTCTTGGATATGTATTGGCGTCTCGACGGGTCGGGCTGTCTTCCTAGCTTTTCTCTTTCACTCATCACGATACCCCAGGCGGAGCGTCGGCTGCTTAAATGAAAATTCGAGTTCAATGTTACCTCCACTCTTGTGGTCGTGCTGTTATGTCATGTCAAGCCATGTGACATCATTGACCGTATTAACGCGATGCGACGCGCTCGATCGCAAATTGCGCCGCCCTCTAGGTTCGGGCTAGATGGCATCTTTATTGTTCCACATACGGGCTTGCCGAGTCCGATTGTATATAATTGGGAGGTGACAGACTTTGCTTTTTGTCTTGTCCTCGCCGCCTCCTACGCGTAGACCTGCGCTGCTTGCAGGCGTCAGACCTCAGTCAGATACTGTTGGATGAGGATTGAAATGTACGAGAAGAGAGATTCCAGAAGCCTGTACTCACGTATCGGACCTTGATATGGTCTCATATTGTAATAGTCTTCTAAGAAGGGGTTGGGTATAATGCGGAAATCAAAGTTTGTTCATTCGTGAGATGCTTGCCTCACCCAGTAGTACGCAACTGCTCCATAGTTTTGACCAGACTCCTACGCTTGACGTTGATACTTGACAGAGCTGCTGCCTGGCTTTCAGCCCCATTCGCAACAGCTCGTTCGAGAAATGTCTGCGCTGCTAGCACTTCATGATGAGCCTTTGCAAGTCGTTTGAGCTGGTCTGGAGCTGGACTTGAGTGCGTAGATGGATTCATGTTCCTGTCCGTATCGGTACCCATATCTCCCAGGGTGAGATCGCTAACCCATAAAGCGATGTGGCCGCGGAGTTCCAGGAGACTTGCCTGCTTGTCAAATGGTGGAGATGATATGACTTGGTCGAGGCGCTCTGCAATCTCCAGAGCCTGAGTAAGTTCCTCCGCTTGGATTGTCGCCTCTTTTGCGGAAGAGTTGCCTGGAGTCTTACTAATGTTACTGTCGACTGAAGTGCTTCGAGAGGAGCGCGATTGGTTTGCAACGTCGTCGTGCAGCTGCTGTCTTGCACGTTTGCTCTTTTCGCGGACTTCGTAGATCCATAACGAGAACATGGGTGGGTAGAATGTCCTCTCGTCAACAGCATGGGGTTGCAATTTCCGGGTTGGGTGTTGGATAATGAGACGATTGTAATATTCACGAGCAAGCTCAAAGCCTTCTTGAGAGAACCTGTGCTCCATCAGCGTCTGTGGCGTGCGACGCAGCGCTATTTCAGCACCGATGCCCCAGCGTCCGTGGTTACGGGGATCCACAGGGCGCCCACCAGCAACCTGCGTCCGTAGAATCATGCCCCACGCTCTCCCCGCACGCTCGTAATCTCCCTTGAGCAGACAGCAATGCATCAGTGTCGACAGAGAATCGAGATGAGCCCTCTTTTGAGCCTCTGGATGGCCTTGGACGGCACCACCTTTCGAAGAGGCGTGGACGGCGTAGAGGCGTGAAGGCGGTCTGGCCATTTCCTCTTGGACTTTAGCGGGGCCATTGTGTTGTTTGGACACGCTCGCAGATGCATGGGGGAAGGGTGGTGGAGGGACTTTGTCCTCTTGACTGGGCAATAGGCCTGCGACACGCAGCTGAGCTATTCCAGGCGCAGTGGACGAGGCGTACGATTGGGCTATGGCGTCTGGCTGCGTTTCGTCGTCGGCCTCTAGATCCGCAAGTGATTCATCTTCCTTCCTTTTATCTTTATTTCTTCTTGCCCTGTGGTACTGACTCGCGCGCAACGAGCGTGTCCTGTTCTGTTCATGGCGCAGCTGCGTGGTGAAGTGCTGCATGGCTGCTGATGAGGCAGGACTGCAGGCTCATGCGGCTTCTGCGCTGCAACGGCCCCTGCTCAGAAGGCCGGGGGTGCAGCGGTGAGGCTATGCAGCGTAGCGGCCACGCACACACACACTGAGGGGAGGGGAGGGAAATTGGAGTATGTAGAATAAAGGTGCGGCGAGTGGTTTCAGTAATAGACTCGAGGCACCTGGGCAAGAGCAATCGACGGCGGTAGCCCCATGGCGTTAGCGGCGTGACGAATCGGGAAGGCTCGGCTGCGCGATACATCACCGCCTGCCGCCGCTGGACCTCGTCGCTCTGACCCAAGACACATCAACCGACGACACCCTCTCCGACCGTTTCTATTCTCGAGGCGCGCCTTCCTCGCCGGACGGCCTCACAATATGGGCCAGGCAAATTCGACGGGCGCTGCGGACGCGCAAACACGGCGGCGCTCGCGGCCGCGGTCATGGGCGCCTGGCTTGCTGGCCTCGTCCCAGCCCGACAGCGACACAGTGCCAGAGCTGCTGCAGAGAGCGCCGGACACGCCCTCACGACCCCGATCAAGCACCACAAGACTCTCCAACCGCCTCTCTTCTCACTTTGGGCGCCAGGATGCTGGCCCGTCAGCGCCCGGAGATGCTCCGTTGCCCAGTCGCTCGCGATCGCGGCTGAACCGGGCGCGCTCTTCTCTCAGTTCCATGACGGGCCTGCTGTCCAGGCGGCCGCCCATGTCTACCCGCAATACTGAACCCACGCCCGGCGTTGCTGCAGCCAGCATACCCAACACCAGCACGCCAAGCCGCTCCGCTCTGAGACACGCAGCAAGCGACCGAGGCCCCTTCCTTCCACGTGTGCAGGTACCGGAACTGGGGCTCGACTTTGACCAGCTGCTGCGGAGCAACTCGCAGGGCGATCGGCCGGACGCACATCGACCGCGGCCGCTGGTTCCTCTGAGCCCACTGCGCCGGGATGGGCGGGCTCTCGGCATTATTCCGTCTCAGCGGCGACTTCGCAACATGATAGGACACCCGCGGAGAAGACGATCACTGTGGCAGGATGGAGAGAACATGGAAAACGTGCAGCAGCTGCGGCAGGGCGAGGACCAGGCCGACGTGCTGTCAAGACTGCTATCGCTGGCCGCCGCAGCCACGGCAGCCTCACTGGTGGGCGATGACAACCAAGCAGCAACCCGAGACGGCACATTTGATACCTTTTTACAGTCGCTGCAGAATGGCAGCATAGCATCGGCGCTCCGAGGCAACGAGGACGGACAAGGTGGCGATACTCCGGGAGCCGCCCAGGCGCCCCTCAACTTCTTCAGAATGTTCCGGTTCGGCACCGGCACCGACAACGGGCGGAATGATACTACTGGGCACGGCGGTAGTGCATCAGGGAACAGTGGAGCAGAAGGCGACGAGGATGGGGAAGGCAGGATGGTGCCCATCATCATCGTGGGCATCCGATCCATACAACCCGGAAGTGGCACTGGACAGGAGGATGCCAGCATACCGCCCTTCCTTGATGCTCTCTCGAGCTTCCCCACACCTCCAACGTCACCAGGCGATGCCAATGCAAACATCCTACAACCACCACAGAACGGCACACGCTTCAGCCATAGACGGCGAGCCTCGATGGGCGGCTTCAACTTTCCTTCCAATTACGACAGTCAAAGACATCACCGCGGCACGGCACAAGAGCGCCCTCGTCCATGGTCATCCGTTACTGACTCTCCCCCGGGGCCTCTCCCTCCACCCTCCACGCCCGCTACAACGCTCAACTTCTCAGCCGGTCCATCAGGCGCCACCACACCAGCGACTTCCACCTCTCCTCCCTCGCCGACCATACAGTCCTCGGCACCTTCACGGCGGAACAGCTTCATCCGTAGAGCTGCCGGTTCGACTCTCGAGCCCACTGCAGAAGAGCCACAAACGCACACCCGCAATGCTCGCCCACGACGCTTGAGCGAGTCGGATTTCACGAGGTATGGGTCGGGTGCACCCCGTAGAAGAGGTGTCGTGGAGCCCGACAACAATCCTGGGGAGGGTTCGAGGAGCTGGATCATATATGTCTTGGGAGGGAGCTACCCAGAGAACCACCCCATTCTTACCACCCCAAGTCTCTTCACCGATTCCCCAACTTACGAAGACATGATGTTGCTTTCTTCTATACTCGGGCCCGCCAAACCGCCAGTTGCGAGCGAAGAGGATGTGGCTTCGGCTCCGGGTCTCTTCAGGATACAGGATCGTGTTGGTACTCTTGTGGCCGAGGCTGTTGAGGGCGAGGAAACCATCAGTCTCGTTCCGGGTGCGCGCTGCCTCGTCTGCCTATGCGACTTCGAGGTAGATGAGGAGGCGCGGAAGCTGGTCAGGTGCGAACACATGTTCCACAAGATTTGCATTGATCAGGTGAGTTGGTCTCTTGCGTACGAGGAGTTGCATATGCTAACCCACTCTAGTGGCTGACAACAGGACGCAACTCGTGTCCGCTCTGTAGAGGTGAGGGTGTGCATGAAACGGTCAAAGAAGCCGATGCCATTTCCGATGCCGCAACGCCTGCCGCGCCGCAAGCAGCCGCTTGAACGATTCTCACTTGCAGCAGATCAGGCTCTGCTCTTCCGGCTCCGCTCATTCTTCACATATACCCCTTTCTTATATGATTGGTTGCTCCACTCGGTTTATTGGATACGAAGGATCATCGTATCAGGCTGTTTTCTGTATTTCCTGCAAACTGGAGCGTTCATGGCGTCCACAATCTACCACTCGAATCTTGGCATATTTGGCATCACGGCATCCCGGGGAAAAGGGATGGGGGTTGGACTGTCTTTCGGTGGGCAGCATCTCAACGACTTGCTACGAATCTCTCTTTGTACATGCGGTAGGATAAGACAGGAGAAGTGATTTAGCTTCTAAAGCTACATTATTAAGCAGGCATGACCAACTGCTACGCTTGTGCTGAAGCCAGCCTGCTAGCAGTAATAATGACAAGGCGCGTTCTTTCGGCATATAACTTCTCAGGATCGCATTGAAGGGGTGATACATAGAGAGAGGGGATGTATATCCGCTCACATAAGCCTGCATCGTGTCATGCATCACGTACCATGGTGGATTAGCAGAGCTGATATAGATGCTCGTTATCCGCCCAAGTGCGACGAGTCACCCATATGTTACGGGACGTGTTGTGCCGGCCATTATGCGGTCTTAGTACCCAAAAATGTCCGAACCGTCTCTCTTCACGGCCGCACAGGAGAGGAAGTGTACTAGGCAGCGTATAGCTATACGGTGGAACGACTTTGGTAAACGGCGAAGACGCACAGGGCGAGTTTTCCGTTCTCGAACTTGTAGTGCTGACCCGATAGCGTCGTAGGAGTAATCATTGCCGGAGCGGGCGGCCGCCACAACCGTAGTTATCATACGATGTTTGTGGATGGACCAGAACAAGGCCCACACACTCATATCAGTGCACACACACCTTTTTACATTTTTGCAGCCAGCCGCCGAACCCTCGATCAATAGCGTCCGGGTATTTCTGGATGGGGCGTAGACTGGTGATAGTCCCCTTGTTGATGCTTCCGCGGAGCACAGAAGGAGTTGCTGATGAATGAACGGCTTGAACTGCTGTAGCTTGATATAGCCTGCGTGAGGACGGGATGAGTGCAGATACCGGAATGGCTTGCGCCTGCTTTCGGGATGGAGGGACACATTGCTGATCATACTGGATAAATGGGCTACAACTCGGAATGCGGACAAACGTGTATATGAATTTGTTATTGGTTGCGCGGAGCTGTAGACCCTGCATATCGTGGGAGTATTGTATACAAGCTGGACGGGCGATCTATCAGACGACCGTTGCGTTCCGTCAGGAACAAAGACGTCTAGTATTCGCATGCGTGATGTCATGAAATCTCTCACATAAGTTGCTCGGTTGCTGTAGCTAACCACGATAGATCAATTGACACAAGCCGATGAGCTGCTCGAGAAGGATTCTTGTGTAGCCGTGAGGATCATGCAAGATTGTGTTTGATGATTCAAGAACACCACGCAACCTGGGATGTAGTCACAGGATACCATTGGTACCGGCTTGTTCCTACAGTAGATTCAGATCCTAGCCAATATGAAAGAAAGGCGGACCGTTGCGTGATGTCGTGTCCAGATCCCACTTCAACGCCCGATCCATCTCAGCTACCGGCCATGTAGAATGTTCGCAGGTTCACATCCTAGTAAGTGCGATCTGGTGGCCAACCCTCGACCAGTTGCAAGTCCAGGATTACTAGTCCACTCGTTCGACTCGGAGATGAGGTTACCGTTTCGGGCAGGAACAGTGTCTTCCGGTCAATACGGAAGGATTTATGGTAGCTCATGATTTCTCTGAATCTTGCGGACTGCCGCCCATGACTACGAATGGGATGATCCGCAGCCTAGGTCGCCCTTCACATGACAGAGAGATGTGGAGATGATCCAATAGTGCCCATGAGAGATGGGAATGACGTTGAGACTGAAAACATGGCACTCTAGGATCTCGCAGGGATTTCACTGCAATCGCATTCAAGAGTGGATTCAAGCCTTGCTTCGTGTCAGCAGTAGTCGTTGGTTCGCTGGAAGACAGAGACCAGGCATTGGCAATGTCGTCAGTGTGCCAGAAAGCGCAAGATTGACGTCGCGCTCTGCCGGTGAGAGGTTACGGAGCGTTTTACAGTCGGTCTAATTGTTTCAAGCTGAATATCTGCCTGTGGGTCGCCGTGGTAGAAATGGGCGTAACCCTGTCTGCTGCACGTGGGTCCATTGCCGTGGAATAGCGTACCTCGGACTCGCACCTGCCTGTGTGATGAGTCGTCCAATCTGAATCTGACCTTACTCTCAACGACGGCAGAAAAAGCTCGACGGCCACCCCACACACTACCTCATCTTCTGCCGTGGCATCCAGCCCGTCATTCGCGGCATGCAAGACGCAAGCCACCGGCACACGCAGGCCGCGATTGGCATGCGCCCGGACTGCGCTGAGCTGCGGCCAGGTTTGCGAGAACGAAGCTCCAAGGTTCCGCCAGGCGTTGCACAGCATATCTAGACCTCGTCAGCATATGGGCCTCCGTCGCTGCAAGACAAATGAGACGCGGCGTCAATCATCTAGAGATCCACCCAAAAGACGCGCCGCTTGCATGACGCACAGCAACTGCACGGTCGCGGTCGCGGTCGCGTCCCGCTCTTTCGCTCGCTCAAAGCTCCACCAGTCAGCTGCAGCCGGATTCGCGATTGCAGCATCCGCCATCTACCATGCTGGTATAGGGCAGAATACGACATCAACCTCTGTAAGGTCGGTCTCACTATCTGTCAGGGCCCATGACGATATCAATCCTGCCCCGCTTTGGTCCTGTTGGCCACTCCTGCATGACACGACACAGAGACAGTTACCTCATAGTGCCTCCAAAGGAGCCAGTCTGACCGCAAAGGCAATGCCCGCTTTCTCTGTACCGTTTGATCCAAGTGCCGCTGCCGCCTTGCGCCGCTGAGGCGACGGTGTGCAGATGAGGCGATCCTGCTCATGCCACCTAGCTCGCATTTTCGCGCCAATCTTCCCGCGGCATGCCAGCAGCATCGTCAACATGCAGACAGCCGTGGCGCCTCCATGCCCTGGGGAGACGCAGGCATCCAAGTGCTACCATTGTCACGGGACAGGGACCCGGGGCTGAGCTCGACGCTGCTTGTAGTGGTTAGCAGGCAGTGCCGCCATCTTCTCGAAGCAGGCTTTATTCTCCCGTCAACGGCCTTGTTGACTCAGTGCGAAGGAGCCGGTGGCGTTGTACGGCTGGCTAATTTGAGCCCGACGTCGCTAGCCGCGTTTGTGAGATGAAATATCAAATTGATATTCTTCCTAACAGGCACATTGATGAGGCTTGAAAGTCTAAAGGCTGCCACCGGGCAATTGCACTGCATTGCATCGGCGCACTCGCCACTTCAGGAGAGTGGAGTTCACGGAAAAGTCCATGGATATACCGGCCCTGCCCTATACTCAACGACGCCCATCAGGCAGTCCCGAGTAAGGGCAATCGAGTGTGTGTGTGTGCACTAACTCTGACAGCCGCTTCCAGCGCAGCTCCAAGTCCAGGCGCTATTCGCTGATGATTGACCTAGCCCCATGGCTTCGTTGAACGCCCCACATGCCTCACCACCTTGGTGAAATCGGGGCCGATGCATATCATGTCCGGCTTTGTGCTCGCCTTTTACTAGGCTTGGTCCGTCTGCTGCAAAGGCGATCCACGACCTCGCTCAAGCCGTAGCGTACTCGAGTCTATAATCGCCGTGGCAGCACGCCTAACAGTAGTTGACAGGCGGGATCAACGGCGGGGATGTGTCAAATATGGCCTTATACGGCATTTTGGAGCGATTGTTCCGGGCAGACCCTTCTGCTCTCCCCAGAATCCATCCAATGTGGATGCTGGCGAGTGGACCAGTTCGCACGGGGATCAAGAGCGATCAAACCTGGGATCGCAGAGCGCATCTTGCACCGAGCTAATCCATGGATGCGCGGAAGGCGGAAGCGTTTAGGTGCACGGCCATAGCACAGCGGCCTGGGAGACAACTCAGCGGCTTGCGGCTTGCTTTTTCCCCTTCGCTGCACCCCGGCTTTAGATGCAGACGTTTGATGAACATTGAAACTATCCATTCCTGGTATTGGACATTGCTTCTTTGGCCGAACTAAACACAAGCCTCCTGTCACGGCCCGGCTCTCACACGGCCTCTGCCTGCGGCTGCTGTGCTCTCTTCCTCGACGTTGTCCAGTTTCAGTCTCAGACTGGCACTGCACATGCTTCCATCGTCAGCGATTGTGTTGCAGTAGATCGGCTTGTTCCTTTGCGGACAAAATTCTGGTCTATTTAAGACGGCTTGGTCCTAGTGCTTGCTGGGGCCAACACCCGCGCGCCCAAATCAGCGTGCATTGGACTAAATCACGGCTTCGATCCTGCAAGCGTGATTCTACAAGTATATCCCTTCAAAATCCCGTACCTGGCGCCCGAGCCATTGTCACACCCGTGGACACGGCGATCGACCTCGGACCCTTGCAACTGAATGACGTTGATCCTTTTACGGCAAGCTTACCGTCCACGGCTCACCAACATTTACCAATACAAACAACCCACACTCCATCGCTCTTCAGTCATTCCCATCTCTCTCAGGCATGTCTGGATACTATCCTCCTCCAGGGCACAACATTCCGCCTCAATACTACAGCCTCGATTCCAATGCGATACCCAATTCCAACATCCAACATGCCCCACCAACCATCATCTCACATGGCTCGTATGCACCCACCCTGCCAGACAACCCATTTCAGCCTGGCGTAACGGGACCTTTTGTACAATACGAGAACATTGGTCAACCAAGTTACGTTGATCAGTATGAGGATATGTCCGGCCCTATGGGCTCAGCGCATGGTGGGAATGGTCGCGCGCGAAGGAGGTCAGCACCTGGCGAGCAGGTGAAGCACCGCAGAACTCGGAGCGGTTGCTTTACATGCAGGCAACGAAGAGTCAAGGTATGCGCATCAACTTTCAGGTGTCAGGCTTGGCTGATTGGTAACAGTGCGACGAAAATCATCCCGTCTGCGAACGTGAGTACCTGCGCCTGCTTGACAAATCCGAAGTTCGTAAAGTCTGACGAAGTTTGCTAGGTTGTCGCAAGGGGAGCCGCGAGTGCATCTACCCAGACTCACAGTCCAGTCAAAAGGCGACCCGGAATGGTTCCAAATCGGGCAAGTCGGCGTTCGCGGATGATCATTCCTCGCCCGAAACCCATGATGGCGAGAACAAGGAGCGTCTTCCCGCGATCATTGATGAAGACGAGGAAGACGACTACATCGAGTATGACGACGACGACGATATGTCAAAGAGTCAAGATGCTCGAGATTCTTCACATACACCCGGATCGCTCCTCGATCAAAGTACGTCGCCATCTACCGAAGCGTCATCAACCGCCCCGCCTACGATAAGACCGTCTCTGTCTCGGAAAGGCAGTGCGCAAACCACCAAAACTGGACCTGTGACCAAGGGTACCTCCGCTATGGCCCGAGATCTCCAGTTTTATCTGAATTACTTCCGGGACCATATGAGTGTACATCACTACTCTCTGAAACGCGACACGCACGGCTTCCTCAAAGGCGACTTTCTGAGCTGGGCGAGGAAGTTCGAGCCTTTGAAGTACGCTGTAGCCGGCTACGCGGCGTACTTCCACACGCTTGAGCAGCCAGATGGGCGCATGTCCACCTTCCTTCAGTTTTATAACGAGTCTGTTTCGCGACTGAGGATAGCCATCACCAAGAACAAGAAACAGGGGCTCGCAACGTTTCTGACTATATTACAACTTGCGAGTATTGAGGTATAGAGCCTTGCTATAGCCCACGATTCCTATGCTGACGTCTATTGCAGGAGATGCTCGGTGACTGGGTCAACCTCATGGGTCATCAGAAAGCTGCATTCGAAATGCTCACCCGCCTGTTCACGCCGGAGACTATCACCAAATCAGATTTCCTCTGCAAAGTACTACTGTGGTATGTCCGGTTTGACCTGTTTGTTGGCTTTCAGTCTGGCGGCGAAGCAGTGCTGGGTCGCGAGTGGTACGAGGCTGTGCATGAATGCTACGTGCAGAAAGTACGCGACATGCCAGGGGACATTGGAATGCAATACGAAGAGCGTTTTGCGCATTCAAGACTGGTGGCGAAAGACTCGAATGATCTGTTTGCGAGAACAGCCAAAGGTCTTGTCAGCCCCCAAGATTTTATGACACAATTACCGATACTCAAGGAGAGAGTGGAGTCGCTACAAAGGAACATGGGTACGGACTTGACAGATCCCAGTCACAAGGTCCACCAGATTTTGGGAACGCCAAAGCCAGAGGACATTGTCAACCCTTACGAGCCGGATGTCCTGTGGGGCGGGCCGCTTTGGACGTCGAACTACCTGCAACTGGACATGCGAGGCATCTTATTCATGTTTACCATTTCATCTTCCATGGCTTTGAAGCAGCCTCTTGATCCAGAAGTCACCAAAGAAGCGTACAAAGCGATACAAGTCTTCGAGGCTATATGTGCATATCCGGAAGCTCCACCGGGCGCGCAGCTGGAGGCACAAGTCAGTTTCGCCATTGCGACTCTGTTCCTGCCGAAAGATCGGAAGACTGTTCAGTGGGTTCGACAAACATTTGCCAGGATCGAAGCAGCAGGGTAAGTGAAGTCTATTGCTTGTACGAAGCTGGATGGTTGGAACACGTTTTCCTCGATGCAGATCAGGTGCATGAGAGCTTTTGGACAAGTCGACTAACACGAGGGACAGATACATATATTCCGACATTCTTCGCAACCGTATGCTCGAAGGCATGGGGGTTGGCCCATCGGACTGGTGGCTCCCCAACGACGAAAGCTGCCCGCCTATCATCCGGTCCATCAAAGACTTTATCAAAGACCGCACACAGACACCCAAGGACCAAGTTTCGGACGATCTACGAGAGATGCGAGGCATCTTCAGCTCCCTGACCATTTCAGATTCGCCGCCCTCGGACAACATAATGGTGACGAGCGCCGATGGTGTGGCTTCAACATACAATTCTCCAGATTGGCAATCTCCGGGCTACGGAAGCGACCGCAAGTCGTCAAACGCAGAGGCTTATCCACCAGGGTCACAGCAACAGTACGCTGTGCAGTAGAATGTCTTGGACACAAGAAGTATTCGAATCTCTCAGCATGGCTGGGATAAGACATGAGTTGTTGTGTCGGTCAGGTGCAATGCCACGTCGGTAGTGCCTACGCCCACGTTGCCTTGGACCACGGCTGGATGCATTGCAATAGAGTGTGTCTATCGGAAACGTTCTATCAGCCTGTAGGACGAGCGTCGACCGCCGAGATGGCCTTCCGAGAGGCGTTTTAGTGCCAGGTTGAGGACAGAAGTGGCTTGGCTTGCCTGGAGGCAGTGCTGCCGTGACGTACGAGATTGCATCTTGGTGCACAGAGAGCGAAGTGGGCTGTAGTCAAAGAGGAAGAAATATGCGACAGAACTGACACGGCATGTCATGTGGTGTGACGTCTGTCAGCTGCTGGACCGCATGTCAGATCCGACGTCGCATATAGATTGGATTTCCATAGCCCTATCGACGGAGATATGAGGGAGTAGGGTTTGACAAGATGCACTTGTCAAAAAGCTTATTCACGAAAGATGAGGGGACGCAACTATTATGTGGACTCAATGTGAGGCACGGGGATGGAGACAAGGCAGGCACACATGCGGTCACAACAGCGCGTGGCGGTCCTATGCGACTTGTGTGATACTAGAATCAAAGGATAGGATACCACTGCCGTGGTTGGATATCAGGTCTGACAAATTGGCATGTGATGGCTGTGAAAGCGATGCAAATCTTGAGTTGCTCTACACTACCCTTTTTGGTACGATTTCGGCGTGTCCGCAACAGATTGGAGTTTTGAAGAGATGGTAAACTGTAGGACTATTCTAGATTGAATGGATGAAGGCGATGAGATGCTTCTTGCAGCGTTGTGGAGTGTGTATGTGGAGCGTTGGAGATGATCCAATCGGGCCTAGCTAGCGTTGCAGGGATAAGGCGCGACCCTGACAGCGGGCAACGGAACACATGAAAGTCGGCAGCGGAGAGAGCACCTCGACCACTACCACGACGCCCAGCCACGAGACGCAAACAAGCCCGTGACAGCTACCACACGAACCACCCACAATGGACAATCTCGGCAAGATCTCGGCGTTTGGAAAGAACATCTCGTATGCCTGGTCCCGCAGCGACTGCTAGGTGGAAGCCCGCGATATGCTGACATTGCTTTTGCAGCGCCTCCTTCACACCGTGGGCTGCCAGGACGCAGCAGTATGTCAAGGAGCAGGTCGGCAATGTCGAGGACAAGACCCAACTCCCTCCGGACTACATCGAGCTGGAGAAGCGCGTGGATGCGCTGAAGAAGGTGCACACCACGATGCTGCAGGTCACGTACGATACCCCGTGCTTGTCGCTGTGCCTGGTCTGACTGTCTAGCTCGCAATACGCCAACGAAGCCTACGACTACCCAGCCAACATCCGTGAATCCTTCAACGACCTGGGCCGCACCGTCTCGGAGAAGGTCAACCTGCTCTCCAGCGCCACGTCGCCCGCTGAGGCCCAGGCGGCCCTCACTGCTCCCCCCTCTGCGAAGCCCCAGCCTAAGACCTTCAGCCATGCCGTTGCCCGCGCCGCTCTCAACGCCTCGCACATGCTCACCTCGGAGCAAACAAGCTCGAGCGAGGACCCCCTGGCCACGGCGCTCGAGAAGTACGCCATCGCCAGCGAGAAGGTCGGTGAGGCACGATTGGCGCAGGACGCCCAGATCCAGAGCCGCTTCCTGGCGGGCTGGAGCACCACGCTCAACACCAACATCCAGTTCGCCACACGTGCGCGCAAGGCTGTCGAGAACTCGAGGTTGAGCCTCGATGCAACCAAGGCCAATGCCAAGGGCCCTGCCTTCTCCCTGCCTGGCCAGGCTCCAAAGAAAGACGTCATGGACGACGACATCAGCGAAGACGCCAGAGCCAAGATCGAGCAGGCCGAGGACGAGTTCGTTGGTCAGACTGAGGAGGCTGTCGGCGTCATGAAGAATGTACGACTATACCCCTCATTCTACACCACCATGTGCTGGGGCCCCCCACTAACCTCCGACTAGGTCCTCGACACCCCCGAGCCTCTCCGCAACCTCGCCGAACTTATCGCCGCCCAACTCGAATACCACAAGAAGGCATACGACATCTTGTCCGAGCTGGCTCCCGTTGTCGAGCAGCTGCAGGTTGAACAGGAGGTGCGTAGACATCAGTCTTCCGACTACTAGACTTATTTGTAGAGGACCCAACTGATGCATTGCATTCATAGGCCAGCTACCGCAGGGCCCGTGAGGAGTTGTAGGACGGCTCTGATGCGCAAGCCCAAGTCGCAGAAGCCATCGAAGAAAGTCATTAGCTTGATACCGCTTCATTGCTTGGACATGGATTGCCATGAGTTTCGTTACATTGTGCATCGTCGCGTGATGCATGTCTTGCTTCATGTTCGGGTGGTCTAGTCTGTTAACTCATTCAATACCTTCTCTATTCTATTCCTAGCGTGTGACGTGATGACCAAACCGACATGTTATTGAAACACACCACTCTCATCCCTAAACTCTGCCGCCTGCCCCCTGGCAAACTCCGCCATTCTCTCCCTGTCCCCCTCCTTCCCCTCACCATCCTCCTCGGCCGGAATGTAGTTCCTCATCACGTCCCTCACATAGCCCTCTGGTACCCCCAACTTGATGGCATCAGCGATGCCCTGGTTCATCCTGTAAACATACTCGTCGCGCGGCTTATCCGGCGTAACACGATTCCGATCAATATAAACGAGCATAGACTCTTTCTTCTCCGGATGCTTGCTAGTATCAACTTTGTGCTCCGTGTTCGAAGGCCAGAAATCGCACGTGAGCATCTCTTTTGTGTAGGCGACTGGTACGCCCTCGTTCTTGTCTAGTCTCTTTTCGTCTTCTGGTAAAAGGGAGTAGACCAGGCCGAATACGACGTCAGAGTAAGAAGACTTGGAGGTCGAGTTTTGCTTGGAGGATTCGACGACATTCGCGTAGCCGCGGTCGTTGATAATCCAATGGTAGTTGGGTAGGCGGGCGACGCCTAGGTATCTGGATGTTGGGCAGCGGGTACTCATTTGGTGGAGCCAGAGGTTTGAACCGTAGCCGAAGTAGATTGTGAGTGAGGTTTGTGATGTGATGGGGAATTGATCGTTTGCCATGTTGAGCTGTATTGATGGCTTTGAGGGTCGTTGATGGTAGTGGGATCGTTCTTGATGGCTATAGATTTAGATGATGTGTGGGATGCACTGTGCAGCGGACTTGGGCTGTTTGAAAATGCCCTTGTATTGAGTGTTAGAAAAACGACGGCTCTTTTGGCGTTGGGTTCAATTGCCTTGTGCTTCGACGTTTGGTTCAGAATGGTGGTGAACTAGGCCCGCTTAGGCACAGTTCCGAGGTTCAACGGATGGATCCATGGATGGATTACATGACCCAAATTTTGGAATGAACCGATACAAAGTTCACAGAACATTCTGCGCGACCACCACATTTGAACACACCAGCTAGTTCTTACCGTCATCACACGGTTCGCAGTTCAGCAACTGCACCAGTTGATGAGGTATCGCTCCTCGTTGCTAATTTACTAGACTTTGGCAGTCTGGACTGCCTATCTACTGCACAACACTACACATCTACACTGTACCAGATCGAACGTGTGTCGGCTACTCGAAAATGCCGTACTCGCATCACAGCCACTCTGGCCAGTTCTGTGGGCATGCGCAAAACACACTCGAGGAAGTTGTCCAGGCAGCGATAGCCAAAGGCTTCCACACCTTTGCGCTGACGGAGCATATACCTAGACCTCTCGAAGACTTCTACCCCGAAGAATCCGAATCTCACACCGTAGAGAGCCTCGCGAAACTGTTCGAAGCCTTCATCATCGAAGCCCACAGACTTAGAGACGCGTACTCAGGCCAGATCCAGATCCTCATCGGTTTCGAGACGGAATGGATTCGTCCGTCGACGCTGCAACTCATTCGAAGCATCCTCGACAAGAATACTTTCGACTTCTTCATGGGCTCTGTCCACCATACGCACACCATACCCATCGACTACGACCGCGCAATGTACAAACAAGCTCGAGAGAAGGCAGGCGGGACGGACGAGCGGCTCTTTGAAGATTACTTCGACTCTCAGTACGAAATGCTTCAAGAGCTGCGGCCACCAGTGGTAGGGCACTTCGATCTCATTCGCCTACTCAGCGATCATCGCGATGTCGATTTCAAGGGCATGACTGGTGTTTGGAAAAAGATCAAGCGCAATCTGGAATACGTAGCCTCATATGGCGCTCTACTGGAGTTGAACTCATCAGGGCTGCGGAAGGGTTTGGCCGAGCCGTATCCGTGCTTGCCCATATGTCAGGTCAGTCACACCGCCATATGCCCGGTCTCGGCGTCAACTTACTAACCTGTGTCATAGATGTTCTTAAGCATGGGAGGTGGTTTCGTCATGTCTGATGACAGTCATGGGATTGACCAGATAGGTACAAACTATGCGCGACTATTGGCTTTCGTACAGAAGGCAGGGATTGACCGGATACATTTTGCTGACCGGGCCGGTGAGCGCAAAGACAGCCGCTTCCCCAACGCGGGCTTCTCTAGCATTCCTGTAACCGACCTGGCGCAATTACCCTTCTGGGCCAAAACAGGGTGATATACTCTTCGCGATGGATAGCCCTTCGGTAGTTAGACGCGCCACTGAAACTCTCAGCAAGGAGAGTTTCGGGCCCAGATGCCGGAGCCACACTATCGAGCACCTTCTGTTAACGGTTGGTAGGGTGCCTACATGCAGCGCCCACTGCCTTCGGATATTTAATAGAAGCGAACGCATCCGATGGTTTGGTGACATGCAACTTGCGAGTCCACATCACTAGTCGAATGTGGCTCATGCTGTCTATCACGATACTGCACTCCAGATGCGTGGGGGCTTCTGCTTCTCCACGACTCAGCTGCCGCTGCAAGCGCACTCTATCTAGCCAATGCAAAGCGTACGATGCTCCCAGACCACGCTGTTGGGCTCCCGACTCAGCGCACAGGGCTCGCGATCTGAGAAGGGATGGCTGGAGCACGGTTGAAAGACCACGTGTAATGGCCATCGGATTTACTCTTTAGCCCCGCACCCCCTGTGCTTTGTCCCTCTAGTTCAAATAAATTATTCGTTTGCCGCGAGAAGCACGATAGCCAGCAGTTCCGCATATGGTTATCTCGACGAACCGCTCGAAATACGGTTGTTCTTCGGGTGGGTCTAGCTCCGTACGGCAGCCGGGTGTGTATCCGCCGCGTCTGTGATTGGCAAACTATAACAGACTCGAAAGCAGAAACACAGCTAGGTTCTTGGACCGGCGCGAGACGCAAGGGAAGTAAAGTCGACGAGGTACGATAGTCTCCTGGTCGTATATTAGGAATGCGGACATAGGCGGTAGCATGACGGGAACAATTGGGATGTGGAAGAGCGAATTGATGATTAATGATTCGATGTCTGAAACCGCGGGGTACATTTACCATGAAGGACCGAACATTGCTTTTCGAGAACGGTGCTGCGTATGCAAGTTACCCCTGTCCATATCCATATTCAAATCTGTATGACCGCCACCTGCCTCCACGGAGCTGGAAGAGGATTCTACAAGGAGATCTTTTTGCGCCTTACACAAGCAGCGTAACAGCTAGGCCATGCAGGTCCTCATGCATTGCCGCACCAAAGTCTACGCATCGCCCTTTGTCATGGTGGAATGCGGCGGCCGTGTCTTATTCGACAAGACCGAATATTGCTGCGTCAGAGGCGCTTTTCCTTTTTGCTTCCATCGTGCGACTCCAAATGAGGTAGGGAACACGGCCGGCTCATTTGCGCCTTCCGCTTCCTTAGACGAGGCTAAGGTTCTGGCGCCAGCGCCATGCGCACATCGGTGCTAGATGGCTCATGATCGTGGTGACCGTCACCGCATTCCAAGCTTGACCGCACTCTCTTGCGCGCCACCGTCCTGCTTCCTTCCTCTGCGTCCATTGAAGCGGCTACAAGTCAATCCTTGTGTCATCCTATTACCGTCCATAAGAGAGCTAAGCCACTATCGGACATGGTTATACCCGTGTTATCACAAAGCAAAGATCCGTATCGAAGTTGGCAGGCCGCTCGGTAGTCGCGGGAAAGTTTAGTACGGGTACATCTTTCACCATGTCAATTGTGGAGCCCACATCGCGTGTCAGCTGGGATGCTGCAGATGAAGAATGGTTTGCAAGGGCTAGACCAACCTTACTTCTGACATTTCAAAACGGCCTGAGCTTCGGGCAGGATTCCCCGGGAGACACGTTCTGACGGCTGTGGGTCGTACCATACGTAGCCCGCAATTACCTTGGAGCCAAAGAGGTGGAACGTGTGCGTATGCGAAGAGGCTAAAAAGTATGCTTGACGCATCTGAACAGACCAATCTGTTGCACAGCTTCGCGGCAAAACCCTGGTATGCTTTTGGTCAAAGTAAAAGCCATGAAAGTCTGAGCTCCAGTCAGGGCATCTACGGAGCTTCCTACTCCTGGGCCTACATATCGGCGCCACTATTAAACTCTAGGGTCCACCCACTTTCTAACGTACTTCCCCATCTTTGCAGATTTCGGATTTCCAAAACAACACGCTATCTTTGATCAGTACCAGAGGAAGTGGATACTCTACATACACTACCTGCCACCTGGTTCAAGCTTCACCTCCCCCAAACCCGCCCCAGACGCTATCCATGCTCATTCCCTTCAATATGGGCGTTGAAAAGCTCGTGATCAGACCTGGCAATGGCATAGACTTCCCCAAGAAGCATGATGAGGTGTCTATGGAATACACTGGTGAGATTGGCTACTTGATTCCTCATCAGAGATCAATGTCTAACAACAATAACAGGATGGCTCTTCGACGATGATGCCCCCGATCACAAAGGCGGACAGTAAGCGAACCAGCAGCGTTCATGCCTTGGACATCGAATAGAACGCTGTATTGATCATTCTTCAGATTCGATACTTCCGTAGGTCGGGGTGACCTGATCACTCCCATCGGCGCTGGCCGAGTCATCAAAGGTATGTCTTGATACCCAACCCAACCCGCTCTGTGCTTGGTGCATATGCATTCTACCATTCTGAATGCGCATTTGGCTAAAACTCATGCACAGGCTGGGATGAGGGCATTTTAGGCTCCGAAGAGGCTTCTCCAATGACGCTGGGAGAGAAGGCAACTTTGATCATAACATCGTACGTAATCCCCACGACATATCCTTCCACGCGAGTGTACTGTACTAATGATACGTGCGATGCAGTGATTATGCATATGGCACTCGGTAAGTTCGATTTACCAATTTGCACATTCTATGGTCGGGACGGGAACGAGTGAGACGGGACCTTACCGAACCTTGGAAGTACACACGCCACCGTGAACACGAACGCCCGACGGAGCCAAGACTTAGTACGGCTGACGACGTTCCGAAGATCGTTTGAGCTATGCTTCTTCAAATCTCCCGCGCTCCTGGACGTCCATGCCGCAGCAACCGCCAATCTTGTACGACACGAATGTCTACAGCCTATTGGCATCGCCGGATCTTTAGATTTCGACGATCTGATCAGACCATGAGGTGCAAGTGCTGACCATGTGAACAACAGTGGCTTTCCTGGACACATCCCGGCCAATGCCAAATTGATCTTGTAGGTGCCCAACTTCATTTTCTTCGTCATTGGAGACACTACAGCACGCTTGCGACGCCTCATTTATGTGTTTCAAGTGTGTGTTGTTCATCCCACACAGCGCACAGTTCACATGCTGTTCCTTCCACCTTGTTATCGCGGGATCAGAGCACACGCTGCAAAGCGGAATGCTAACGCAATGGCAGCGATGTCGAGCTCAAAGCCATCAATGGGAAGAGAGCAGAGGGCGCCTAAAATTCGGCATACATCATCGCGCCACCCGCTGGCCATGTTGGTCGACATATACCCCGTTACTACCCGACCACTTGCCCATCCAGCCATTTGCAGCGCTAGTACATTCGTAATCGAGGTCAGCACATATGAGAACAGGAACCGTCTCATTTGAACTGAAGGTTAGCGCTGGTTATGCGGTTTACGCCCTCTCATTAACGATCCTTGTTGTGCGAGTCAACTCAGTAGCTTTTGTTCTATTTGGTCCTTTGGAGTTTGGCGCTTGATAGAGGTATAAGGGAACAGGAGGCTCATTTCAACCAGAGCTGTTCAAGTGGAGGAGTCGAAGAACGCTCAAGTTCCGTGTCTAATGTACTATGACCTTCCACGCGCGTTGCCCTTCTGCAGCTTCCAGACTTTCGCATTTCTTTTCTGATACGGCGAGTCACACCGCTTATTGCTTCTGATAACCTTTTACGGTGCAGGAAGCGACTCGTGGTGATCTTGCATGTTGGTTCGATCCATATACCCGTTAATCAAAACCGCGCTTCCTTTCTCATGTTAGAAATCATCCGATTTCCAATCATCATCTCCAAATGGACTTCCAGTATCCTACCGAAGTCATCGTACCGAGTGGTTGATAGTCATGTAGTGGCCCAAACCAGTGGTTCGCCTCGAAGCGGGATAATGATCGGCTGTACACCCACACGGCACGAGTTGGTACTTAAGCCGCACACCGATATGCCTTCCTTCAACCTCACTGGGTTGCATTGCCAATTCTAGAAAGAGTCATCTTTCGGTATGCCGAGAATCAGCAGCATGACTCAGATGGCAAATCTCTCGTTGGCTGGCGGCAGTGGCGGCGTACGCTTAATCCGGCAGATGGGGCATTGTGTTACCGGAACCTTGACGCTTCGGTGTCGGACTCGACTATCGCGGGAACTACACACCCTCAGACTTCGCCGTCGCCCGCCACAAGTGGGGTGAAAGCTGCCACATTGTTTCCAAGCGAAAGACATCCCACGAAAGGCGCCTCCTGTTTGGCCTACTAAGATAACGCATTTGCCCCAGGGGACCGAACCTCTACCCTCAATGGGCCTTGTACATGCTTAGGATCTAGAGCTTGTCTTCCAATCCCGATTCGTGTTTCCTGAATTCCACGATGACATGGGTTATCGACAAGTCACCAACCATGTTGCATCGCACACAGCCGGCGCACGCAACAGCGGATCAGGAAGCAAATGTCAACTTTTCTCAACAGCCTTGCATTACATGCCAGAACCTAGAAGATCATACCTAAAGCTTACCGATTACGGGCCGTGGCCGTTCGACCCACCCTTCGACGCTCCCGTGCACACCGAGTGCGGGTACGGCCCCCTCCACTACACATACCCGTAAACAGGACTATCGCCCAGAAGAACGGTCGTGAGCAAGATAACTGCAAGTGAGATGTGTCGGTCGCATGTGGCGTCGGTCCCGTGCAGCCCCATCGGGCATGAGCCTGCATCAAACATTCTTTCACATGCGCGGCACGGTTATGGTGCGGGCTTTCACTGGGTCAAAGTACACAAGCGTGTTAGTAAGTTAAGCGTGCACGTGAACTCATCACTACTCTAAGATGCTGGAGGCCATAGTCACCAGTTCTTGAAGGTAACTGTAGCGACCATGGAATGCAATAAAGGCTGGAAACGGTGCATACGTAGGTATATCATCGATCCCACTACCGCTACAAGTAGAGCGGAGTGATGCAATGTGGTGTGCAATCGCGTGCATATAATAAATATGCGTGTGATACTCTGAAAGAGCTCATCTTATCCTTGCTCCACCAACGTTCAGAGTCATTGGTGTATATCGACGATGGCCGCCGGGGATGACCAGAACTGAGTTGCGGCTATTAGGATCACTTTCAAGATCGGTTCAAGGTGACGTCCAGGTTGATCCAGTCCAACACTATGCATGACGCATGATTTTCATACGTGCGTTGTCTCCGGAAGATCTCCTTCTTTATAATCGGGTTCTCGACCATGCGCTTCGGGCGTACCTATCGTTATAGTAGTGTGGTCCTTCATACTGCCGCGAATCTGTACTCTGGTTATTGCGGCCCGACTCGCTTTCCAATTGGATGTTACGGCTGGCAGCGCCGGCTGATTTGCCATTGTTACCGGTTATTCCATCCAGTAAGAAACTGGCGCGTACCTCCCGTTGTATGCGGTTCACCGTTCAACGCACCAAGTGAGTTCTTGAGCCGTACCGCTGGGTCACGATGCGCAAAGTACTACGTGAGGATGAGGGACACAGATGTGTCGGGAGCCAAGCACAGAAATGGTAGAACGCTATCAAGGTCGCCTCCCATCATCAATGGCGGTAGAAACTATCGCTCTTGCTCGAGCATCGCATCACCTCCCAGCGAGAGTAGAAGGGTAGGCACCTCTACTAGCGAGTAAACGCACCACCCCCTTAAAGTAGAGTTCATGAAATTGCGACGGCACACTGCCGCCCTTTTCACCCATTCCGCAGAGATACGGGAACAAGATAAGGATTCAGACAACGAAGAGAAAACGACGTGCCTTAATACGATAAGTACTTCTCTTGCTTCAAAACCGGTGAGTATACGATCTGCTTAAAATTCTGCAGTCATGCCCTATACACAACCTGGACATGCGTCAGCTTCTTGTGGTGATGCAAAGTGGTCCAGACTCTTTGCGTCTGAAGAGCCTTTGTCGTGACCAAGATAATCATCCAAAGCCTACCTGAACGCGGATGAAACGGGCATCTTACAGCGAGATCTCGCAATCACCAATCTCGACTGACGCGCGAAGATAATACCCCGCCTGACAGGTAACAATGCAACATACGTTTAGTGCAGTCGGTATTTGACAGCTGGTGAGATCCAGTTGGCGTCGCTGAACGGACCCAAAAGCATGTCAGTAGGCCGGTTGATGTAGTGCCACAGCATGTTGGAGACATCGTTGCTTGAATAACTGAACACAAGTGGACATGGCGACCGCATCCCTGCGATCCAGTGGCATTGAATCTGGGCCGAGTGACGGATCGAGCATCAGTGTCAGTGACCAGGTTCACGGGACAGCAACTCCCGTATCGAGAGCCTTCAACTTGATACCCAGAGAGCTAGTTCTTTCCAGATCAACCACACCTGTGCAGATGTTGTGTTTCGATTCGCGTATCGGTATTTCTCTTAACACACTATTGTGGTACGTCTGTCTTCCGGAGAAGATGTGGCATCAAACGTGCCGAGAATAGCGTAGACGGTTACATCCCGAAGAATGAATCCTACTTGCACCTCACGTCATCCAGATGCGAAGATGTCCACCGTCAGAGAAGACATGATCCCAGGGCTCTGCACATTGTCAATCTAGCAAGCTTAGTAGCGGTGTTGCACAGCGGCTCGAGAAGGCTGCGGAACGTTACTCCTCGCATCAGGCATGGTCGGGCAAGACACGCTTCGAGACCAAAGAAGGTATTTAGCTCCACGTATGCCAATCCTTATAGGTGCAAGTCGTATAGCACAGGTCTGGTTCTTAAACCGACCTCGTGGTATACGTCGTGCTTCACATGGCAGTCGCTAAGACATCGCCCGCATAGTTTCAGCGTGCGAGCGGGTCACCTTAGTCATAACCTTGGGTTGCGCGGCATGAAATCGAAAAACGAGAGGATGAGGTGACTTGCTGCGCGTCCGTGTAAACCTCCATGACTGAGGCTGTACTGTAGAGACTTTCGAGTGGATGCAGAGCCGAGAGATGAAGTATGCAGGTCGGATGGCTTGTTGCAAAATGGCCCCAGGAAGTATCTGCCATCCTCCAATGATAATGCTGTCAGCCTTTCGAGGTCGTCTGAGTCTGTCTGGTAAGCAAACTCTCAAGGTGATAGGGATATGTTATGGCCGGAGAGCAGTGTTCCAAGATTTGACAGGTGTTTGTGTCACGTGGTGGCCGGGAGAACCCCACTAAAGATTCGCTCGTGCCCAGATTCCGCTCAACCAAAGTGTCTGTGACCTGGAGCGCTTCTCGACAAGATGCACAACTGGCGCACAACCAGAGACGACTCGCTGGCAGATTGCTCTGCACATGAATCGTGTCGCCGAGATGGTCCAGTTATGGTGCCACGACATCCGTCGCACGCTTCACTGCGCTATGCTGCACCTCCAAGCCAGCCAAGTCAGTGACTGTATTTGCTTGGGTTGACCGCAAACAAGCGCAGCAAAGAACAGAGAGCTGGCACTTGTGGCGGAATTGATCTCATCCTACGTTGGCCGTCATGGGAGATTTCCGGTTGGCGAGTGTGGGAAATTAAATGTGGAAAGGAGCCCTTGCTGAATGGTTCGAACTACCGGCTTTCTGCAACATTGCGACAGCGCACCGGCCTGGACCTCGCACTTGACGATGCATATTCCTGCTACACACGCTCGACCGGTCGTCATCACAAGGATGGCGTAACTGGACGGCCCCAACGGAATCGTGACAGCTGTCTTACGACTTGTCCTTGCAGGATGTCTGACTGTAAATCAACGATTCAACAGCTCGTCGCGGATGATCATGCTCTGGAAGAGATGACGAGGCCTGGACACAGCCCCTATTCAAGCCTTGTGAAGGGGATGGATCGCTTAAGACAATGGCCAGGCTCGCCAAGCGGACTCATCTCGGGTTTGTGCATCACCAACCTGAGGCTCACAAGCTCTATACTGCGATGAGGGAGGTGCGCCCAGCTTCATTGGTGCAGCCAAATAACAACTTCGCATCTCTGTTGTAAGCAGAGTAGCACGCGCCCAGGAAGTTGCTTCATTCCCAGCCGGAAATCTCTGCAACCAATGCTGGCCAGAAGGAAGACAATGCCGATCGGCGATATCCCTGCTGTTATTTACTCTGCTTTCGTACTTTACCCGACATGAGATGGCCAAAGTTACGGCCATTGCCCTGACGATCAGGCACCGCACTCGTCCGATTGGATCGCCCCTTGCCCATCTTGTCGAGAACCTATCTGATCGCGGCTAGCATGCTGTCCGTGCCTGTTCTCCGGACTAGCCACGACGTTTGGCCCCGTCCCAAACAAGTCCATGCCGTGGCGACGATTAGTTCCATGGCGGACGGGCTTCGAAGTGGGCCTGGGCTGCGTGGACTAGGATGCAGCCATCTTATTTACTTGCGCATCCCCCAGGTCCCAAACTCCTTCTCTACCGCTCAGGAAAGACTTCGTCACCCACGTTCATTCGCTGAATAACTTCACTCTTTTAGGTGTTCAGCCGGCATTCCTTCGATCGCTTCTTCAGAGTCTTTACCTTTGCGTCAAGTACTATACCGGTCCAACTCGACGATAATGCAGCTTATTACCCTCCTTTCGGCGGCCTCGGCCATGGTCGCTACCACTTCCGCCACCAACCTCAGAAGCGCTGTTACTCTGAACAAGGAATGCGACACTGCCAGGCCCTACGCACGCGTCATCAATCGTTGCGAATACGACGTTCACCTTTGGTCTGTTTACAAGGGTGATGGCTGCCCCGAAGATGGCATGGTCACGTTGAAGACTGGCGAGATCTACAATGAGAACTACACTCCTCCCAAAGACGATGTTGGTGTGTCCATCAAGATCTCGAAGACGAAACAATGCAAAGGCGTCGACATTACCCAGTTGGAGTACTATCTGGAAACTTCTAAGCCGGAATTCCAATACAACTTCCTCGATGTTTCATATGTCGATTGTCTTGGTGGCGACTGCCCTGCAAGGAAGGACGGATACTACCTCAAGGCTGGTAGCCAGGTCGGAGTCAACACCGCATCTTCTTCCAACACCTTCTGTCCTATCCTTGCTTGCCACGATGAGGCTTCTTGCGATAAGGTTTCTTACGTGCTTCCCGACGACGTTCAGACCAAGACCTGCCACCTCGACCAAAGCGTGGACTTCTATATGTGCGGTGGAGAGGCGCCCTCTGGCGACTACGGCTCGTCTCCTAGCGAGTCTGAGTCTTCTGCTGAGCCTTCCACCAGCTCCAGCAAGCAGGCAGAGTACTCCGCTGCCAAGCCTACTTCCACCTCTGCTTCCGACGAAGACTCCTACACTGCCGACATCGAAGTGGCTGCTGCCGCTGTCACCCCTGCGCCTGAGAAGCAGGACGATAAGCCCTACCATAAGCTTACCAAGACTGTTTACGTCACCGCGGTCGAGTATGTCAACGCAAAGAGGCACGCTCACGCTCACGACCATGCCCGCCGCCACCAGCCTTTCCACGCATAAGCTATTGAGTACTTGTATACTATGGCAGTGGTCTCAAGGAACTATTTGATTCTACATTCTGCGAATCCACAATTCAGGATACCAATTTCGCGCTATACCCAGGAGAGATCAGGAAGAGGAGATTAGAGTTGATCCAACTCGAGTAATGACAGGGGTAGACAGCGTCGCAGGTCCAATCTATTCATTTCTTCATCCCACTATCGACTCGCACCTGTCATGGCTGATTTTGTCATCTTTGTTTTCACCCCTCGCCTTCGATGCTTCTTGAACGACACCCCGGGTGTGTTACTTGGTCGTCTTGGACGTTGGCGCCCTCGCTTCCTTGGTCGCATATTATCTCACGAAGTCACGATATCGGATACCATTTTGGGCCCAGCCCCCCACTAGGTATATTTGTTTCTTTCATTCGCTTCGTCAAGGACTTTCTTCTCCTTTTACTTGGACAAGGACGTTGGGTTGTGTGCAGAGACGTCTCGGCTTGGTGATTCTGTTCGTAGCCTGAAATAGATCCATTCATCATCATCTTCCTGATGGTCTTTTGCTTAATTCAAATCTAATCGATTCGAGCTGTATGCACGCGCGTCTATATCGCGTCTCGCTATGCGTCACCCCGATCCTCGTGCAACTCTCAGCTGTGTGTTTACATGGCTCAATAGAACAGAGCATGTTTACTTTTGGTGTCGCAATAGCCGAGCAATGTATGTCTCAAGCTGAGTGTGATGTAAATAACAAAGTTCGAAACCATGTTACATGCTTGTTCGTATGTGCCACCTGGTGTGGTTTGACCGCTCGATCACCTTGCGCATCGCTTGCGACCGTACACTGATGCGGCCTCACGCTGCTCACAGCACGCTCAGTGCATCATCTCCGTCAAGCTTATGTATCGCATGATCTTATGCTCATCGGTGATCAGCAAACATGTTCGCAAAACCAATTCTCGTCGCAACAGCCAACTTAAGGCCTCCTCCCAACATTACACATGGCTCGCACGTTGAGTATTCCTGCGACTGACAGCGGCGCCGCTAGAACCAGTCATAGCTGCGCACCAGCCAAGTACAAGCCATGCCTCAGTTTCGAGCCAGGGTTGAGTGCATGTTGCAGATTCGTATGCCAGAAGTTTGGGCGTTCCGGCCCACTTTCCACAATCCGTGAGCATTGCGTCATTCCTTCGCCATGAACGCCTCTTAGTGCACTGCAAAGTGCCGGTGCCTTGCAGTGTGCAGCAGTAGAGTAGTCGTTGGGGAGCCGTTTTACTCCACCAAGCCTCTACATAGCATTGTTGGCCAACCGCAGCCAAGCAAAAAGTTTGCGAACCAAACTGCTGATGAACCACGCAGTGACCATGTCTTCCATCGAGCCGCGTAGCCAGCTTGTGCATAATGCAACCAGCAAGATTTGCACCAGACACTACATCTTCGTGCAGTAGCCTGATGTTCCAGAACAAGGCGAGTGTGGTTCCGATGCTCCACGCTGTCACAAGTTCTCCATCCTCCCGAGGTCTGATTCATTACAGCCATACATGTCGTTTCGGCTGCATGCCTTTTTACCGGTATCGTTATCGAATCGATCCACTACCTATCGATACGACTCTGCATGGATGTACATCAACAAGTCCATTGCTGGGTCGTCTTACCCGCTGCGGTCCGCGAATCCCGGGGTTATGCCAATTGGTGAGTTGCTGGAGTAGAAGGTCCGTCTGGTCCGGAGTAGTTTAGTGGAACGTGAGATTCTAGATCGTTGACACTGGTTAGAGCGGAATTAGTCGGCGCCCCTGAAGGAAAGACTGTATACTCTGATTAGACAAATACCAAACGCCGAGAACAGGCGTTTGGGCATAACAAATTGATGAACATTCCAGAAAAGCGCGATGGCAAACATAGGAGCGTTAAGGCTTCAGCAGTGGATGTATGAAGCTCTGCAGCTGAAGACATGATTAGCCATCATATTGGTTGGGATACACTATTTTCCCTCTATAACCCAAATACTAGGCTTTCCTCCATTGAAGTAATCTTCCAAACTCAATCGAGTTTTTCTCCCGAATATGATTGCCTGTTTCGGGTGCATCCACCCATTGAACTGGATCTGGTCCACCAAGCACCTCGATGCCCCAACGAACCTCGCCGTCACTATCCTTGAACCAGCCAAGCATTGTTTGAATATCTCGATCCTTCTTCAGCGCAATGCCGCGTTCATGCAACAATTCCAGAAACCTATTACTGCCGGCTACGAGAACCAGCATACCGGCGATAAGCTGCACATCGCGAATCATCGAGCTTGTATACTTTCGCTGAAGACTGATGATGACGAATACTGTGCCAGTGAGCCATATGAGAATTGCAGTTGCCAGGTAAGTGGCAACAACGTTCATGTGTAGAACGCGGATGCGCGTTGACACTGATGCTGAGATACTCTGTGTTGAAACAGTCTCGCGTTTCGATATGACTGTGCCATTTGTATAAATTGGTCGGCTAAGATCCTCAATACTTCGGTCGTCAACTGATTGGTATGTGAAGCCGCCCTGCTTCAATGACAATCCGCTGTTGACAAATTGTTGAAAGAATGCTTGGAATGTGCGGTCGGCTGACTCTACGAAGGTTGTGTAGTCCAGTAGTGCTTCAGCATTTTTGTTGGCCATGACATACATCGTATTGGTCATGATGTCCATGTCAAGGCCGTACTCTTTGTCTCGGAACACGAAGGCATTGCTATCAGAGCCCCGGTTTGCAGACCCCAATAGCGAGCCGAGGAAGAGGATTCCGAACGATGTGGTCACGTTCAATGGCCCCACGTAGGAATTATTGGCAAGCTGAGAAGCGTGCCCTGAGACCTCATGTGGCGTGAAGGCATCATCCCAGGCACTGTTCATCGGTTCTATCGGAGTCTTCACCTTCCGTGACAGAACCGCCCCAGACTGAGCATCGACAACAACATTAGCTTCTGTGGTCTCGATGATTGGTCGACAGTTCGCAGCCTGCATTTGAGGCTCTTCTCTGAAGTACAAGGCTTTATGTCCATTGGTGTCTGTAATGCTGATCGGCTTCCCGACGACCCATTTTGGTACGACAGACATCGGCCAAGACACCTTGTCGTAGGGAGGTCTGACCAAAGCGGCGGACCAATAGCCCAGAACACTCCGATGCTGCTGTTCGATAGTCCCGTTGGAGCAACAGGCCTCATAGTTTGGTGATGAGAAGGTGGTAGTCTCAGAAGAACTGTTTATGAAAATGCCGACTGGCAACTTGTAGAGCTGAAGTCCTCCCGTGTTGTTTAGTCGCGCAACGTCATCCGCCAATATGCTTTTGTCATCAGTGAGATCCACAGGCTCGAGCCATGATGATGCGTTCGAGACCTCCTCAATGGGCTTGCACTCAAGCCTTGCGCGGATAGCAGGCACTTGAAGACTGACATTAGCCGAAGCGATCGCCGGACTACCGTAGCTATTTTGTTGACCTTGTGAAGCTGTAGAGTTCGAAATGTGGGTCAGATCTACCGGCAAGAAGCTCCACCCTTCAGATGACCAGGGCAACTGGGAGTCGTTGAATGAATGTTGTATCCCTGCTCCGTACAGCCAGTTCTCACGAGCGTCGAGATACAACTCGTCGAGAACGTCTTGGGAATATCCCCATCGCTTGTTGTTGCCTAATATTACGTCCACTTTGGTCACGAATGGATCGTGGCGTATCTTCAAATTCTGGAGCAGCGATATCTGCTGTGTAGTCGGTGTTGATCTTCTCTCGAATAAAGCAGACATCGAAACAGTCAGGACCTGGGTCAGGGTAGAGCCGACGGCAACCATCAGTAGCACCCAATGCCTGTGGCGCGCAGCCTTGATAGCCGCACCTATCCAAGTCTTGGACTTGTACGTTAATCCCGCTCCAGCACTGATTGAAGTCGGACGTTGAGACATCGATATGTAAGGCTGAAGTGTCCTAAACGTCATGTCCAGTTGGTCCCACCAGAGTCCGATCACGATACTGGCAACTGTCGGGGCAATGGAAATAGGTGCAAATGTCGGGAAGCTAAGATTGAGCTTTGAGATGTCGGCTTCGTAGGTAAAGCCCGCCTGCGATAGTAGTGATCGTGCGGAGAAGGCGTTGAGAGTCAAAATGGCGGCCATGATAGATGTGAGCAGTACTATCAGTGCGAGAAGTGTCCGCACATGGATCACACGAGGTCTCCAATCCGATTTTGTTTTGATGTGCGGCGAGGTGGTATCTGCACGTTCAGCATTAGCAAGCCAGTCACGTTATCGATGATGTCGTCACGTACCGGGTTGCGGGTTTCCTTGAATTAGAAACCTGTCTGACATCAAATAACTCTTATTGCATAGTGATTTATAAAAATCACCCCTTGAGGCGACGTGCAAGCGTCTGAGATTAGCAGTGAGGTCTGAATGAGGCTGTAGCAAAAGACCCAGACCAGCGATACTGGAGGGGTCTGAGCGAAGGTTGAGCGGCCGATAGGGTAAGCGAGACATCCAGAACAATACCATAAGGAACGAAGCCAACGCGTAAAAGAGCGCAGCCAATGTGAAACCAATCTCAGTCAAAACAACCACCCTTTCCTGGACGACGGTAGCAGATCCTTGGAACTTGCTCGTTTGGATGATGCCAGGTAAGTCGAGCGTATCCCTCATCGTCTCCGTGAAAAACCGTCCCTTAACTCTTGCTGCTGTTTGACTGATATTGGGGTCGCTGATCAAGGCGGTCAGATTGAAGCCTGAAAGTGCGGCAAGCATGGGCGCCACACCGGAGTATCCGGGTATTCTGCCGTCTTCCTGAGAATCCAAAGCAGTATATCCAGCTCTCATGGCATCAGTCTGCATGCTAGCTCTGTCGAAATATGTTTTCCAGTTGTTCTGCATACTTGTTGCCTGGAACATGGAAACATCAGCGAGGCTGTTTGGAATTTCCAGGCCATTCGAGTCGGTCTCAGAGCTTGCGTTGAAGTAATGGCCTGAGTTCCCCGAAATTTTTACACTTGTAGTATTCTTAGACATCGTGTATCGAGAACTGCAAAGCATGCCTCGCATACGGAAGTCTGCAGAACGCTCGTATGTCATGTTATCGGGAAGGAAGGGGCCATCCCATGTCTTGTTCCAAGGGGCAGTCCACGGAGTACTCATAAGAATAATGTCGTATTTGTTGCATTCTTGAGAAGCGTTGACCCGAGCGTATACATGCGTGGAAGTAACGTTGGACGGTACGACTCTGCCACCGAGAGGGAGTATTCCGTTGAAGGCAGTCGGGAAAAAGGTAGTCGCGTTCGACCAAGTCATACCTCCACCAAGTGCTAGGTCAATCGCAGGGTGAATTTTCAACTCGTATCTGCATCCTTGATTGGATTCTAGTGCGAATGTGACCATAGGCTGTATCCCTTTGTAGGGGCCGTAATGCTGTAAGGAGTACACATCCGAGTACCGCTCTTCTCTCAACTCCGCACTTTGGAGTTTCATATCATGGCAAACGTACTCTGACCGAAATGTGGTAGTCTCTGCATTCCATGCGCCATATGACGATGTCAGTCTCGGACCGAACTGAGCCTTCTCCGACGATGGCCAAAAGGGGAATGTAAATGAAGTATCGGTGACCCAGGCTGATGTTGATACGTTCCTCATGAGCGCAGCCATTGTCCGGAAATATGTATCCCTTGTCGCAATGACTGGGAGCTGGGTAGTGTTCCCAGGAACGAGTCTCGCGAATTCGGCAGAGCTTGGTAGAACGAGTTCTTCAGAAGTGAGTAGGGCCGAGGAAAGAGGTGATATAACCAGAAGTGCGATGATGTTGACAAGCGCAGCGCAGATCAAGCTCCAGCTAGTTTTGCCGATCCGTCTTCGGTGAAAGCAGGCGTCCATGAAGATGGACCACCACGCTCTTGGAGTCTGGAGGGGTACGAAGTCAGTAAATGTCTCACAGGCACTTCGTAAAGTCAGGACTTACCTGGAGGATGGTACCATACGCACTTGTACCTAAGTTTTGGTGTAAGAACACTATACACGTCTCTTATGCGATCGGTACACGGGTACTACTTACCCTCCACTGATGCCTTGGCAAGCCGTGCAAATGGTTCAGTTCTCTTGACGTCTTCAAATAGTATGACAGTCATCTGTGCGTAAAGTACAGCAATGAGAGTGGGAGTGAAGCGCCACCCAAAGAGTACCATCGACGATCCGTCATCGCCACCAATTCCATGGTTGCTTCTTGAATGGCAGCTGAGCCAAAGGACTATGGAGCCAAGAGCAATACTGATATTAGCTAGTGCGACCAGGTAGTACCATCTCAGAGTAAACGGAAGCCACGATGCGCTTCCTACAGAACCGTATGACACTACGTGATGGTCAGTATGTTAAGATATCCGCTGTCGATATGCTTACTGTGAGATTCCACCTCTTGTTGGTCATTTTTGGGCTGAGGTGGGGATGTTTCAGAGGTCGTGCTGTCGTTTCGTCGTAGTTCGGATACCGTCAGGTCCACCGGGGATACTGAACCGGATTGAGATTGAGTCATCGGGCTTAATCACTGAATCGGATCCTGTGCATTAAACCAATACACTGAAGACTCTTCTACGATCAAATTGATGGGTAGTTTAAGATACTTAATACTTCTGTTCGAACCGCCCAAACCTTTCAAGGGGTGTGCGCGCACCCGGAGCCTCCATAATGTCATAGATTGCGGCGTAGTTCGCGGCACAGCGACGATTGCACTCACATACAGTTAGACATATCCGAAGCTCTGGACGCGATAGTGTTTCAGAAATTTCGTGCAATGGCATAGTTAGCTAAGCGCCCAGGTGGGCATGGGGAGCTGATGCAGCGGTTCGTGCTAGTATTCCAGCGTTAAACACGCGCCGCGGTGGGGTTCTGCTGCTAGATACCGAATAGCAGACAAGCTACTAGGTGCTACGCGTATTAAAAAGAGCTTGAAGCGCCGTGATGGGAGAAATAAATAGACGCGCAACTGTCATGAGAAGTGAAAGTCTAACCCAAGCCTTCCGTCGCGTCTTCCGTTTCCCTCACGGGTGGGAGCTTCCGCCTCTAGCGTGGGGGGCAACTAACTGTATTAGGCGTAGCGTAGCGCTTGTGATTCAGACAAAATTGATTCAACTATATGTGATTGATCTGAACGTGCTAGCAAATACTCCATTTGTCTTGTCTACATGTGCGAAGAAACTTGTTTCTTTGTTGTTGAAGCCAGGCAATGCGCATCGTAGCCGGAGGTTTGACTACCTAGGCAGGATGCAATGCCTACTAAAGCTAGACTATCGCTAATGTTGAGAGGGAGAAGGAGACGGTGTAGACGAGCGTGTTGTATATCTGAAATAATGAAGTCTCAATAGATGAGATGAGCAATGCCTGCCTAGGTAGGTATGCCTAGGTACCCTCCAAGGTTCTCTCTACCAGGGAGGTGAGCAAGAGTTGTGGTCTTAACACATCCGTTGATGCGCTTCTTCGAGATGTAAAAACTGATGTCGTTTTATTCAGTCCCATTTCTAGCCGGCTGTCGAAAGTTCTTTATATTTCGAAAGTCACTGTTCAAGGTGCACCACGTACGACTACATATCGACACAAATACTCCGGTACCCCTGCCTTGCTTACAGTCTTTCTGCTACCCTTTTTGTCTACGCCAGGTCGCTGCCACCTGCCACTTACATACGTAGCGAGATTCCAGCAACTTACAATCCCGAAGAACATCGGTCCGCAACGCGTCGTCTATCTTCGCCTACCCCTCTCGAACGCTACCCCCGATGCAGTGCCATCAAGCGAGTCTGCACGCGAATGATTGGTGGGTGCCTTTCTACAGTCTACCCATTATTCGTTTCCAGAAACAGGGGTGAGCGAGAATGAGCATTCGAGCATGTGGTGGGCTCAGGTGCCCTCGCAAGGGTAGCCGATTTGTAGCATGTGCAGAACCTTGAGTACTTGGATATATGGTCAACGTGTCAACAAAGACAAATCAACGTAGAGGGCGGGACATCAGCCAGACCCGCTACAGAGTTTGTGGATCTGATGAGCGAATGGTATTTTTCTTGTGTATCTATGTGTGTCTTCAAGATTGGGCGGCTTATAACGCCGGGATGTTGCTTCGGATCGCAACGTTCGCTTACCCTGGTTGCTGCACATTCGCATCATTTGCCGAAGTGTACGATGAAGTCAAGACGGTATTTGCATCCGCTTTCTTCCAAGTCCTATCACTCGCTTGAGCCACCAGCTTCTTTGGCGACTGAAAATACATGTCCTCAACTACTTGCACGACAGTATCTTGAATGCTACAAAACGGAGAGGGCGATATCATACAATGTAAGCTTACACCATGCTTGACTCTATGCGGTGGAACTCAGTTTTGTGCGCCCTTTCGCATCCGATCTAAGCGGTACAGCAACATCGTTACACCGCCCGCTACACTTAGCCGCACACAATGAACCGATGGTCATGCGTGAGGATCCAGCGTTATTCTCACCATACTCAATGTTCCATAGTACAAAACCCGAACGCCTTACGCCTTGAAGTCCAACACTTGAGATCCAAAACACGACACCCTTCTGCTTGGGACTCCATTCTTATAACACCATGTATTGCTCGGCACTCGATTCGCTTGTAGTAAGACGCCACGAGAGCTCTGTTGTAGGATTTAGCTACCCCGCTAGTACAATTCAGATAGCTGCGAGGTCGTTGAGTGCATAGCTCAGCTCTCGTCTCGCACCAAGTTCATCAATGCCGTCATGCGGCCGGTGATGGTGTGCGACGATCCGCACCGTGGCCCTGTAAGTCTTGTACCTATTACGGTCAGCATTGCGGCCTTCTACTTACCCGCACTTGGTACTCACATCAGCATCCTGACCCTCGCGCCCCCAGTCTTCACAGGGTAATCTCCCAAGCCCGCGAAGAACGCTTCATTACCATCCGCGATACCGCCGCTCATGAGCGGATCGCCCCAAATAACGTTTGAGAAACCGACAAGACCTACGACCTGCTTGGTGCGTTCATCGATGAGCACGTTCTCCGGGTCGCAGAGGTTGAGCGCTACGAGGCGCGGTTCGGTGACTTCTTCCAGGCAGTGTGCGTGTTTGCCAACCCAGAAACGTATACTCTCGGAGTGCGCATTAACGAGCATATCCTCAGCATCGCGTAGTGCGGCTTCGAGGAGAGCAAAGAAGGCCTCACGCCAGGAGTTGCTGCCTTTTTTGACGAAAACACGGTGTGTCATACCAAATTGAGTGGCAGATAGTGCAGTGAGAGCGCGGACATGTGTGCCTAGTGTGTGGTCGATGGAATTCCTCTCGCTGGTCGAGATGTATGGCGCGATTTCCGAGAGTTTGCGACCAGGTATGTGGCTCATCATAAGAAAAGGTGCACCAAGCGGTCCACCATGGCTATCATACTTGATGATTTGAGGCGCAGGTACTTGTGTATACTCGTGCAGTGTCTCCAGTGCTTTGCGTTCTGTTTCCAGGAAGTGCTTCTCATGCCGGAGGAGTCGGATGTTATAAGCTGGTGGGCATTTGAGTATCAAGCAGCTGCCATCTTGAAGTCTTGCGAGATAAACTTGGTGTATGCACCCTTGTTGGACTTCAATTTGCTGAACATTGATTCTTGAAGACCGAAAGACTGCTCTGATGACTCTTTGTATGCTGGGAAAGTCGATTGTTGTGATGGCAGTCCGCGAAGATGCTGATGAAGACGAAGATGAAGATGAAGTGGTCGAGGAGGGCCGAACGGGCTTGAGAGCGTACGTTCCACGGCTCATACTGGTGAGGGGAAAGATTGCAACATCCAGTGGGGGAAGATGCATTATGAAGGGCCGAGCAGCGATGTACTAGATTCAGGCGGGAAGCTTAGCGTGATTCGATAGTGGAGGCCTGGAGCTGACTGAATGCTGCATGTTGAGGATATCGCTATGCATTAAGAATGTTTCGAGGATTGCGCAAACAAAGTCAGGCCCAACTCTTTCCTCATAGAATCATGTGTGTTCGATTTGAACGCGAAAATGTCCCAATGAATGTCGAAAACAAAAGCGTAGTAACGCCAGCCCGAGCAAGACCGACTTTGATAGATCCCAATGAATGAAGCCATCTCCTTGGTTCGGCCATACCGATTCGCATGACAGTCGACAGTTAGTAGCACATCTGAAAGTTCCAATCAGTCCCCGAGCCATATCGACTATCCTCTCGCTGATGCACTGCTCAGCCGAAAAGCAAAAGTCTATCATGCGTGTACGGAGCTGGTAAGTAAGCGGCGTATCCTAAGCGAATTATTTAGCGAAGGCGGATGTAGAGGCGGAGAAGGACGCGTGAGGCGCTCAGGTTGGCGCTTTCAGCGTTCGTCAAGGATACCCACAAGCGGCTAGGCACCCGATGAGGATATCGCGTATCGCGAATCATGATTGGTTCTGCCAATGGACGGATCAAGGGTATCATTGCCCGACGTCTTGTGATAGCGTATCCTGAGAAAATCCGAAAGACGGTTGGACGTAGGTTTGACAGTGTAGAGTATAACGTTGTGATTAACGCAATTTCAGGTCGACATGGGCCCTCCAATCGCCCGGCCCAGTCTTTTACGTAGCTAGTCAACTACTTCCACACATGTCACGCTTGTGGGCCATTGCTGTGGCGGGCTATGTAAGCCCACAGTATGCACCCTACAGTTCGGAGACGAGTCGAAGCAACACGCCGGATGTCAGGTCGATTAGTAGGTGGCTGCTGTGCTCGCTCTAATGTTCCGCTAGACGTTTGCCTCATCCCAAGAGTAACCATATGGAGCCATGGTAGTCCCGATCGGAGATTTCTTCAGTTTGTGGACATTGCTGCGCGGGGCGTTCTAGCACCAAGACGGCTGCCCCACACACTGATTCCACCCATCTCCTTCTCAAACACGTCCATGTTCGATTTTTCCTGACTGATCATCGACCTGGGATTTGACGGAGGGCAACGGCTGACGAAGCTCCTCAATGTTGAAACGTTTGAGCTTCTCGAAGTCAGGGCCGACTACACTCATACCTAAGACATTCTGTCGGACGTAAGCAGCTGTCAAGATCTCATTATACGGTGCATGTGAGACGCGTGATCACCACGTGGGGTATGACTATACCTTATAAATTTCCACAAGGATGAGAAGATCGTAATTTTTTAGGTCGACCTTGTGCCCAGGACCAACTGCAGCTGCGATTGTATTGATGACGCCGTCTCTCAAAAACTCCTTATTGTTGCGTATCGATGGGCGTATCGCAAACTTGGGTAACCACACGTTAGCGGAGATCTTGCACGACGACACTACATCATCTGATAGAAGAAGCTAATGCTCACTTTTTTCCCCACTTGATCTGTTCCATGGAAGTGAGGCGCAAGGACTTGTTTCGCAACAGCCTCAAGACCCTGTGGCGTGGCTTTGTCGGTTGCAGTAATTGGTGTTAGCCGCTTCACATAGCGTAAATTCTTCGGCTGAGCGCCATCTGCAATATCTTGACAGATCTTATGAACGAAGGAGACAGGTTCGAGAGGTGAGCGTGTCCTAAAAAACATCACTTTGTTGGGTCAGCCCGAGCGGTCGGAAGTGTGGTTGGCTATCCTCACAGCACTGGG